TCGACCTTCGGTGTCGAGCTTGCACTGATCTGCTCTCGAGTTCTCCCAAAGGTCTCCTCGGTTTCCATAAGCCTGTGCAAACACAGTAAACATCTTTTATTTCTTAAATAAACTATCAAATCATATACCTTACGAGAAGAAATATTGCATTTCATCATCAACTTAGCTAATAATATGATATTTCAGTCTTTTTGAAACGTTGCTAAAACTGAACTAAATTCTATGAGCGATAGACTTGAATGAAAAAATTAGTTCACTGTACAGCCATTATGAGATAAAAACACGAGAAATTAAAAACCAAATAAAAGCGAGAAAGCAAGACCTTTTATTATAAAACGGGTTTCATAATATTGTGCTGGCTTTTTGGAGTAATGTTGCATATCATATCATATGAATTTCAAAATCTTGAAAATTCCGCTAGAGTTTTGTTTCTAAAGAACTGTGTATTTACGAAAAGTTTGACAACACATCTCTTCAAGTTTTTCATGGAGGAATCTTGCAAATCTCTGGATGCACAGGTTGTTGCAAACGTTGGTATTTTACTTTCAATGGAGTAGAATGCATAAATCCTCTTCCTGTTTATGGGATATTAGAAAGTATCCATCGACATCATCACATTGAAGGATATTGTATTATAATTGATAAAGGAAAAGTGCAAGTTGGTTTCTGGGTTGGAAATTGCCCATCTTTATGTTACGCAAATGCACACACTGGGTAGAATACAGTTTCTCGTATTGTTATTAAAGGGTTCCTCCTCCACAAGATTAATTTCACCTTTGTCACGTTTTATTCGACTCTTTTTCGTATCAAAGTTTCTGTTTGTATGTTTTATAAGACATGCGTATTGCAAGACATGAGGTAATTTAGTTACCTAACATTACCGAGCTGATTTAGTCTACTATTTACTAGTCTACTATTTAGTCTATTATTTACTAATTGCTACAGAAAAAATATACTTTGTGACTAAAACTCTTTCAAATACAATTGGAAAGGTAGGAGACTCCGAGTAATTTTCAGTTTAAGCTTGCCTCGGTTTGCAGTTTAAAATAGTGTTTTGTTCCATGTTGTTAAAAAAAGTAATTTTAAAAAAATTTTTATAATCCAACGTAAACAGGAAGCAAAAATACCATACTTATCACATTAAATTTGCATTGATAGGAACATCAGTTGCACGAAAGAGACAATAAAACTGAGAGAATTTCTTGTCATTAACTTGTGCACACATTCAAACATTATTGCTTAACAAACTCTTTTCAAAAGCAACATCAATTGCACACTTACATTTTTTACTGCAAGTAAATGAGCAATAAAACAGAATGCAGGTACGATCAGGGTAAAACTAATGTTACTAATGTTATGAACATGTTGTGCTTGTAATTCTCCACAAATCTGCAGCTAGGAGCTTGCTAGAACTATTGCATAGCAACATATAAATCCGTAAGGAAAAAATATTGTAATAATCCATATATGTGAGATAAAAACATCTCAAAACTCAAGAAAAAGTTTAATTTGAGGCGATCACGTGATCAGACCAATGTTTGCAAACTGACATCATGAAAATAATTCAAGAGCACAAGACAATAAATGAAGCATAGACAGAAGGAAGCAAAGAAAGAGAGTGTTTTAAGATTTGGTGTGTCTCAATGCTTTCAAAAATTTTATTTTCTATGGTGACTTAGAGTTGCTTATTAATTTTTCTACACAACGTAACGTCTTTTGTGGTTTGATCTATGTCAAAACAAATCCATTTGATGGTCTTGATTCTACATCGTTTGCTGGATGTTTCTAGGTACGCAACATGTTTTCTTGTTTAGGTGATTCGTTGATTCTGCATAGCTTCCTTTTTACTTCTTTGTGTGCATCATCCATGTATGCCATCGCAATTTCGTCTGTTGTTTAGCGTCTTCATTAATTCCTGCAAGCGCAGCGTCTTTGATGTTTGGGGGCTTCATCGACTCGTGGACTTAAGCTAACTCGAAACTATATAGGTAACATTCATCACATTCAGTTAACTACGTATTACTTAATTTTACTGTTTTTACATCTCGTATTAAGACATCATTCAAAATTTGTAAAACGTTCATAATTCATAATCTTAACATGTATTTGTGTAAATTGTTTTATGAAAACCTTTATAGGTATGTCATTTACAACTAGTCGGGTTATACACGTACATACTATTGTATACTGACGTACATAAAGAGTGCACAATACTTTGTCTAGAATTATCCACAAAAATCAGAGGAAATAGCCAATCTTAGTTTCAAACATACGCGTAATTAAAACCACGTACTTGACATAACTAGTTACGCAAATGCACTTAAGTTTAAGTACAGTTTTATGTACGTTATCCGTGTGGCATAACTGCACCTAGTTAACTAGAACATAAATGCCTCGAATCATAAGTGTAAAAATATAAATCACAAAAAAACATCGTGGTTGCAATATTCACTCTCACTTGGCAGTAACATTGAAAAGTATTTAACGAAATCAACGCTAAACTACACAATACCTACTGTACAACAGGTATCTCGAATTTCGACATCCAAATCGAGGAAAAGGTTTGTCTCACTTTTTAAATGTGTAAATATATGTGTGTATGTGTGCATGTATGTATGTATGTATGTATGTCATTCCAGGCATGAAAATTAAACTACCAATGAAACTGCATGCTTTTAGTTATATTTTTAAACCGGGTTTTCTTTTGACTACATCGTGTCAAACTAAAGAGCCTGTTCATTTATTTAAAAATGTGGCTCGTGAACGCTCAAGAAGGAAGCTAAACTTGTAGGTTTTCTTCAAGAGACAACTACAGTTTGAAAATTATGGGTGTTAGTGTAATGACGACAACTTAAAAATAGCAAATTGGCAGATTTTACATTTGATGTCAAGTAAGGTTTGAAAACCAGGCCGAAAATTGAAGAGGGATTGTTATGTACATAGTATACGTATGTCAGAGCCCTGAATTTCCAATTTATTCGATCATTAAGGGTCCTCGCCTGTTTAACTTACTATTAAAAACGGGATAATGGCAAGTGATACGAACTCAATACTTGACATAACTGCGACAGATATGCGAAACAAGGAAATTGAATTCATCAGGACATATTTCAATAGTGTTGGACAACCAGAGCATTATTTGCTGGAAAATATGAAGGAGGTGCTGAAAGTTTGGAGGGGATCTTAGAATCTTAAGCTGTGTTATCGTCGACGTCATTTGTTTGTTCACAAACGCACAACAAACGCAAAGACCACAAACGCTTTTCAATAAATGGTAAGGAAACAGTGCATAGCATCAAAAAGTACGGCACTGCAAAAATACAATATGTAACGGAAAAAAGTGTTCATTGGAGTTTACTTTACAAATTTTAATTTACGCTAATTATTACAAAAGTACTAACGGACCTAAGCATCATCTCTACGTGTTTTTATAGCTCCACCCGTTTTCGAAAATAATAAAGGCAATGTACCAATTGCGATTTTCGGAAATCCATTTACAATAGAAAGCACATAAACTAGGCAATGCATACATGGATCAGAAAAGGTCAGATTTCAAACGCTGTATTACAACGAGATATATTAAACAGTTATCACATTTTTAATCAACAGGCTAAGCAAAATGACCATTTTTAGGACTCGCGAGGAGGGGCAAATAAACAAAAAAAATCTGCTGAGCACAATTACGCCACCAAAACATATCAAAAATTGCAGAACAGTCAAAAATTTGGCTCCCCAGCAACAATCCAGATTCGTGAAATAAAAGTTTTTACGGACTACTATCTTGACAAGACTCTTTATCCAACAGCGAACAGTTTGAAAAAAGCGAAAAAAACCGTTTTAGATAAACTATGAGCAGACATTTCTAAGACTCAAAACAATATGACAACCTCATCAAAGTGCTACGTGAAACTACCTATAGTAATAGAGTAATAAGTAAAATTCACGAGCTTGTCAGTAAGAAAGTTACTCAACCCTTTGTTTCCAAGTTGAGCCTTGTTCGAAATCAGGCATTCACCGTCAACAAACTAAAACCTTTGAAAGAAGCGCTTGACTACGCAAATAAACTGCACGAAATCTTAAATCGAAATTGCCCAGTCAGTGAAGGTTTCCCAATTGGAAATAGTCCAACAAAAAGCGTTTGAAAGTAACAAGTGTGGAGTATCATCAAGTATTTCATAAAAATTGCCTCTTCGTTGCAAAAGAAGCATGCTAATAACTATATCACAACAATGATCCCAGACATAAGTTAAGAGCGCGCGTATCATCAAACAAGGTGAGATAATTTTCATTTTCGCAACCTCGACTGACGAGCTCTTTTTACAAATTATAATTTTTACTCACAATTTACGTTCCAGAATGCACTTGAAGAGCCAGTTGAGCAAGAATTGTTGTATGAGAGTGAAACAGAGGAAATCCAGGAATCACAAGAAAGCACTGAAGTACCGCCAATCAACAACTTGGAACATCAAGAAAGGTCAGTGATTCATTGCAAAACGAGCTGAAATTGTGAATGTATCTTGATGCACTATGTTTTTAAATAATATAGCACCAACAATGATACTTGCAAACAGTTGACATACAATTCATTGTTTCTGACTCCAAGGCAACGAATAAATGTCTTTATAGAAAGACAGTGTCTTGGGGATACTGTGCAGGAATTTGGTCCTGTGAATGTATCAAAAGTAGATCTTTGGTCACTTGTCAGTCCAAAAGATATAACTGAAAAAGAATTAAAAATTATTAAAAAGTTACCACATTCAAACCTGGTTGGCTGACTGACTATGTAAGAGAAAAAGCGTCTAATATAGTCTTCTTATTTATCATTATAAGTTATTGTTTATAACCATGAGTGCTATGTACACGTAAAACTGGCGAGGAAATCTCTTAAAACTATGCTTTCTTTTGATTTTAGGTAATTGACGCTTTTTTGTGGAGTTTGACTGAAAACTACACTACTGTTCTTGCAGCAGAATCATTTATTTCGGACTTTGTTAAAACAACTCAAGCACAAGACGCACATGGGCTAATAGATCTTTTCACCAAACCAAAATTATCCTTTTTCCAATCAACATCCATGACATTCACTGGACACTACTGGTAAGTATTTGAGCTAATCAATGAAGGCAATAATAAAATATAGACATGCATTATATGCATACTTAGCCCACGCGAGTCCACATATTTACATGCAAAAATTACTATCTATAGAAACATTAACTAATTTAATTCCTTAATTAACAAAGAGAAAATTTTTAACTAAATGCAACAGTAATTTTGTGTAATATAGGCTATAGATAAGTTCTCAAAAACAGACTCTACTTGACCAACTTGGAGGAAGTGCAGACAAAAAGAGACCTGATAAACAGATGATGTATCATATAAACAAACAAAGTGGTCATGTTTGTCACTGTTTTAGTGCTTTGGTAGATGTAAAAACAGGTTGGAACTCAAGCTCATGGCAATGTTTTGAACCACTCCATTGTAAACAGGAAGATATGTATAACTGTGGAGTGTACATATGCTTGGTAAGCTTGAAATAGCCTAACTTTACTTGAATAGCTATATTACAAACATGATTATTCAGTAACGGCTCATTTCCATTCAGTTTGCTTGATTTCTAGCCCTTGGCTTGGACTATCAAAACCCAGCAAACATAGAGACTGAGAGAAAACAAATCCTGTCAACATTACTTGGGTCTTGCTATGATGATATTACACAATAAGGCATAAATAACATTTAGTTGAATATTTTTATATGGAATTCATTATGAATATCTTTAGGGAGCAAATTGTGGCTGTTTGCAAAATATGCAGAGAGGATGACAATGAAGACTGGCTGGGTTGTGATCAATGTGGTCAATTTTTTCATGCAAGTTGCCTTAATGTTGACTTTGCCATAACCTTGTCAACACATTTTAGATGCAGATAAAATTATTATCAATATTATATGACATGCAACAAAATCATTGTTATGGTATCAGTGCAAATTGTGCAATTAAAATGAGTGCTTCAAAATATAGTAATGTGTGAATGATAAATACTTTAATTTAAGGTAAAATGAACTGGAAGATTTAATTGATTCGGTACAGTTGTGCTTGCCACTAATTGAATCTCACACATGCAATGAATAGTTTGAAACTGTTGATGAAATGTTACAATAAACAACAAGTTTTACAAATATATCTGAAATAAAATGGCTTATTCCTATTTCTTACCTTTGTGAGGATTCTTCTGGCCAAAAATTTTCAAAAATTCATGTAAATGCGTCTACATAATTACTCTGATACGAAATTCAAACGCAAAATCAAAGTTGAATGAACTTTTAAGAGATAGTCCCACTTGTCCCACATCTCGTATGTAATCCCTATGTAATCAATTATTCATTGTTTGTAAAACTGCCTGCAGGCTCAGCCTCCCTCTCCGCCCGTGGTAAATTCAATCCCACGTACTGACCTCTTGCTCACAAACGTAAAATAGCAACACTAAAAAATGCGAATTTCATTTCAATCATTGAGAGTTTATGTTCCTTATTCATATATGTAGCGAAATCATCCTTGCCACGCTCAGTATTGGTATTTTTTCCTTGTTTGATATTTTCTGTTTGAATATCATTGCTATTTCTTTTGCACACAAACTTTATTCAAATTTTAGTAATTGATATTAATTTGTCGTTGGAAAATTTGATCAATTTCTTGACATTTGTGGCATCAGTCTCGATACTCGTCTTCCAAACCTTTATCAGTGTACTACAGGTATTCTTGGTAGTAGCTTTAAAAGAAAATTATAGCCACTAAAGTTTAATAATATTGTATTGCGGAAATGGTGTTGTTGTGTTGGTTAAAATAGCAGAATTAGCAAAAATCACAGCAGTCGTTTAACTTACAAATAAGTAAGTCTTAAAATCTTAACTTGTGACTTCCATAATTAACTGGCTATTTGTGATAAATTTTTGAAATTTTTGTGACGCTGTAATTGTGAGGTAGAGATACAAGTCATACAAGTGGTAGAGATACAAGTCATACAAATGACTCAAGTACAACTAAAAAAAAATCATGTTTCTTACTACAAACAATTTCTACTTTTAGGGAGTAATATTAATGTTGACGCCGTCATTGCAGTGGTAAACAAAATAGAAAATCAATTCAGCAATTTTTCGACTTAGAATAACAATAAATAGAATCTTCTAAAGAAAGATTTGACAGTGCGATAATATTCACTCCTGTTATGCAAAGTAGACACTTATTTATTTTGACTATTTATATCAAAAGACACGTTATTAGATATAAGAACAAAGATTTATTATTACGTGGCCTAACTTTATTTTGATTTAAAGTACACCTGCGATTATAATATTTTTGCTGAAGGGGAAGTGAAGTTTGTTTTATTGTATGAAGATAAGTAAAACCTATACTTTCTATATTGAATGACACGAAACTTAGCTAAATAAAGAAACGATTTCTGCCTAATCAAAATAATTCAAAATCTTGTCATTGCTCTATTGTAACAGTAATAATCATACCATTTAAACTATAAAGAAATTTTGTCTCATAGTACGTGCATGATTATAGGGACAAAGTGTTCTTGATAGCACAAGACAAAAACCCAAAAGATAACACTGTGAAGGTTTGTATATTAGATCATGGCACTTTTACAGCAATTCAAACGAAGTCGAGTCTGTGATGTGTACATTATGCGTACAAGAATGTCAACCAACTTCATATATAGACGTTTATGCTTGCATACTTATAAAGAATCCGCGCTGTTCACCATCAATCACGAATCAATGCCATACAAAACATATTTTATCAAATTTTTATCAAGGCTGTTTTTACTGTTTTGGCAGTTGTCAACTTGGCATCATAGAGATATCGAAGGTTTTATAGACCATCAATTGAAGATGTTACGCTTGCAGAATAGCTTATAAACAATGAAAAAAAATTTGACTTGATAAATAACAAAGAACTTAAGATATTTATAAAATGATCAATTACTTATCAGTCGAAAATGCACAATTTTCATTTCATAGCAGTTGCTTCTAGCAGGATTTAAAATTAATCATTTCTCCCTATTAAATGAACTTCGACAATCTACCGTTCAACTTCCTATACAATTCCAAACCTGAAAGCTATATTGGCTTATAAATCAGTAGCATTACAAAAAATACAACTACACGTCAGACAAAAATAAAGTGAACAGACTGAAATGTTATGCTGCGTACTTACTTCTCTAGACTTAATGAGTGAACTCTATTAATGACCGTTCAACACATTATAGTTCCACCGAAACCTAAACCAATCATTTCGCGAATTAGCAAAAAACACGCGTGATCTGCACGATGTCCTAAACCAATCACAATTGTCTTTTTTAAGTGTCACGCGTGCATTCAACTCACACGGATTGCAAAGTAAAAATAAACTTACTGTCAATAGATTAAGAACGTGCAGTAGCAATGATAAAAATTTACTTTAGTGTTGTTCCTTTAATTCTGTGTTAGAAGAACTGGGTTATATTTGGTTGAGTGGTGCTAAATATTATTCTGTAATGCACCTGATACTTAGACTGCATTATCTAGATCATATAAAGGAGAGTGTCATTCACATCAAAAATAAAGTTTTTGATTGAAGATCGTGCATTTAACAACTTTCATGGTCAAACATATGTCTAGCTAAAATGCTTTATTGTTCCTGTTAAGAGCCAATACACAGCAACCTGTTGGGGCTTTTGACTTGAGAATCGCTAGTGTTACAGAAAATTGAAAAATGCAAGATATTTATCCGAATCATAAAAATGACGCTATAACTTGCATGGAACTTCTTTTCAAAGTAATCACTGATGCAATTAAAGCAAAACGAAATAAAATAATTTTACAATTTCTATTTCTCTTGTTTTTATGTACTCGTTAACCGTTGTAGATGTGAGTAAGTATGATTAGAAGAAATTTTTGGTTTAATAAACATCCAAAAAGGAGGATTTTATGCCCAGAGTGATTTTTGTGGTTTCTTAAATATTCATAATCTATTCATATTCAACTGTAAATTTTAAGCAAACAATTCTACATTACCATCATAATCATAAATTTGCTTGGAGATTACGTGGCTACTCTACTCATTTCTCCATTATCAAAAAACAATATTTGCTGAAACGGAAATGAATCCGTTTTATTGCAAATACTTAAAACAGAGGACTGAAGTTAGCTCTTCATTACAAGCAAAACAATTAATTGATGAGCACTTAAAGAAGTAAACTGCGGTTCGAATATGATAAAAGTGAAGATGAATCTTATAATGGTATCCATGTTATTGCTATCAAATACAGTCAGTGCATCGTTTAAAAAAAAGAACTCAAAGGTTTGGAAGCATTAACTTTGTGAAATGGTTTAAGTTAAAATTTCGGTGCAAGAATCAAATGCATATTTTAACGCAATAGACTTTTTTTAAGGTCGCGAGAAACTTTGTTCCTGTAGTTTATTTATACTTCTTTAGTATTAAAATTATAATTTGCAAACTCTTTTGCATAAGCGGCCAACAAATAGATTCCTGTGAATTAAGGTGGAAAAGGGCGTTGTTCAACTCGGAACATCCTAAAGAAATTTACAAAAACAAGATCATGTTATCTGTTAAGAAATACTTTAGGATCGGGAGACTTCAACGCAATAGAAAGAGGCTGCTATTATTCCTTCAACCATATTGAATTTGATCCACAATTCAATATTTATTGAACCTTCACTGTTTAGGCAAAAATATTTTTCTCTACCGTTTTCAAGGCTCAATGTTCAGCAAGTTGTGGAATTCCCAGGGTTCCTGGAGTTCCCGGTGTACCTGGATCAGCCGGACGAGACGGTTTAAAAGGAGATGTAGGATCTAAAGGAGAAAAAGGTGAACGAGGTAATCCTGGTCCTCCATTGAAAAATGACATGATTTTTTCAAGCTGGAAACAATGTGCTTGGAAAAGAGGCGATGGTAAAGATCATGGATTAATTCAGGTGCAACAAGTATATGAAATATTTCTTTTGTTATGAATTATTACATATCGTTTTAGCAATGATTTAATTTCTATTTAGAATTGTGTATTCACAAAAAAGTTTGACAACACTTCCATTCAAGTGTTTTATGGAGGAACCTTGCGAATTTATGGGTGCAATGGTTGCTGCAAACGTTGGTTTTTTACTTTCAATGGAGTTGAATGTAAAAACCCTCTTCCTATTGATGGAATTCTTTTCATGGAGAATGGAAAGTCACAAAATATCCATCGACATCGTCAAATTGAAGGATATTGTAACAAAATTCATAAAGGAAAAGTGCAAGTTGGATTCCGGGTCGGTAATTGTGCTGGATATGGTAACGCAGATGCATACAGTGGATGGAATTCAGTTTCTCGTATTGTTATTAAAGAGGTTCCTCCACCACAAGATTAATTCCTTTTGTATGTTCTCTTCTTGTAAAATCATTATTTAATGATTCCCGTTCTAGTTTTCTTTCGTTTTTTTACTGTATTGTACATATAGTATGCAACATACATTTTACAATCGTATACATATATTGCAATTTATAACCGCTAAACTACCAAAAAAGGGGACTTCCTTAGAGTGAAAAATAGGAATAGTTCATATGGTTCGATATTTGCTGTCATCCATTTACAAAGTGTTGTTTCATTAATATGACTTTCATACAATCTATGTTGACTCATTTTGGAAGTCTTTTCAAAGTATTCACAATAAGCTTAGTACTCAGGTCAACCATCTGAGCCTTAGTCAAAAACTGATATTGAGTTGGTCAGACTCGGCATTTCAGCCAATTGAGTTCCACTGCGACTTTACATCAGTATTGCATCCTATATTTTTTCTCAGTTCTCCAAAGAAACACTCATTTAAGAATAAACTACTAAATTGCCAAATAGACTTAGATGTTTTTTAGAAAAATCCCATTTTCTTTCGGGTTGCTTCATTATTTTACGTATTTAGTTGAAGGAACTTCAAAAACCAAGCAGTATATTAAAAAATGACTAATCTGTAAGCTGCAGTATACACGTATCAGTATCACTAATACAATGTACACTTTGAACTTGAGTGGACGTTGTTGAATCCTGTGTAAGGGGATAGTATAAGGTAATTCTTTAATTGGATGGAAAGAATTGCTCGAGTGACATGTTGAACAAACAATAGTAGCTAGGCATTATTACCATAAATAAGGTAAGACTCTTGATAAAAAAAAACATGACTACATACATAAGCAGTCATTATGAGCACTACTCTTTCTATAGTTTGCTGTTTTGTATATTTGTTAGTCAGTGAACTTGAATTCATAATCTCAGAGTCTGAAACTCAGAAGCAGTGCACTAATACGGCATTTATGAACTAGTGGAATGGGAGTTTTTGCGTTTTATAGTTTAATGCCACTAGCCTATAGTTTAATGACAGGATTATATAATTGAATAAAGGGTGAGGTCGCTCTTTTTCTCCGTTCGAGTATGACATCATTATTTGAACAAAATGACACCTTGATATTTGTATGATCACTTTTTTCTTAAAAAAATCAAACCAATGGTTCAAAGTACATATAAGGAAGAAGCCTTAAAACTTTACTGGTGAAATTTGTAAATGGCTATTTGTGATAGTTAATTAAGTAGAGTTTTGGCCATTGCAATTGTGAGGTAAGGGCTCAAGTCATATAAATGACTCAGCCACAACTTGAAAAAGTCATGTTTCTTACTACAAGCCATAACTTTGACGGTATTAGTTACTGTGGTGAAGAACATGGACAATTATAATTCAGTAATTTAAATATATATAAATGTTAACCCACAGTCACAGTATAGGAATATACAGTAGGGCCACTTCGCTGTGCACTTTGCTGCTGTATATTTAATTAGTTTACTGGCTGCCGTTTGCCATATCATCAATCCTATTGGTCACCAAATGCAATTTAGTGGCTGCCAATAATGTAATCACATGCTTAAAAAGATATGCAGGGCACGAAAAAATTCAATGGAGTGGCCCTACTGTATGTTCTTTATACTGTTGCATAGTAATTAAAGATTTTTGATACAGGGATGTTCGATACAGACTTTAGTATAACTTCTGTAGGTTTAGAAAGAAGGAAATGAATAATATTTTCTAAAACTTTTACATCAATCCTCAAAACATTCCGCTTATGGAGCTCTTCTGAGTAGTCACTGCCAGGTTGTGGCAGCAATGGTTTGCAACTTTCCAGTACTTTGTGCATGGCTGCAATGCTCGACGAAGAAGTGAGCAAATTAAACGTTTTAATCAATTATGTTTCAGCAGACGTTTATATCAGCTCTTCTGTGAGACGACGATTTATGAAGAAGTTATCAAACTCCTATACAAGTTATATTAAAACTCGTATAATGAAATATTTTGGCGACATAAGTTGGCTACTCGAAAACAACAATAGGGCGAGAGTTTAGACGCGTTTTTGCAAAGATTATAATTTTTGTGATGGTGCGTCAAATCAATATCGTTACGAAGATGTGCGAGATGCCTTTATAGCAGGGATATTTTCAACTAATATTCACCAACGCCTTCTAGGGAATAGAACACAACATCTTCTGACAGCTTTTGATCCTACCCGAGCTTTAGACACGGCTCAGAGAACCTCGGAAACGTACACAGATAGATCTCCCAATCTTGGATTGCAACCAACCTGCACGGAATTATCAAACAGTGTTGCTCACCCACGGTGGCTGGTGCCCACAATAGTATTAGTAACAATAGAAACTCTAGATATAATTTTCCCAAGAATAATTATAACAAAGAAAATATATTTCTGAAAAAACCAAATTCGATGAAGTTTCATTTTTACGATACAAATTTAATGAAGGGAAAATTGCAATTTTCTAACACTCATGAGTAAAGCTTTTTGATTGAATGATTTTTGTAGTCAAAAAACGTTAAAGATCAGAGAGCAAAACGATGATACTAACATATATTCTCGTCACACGTCACAACTTGCCCAAACACCAGAATCAGTTACAGGTATTTTTGATGGTCTGGGAATAATTAATCGTTATGGATCCCAACCACACATGGTTTCGCTTAACCCTACAACTGAAGATAAGAAGAGGTGGAGACAGCCACAGGTGGAATACATTTTATTGAATATTATGACACATTAATATTTCAAACTTATTGCAAATTCATCATCAAAATTTATTTACAAGCTAACTGTGCCTTTATTTATATGTGCGTGATTGCATCATTTCAAAGAAAGTATGAGTACGGAAATGTGAATTTAATGGGGAGAATTAGCTGATTTTGTGGCTTTAAAATCAAATATTGACAGTTCCTTGTTGGTCATAAGCCCAACATTAAGTTCTCGTTAGTATAAGATTTACAATAAAGAATGGTTCTATCAGTAAAAGTCAGTTTCTGTTTAAGTTTGTGTTTGAGTAAAGTATTTTGTAGTTGTTAAATATAAGATTGGTAATGTTTAAATTACATTTGTCGAAAAATGTTTTGTGAACGGTTCTGTTGTTGTTTTGAGAAGTTATGTCTCGTACTTTTTGGCATTGTAAAAAGTGTTATGAAATTTCGTTTGGCATGTTCGGGAAGTAGAATTTTAAGGTATCTCTCAGCTTTACTAATGTAGGATTTGTTAAAGCCAGGCTAAGTAACTTGATAAAAGAAACATTAAAACACATTAAAACGAGAGGGAGAGATTTTGTCCTTAATGGAAGTGAATAAACGACATTTTTAGTATCAAAAATAATTATGATTTTTATAGTAGTGTCAATGAAAAAATAATGAATACTGTCAAAGTAATGAATAATTTCTCACAAACTCCAACCACCGACCAAAATCAACCTAAAATATTGATAAAATTATCATCAAGGCTCACAAGACTAAAAAATTACTATAATTGTCTCAGAAAACGTTGCAAATGTCTCCTCAAACCGACGTAATTTATCATTATTGAGTTGAGCATGGATCTTTTTCGGAGTATGTTTCTCTATACCTCATAAAATTGTCGACAGGTTAAATGGATTTTGACACCACATGCTTTGCCAACTTTTTTGTGTCTCATTCTAATATAAAATTCGTTTTTATTATATACGACAAGTTTTTTTAAATTATACATGTTTCGACATCTCATAATGCCATCTTCAGTATAAGTGAAATAATAAATAATACAAGGTTTCTATAAATATAATATGATACATGAATTACAACAATAATAAGGAAATAAGATAAAATAATTTTCCTTGTAGCTCTAATAATTAATTTATCATCATGCATCAATATGATTCTAAGGTAAAACGAAAACTTAATTATTAACTGTAAATACGAAAACGTCTGACAGACAAGTTTTTTGAGGATGTACTTTGCGCATCCATTGATGGGTGCAATTATTCAAAGGCGATATATTTATCATACTATAAATCCTAACTGACCTTTCTTTGGACCTGTCCTTTTTTCAAATATGACAAAGACATAGTTTTAGCTCGTTATTAAATAAGCAAAAGCAGTTTGAAGCTTGAAAATAAAGTATTTACTTCCTTGTTAAATAGAACATTCAACAATAAATAGTAAAGTAAATGGTTTGAACCCGGGAGTATCGTTACATGTTTGTAAATGTAGATCGTCCAGGTTAGTATAGTCCTGAGAAGGACTGTTTTTGCTGTTGTTGACTGACGTTTCGACAACCTTAGCGATAGTCATCTTCAGAGTCAAATGACAATAAGTATTGCCGTTTTGACAATAAATATTGTCGTTTTTATTTATCTTTGTTTGGAAGAAGATCGTAAAAATTTTTTCATGTCTAAATGCCATGTCAACTTAAGTAAAACAAACTTCAGTTTGAAATGTTAACAAAATCTGGGAAAATGAATGAAAAACGATTACATGGTGTAATTTTCGTCCCAGTGCTGAGTTCAACACTTGGCTGAAATTTCAACCAGGTTCGCTGAAACTGGGTTGAACTCAGCACGAGGTTGAAAATTTGCCATACAATTGTGTGTCTGATAAAACAAATATATCGTATAAAGACTGGGATGAAATTTCAACTCACTTAACAGGACTCGGTTCAGCTCAGGGTTGAAAAAGTGACCTTCCTGTAGCTCTGTTAAGCAGTCTAATAATCAATGACAAACCAATAAGAATCCAGAATAAAACTGAAGCACGGGTGTTATTACTAACATAAACTAAAAATAGGAGGCTAGTACTCGTATTTTACCATTACTTTGTTATGGTTACAGGAACTTGATAATCTAAACAATAAATATAAAGAGTTAGACAATGGATTGTTTTCATCTCTTGGTGTTATTATTGGTATGGCAGATTTCAAGTATTGATATGTCTAAAGTGAACAAGGCAAGATTTATTGGATGTATTGTTTAAAAAAACTATAATGAAAACGAAGCAGTTTTGATTTAGTAGCTGCGTCTTATTTGTAGGAATTGTTTTTCTTTGTAATCATGTTCAAGTAACAAAGATAAATTAACTTTTTATATAAATAAATGTTTTTAGTTGTCAAATACCTTTACTAAAGTAAGACGTTCATAGTAGAAATTCCCACGTAAAAAACTCTCTTTTTAAACCTCTGTTCAGACATGTTTTACATGTCTCGACATGTTAGGCGGTTTATTTGTCATGTTTTATCGGATCAATGATTAATTGCGTCAAACCAAGAACTTGGACACGACACCAGAAATTTGCAGCGTAATCAAGTTTTAAAAACTTCATACACTTGCTATTTATTATGTTATGGTAAAATTAGTATTAATAAAAAAGTCCAAACATGCTGAATATTTGGTTTAATTTTGAGAACAAGCTATTTTCTATGTTGTCCTAAAAAAACGTAAAAACAAGATGACATGACAAAGAATATAAGAATACATGCAAATTTCTGAGCGAAAATCTTCACTAAATATTATACAAACTATTTTTTCCATTCTGAAGTGTAAAAACTGCGTAAAAAACGAGTGAGTGGTATCACAGTATATTAAAGTAAATGGTTTGAACCCGGGTATCGTTATATGTTTGTAAATGATCGTCAGGTTAATAAAGTCCTGAGAAGGACTGTTTGTTGTTGACTGACGTTTCGACAGCGGTAGTCATCTTCAGAGTCAAATGACTACCGCTAAGGTTGTCGAAAGTCAACAAAAACAGTCCTTCACACTTTATTAATGGACGATCATCATTTCAATATCACAATATATTATTACAGTGAGAAATTTCTATGGAAAATCTTCATTAAAAAGTTCTTAGTACCTAAAATAAGTATAAAAAGAAATAGGCCTACAACTTATAATGTAGCATCTATTTCCACATATTGACTTATGATTTAGTGTGTATAGTTCAAGTAACCATATGTAAACTTAATTTAAATATAATAAATAATTTATTTCCTGTTATTAAGGACAATTGTTCAACCAGCTGCTGTGGAACAACAGGTATCCCAGGTGTCCCCGGTGTCCCCGGTGTACCTGGTGCTCCAGGAAGAGACGGGGTAAAAGGAGATGCTGGATCACCAGGAGAGAAGGGAAATCCTGGAAAAAGTAATTTAAAATCTACTAAAGGTGAGAAGGGAGATCCAGGAAGTACCGGGTTACAAGGTATAAAAGGTGAAAAAGGAGAATCTGACGCTCATGCAAACGATGAAATATTTTTATCTACATGGAAGCAATGTGCTTGGCGGAGAGACGATGCGAAAGATCATGGATTGATACAGGTATGTTGAGCAAAACAAATTAAAAATTATTTCATCATATTTAATTTTTTTTCTTACATAAAGAACAAGGGTAATGTTTATTTTGTTATTTGAATGAAACTTGAATAATTGATATTTTTGTCTTAAATTTATTTGAAAAGTTTGGCTTAACTTTATGGGAAATTATCTACCTGAATTTAATTTTAGAACTGTGTATTCACGAAAAAGTTTGACAACACTTCCCTTCAAGTGTTTTATGGAGGAAACTTGCGAATTCATGGGTGCAATAGTTGTTGCAAACGTTGGTATTTTACTTTCAATGGAGTAGAATGTAAAAACCCTCTTCCTATTGATGGAGTTTTTTACATGGCCAATGGAAAGTCACAAGATATCCATCGACATCGTCACATTGAAGGATATTGTAACAAAATTCATAAAGGAAAAGTGCAAGTTGGATTCTGGGTCGGCAATTGTCCTGGTTATGGTAACGCAGATGCATACAGTGGATGGAATTCAGTTTCTCGTATTGTTATTAAAGAGGTTCCTCCTCCACAAGAATAATTCCTTTATTCACTTTTCCATTTAACTCTATTTTATGTTAAAGCTTCCGTTTAGTTAAAAATTCATGTGTATTTTATGACAATAATTCAGTTTTGTAATTTTAACGAGTTGAGTAAGTCTATTATTTACTCCTCAATGAATAATACTATTAATGCCAGATAAAACGAAAATAAGTTGATTAAAATTTTAAATTCAATCATATAGAAGATGAATTATTCTTACGATGACCTACATGAATAAATCTTTGTTTTAAGGAACTGTTTCACTCGGATCGTTGCTGCGAGTGAAAATTAGGCCAAATAAAAATTATTGCAATTTCAGAATCTTTTCTTTTTAGTACATGGAGTAAAGAGAGACGCAAGCTCAGCAAAATAAGAGACGCCGTGGAACCAAGAACTTCTGGTTTAAGGGGGGGAGTATAATTATATGATGCAAATATAAACATACTTTACAAAATGGAAGCAATGTGCTTGGAAGAAATATGACGAGAATGATATAATAAATTACTTTAGGTAAGCATACCATATTGTGGACTACTGCGGACTTGTCAGTTCACAAGAAAGTAAGCAATTTCAGACGTACTCAAAAAATTCCTTGATCAATCTTTTGTGAAAAATGTCAGTAGCATCATTGGTAAATTCAAACTAAATGAAGCTCATACATTTTGATCTAAAATTTTTTTCGCACAGCATTTAGACCACTTTAAATTTCACCCATGCCTTATTGCTTTGTTTAAATAAAGATCAACACAGTGGCGGAACCAGTGTACGTCAAAATGAATTATAGCTCCTTAATTTTAAATTCAAAGTGCTTTCAGAAAAGCACTATTGGTTTTTGATTTCTAAAGAATATAAGTTTGCCAATGGATTACCCTGTAAGGTGTTTAGAAATGTGAATATACGCCAAAATGTGCTGCAGTAATTTATTTTGACGTAGTCTGGACCCGCCACTGGATCAACATTTCAACAAAGAACAAGGAACACATATCCTCTGGGCAATGTATGATTATTAGATCGTACTGACTATTTCCCCTAAACACTGATTCGATGACGATTAGTGAATTTCACTCTAGTCTACATTTAGAAAAGCAGGTTTCAGTAATATGTGAGCCTGTTTTAAATTACATGGACTTACATTGGATTTAAAACGAAAAAATTCTAAATCCGTCCCTTAATCACAACGACAAAAGATGCTCTCAAGGACTTTAATCAATGAAACAAATTGCTTCTAAACAATTATGTATTCATCTCCCTAGTTTGTCCATGCATATGGATTGTGGAAGATTGATAAATGGGGTTGGGGTCATGTTCAAATATTCATACTATAATCCGAAGTAAACAAGGGATTTCAAAGACCAACAAATTAACAAGCAATGATAAATCATCACAAATGATTACGTCTATATTCATTTATATACATTTATGTACTTTATGCATACATATTTCATTTATAGGAAGTTTTGCTTATTTGATTTTCCGTAATTACAGTGCTCGATGCGTCAGAGCAGAGCATAAATATTGATAATATTAAACTTTAAGTATTTTACTTTTATGATTTGGATAAAATTTGAATAATGAATTATACTTAAATGATTTGAAGAGTTTAGCAAAACTTTATAAGAATGCTTCTTCGTAAAATTTTCATGGAGTAATACATTTTAGAGCAACTCTATCTTAGACGATTTCATTTGAAACAAAGACCAATGAAACACCGACCATTTTGACTGTTGTGTAACAGCATGATTACAGCATATCTAAAATATTTCAGATGCTTCGTTGTTAGGATGCTTCCTTGATTCTTGCAAGCGAAGATTCTTCGTTGTTAGGATACTTCCTTGATTCTTGCAAGCGCATAGTCTTCGTTATTAGGATACTTCCTTGATTCTTGCAGGCACAGAGTCTTCGTTGTTAGAATGCTTCTTTCATTCTTGCAAGCGCAGAGTCTTCGTTGTTAGAATGCTTCCTTGATTCTTACAAGCGCAGAGTGTTTGTTGTTAGGATGCTTTCTTGATTCTTGCAAGCGCAGAGTCTTCGATTTTAGGACGCTTCCTTGATTCTTGGAAAAAAAGTCTTCGTTCTTAGGATGCTTCCTTGATCCTTGCAAGCACAGAGTCTTCGTTGTTAGGATGCTTCCTTGATTCTTGCAAGCGCAGAGTCTTCGTTGTTAGGATGCTTCCTTGATTCTTGCAAACACAGAGTCTTCGTTGTTAAGATGCTTCATCAATTTTGCAAGCGCAGAGTCTTCGTTGTTATAATACTTCCTTGATTCTTGCAAGCGCAGAGTCTTCGTTGTTAGGATACTTCCTTGATTTATGCAAGCGCAGAGTCTTCGTTGTTAGGATACTTCCTTGATTCTTGCAAGCGCAGAGTCTTCGTTGTTAGGATGCTTCATCAATTCTTGCAAGCGCAGAGTCTTCGTTGTTAGGATGCTTCCTTGACTCTTGCAAGCGCAGAGTCTTCGTTGTTGGGATGCTTCTTTGATTCTTGCAAGCACAGAGTCTTTCTTCTTAGAATGTTTCCTTGATTCTTGCAGGCACAGAGTCTTCGTTGTTAGAGTGCTTTTTTGATTATTACAAGCGCAGAGGCTTCGTTGTTAGGATGCTTCCTTGATTCTTGCAAGTGCAGAGTCTTCGTTGTTAGATGCTTCCTTGATTCTTGCAAGCGCAGAGTCTTCGTTGTTAGGATGCTTCCTTGATTCTTGCAAGCACAGAGTCTTTGTTGTTAGGATGTTTCCTTGATTCTTGCAGGCACAGAGTCTTCGTTGTTAGAGTGCTTCTTTGATTCTTACAAGCGCAGAGTTTTCGTTGTTAGGATACTTCCTTGATTCTTGCAAACGCAGAGTCTTCGTTGTTACGATACTTCCTTGATTCTTGCAGGCACAGAGTCTTCGTTGTTAGAGTGCTTCTTTGATTCTTACAAGCGCAGAGTTTTCGTTGTTAGGATACTTCCTTGATTCTTGGAAGCGCAGTGTTTTTGATGTTTGGGGGCTTTATCGATTCATGGACTTAAGCTAACTCGAATCTATATAGCTAACATTCATCACAATTCAGTTAACTACGTATTACTTACAAAATCAAAATCAAATAAAAAACAATTTATTTCCTTTATCAACCCTTTACATCCTTCACTATAAACAAAGACTCCAAAGTCATTACGTTTTAACTTGACAAAATTGTAATGCAATGTTACAGGCTTAACTAACAACCACTCATTCATTACATTTTATCGTGAGCTAAGAATGCTAGAACTCAGGCTTTTTTCAATGCCACATGGAGATGACGTAATCTTTAGTATCACGGCCTAAGAGAGTCGGAACAAAAGCACAGTGTACTTTTCACTCAAACGTGACGTACTGACCTCTTGCTGACAAACGTAAAATACATGCACTAAAAATGCGAATTTCATTTCAATCATTTAGAGTTTATGTTCCGTATTAATATATGTAGCGAAATCATCCCTACCACGCTCAATGTTGGTATTTTTTCCTAGTTTGATATTTTCTGCTTGACTATCATTGCTCTTTCTATTGTACACAAACTTCATTCAAATTTTAGTAATTGATATTAATTTGTCATTGGAAAACTTGATCAATTTCTTAAGATTTGTGTCATCAGTCTAGATACTCGTCATCCAAACCTTTATCAGTGTACTACAGGTATTCTTCGTAATAGCTTTAAAAGAAAATTATAGCGATTAAAGTTTGAGCACATTGTATTGCGGAGATGGTGTTATTGTGTTGGTGAAAATAGCGAAATTAGCAAATATCAGAGTAGTCGTTTAACTTACAAATAAGTAAGTCTTAAAATCGTAACTTGTGACTTCCATGATTAACTGGCTATTTATGATAAATTCTTGAGATTTTTGTGACACTGTAATTGTGAGATAGAGATACAAGTCATACAAGTGACTCAAGTACAACTCAAAAAAAATCATGTTTCTTACTGCAAACATTTTCTACTTTTAGGGAGTAATCTTAATGTTGACGCCGTCATTGCAGTGGTAGACAACAAGGAAAATCAATTTAGCAATTTTTCGACTTAGCATAACAATAAATAGAATCTTCTAAAGAAAGATTTGACAGTGCGATAATATTCTCTCCTGTTATGCAAAGTAGACAGTTATTTATTTTGACCATTTATATCAGAAGACACGTTATTAGATGTAAGAACAAAGATTTATTATTACGTGGCATAAATTTACTTTAATTTGAAGTACACCTGCGATTAAAATATTTTTGCTGAAGGAGATGTGAAGTTTTTTTTATTGTATAAAGATAAGTAAAACCTATATTTTCTATACTGAATGACGCAAAACTTAGCTAAATAAGGAAAATATTTCTGCCTAATAGAAATAATTCAAAATTTTGTCATTGCACTATTGTAACAGTATTTATCATAACATTTAAACTATAAAGAAATTTTGTCTCATAGTACGTGCATGATAATAAGGACAAAGTGTTCTTGATAGCACAAGATAAAAACCAAAAAGATAACACTGTGAAGGTTTGTATATTACATCATGGCACTTTTACAGAAATGCAAACGAAGTCGAGTCAGTGATGTGTACATAATGCGCACAAGAATGTCAACTAACTTCATATATAGACGTTTATGCTTGCATACTTATAAAGAATCCGCGCTGTTTACCATCAATCACGAATCAATGCCATACAAAACATGTTTTATCAAATTTTTGTCATGGATGTTTTTACTGTTTTGGCAGTTTTCAACTTGGCATCATAGAGATATCGAAGGTTTTGTAGACCATCAATTGAAGCAGTTACGCTTGCAGAATAGCTTATAAACAATGAAAAAAATTTTAGTTAATAACAAATAACTTAAGATATTTACAAAATGATCAATTACTTATCAGTCGAAGCTGCAAAAATTTCATTTTATAGCAGTTGCTTCTAGCAGGATTTAAAATTAATCATTCCTCCCTATTAAATGAACTTCTACAATCTACCGTTCAACTTCCTAAACAATTCCAAACCTGAAAGCTATATTGGCTTATAAATCTGTAGCATTACAAAAAATACAACTACCAGGTCAGACAAAAATAAAGTGAAGAGAGTGAAATATTATGCTACGTACTTACTTCTCCTCTAGACTATAATGAGTGAACTCTATTAATGACAGTTCAACACATCATAGTTCCACTGAAACCTAAACCAATCATTTCGCGAAGTAGCAAAAAACACGCGTGATCTGCACGATGTCCTAAACCAATCACAATTGTCTTTTTTAAGTGTCACACGTGCATGTAACTCACACGGATTGCAAAGTAAAAGTAAACTTACTGTCAATAGATTAAGAACGTGCAGTAGCAATGATTAAAATTTACTTTAGTGTTGTTTTATTAATTCTGTGTTAGAAGAACTGGATTATATGTGGTTGAGTGGTGCTAATTGTTATTCTGTAATGCATCTGATATTTAAAGTGCATTATCTAGATAATATAAAGGAGAGTGTCATTTACATAAAAAATAAAGTTTTTGATTGAAGATCGTGCATTTAACAACTTTCATGGTCAAACATATGTCTAGCTAAAATGCTTTATACTTCTTGTTAAGACCCAATACTTAGCAACCAGTTGGGGCTTTTGATTTGAGAATCGCTGGTGCTACAGAAAATTGTAAAAATGCAAGATATTTATCCGAATCATAAAAATGACGCTATAACTTGCATGGAACTTCTTTTCGAAGTAATCACTGATGCAATTAAAGCAAAACAAATTAAAATAATTTTACAATATCTATTTCTCTTGTTTTTATGCACTCGTTAACCATTGTAGATGTGAGTCAGTATGAATCGAAGAAATTTTTGGTTTAATAAACATCCTAAATAAAGGATTTTATGCTCATTTTATGCTAATTATTCATAATCCATTCATATTCAACTGCAAATTTTAAGCAAACAATTGTACATTACCATCATAATCATGAATTTGCTTAGAGATGACGTGGCTACTCTATTCATTTCTCCATTATCAAAAAACAATATTTGCTGAAACGGAAATGAAGCCGTTTTATTGCAAATACTTAAAACAGAGGTCTAAAGTTAGCTCTTCATTACAAGCAAAACAATTAATTGATGAGCACTTAAAGAAGTAAACTGAGGTGGGAAAATGATAAAAGTGAAGATGAATCTTATCATGGTATCCATGTTGTTGCTATCAAATACAGTCAGTGCATTGTTTAAGAAAAAGAACTCAAAGGTTTGGAAGCATTAACTTTGTGAAATGGTTTAAGTTAAAATTTCGGTTCAAGAATCAAATGCATATTTTAACGCAATAGTCTTTTTTTAAGGTCGCGAGAAACTTTGTTCGTGTAGTTTTTTTATACTTCTTGAGTATTAAAATTATAATTTGCAAATTCTTTTGTACAAGCGCCCAGCAAATAGATTCATGTGAACTAAGGTGGAAAAGGGCGTTGTTCAAATCGGAACATCTCAAAGAAATTTACAAAAACAAGATCATATTATCCGTTGAGAAATACATTAGGACCGGAGCAACTTCAACGCAATAGAAAGAAGCTGTTATTATTCCTTCAACCATATTGAACTTGAGCCACAATTCAATATTTATAGAACCTTCACTGTTTAGGTAAGAACATTTTTCTCTACCGTTTTCAAGGCTCAATGTTTAGCAAGCTGTGGAATTCCCGGGGTTCCAGGAGTTCCCGGTGTACCTGGAGCAGCCGGACGAGACGGTTTAAAAGGAGACGTAGGATCTAAAGGAGAAAAAGGTGAGCGAGGTAATCCTGGTCCTCCATTGAAAAATGACATTAGTTTTTCAAGCTGGAAACAATGTGCTTGGAAAAGAGGCGATGGTAAAGATCATGGATTAATTCAGGTGGAACAAGTATATGAAATACTTCTTTTGTTATGAATACATTACATATCGTTTTAGCAATGATTTAATTTCATTTTAGAATTGTGTATTCACAAAAAAGTTTGACAACACTTCCCTTCAAGTGTTTTATGGAGGAAGTTTGCGAATTCAAGCGTGCAATTATTGTTGCAAACGTTGGTATTTTACTTTCAATGGAGTTGAATGTAAAAACCCTCTTCCTATTGATGGAGTTCTTTACTTGAACCGTGGAAACTCACAAGATATCCATCGACATCGTCACATTGAAGGATATTGTAACAAAATTCATAAAGGAAAAGTGCATGTTGGATTCCGGGTCGGCAATTGTGCAGGTTTTGGTAACGCAGATGCATACAGTGGATGGAATTCAGTTTCTCGTATTGTTATTAAAGAGGTTCCTCCACCACAAGAATAATTCCTTTTGTACGTTCTCCTCTAGTAAATCAAAATTAAATGATTCCCGTTCTAGTTTTCTTTCGTTTTTTTACTGTATTGTACATCTAGTATGCAACATACATTTTACAAAAGTATACATATATTGCAATCTATAATCGCTAAACTACCAAAAAAGGGGACTTCCTTAGAGAGAAAAGTAGGAATAGTTGATATGGTTCGGTATTTGCTGCCATTCATTTACAAAGTGTTGTTTCATTACTGACTTTCATACAATATATGTTGACTCATTTTGGAAGTCATTTCAAAGTATTCACAATAAGCTTACTACTCAGGTAAACCATCTTAGTCGTAGTCGAAAACTGACATTGAGTTTGTCAGACTCGGCGTTTCAGCCAAATGAATTCCACCGCAACTTTACATCAGTATTGCACGTTATATTTTTTCTCAGTTCTTTTGATTGAGAAATGCCAATTCATGTTAGAAACGCTGCAAATTGAATTCTTCTTTGCTAATTTTCTGCGCATTCTGCATAATAAACTTGGAAGTTTTCTGAAAGAATATTATTTCTACTGGTTTGTTCCGCTGTTTTGAATAGTTTTAGAAAGTTCACTGACCAGTTTATATAAAAAACGACATATCTGTAAGTTGCAGTGTATATAAGCGTTTCACTAAAACAATGTACAATCAGCTCTTAAAAAGATTGTTAACACCTGTGTTAGGTGATGTTGTTGTGTAATTGCGTAAAATTTCCCGCGTGACATATTGAACAAACTATTGTTGTACACAGAAATAAGGCAAAACTACACACAAAAAGCACAATGACATAAGTAGCTTAATTGTTGGCACGGTTTGTAAGTGATCTCGAAATCATGTCAATTGCTGTGATCTCACATGCCTTTTACGAACTGGGGGAAATTTTTTTTACATTTTTGTAATTTTATGCCACTCAAACTGTATGTCTGATTTGCGTTCTGATTTCTATAAATCCAAGCTTTCACCCAGTTTGTCAACAGGAATAAGCCTCTATTTTCTTCATTCTTTCGCATTTCTCTGCCTGACAAATGGAGATTGCAAAATAATTGAACAATGTGTTTTTCTTTGTTTATTTACTCACTGAAAATAAAAACATTCAATTAAATTGATGTTCATTAAGAAATTTATTGCTCATATAGCTACTTCATTCATAAGTAAAGATAGATACTGTAATATTCATTTTCATCATTATGAAACATGAATATTGTTTTGAAAAATAGGCTGAAAAAGAACACGATTCGGTTCCTCTGGTCCAAACAAAGAGTAGGTTTTCTGAGGAGAATCTCGACCATTTCCTTCCGTAGGAGATTTAAAAAAACTTGGCAAACCAGAAATATTTGAATATGGACTTGATGCAGCAGCTTGATCACGATTATCCATTTTTCCTGAGAACTTTACAGGGGTATCAATTAGGAGATTAGGATCGGAATCTTTTAAGGAACTTTTGTTTATATGTTGATTCATAAATTCATTCTTTAATTTACTTGGAGTTAACATGACAGGATTATATAATTGATTGAAGGGCGTGGTTGGTCTTTTCTCCGTTCCAATATGACATCATTGTTTAAACGAAATGGCACCTTGATATTTTATGATCATTTTGTTTCTCAGGATTCCATCTTGGGGGTACGTATTCAGGTACTTTCCATACTGAAGGTGGAGGACTAGGTGCTTTACTTTCACATGAATCTGGGCTTACTGACGCTTTCTCACGGTATAAAGCGTCTCCCGCGGTTATAATATTCAATGGAGTAACTACAGAATCGTTGACTAAAACAGGATTACATTTACGGGTGTTTGATACTCTTGAATTGGTTGCGATTGTCCAGCCTTTCTGAGGAACGTGCGTTTTCTTAAACTTCGTCTAACAAAAAATATGATTTATGATTAAATGTCTAATGTAAGCGATCACGTGACGAATGCGTTTATTATTTTCTTACTAAGTTTGTAACAGCAACTTTTATGTTTTTATATATTTTATCTACAAGTGATTTTAGACATACCAATATTCTAAATCAAGCAGTTCAATCATTAATATTTTCGATTTACAGATAATCTTACCTTCTCATTCTTGTCTTCTTTAATCTTACGCCGACGTGTTTCCTCCTGCAGAAACATGTTGACACTTTAAAAAACATATTTTAAGTAATTATAACCTTAACAGTACCAAAATATTCCTTGAGTAAATAAAAAAAGACTGCTTTGGCACAAACCATAGCTATTCATTAAACAATTCGACTTATTTAACATCATGAAAACATCAAACGCGTAAAATAGCACATCTACGTCTTAAAGCAATTTTCATAACTTCTTATTTTTCACCAGCAATTTATGGATGAAAATACTTCACCTCCAGTATCTTTTTCTCTTCTTCCCTCTGTTTTAGTTTGTCCTCTTTTCTCTTCGCCTTTCTTTCTCGTTTTTCTTCTTGTTTTCTTTGCTGTGGAGTGAAACAAGACAGCTAGACATTGAAATAATCATTGATTTTAAGTTTAATACAGAAAATGTATTTTTTAATCAGTGCAAGTTCCATTTCTCATTAAAAATGCAATGTAGCATTTCTCTGGACTTAAGACAATAACAAAATGAATATAAATCAAATCACGAGGGATAAACCTCCAACTTTCTAGCTTCTTCAATTCGCTTAAACTTTTCTTCTTTTCTTTGGCGATAGTCATAGGTTCGCACTTCTCCCTACAAACACGATAAACAAAAGACTTATTCTTCAGTTTATTTACAATATACAAGCCAGAAAGTAAACATTATATTGGTTTATCTCTCTAGAAAACATTGGAGGAAGATTTAACTGCATACCAATGTAAACTATTAAAAGCAATTGAAAGGTTTCATACAAGACACAAACTTGAAAGTTTGAATATGTTTGACATTGCATGCATCAACTCATAATACATAATTAGGTGTTATTTATAATGTAAACTCCATTATATTCACAGATTCATATTCCCGTGTACATGATTCCATCACTCAAGATGTTAGTCTTTGTATTGGTAACATTATGCTATGTGCAGTTAAGTCAATATCAATTACAAACCTGATTTACAGCTTTTTTCGGTGACTTTTTCCTATTTGAGCTACCTTCTTTTGCCTTCCGCAATGACAAATCTTTAAGATATGGCTGGTTGTGAAGCTAATTAATCCAGACATAAGAAAAGGTTAATAAATATGTATTCGGTATTTAATATTGGAATGACAGATTTATCAGGTGGAAAATTAATTTTTAAGACAAGGTTGATTGCCAAACAAAATGAGCCAATGAAAACCAATGACCGTGTGATGCTTGTTGAAATTCTTCAAGCATTTTAACACAATGTACAACGTTAAGACAGTCAGATCTGACATACTTGTATGCACATGAAAAACATGAGGCTGAGAAATGATTTGAAAATGCATCTGTCAAAAGTAGCTAGATCAGGGTCAGTAAAATCACTTATTTAGACAGTGAAATTGATTTTAAGTAGATTGGCAATATATTTTACTAAACAAAAATTTTATTTTCATGGGCTTTTGGGCCTAGAAGTAGATGACATAGCATAAGAGTACATATGATTGAAGATATATCTTTCATTATACAGGTTTATAGTAAAGAATAAAAGTATAAAAGTAAAACTGTTCCAATGCTATTTGCCACTAAAATTCTATATTATCTGGTGCTTATACTTAATGAAATGAGCATGTTCCCTGGGTATGTCACTTCCAGGGCAGAATCACCTACTTCTATATACATACAAATGATTTTAGTTTCATGCCTCATTCATTTAACTTTCACATAGATTTGATTCATAAAATGTTTGAAACTACGTAAGCTCCCAGTTTACAGTCACATTCTAATGAAAATCATGATTATGTCCTTCACAGATGGTTCGAACTCTCCTGGTACATATCTACTCACACCAAAAAACACCATACTGTACAATGCTGTATATCAATGTTCCTTATCAACATTATTGCCAACATATGTAAGAGTAATATGACACTGTGATACAATTTATAGACATTTATAGAAAAAGTTTCTTTGCTTTCCTTTACCAAATGTCAGCAACCAAGATTGCTTCGATCGTAAACTTCTATAAATTATTGTCAACATTTGAGTTTTCTCTTGCTTATCTGCACACACTTTATCTTTCCTTTCTTTCAAAGGTAAGGTTTTATTCTAATAGCTTCTGAGTTTTGAGATCTTATGTTGTACTTAGATCTTATGTTACATTACATAATCTGTAATGTACCAAAAACAGTGTAAATAATAAACTCTAGTCTAACTAACTAACTAACTAACAACATTTGTATACCGGCCAGTATTAATCCCCGCCAGGGGGGTTGACCGGTCCATGAATTTTTCCACGCCAAACGTCTCTATCTCTCGCCATATCTCTCGTTATACCCATCGCCTTCATATCACTGTTCACAGCATCCATCCATCTCTTTCTTGGTCTACCTCGTTTGCAGACTCCATCAACATTCATATGCAACGTTCTATGAATTTCAGCACTTTCTTCCCTCCTTTCCACATGCCCAAACCATGCTGGCGCCTTACCAAATAATAAACTCTAGTCTACTCTTAAAGTAGACTCTTAGAGTAGACTCTAGTCTACTCTTTATTTCTTAAATAATAAACTCTAGTCTACTCTTCCATTTGCGATGTCATCCAAAAGTCTGTCATCTTCATCCAACACCAACTAATTACTAATCTACAAAGTCCCCTGAGCTTCAAGGTTAATCCTAGCTTTAAAGACAAGCAGGTTGGTAGTTTAGTTTAATTAACTCTAACTTCAGTTTAACTAACTTCATCTTAAATGTACCTATACTCCATATCATTACCATTAAAATATCCTGAAATTTAACACCTTGTAAATAGTTTATAATTAGTAAATCTTAAAACTTCCTACACATGTAATTGTAGATGAAATAATTGATCTTCTGATATCTAAAAACGTTACGTTACTAAATGAAATTACAGAAACATCACAAATTCCATGGCCTTTTTGATATATAGTTTTTGGGTCGTTGTATTTTTTTATTTATTTCAGATATATTACGTATTCATAAAATGACATGATGATTCATGTTTGTGATCGACAATGATTAAAACGATACATTATCTTATGTGTTCTGTTCTTACCTTGCTGGATGTATCATTGTTTACAGCTCGCCTGCTCCAATGAGTGGCAGTTAGACTGATGAGGATGGCAGAAAAAATCACACTTTCGATCGACTATTTAAAACAAGTCGGATTGTAAATATTTCCATAATACAAAACAAAGCAAGAAAAATACTCATGCTTTGTTGTAAAATCACGTTAACATATTATACAGCTGCTACTGTCCACAAGTGGGAAGAATTTTAGTTGAATCAATATCACTCGCACACTTATCGTTATAACTACAAATCAGTATTTTGTCTGACTGCCTTCATACCTGAGTAATCAAGGGAACAACAACACAACCAACAACCGAACCAAATACACAAAATACGGAATACTGGGCAAGAAAACCTTTTCCAACAGCCATTACACGTACAGACTACAAAACCAAACCAAATGGTTAGTCATTTAGAATATATACAAACACATTGACGTTCAAGGTACATGTCCGCCACAGGTCATATACTTTATCGCATTAAGTAAAGTTCGTTTTAACCTACCCAATCAACAAAATCCTCTGACAGGGCCGATTAAGGAGACCCACAGGTTTTAAAATAACGTTGCTTCGCAGATTTATAACACAAATTTGACTCTATTAAGTTGCAAATTGCACGAATCCAAATGAATTTTCTTTTATCAACATCGAGTCGTTGACCTCGGAAGCAGAGTTGCGCACGAAAGTCGAAAGGATCGTATGTTTGATGACGTAACTATAAATGATATTCTTTTATTGGTTCATTTCAAATGAAGCAATTTGAACCACAGACAGGTTAGCAGGTATTGTGAACATATTTTTGAATGTCGAATGGTTAACAACCATATTAATTGTTTTGGTAGAATTAAATATTATGGTCTGTATTTGCATATTAATTTATGTATTTTAGACATACTTACATGAAGCGTGAACAGATATCGAAGTTTTAAGCTACAAATTATATATAAAGCATTCAATAAAATATATGAAATATCAATCGACAGCCGAAACAAGATTGCGGGGGAGGGGGTAGTTGTAAAGGTTGGACAGCGTTGCACAACGTTTGCCAAATATTTGGAGACTTAAAACGTTCATCGGCGTATTCCCGTCAAACAGTTTTTTGACACTCTAGAATTTTAGACTACTTTTATTAATAAATGTCTAATTTGCTGCACTGTCTTTGACGTACACGAATTAACACGTTCATCCTACAGGCCGATTTAAAAGACTTATATTATGCTTCACTCACGGGTTCACCGCTATTTCTAATAAAGATTTGATGCCCCTCCCCAAATAGCAGGTAATATAAACACGATTCTACTACGCTTGAACAATTCAAACATGCATGCACTTTTAATGTGATTACACTTTTACATGAATAAAGTTTGTTGGTGAGTCTGGTGACTCGTGAGTCATGAGTATTTTTTAATCGGAGAAAGTTACCAACCATATAAAAAAGTTTAACGACCTTTCATAATTTGATTCCTTACATCGAGCAATTAAAATTACATTAACATACACAAATTGAAAAACATGTGCCATTAACATTACATATTCTAAAGCCATCATCAAAGATTATACATAATATAAATCCTAACACGGTCTTTATAAGCAAATGAAAAACATGTGAAAGTCGAAACACGGTGCCATCCAGTAACTGCTATCGTGGCGAGAATCTCTCGTCCATACGTAGTTTTAAAGAGATTTGACTCGTCTCCAATCCCTGTGGGCTTGGTAGCTCAACTAGTATCCCGAAGGTGCGAGTTCAAATGTCGTCCAAGTCACATGTTTTTCATGTGCATATAAAAACCGTATTAGGATTTATATTATGTGTAACATTACATATTACTATCAAATCGTGTTAATCTCCAGGGGCCAGTTGCACAAATCCAGGATAGCTTTGTTCGTTGGATAGTAAATTTTTTTGAACGTTCAAAAAATCTCTTATAAGACAAAAATATGCGATTTGAACTGTCCAATAACTGAAATAAAATATTCTTTCGAACTAGATTACAAAATTCCTTTGTCGTCAGATAAATGTAAACATCTTTTTTACAAGTTTGAAAATTATTGCTATCCATGGGACAACGCTATCCAGGCTTCCTACAACCAGTCACTGGCTGTGAGTGGATGACACTGCTCGAAACTCCTGAGCACTTATTTTGAAATCATATCTTCCACATGTCGATTTTAGTCCCAAAGCACGTTTGTCTCATTATGATGATGAAAACTTTGTAACCATTCATAAACTTTGAAAGGCAGGAGTTAGCGAGTCTTGCAGTTCTACGCACTTGAAAAATATATACCAAATATTCATATTCACCAAATTCGTTATCGCTTGATATGAAAAACTGTATGTTTAAATGAAATATTCATTGCTGAAATATTTTAAAAAAACTATTTACACTTGATTCTACAAGCAAGTTGAAAAAAAACAGAAGCTCTTATTGATATTTGAAATATTAAAAATTTGAGGAATTCGATAAAAAAAATTATTTCACCTCTCCTTTTAATAAAAATTCACTTGCATGATGCATTGACCGATGTAGAAAATCGGATATAGCAATAAGGTAGAATGACAGTTGTCTGAAGATAACTAGCCATTAACGCGGCATCAATTATGTATGTTATGAAAAATATTCTCAACAGAATCCAAACAATTTCTTGATTTGGTAAAAATATGCAATAGTGCTAATAAAGAAAATAAAATGTCACCGGACAGATTAATTAAAAGGAAAGTGTGAACATGCAAAGTCAGTTATTTCTAGACATGTATATCTGTCGTCCATACATGGATGCATGAGTCTTATCGAGAGTATCTCTTTCATGACATGTGTTTGACTGGCGTCAACATTCAGGTGCTCAACCCACGTTCAACCACTTCTTCTAATGAGAGACACTTTTTTTCAAATCAACAAGAGGAAAACGAGCTTTCATTTCATGATACCATACACTGTCCAACTTCGAGCAAAATGACACATCAAAAAATTTGAGATTTGTGCACTCCATCAGTACCCTAAATAGTAAATACCATGTTGAATAAAAAACATTATGTATCTATGTGCACAAGTGTAAATGCTAAATGTGATAAAACCATATCATTCTCTAGCTGAAAGAGCGCTAAATTTTATTTCAAACACATATGTTGATAGCATTCCGCACTGGTAATAATCATCTTGAGTCTCAAACACACATAAAAGTTATTAGAGATAAAGCAAAGACTTCGTGAGAAGAATGGATGATGGCTATTTAATTAGAGTTTCTTTTGCGCAGTATACTTACATACAATCGTTTCTCTCATGATTTACTTTTAAATAATTACAACAAAAGTACTGATCGGGTTGCGTACATCTAGACGATTTAGTTCGGTTTTTTTAGGACACTGACTCACAGTAAGTGTTGCGCAAGCCTTTAGTTATAACAATGCTTCTATAGAATTCTCTTCTGACGTGAAAATTACGTTTATTAGTTGCCGTTTGGTACTTCCTCCAAGCTGAAGAGTTTTAGTGTCAAAAAGTTGAAATCATGGAACAAAATTTGCTCTTGTATACTTTGTTGAACTGCATACTACATTATATGGCCAACAATTATATTTTTCCTACCTTTCAGCTGACTCTTTAGAAACATTAGAGTTTCCCAAAATGTCTAACTGTTCAAGTAAAGAACAGTTCTCGGAAATAGCGAGAAGATCGTCATCTGTCAATGTTCTAAACAAAGAAAATGAAATGTAAAACACAAAAGTTTAAGTACTATAACATACCACTAAACAGTCACTGTCAACTCTGCAATCGCTAGCTGAAAGAAAGAAAATATTTCTTGAAGGCCTGCTTTCATAATTTAGTAGGTAATTTTAAACATAAATGAAACTTGAAAACATTTATTTCTCATATTTCGCTATTACGATGTGAAATCCGTAATCACTAATGCTTTCAACATGCTTCACGAATAATGAATCATTTACTGATGAACTGGTTAAAAACATTTTTGACCCTACCTTACAGCAGTCAGGAAAATCTTCTTAATCTTTTGACAATGGGTGACCAAATGACGTATAATTCCATGACTAGCCACATTTTTGCTATCGTTATAAAATCTCGACATTGTATCATCCATAATAAGAATGACAGTACACAGAACTGAAAATAAAAATTCAAAAATTCCTTACCACCAACCGAGATCAATTTCTTCAAGATTAGGACAGTGGTTGATAATGCTGATTATCCCATTTGCAGTTATTGATTTTGATCTCCATAAGTCCAATGAAAAAATATTTCTATAGTTGTTCACATAGACACGTAGCAAGAAAGAAATCAATCAAAAAAGAAGTCATTTGAAAGGAGATAATTATTAAATTACTAAATAATGTGATCAATAAAATCAAACTTACGGACAATATTGCAGGTGCGTCATCGCCTCATCATAATTTCCAAATTGATAACATCCACCAAGATTGATATATTTCAACTTTGGACAAGATCTACAAAATCAAATGACAAGCACTGATTTAGCCAGCTACATGTGTCTATCATGCTACGACGAAAACTCCATTCCGCTTACTCGACAATAATCGCTAAGTCTTTTTCGGTGACCTGAGTTCGATAAAGATTTAATCTTTTTAGATTTTTCAACATTGCAAGATTTTCAAATGCAGCACTTGGTAAGTGGATACAAGACGATAAATCCAGTTCTAAAAAACAAACATGAAACAGGCAATCAAATATAAATATGTACTCAGTTGTTCATCAAGGATTAGTAAAATAAATTACAACAGCCCAATCTTGGATACAATTATATTTGTATTGGTAAGAGGTAAGCTCAGCATAATTCTTTAGATTCAAAACAACAGCATTGCTACTAAAATAATTAAGGTAAATTTTTAAAAAAATCTATTTTGATCGCCGAATTCGCCGCCATTGCATGCACTGTTTGTATCGAAATCCAATGAAATTTCTGCATATGTCAAACCACAGACACTATATACAGCATTATGTTATACCTTCGAGGTCCGGACAAACTTCAACGATCACCTTTAAAATAGATACATCAAGAAATCTGCAGCATGATAGATAAAGACATCTCAGTGTTCCACTGTTCATGTTTTTGAGAAATCTAAAATCAAAATCACCTACTCAAAGTTTCATATATAAGTACAATATGTGCACAAATTAACAAGATTTGTGCAACACTAGCTGTTGTCACAAAAAATCGAACAGAAACTAAGCTGCATGAACAGATGACAGCATGAAAATGCGATTAGCTTAGACAGGAGTTGATACCACCAGTTAAAAGATGAATAAAACTGCACTAAAATCAGCTTACCATAAAAAAATATTCTGTATGAAGTAAGCTTTCTATTTTACCGTTCAAAGTCCTGTGTCGTGAAAAGCCCATCCGAACCGCACCATGACATGCAAAGTTTCTCGGTTGACCTACATCTGTGAGTCAAGTACTGAAGACTCACGCCATTTACCTATAAGTATATCAATATCATAAAAGACTAAGATATGTTTCATACAACCCAAATTCGATACATATTAAAAGAAAAGCTTTGAGATGTTATATAGAGTAATCTACACTAACCTTAAACCAATAGGGTTGAAGATTAAATTCTTTAAAGTACACAGGATCATAACAGCAATCGCGAAAGAATCTCGAGAAAGTAAAATCGTATGCATTGCAAGGCAGAAAAGAGTTTAACACTATGAGAAATGAGAGGGGATTAACTTTTGCAGACAATTATTCTGCTTTTGTCATTATATAAGTCGCTAATGGAAAACAAAAACTGAATTTCTCCTTGTGAAATCATCGAGAAAATATATAACAAGAAAACTTTATTTGACAATGTTCTTACCTACAGGTCTTCGAAAGATTTCCAAATTCAGAAAATCTTAGGTATGACAATATCTTATTAAATACTTCAATCTGAAAAAAAACACAAACGAAAATCCATGAATTGTTTTTATCACTAAAACGTAACAAACATGAATCATATTATTTATTTGCCTATGCAATTTCAGATCTTCACTTCCACAGCTAGCTCATCAACTGCAAATTAATTCCAAATGGGTAAACTTACCACCGAAACTTGCCCTATGGTTACCGACGTTTGTGTTGTAGCAATAAATTTTGCATTGCACTTTAGAAATATATATATGCAAGCCGTAAATTTAATTATAATGCTACTTTACAGAAAATGATTCGGGACTTTCTCACAGTTAAATTGAACTGATTCATCTCATGCATGCAACTTACTGGTAACATCGAAATATTCACTGAATCGTTCCGCACATAAGAGTTTTCGTTATTGAGATTGCTATTCATAGACATGCGTTGATGGAACGCCTCAGTCATTGAAACAATAGAATCTTCCTTTTCTTCACTATAATTGTATTCAATCTCGGATTCAACACCATGAAGATAAACAGCGTCAATCTCAGTGAAGTAATCGCATTGCTCTTGGTTGAACTCCAATCTTAGTCTCCTGTTATCAATGAAATCATCATCTTCATAATCATTGCACGAAAATAAGCCCATTTTTAGGAGATCACTGACTTTCATTTCGTGATTTGGTGAAACGGTACAACTGAACAGGATTTTTTATTACAGACTTCAACACATTCCTTCTGTTCGTCATTGTTTTCAAACACCACTTTCGTCTTCCCTACGCAGCTATAACTTTCAATCTTAAGATGCCTTCTTAATGTATCCACCTCCACGATTTTTCATTAAACTTTTTTAATGTCGAATAAACTGCTCTTATACATCCACACAATGAATTGACCACACATCGAGCAATCAAAACTCGACTAACTAAATTGGCTCTCTCTTATTGCGGATACAAACTTACAAACGTCAATCAATGATGAACCAAATCAAGTTCTATAGTCCATGGTTAGTGGTGAGTAGATTTTTCTTAATTTTACTATTCGTACATGTCGGGCAATAATTAAAAATGTGACGAGGTTCTTAAGTTACAGCATTTCCTCAGAGCATGCATTCGAGGTTGAACATCGTCTAAAATAATACGCAGCTATACAAAGAGAAACTAACAAAAAATTGTTGGCCTTGTCGACCGATGAATTGTATAAATATTCTTAGGTAAGTTAGGTGGAAATAACAAATGGAAACTAAGGATCAGAAAGTGAAAAATTGGGTATTTGAAACTTGTAACAAACAATGTACGTATAAGACATAAAACCATACCTTGTTTTAAAAGGACATTTCTTTAACGCAGGTGAAAATACTCTGGCTTTAGCTGCACATTTCCTTGGGGAGCCAGCCCACAATAAAATCCAACTGCAACGATAACCATGTTGCAAGATTAGCGACAATGTAGGGTTTGAAACTTCGAAACAAGTTATTGATATTCATTCATCTTCTCTATTAAAGCTATCTTATGTCGTAAAAAAAGTGAATTAAGTGATCAATCTTTACCGAGGAGGAATATATTTGGTTTCTGAGTCACAAGCAAGTATCCTCACAACTGCTCCTGGGTTATATGTTTCAAATATTTCTATTTTTGTCGGATACACAGAGTACGAATACCTTATATCTATTAAAATAAAGCAGAAGAAACATATTGGAAATGGAAGGAAAACACATTATTTTCATTATAAGTTCTCTCAAAAAAATTAACTAAGATGGGTAGTATCTCACAGGTCAATTTGCAAGACCTTCGACCGTTCAAAGCAAAGAGAGTTAACATATAAAGAAATTGCATCTCATTATGATTTCTCACCTTCAGATGCTCGAGACTTGTAGTAGCGAATGTTCAAGAATCAGAGCTTTTATCAAATGTATAAGCTTAAATAAACAATGAAATTCATAAGACAAACAAACCTATGAAATCTTGACTTAAAAAATCAGGTTGATGATACTGTTTAAATGATTTTAGTGATGAGGGGCAACTGCTCCACCATCTTCCATATGTTCTCTAGAGTAAAAATTATTTATTTTATTTGAAATGAAAATTTAGACATCTGAATTACTAATGTCAATAGTAAAAACAGAACCAAATATTAATTACAGCTACAAATACTTCTTTCCAGTATTATTTTCATGTATAAGTGTCATTTATGATAGAGCAGCTATGACTTTCCTGAATTAATTTATTTGCCACACAGCAAAGAAAGTAAATTGTGAACCGGAGACTTGTCAGGACACAAGTTCTAGTGGCCCCAAGTTGCTAAGCAGAAAACAAAAAATGTAACACAAAAAAACGAAGGCATTCAAGTGCATTTGCAACTCTGAGTTTACACCTGGGTTCAGTGGGTTGTTATGTATGTTTTCCAGCTTTCTCCCCAAAGATCTCAGTGAAAACAATCATACAGTAACATACTCTATTGTCAGGTTTTTTAAGTTATGCTTCGCCTTAATTAATTACATGTGTTCTCTAATAAATGCTGCACAAATTGATGAAGACATGACAAACTGTTTATTTCTAGCTCTTGCCTACAAATTAGCAGTTTGTCTTTTCCTGTATTCGATTCTTTATGCACAGTCTCCTCTTACATTATTTGCATGTCTCCCTCCAAAAAACCGCGCATCTTATTTCTTTAAAAGTTAATAAACATCCCTGCGTGTATTAGAGGAAATACGGTTGTTGATATTCACGAAATTGGTCGCAATTATTGAATTGAATTAGAAAACTTGATTTACGAACTGAAATTTTACATTTAATGCCTTGAGCAGAACTTACGAACACAAGACTTTGAGTGAAATCACCATATTTAGGATAAATGTTGGTTTCTCCCACAACGTTAGCAACAGTATAACTTTTTGACAGATCTGAGCCATACTGACTGGAAAAATCTACAACTTCATTCACTGTCTGGCGTTTCACAGTTCTTGAAACATGTCTATTCTTGACAATGTCGTTGGTAATGAAGGTAGCCATTCATTCATTGCCATCTGAGTTTAATATATTCTAAAATAAAGGTTCACACAATCTCTATCGAGTGCTGAAATCTTCAATGGCAGATAAATAAAAACCGCTATGTAAGTGTTACAAATTTACTATGTTGTAACTTGTAGCGTGCTTCGGTATGTTTGTTTATCTCCGGAACCGAACATGACTCTATTGCGTAACACTCCTCAAAGCCCAATTAGCCCATCCTCCAAAGATGAATACTTTTTTACATTCCGTGAAAATTAGACTAATGTACGTGGTCATATTGTCACAAGTAAAAATTAGACAAGTTTTTCAAATGTACGGTAGCACAGGTTGCCACGTCGTTGTCTATTTTTAACAATTTCTTTAAAAATTTGTTTTGGATATGTCACTCGATGTTGTTTTGCGTTCAACCAACATGTTCTTTGTTTTTTCGGCGAGGGCGTGGAGCTAATTGAAGAAGAATTAACTCTTTTCTGAGCAGAGGTCTAATGACATTCTCAACACTCTATATTGTGGTATTTTACAATACACTGACAAAGAAAACACGAGAAAACACACGTGTATAATTATATAATAATACCCAAAAATGGCGGCCCGACTAAAACCGTGGGTGTGATGCTCGTTATAAGATTTCAATTGTTTTCACTTGTTAGTCACTACTATAGCCAACACGTTTCTACATTGTCCTGTAGAATTTGTACTGGTGAACACATCTTGATTTTATGATAGGGCTTTTGCGATATAATAATTTATTAGAAGGTACGTATGAGGCCAGGTGTTGCATCATTCTCATATCAAAACTCATGAGTCGCGAAGTCAATGTTATTGTGCACTTTTCGGCATTTTTCGTTGAGAGATAGGTCAACCGTCAATTTCAGTATTAGCATTGGTGGCAGACACAACTAACGCAATTGTTTTAATTGACGATTGTACCGGTCAGGCGGTCATAGCGGTCAGTTTCTTTGGTAGCTGGTATGATTGTAGTAAAATATGTATGAAACAATCATGTTGATTGTAAACTCACTTGAAAAATCATTGATTAGAATCTTTAAAATCTGGCGGCCAGATTTATATGATCTGCATGCAAAATGCAGCAAAAAATTATATTGAAGTATCACAAGTGCTTGCATTTGTACCTATATTTTGAGCATTTGAAAATGAAGAATCAACTCATGTCATTTTATATTTCTTTGGTCTATACACCTTTGGTGATGAATTTACATGATAACTATTGTCTCTCGTTTGTGGCTTTTATCCTGCATATCAATTACAATGTTTTCATTGATGGGCAAAACTCATATGAAGTTACTGAGTTACCGAGTTTGCAATCCATTTGAATCTCTGCTGTGATTCATTTGAATCCTAACTCTGCACCCAGAAATTTGAAATCAGGGATAGGTGCAGAATAGTTTTGTTAAAGAGGAGGGAGGTGCTATTTTGAATTAGATTTTGGTGGCAACCCCTCTAGCATCTCTCCTCCTAGCACCCCCTCCCAATAACCCCCCATGTTTAATTCCTATTTATGTTCTTCTGTTTTAGAAAAGAAGACATTAAGCAACAGATGCAAGAAGTCAGTGAGGATGACTATCCTGCAGTTTCAGATAGAAGTTTATTAGAAAGAATTTATTATCATCATGGTCTTTTCTGTGCCAATCATCCTGGTGTGATTATATGCATTTGTGCAGTTTTTGTATTTACATGCAGGTAAGGAAAATTCATGTTCATTACTTGGTAGCATAAATGCATAATAAGAAACATATGTACTCTGAAGAAAAGGTACAATAATGGGCTTAAAGCTAGCAAGAAATTTTCACTATTTGATTTCACAGCCACAGAATCAACAAATCCTTCCCATTAAATTCACACTTCCATACTCATACTTTCTTGGAATTGATGTAATTGCACATGTATAATTAGAACCACAGTTAGCTTTTAAGTAGAGTCTAACAATGAATTTACAATGAATTTGAATTATAACTATATAAAAAAACTGTCTTTTCTCAAATATTGAGTTGAACTTTTTCTTCAGAATATTTTTCTTATTATTCTTAAAAAAAATTGTTGGTTGGTAATGTGATTTCTTACTTGGTAGCCATATGAGCTACATAAGGAGCATTTAAAACTTATTTGAAAAGTCAACATTTCTTTTCAATAACAAGCCTTTTCATATTTTTGCTTCACTCTATATTACAACTAACTATTGCTTTTGTAGCCAATTACATTCCACATTTAAGTAATTTTTTAATATATGTATTTTTTGTAATCATAATAATCATTTTGTTCACGATATTAGTATAATCACCTGTAAAAATCTTAACTAAAATCCTGCAAGAGATCTTGTGTAGAATCCTTTCAATATCTTAAGTATAATTCAGAAATAAAATCCTATACAAACATTGCCTAATTACCCTATTGCCCTGTGTATTCTAGCATATACATATACAGTATGGTTTGTATGTGCATGCATATCCTTATTATCTTATCAACAGCATTAAATTTTGAACCTCTCTGCCATCCAGCTACTTTATTAATCACTTTTGATTTTGCCATTCATATATTTTCAATTGCATTTAGTAAGCCCATTGATTGTGTTATTCTAAAATTCCAGTGCACCAATTCTTATCTTCTTTTCATTGGATGCCAAAATTCCTTCAGAATGGAATGAGACAATATCAGCAAAGAATGTAAATGAAAATAAGCCAAACTGGGTAACCCAAAAATTGTTTATCTCATTTGATTTATCAACTTGTTGGAATTAATTTTTGTACACACACACATCTAGCATATCTTGATATTTTATTGTAGTTAAAAGAAAAGCCTGCTGTATACATTCAACAAGTAGCTGTTAGTGTTTTACTTGGTAAAGTAAACAACAGTTTGATGTTACCCTATGGATTACATGAAGCTTTCCATCCTGTTTTTGAGATAGTTGATTTTTTGAATGAATATCAATTTACTGAAAGGTAAGGCTTGTCAATGAATGAACTTTAGTTAGGTATTTCCATAATTTTGTAGTAAGCACTATTGCTAATGCATTATAGTTATTGCTAATGCCTTATAGTTATTTATTATGCATTAATTTTTGCAATAGAATTTCAAAAGACTTTTTTCAGCATGTGTTTGTACATTATACATATAGCAATAGTGCTTTTGAGCAATAGTGCTTCTACAAAATTATGGAAAAAGTTTAGTATTTATAAATACTAAATTGCTTCTTATTTATGATATTTGTTACTGCCTTGTGAACATATTTAGGGAATTTTTGAATAAATTCAATTTTAAATAGTTTTTTTTTCCATTTTTTAACATGCATAGCAATGGAAAAAGAATGAAGATAACTGATCTTTGCTTTCTTATACGTCATTATGATTCATTCTTGCTTGGTGAAGAGGCAAAATTTTTACCAAGAGATGGATGTCTTCAAATATCTCCAGCCAATCTTTGGAATGACGTTGCTAGGTAACTAACCTTCCCTGTGTTGATTTTGTTATAAAAGATAAACGTGTTTGAATATTGGAATATAAAATGGTCATAGGTATCTTTATATGTTTTTTTTGAGTGTCATTACGTTGATAAGATTTTCACGTAGATACATTGGTAAGATTATAAAAACACTTTTATCATTCACTTCTCCTTTCCTGTCATGAATTTTCTCCACAAGTTCACAACCTAAACTTTACGTACGTATGTGAGTTGGTCTAAGGTCTATTAACTTCCACTTTCACAAAGACCCTTTTGAATTTTGAAATCTGTACTAATATTCTTTCTTCTTTTTGTTTTGATATCTACTGATATTTAAAGTTGTCACCTTTGGACTGCCAGTTCTTACTTATGCACTCATTCACTTAAGCAACCGTTGAAATAACTCCTATTTACACTTTATAATTTACTGGTTTCAAATTCAACAACTACGTACTTGTTTTATGAGTAACCCTAAGAAATATCAGTAATTGCCATATTCTTTTTGTTTCTATTTTGCATTATGTAATGAAGTCTTTTTGTGTCATTTATAAACTTAACGAATGTTTCTAATTTCAGTTTTCATACTGATAAAGATATTGTAAGTAAAATATATGGAAAGTCAAGGGATAACGTCAGTTTGAAAGGTAAACATGATGCTTAATATACTCAAATTTGCATGTTTGGGGTAATAGGGAATATTTCTGGTTGGTTCAAAATGCAGTAAAGTACAATATGCTGCGAAAATGGAAAACCAAAAGGCGAATAGCTTGTGACTGTGTTTCTAGCTATTCATGTGTGATTGACCCAATGAGAAACCATTCATATTAAATTGATACTTATTGTAAACAGTAGCGAAGCCAGCCTTTTTTTACTTCTAAAATATAAATATTTTTGTGTTTGTCACTGGAAAAACAATGACTGGAATAAATTTTCTAAAGAAATGAATAATAATTTTACCGAAAAATTTGCCTAGTAGTGATGGCTTCGCCACGGACTGTGAAAAGATATGAAGACTATTCTCAAAGATTATTAAATTATCATTTTTACTAACAATGATTTCTTGTTGGTATTTCTTTCAGAAAATATATTTGGAGTACCTCTTCAAGCAATAGGTTTGTTTCCTTTGCCCGGAAGTAATGAGTGCCTTGTCATTCGTTATGCCGTCACTATTGTATTGGAGGAATTCCACCAAAAGTTAGTATCTATGTACATGCACATATTTTTTTGGATAATTGAAATTTGAGACATAATGGGATGTTATAATTATATTTTATGCGAATTTCAGCTTTATGGAGAATATGAAGAAAAATTTGCACAACAAGTTTCCAGCCATAGTCGAAGTTGAAAGAAGTTCTACTTTGGTTCATATACATTACGAGGTAATATAGCGTTTGTTTTTTTATCACCATGTTGTCCATCTTCAACTAAGTGATAATTGAGAAATATTATTCAGTATAGGAAACATGTTAAAAGCTTTAATTATTAATCGCACTTACGTAATGAAAACGTGTTGGGCCAATCTCACGTGACGATGGCGACGTATGGCATTTATACACCGTAACTTTGTTGTTACTCTTGACAATAAATAGCGAAGACTTTACAAATTACTGCTTTCAAATTTTTTTACTGTTTTTCTCGAAGATATACAAAGGCAAATGTGTTGCTTCGCGTGTGTAACAAACAAAAAGTGACGTTCTCCATGTTGTATTAACAAGTGTCACATTTTGATATTGCTGAGAGTACATAAAATATTCTTTAGTCAAACTGAAATAGAGATATTAACATAACAAAACATACATGCTGTTTCAAAACTTTTTTCATACATGCTCTATTTTAGAAAATTGTCCAGTTTTGTTTCTATAGAGATTCATGTCTTGTTGTGTACGTTTTTTGCTTTTTTATTTTAGGGTGAAAATATCATTGAAATATACCATCTGTGTTTTGTATATTTTATCGTTTTCATATATCTTGGTTTTTCATTATGTAAGTAATGGAACAATGTATTTATTCTCACACTGAGTCCCACATAGAAATCGTGCTGTCACCAATTCATAACAAACTCATTTCTCCGTCATTGCCAAGACTCTGGCTGAAATATTTCAAACCAAGCAATTATAGTAGAGTATAGAGTCATTTGATCCGAGGTGATTTTGATGCCTCACTCAGTGAGAGTGATTTAGCTTTTAAAATGTCGGCGTAAGTCGTACGCAGTAACGCTAAAATAGTATCCACACCCACGCACACATGTCTAAAACGGAGATTTATCTCCCTCCAAGATATATATATATATATATATTCATATGCAACGTGTATAATTTTTTTGTATTTTGTTTAGCCAAAATAGAGATGGTGAAATCTAAACTTGGTCTTGCACTTAGTGCTGTTGTGACTGTTGTTGCTTCACTTGCAATGGCTGCAGGATTGTGTGTATTTTTTGGTGTGGTTCCTTCTCTAAGCAGTAGACTGAGGTAATTCATTTGATTTTCTCTGTTTTTCTTACGTGATGTAGTTCCACTTAAATTCGAACTCTACTCTAGTTCTGTACTATATCTTTATGAATTAATTGAACAACTGAGTTTTTCGTTGCGTATAGTGAAATCTTCCCATACCTCGTTATCATTATTGGACTAGAGAATATTTTGGTGATAACGCGATCTATCGTCTCCACGCATCCGTGTCTTCCTGTCCCCGTTCGTGTTGCCGAAGGTTAATATTCGTTTTGTTTTGCGTTCTCAATTTTTCAACATCTTTTTAAATTTCTGACTCGTGGCTATTTGATATTTTCAGGTTTGAGTAGAGAAGGTCGATCCATCACGTTAAACTTAGTTACCGAACTTCTGTTGCTTCTGTTTGGTTACTTCACTTTCGTACCTGTTGTTCAGGTGCATTAAATCTTATCTAGATTTGGCTCTTCACTTTTGTGCTAATGTTGTTTTGGCTTTCGTTTATTTTCATATAGGAGTTTTGTATGGTTGGAGGTGTGGGCGTTCTTACTGACTTTTTCCTGCAAATAGTATTCTTTGCGACTGTTCTTTCCATTGATCTAAGTCGTCTTGAGGTAAATATATGATGTCATAAATCAGACAGTGTAACCATTTTTCTGCAACCTCGTATGTGAAGATGTTTATATTTTCGAATTGTTTGCCAATGAGTAGAGGTTCTCATCTTCATCTATGTATATATTATATGTTATGACAGCGTTCTTACGTGATGAAAATAATATATTTTTGCTTAAGTTAAATATTCATCCGTTTACTTGGAGGCATATGATCGTGTTTAAACTCATGTGAAGTCATGTGATCATATGTGAACTCATTTGAAATTATATTATGTTATGTTGTTTTATCTCAATTCTTATAAAGGTTTTATTAAGTCGGCTTATTCAATTTGAAGCCATGTTTTCTTATGTTATAGCTCATGTGACGTCATTTGCTCCTATGTGAACTCATGAAGTCATGTAATTTTAAGTCTTAATATTCATAAACTACGCCATAGACAATTTTCATAGGTTTCTTTTTCGTTCATATGGTAATGTAACTTGCATGAGAGGTCCATGCGTCAAATTTTTTAATACTTTTTGTAAGCGGTATTGCTTTACAGACTTAAATGCATATTCTTCATAGAAATTTTATTTCTTTATATTTAGCCTTCCACGCAGTACATGAAGTCTCCGCATGTTGAAATTAATGGTAAAAGATTTACACTTGAGTTTACAGTTGTGCTTCCACGCTAGAAATGTTTGTGGGGCAACTTGCAGCAAAGTTAGTCAAAGCGTGGCGATTTTTATTTAACAAAAGAAAAACAACATTAAGATTGAAGTAGCCGTTAAACTGATTTGTAAGTCATACCATAACCATTAAATGTAGTGGAATATTTCCCGAAGAAAGCATGGAAAAACTCGTCTCGAACCAAATCTATGTTTTGTCCTTTCATATGTCACGTATCTTACTATGTTATTCCATTTTTTTAATCATAAATGTTTTTCCCTTGTTTGGCTTTTTTTACTTTTGTTACACTTTACAATAGGGAATGTAGTACATGGTACTCCTTGATATGTTTGATGTTTGCTTATAACTGAATTTTATTAATTTGTAAATAATTTTCATAGTTTAACAAAGAAAACTTGTGACGTCATGTTATACCCGAAGTTGTAGCTTTTATGCTTCAAGTTACCCCACAGTTTCTTAATCGTTATAGATCTAGTTTAAATGTTTGATTTATTGGGATATTTAGAAAAAGAGTCCTCAGTTTAAACCATTTGTCACCATTCTAGTGTCCAACAGTATGCGGCCAACTCAAAAACCAAGTAATGTTACAGAAGCTAAAGCGTTACCTGAAAAGACCGCTGTACATAAAGCAAACAACTGGAGTGATGTTTGGGCATATCTCTGTAATCCAAAAAAGATATTTTCTTTGCGTCAAGATCTTCCAAAGAGATTAAACTTCGCCTATTTTTGGGCAAGGACAAGAATAGCTCAGAGAGGAATTATGGTATGCTAAAATTGTTCTTGTTTTAGGGCGTATCTAAAAGTTTCATCTTCTATGAATAAAAATGTGTTTTGTTATTTGTTACATTGTGTGTTGTCTGCACTTGTACGCTGTTTGTTAAAGTACCATTTATTATAATTCAAGTCACTGTCGTTTCTATGAGTCAATCACATGCATTTATTACTACAAACAAGCATTTTTGTTGAAAATCCTTTGATCTAATCCGTGCTGTGTAATAATATACATGCATAATAATACTGAACAAAACCGATAAGATCTTTGGGAGAACTCGAGAGCAGATCAGTGCAACCCCGAAATCAAAGGTCGATGGTTTCACCTGCTTGAGATTTCTCACAAACGTTTCATAGTTTTTGCATAAGCAAGTGCAAACACGAAAAGCATGTTTTATTTCTTTTATAAAATAACAATAACACGAAATCGACAAATTTTGAATGAACATTTTAATTTCTCCTCTAACATGTATTCGTGATTGATATGCAAGCTCTCCTTCATTGATGGAGTTAATTAGTTGAACTCAGATCAGTTTGCACAGACTAATGCAAGCACGACTATAGCGCTCGCGTTTTATTGTTTTTGTTAATGTGCAATTTTGCTCACACTTTGCTTTTGTTAGGTTTTCGCCATCGTTTACTTTATATATATCACATCGTCGACGATTTCTTTTACGGAGGAAAGTTCCACAGGGATGAAAGAAAAAAACTCCAATGGAAATCACTCAAATACACATTCTAAAAACGTTTCAAAACAAGAACTTTTCAACACATCTGCTTCTTTTAATAAAGTCAAATTTCTTTATTCCTACGTAACGGAATCCAAAGAAAAACGTATAAAAAAAGAACGTAGAAATCTTGATTCCTGTGATGATAAATTCAAGCGTACGGGATTTTGGAGAAATCTTTCGCGACAACACTGGCCGGAGTTTTTAGACCTTTATGGCATTAATTTGATGGATAGGTAAACCATTGTCTCTCAATGTTCTCCGCTTGTTTTACTTCATGTACTGATGGTAAAGTTTTTCTATATTTTATAGATATATCACTGTCCTACCTCAAATCAATCTTCAGTTTAAAATGAACAAAACTCGTCTCACCGATAATACAAATTAACTGACAATTTGTCAAAGTTCTATGAAGATTTTAGCAAAGACTTTAGGCGCTCGTCTCGAGATCATGCTGTTGAACTGGCTGGTCTTGTGAAGATCGTGTATCTTATAACGGCTATCGTTGTAATTATCTCTGTTTACCTCATTTATCAACTACTATCCACAAGACCCCGACATAAGTTGAGAAAAATGAAACCGAAATCTGTCATGCTTCTCACATCTCCAATAATTCTAGATGGCCATCGTCAGGTATCAAATATTTATCTCGACAATTATTTGCAGTTTATTTGGTATAGCCAAAGCACTTTCACTAAATTCCTAGGGAAATTTTAAATTTTTATTTTGACGTAGCTGAACCTAATTTGTGTCCAACCTCTCTACTAAGTCAAGAAAACGGCGTTTCATTGACTTGAAACTGTTCGCACAAAACCCTGAGTTTTAGTTTAGGGCAACATAGGACAAAGGAAAGAAGCCCTACAAGTATATTGTTGCTTAGCTCCTCCAATTTGCATTTGAAAGTAAACTCAATTTGCAATGACTGTAGCGGTTTTCTACCTTCTTTTTTCTCTTCATTAAATGCAACTCTTGTATGTTGGAAAAAAAGAGAATGGGAAGAAATTAGTCATGAAATCTCTTTTTTTGTGGTCAAGATAGCTGTGAATCAGATTTTCCGTGAATTTTTCATAGTTATAGGCTAGCCAAACACAAGATGTAGAAAAAACTGTTGAACGTTCTTATTGACTTAGATTGTGTGAACTGTAAAGTCCAACACCTCACTCTGTCCTTCGGACTCACTGAGTGTTGCGTCAAAATTTCCTCATAATTATTCGTAAACGGCATTTTTGCTCAACTGATTGCTTGAGTTTCCAAAATTTTTGCAAAAATCTTGCCATCAATAGAGCAAGGACTTTGCTATAGATTAGAGAGAGTGTTATTTTTAGGTTGCACTCAGTGAGTGTGTGCGAGCTATTACGTAGAATACTGCATGATGTAAGTCACTCATTGAGTGTGTGCGAGCTATTACGTAGAATACTGCATGATGTAAGTCACTCAGTGAGTGTGTGCGAGCTATTACATAGAATACTGCATAATGTAAGTTACTCAGTGAGTGTGCACAAGCTATTACGTAGAATACTGCATGATGTAAGTCACTCAGTGAGTGTGTGCGAGCTATTACGTAGAATACTGCATGATGTAAGTCACTCAGTGAGTGTGTGCGAGCTATTACGTAGAATACTGCATGATGTAAGTCATTCAGTGAGTGTGCTCAAGCTATTACGTAGAATACTGCATGATGTAAGTCACTCAGTGAGTGTGTGCGAGCTATTACGTAGAATACTGCATAATGTAAGTCACTCAGTGAGTGTGTGCGAGCTGTTACGTAGAATACTGCATGATATAAGTCACTCAGTGAGTGTGTGCGAGCTATTACGTAGAATACTGCATGGTGTAAGCATTGATTTTGCTCTTTATCTCTTCACAGAATATTGAATGTCTTGAGTGCAGCAATGGTGTCATTGTTAGTTCGTGTCTTGAAGGCATTGTTCGCGTGTGGGATGCTAAAACAACTGAATGTATCAACGTTTATGAAAGAGAAAGGTTGTTTACTTAAGTATACATTTATTTATCATGGAATTTGTCGACTTATTTAGATTAGTTGCAATCACCATGAGAAATTTAATCTGTACAAGCAAGGATGCTTTATTTACAGCAGTCTTTATTGCATTTTAGTAATCTATCACAAATTTGGGCGTTATGTACCTGGGAATGTTTTATCGCCGTTGGATGTACTAATGGGAATCTTGAGGTACTTGGTATAAATTTTCCATTTGACCACTTTATAATCCTTATTCAAAAAGAAAACACTACCAAAACACAAAATTTACCAAGAAAAAGATTAAAATATTCTTGATGAACAAGTATACTTGTTAAAAATTTTGTAATTATTTACGATACGTTTTCATAAATAGTAACTATGCATCCTGTTATTTGTAAAATCATAACGAAACGAAACAGTTAATCCAATTGGTCATTGCCACATGACTATTAACTGAACTGGATGTTTCCCTCGTGATGCATGAAATCATGAATCAAAAAAATTAAATGGAAGTTAATGAAATAATTGTATGAGTTTTTTTATGGTTGGATTCAATTACAAGTCAAAAGGCAGAGTTTTAGTTTCAAACTTTGCACTATCCTTGAATCCCAAGTTTAATAATTAATAATTTCAATTCTTAGTTGATACATCCTAGCTACATTGTTCGTGTTTCCAATTGATGTGTTTGCATTTCATGAACATTGCTCATTGACTTTTCATAGATTTGGAACATTTCTACTGGAGTAAATTGCTTCCTTTATGAAGATGATTCTTCAGGAGTAACTGCTATCCGTTATATTCCTGAAAAGTAAAATTTATTTTACTCTGACGACATGTTCGCTTAATGATTTCCAATGCAAATATATTTTGGTTATTTGTTTTGTAGCCGCACTATAGTTGTATGTAGACTGAATGGTTACATTGAATTTACCGAGCTTGGAAATCGATTGCTTCCTGATTTTTCATCAGCTAGCAATAAAAATGGTTTACTTGCGAACTTGCGAAAAAAGACGCAATCCAATCCATCATCATGGAGATTTATTAAAGACAGCGTCTCAAATCAACAGTTTATCTGTCATTTTAATCGAGCTCATGGGAAGACTGTCAGTGTTGTTGAAATATGTAAGGATTTGGTTATCACTGCAAGTTTTGATAGCCTGTTGAAGGTAACTTTTTATTTCGCAAAGTGTATGTTTTTCGATTGACAAACTTATTTCAGCTGGTTAAGTGGCCTTGCTTTAAGACACATTTCCATTCACAAACTAAGAAATCTTTCTTCTATGCGTCTTCATTTGGTTTTAAGTTTTGGCATTAAAGTGTGGCTCAAAGTGAAATTATTTGCATTAAAACAGTTACAGCTATCATTTTTTCTTGACACGTATATTTCTGTGTGCAAATGAAGTTAACAACTTGCTTTTTCGGAATAAGTATGTATGACTTTATTAAAACATCTTGTTTTGCACGCCATTATCTCTTAACAAATATGCCAACAAACGACGGACGAAATATAGGAAAAGGGTTTTTTCTTTCAAAATGTTTGTAGTTGAGTTACAAAAAAAATGCTCTGAATCAAATTTTTGTCAAAATTTGCATGTGAATGAAACGATTTTTCGAATTTTAGCCTAATCTTGCAGGACATCAAATAATTTTGACTCATTGTTTTTTGGAGTCTTTGTCAAAGGACCTTGTAATCTCTATATACTGTGTATTTCTTAGCTACTTGTTCCTGAGTTATTTCGTATTTAACCTTTTGGATGACTTCATTAAAAAAATCGTCTTTTATGTGAAGGTATTCCGTTCGCAGAATGGTGTTTGTCTATTTACACTTCGAGGGCATACGACGACCGTTACTGCTCTTCAAACCCAGGTAAAGCATTCCTCAGTTCAGAGCTTATTGTCGTTAGAAACTCTTCATGAAAGAAAGTATTTATTATACAGTAACCTTATTCTTGATTTGCTTTTCAAAGACCAATTCCTACATTGCAATAATATTGGTTGGATGAGCTGTAAAACATAGTTCTACTTTGTGTAAACACATGCAATCTATATCTTGTGTATTTTTGCAGCCTGAAATAGGTGCCATTAGTGGCTCGTCGAATGGTGAAATGCGGATGTGGAGTTTGATCTCAGGTGAAAGTGATCGTTTTTCGTCCAAACATTCAGCTTCTATTGTCGCGATAGTTTTTACACTTTCGTGTATTGCAAGTCTCGACATCGCTGAAATGTTATGTATTTGGGATCTTAATACGAGACGTTGTCTTTATAGATGGTCAAGAACGCATGTGAGTCGATTATATATTCAATATATCTGTATAGTTAGCAACCTGTTTAAGCTTCAATTTCACTAATAATTTTGGGAAAAGTATTTGGTTATATTCAACTTGCGTAAAAACTAATATTTGTTGCGTGACTATCACCTGCCTTGGGAAGTCAAAACACGTGGTTTGATGCTGTTCATTAAAGTATAAGACAAAATTTGTTAAATATTTAATGAAGCACACATTCAAACATTAGATAACATTTTGATGCAGTAATCAAGTTATTTGTTGTCCTGCAAACCCTAACTCATTTTCGTGCTTTTTTGTTCGTTTTGTTGAGACTGTTTATCTTGATTTGCATGTTTTCAGTTTCCTGGTGGTTGTCTCAGTCTTACTGAAATGTCAAGAAATACAATTGTTTGTGCTGGTAGAGTAAGTGTGCTCGATTATTTATTCAACTTTTCTTTTTATTAATTAATTTTCACCTGCTAACTAAGTAAATTCCACCAGCATGCAACCTTCATCATGCAATATACATAAATGTATTTAAAAATAGGCGTTTTCTTTACAACTGTATAGTTGAACATATTAAGAAAACGACATAGTTTTTAGCCGGTTGTTTGTTTGGATTTAATCTTTTAAAAAAAGATTTTAGTATTTATATCATCTGTGATAAGCAATACATCCCTTTCCGAAAACATATCGAATTTTTCTCCGCTCATTTTATTTATTAGTTATTTATACTTGCGGGAAGTTGAGCATTAAAATTTTATTTTTTCCAGGATAGTTTGGCAGTCGTAGAACTGACTCGAGGTCAAGTATTAAGAGTTGTTGAACTAGAGCAGAAATATGACCACGTTTTTATAACTCGCGTATTGAAGTGCGAAGAAAATAGTGTGGTTTGTGATTATGGCGAAAGACTTGTTATTTTAACTTTTTATGAAAAGGAAGATAAGAGTAGTTAGGCATGTCGGCATGCATTCAAATGCTTTGTGGTAGTCTGCATAAATGTTTCAATACATCATGCAGACTCAAAACGTTAAATAATAGGTTAGGAGTCTCAGGACCCTTTGACAGGATGGAGCCATTTCAGGACCTTCTTCAATTCACCTGCAATATAAGTCGAATTCATATTTGCTCTAATGGTAAGGAGACCTTCGATATACGGTATAAACATTAATAAAGTATTGATGATTTATGAACTATGTGCATTTGTAAACTATATTTAGTATAAAGTTAGACTCTATTTCAGATTTAAAGAAGCAATTTGCCAATATTTTAGTCGCTTGTGTGTACGTATTGTTAACGGATGCTGGGGTTGTCTTTATTAATAACTGTATGAGCCCACGACTCTAACTAAGCCCCCTTTCAATCTCTTCCCTTTCTTGCATAAGCTCAAAATCGTCTACTTTTCTCTATACCCGCAACCAACAATGCGCCTAATCTTTCAATTTTGTTATCTGACGGTGCTTGCATAACAATCATCAAGTGCCTGGTCACCCGATGTGCAGCACACGAGAGCTATCAGCTGAGTTACTTGTACCCGTTAGCTCAGACGATAACCTACTGTGTGCGCATGAATTTTACTGAGTTTTACGGCTCATGCAACCTTTTCTCTCATATCAAACATGTTTGATATTTTCGGCCAAGCGAGGCAAAAAATTTCACCGTTTGCGCAGAATGTGAGCTGGATGCTCACATATAACCATTTAAAGAACCAATGGTGACGCGTCTTTTTATCTCGTGAACAAACAGCAAAATATCGATTACAAACGAAGTAATGAACGAATACCCATTCATGCTTTTACCCGCTCAACTACATATTTTCAAAAATTTCATGATGTTATGAGAATAAAGTCGAGAATAAAGTATGTTTTAACGGTCGACATGCAGATGATTTTATTCCGAAGATTTTGTCACTTGTCTGCTTTAATTCCTTTGCGATTTTATCATACGCAATTTAGCCTTTTGTATTTTAAAGTCTGGCGAACTTACATCAATTTACCATCAAACACAGGGGTAATTTGGCCATAAGACAACGAGTTTGTCACTGACTGATATTTTGATGTCTGTTCACGAGTTAAAAGAACGCGTCGCTATTGGTTCTTTAATTGGTTATGTGTCAATATCAATACATTCAGCAAAACGATGGGTTTTTGCTTCGCGTGGCCAAGAATATTAAAAATATTTGACATTAAATTTTGCATGAACTCAGGAAAATTTACCACACACTGTGAACTATCGCCTGAGCTAACGGGCACAAGTAGCTATTAGCTCACGTGATAGCTCTCTTGCGCTGCAGGCTTAAGGATTAAAACATGGTGTACTGTGTTTGCAAACCGAGGACACCTTTAGGAGAACTCAAAAGCAGATCGGTGCAAACCCGAGACAGAAGGTCTAGGGTTATATCTGCTCAAGAGTTCTTACAAATGTCTCCACGAGGTTTCATAAGCCAGTGCAAACACGAAAAACATTTTTCATTTCTTTTATAAAATAACAATAATGCAAAACAGACAAATTTAAAACAAACATTCAACTCGCAATTGACACTTTATTGAATGCATAACTTTTCGTGTTAAATGTACTATGTTCAAAACGCATTTTTGCCACAAGTCAGTAGCTACTTTAAATGTTTCGGGAACCACTGAGTAGCTATTTTAATAAAATACATAAAAACGGTAACTCCAAATAATGTAAGCATTTTGATTCAACCTTTCCCCCTTTTTTAGTCATGATAATGTCTAGATAAAGTCGAATCAAAATGCTTATCTTAGTTGTTCAGTTCTTAAAAGTCGACTTAACAACGTTGTTTGATGAATGTTTAATTGCTAGCTACTTCATCGGTGCTCTTTTCAAAGATAAGTGTGCGTTATTTATTAATGTAAAAAAATATTTTGACTAATACGTAAAACCTGTATATATGCACTTTAAAAAAGTCAACATAGCTAATGTTAATGGGATAGTGCGTTTAACCATTCTAACAATCATAACTATTTCAATATAGCCTTCAATGCTCATGTTTTCACTTTAGTAGATTATACAAGTGTGATTGCATTGTAAGTATGAGCAAGGATTAATTGCGCTTGCAAATTCTTGTATTATTCTTTCAATTTCAGTTCTAACGTTTTAATTTTTCAATATACACGAATAGTTTTTCGGACTCATTTGTGTTTACAAATGTTCGTGATAATATTATTCAATTGTCGCTCAACCGGAGTTTTCATTACTTTGATTGCACCGACCTTTTTGAATTACTAAAGTATTCAAACATTAGTTAAATTTGGCAGAGAATCGTGATGTGAAAATAAATTATTCATCACTTATGTCGAAACAAAATATGTTTGTTTAGAATTTATCGGTAAATTACTTAGTCGCCGTGTCTATTAGCCCTAATTGCAACTATACTTGCACCTGACATTTTACAGGTCTCTCTTTTGTTGAATATTCTGTGGACGCTTGTAGTATTTGAGAATTTTCCGACAGAAAACTTGCATGCTGTTGTAGTCTAGTGTATACATCCATACAATTCTTGACTGATCATTTGTCTGATCAATTGTCTGATCATTTCAACCAAAAGTTACCATGATACTAAAGGATGTTTGAAACTTAGCAGCGACTTATTGTGCAAAATGACGTCAAAAGTTGTGTAAATCGAATATTACAAAAACTTCCATGGCTTGAGAATGAAAAAAGACATGCATGAACTGCTTTAGAACATATACTGTCATTTCAAAAGTTCTGTTGAGTGAAAACATAATTAAAATGGTAAATTTTCGAGTCACATGCGCTTTAACTTGTGCCTATGAAATGAAAAATTTCACAGGAGTACGTCTGGTTGCCATACGCAATATCGGCTTTACTAAAAAACGAAGAAAAAATATCCAATTTTGTCTTAATTGCTTGACAAGTCAAATAACAGCAGGTAATTTGTTGCTGGGAATTCGCCCAATGAGAGCGTAAAAGGTTTTTACTATTAAACATTTATGTAAAAACACGACATTAGTGAAGGAAAGCTCTTAGTAAAACCAACATCCGTCATTTTGTGTGCGCAAGTTATTGTATTTCCTAGTAGTTGATTGTATTTTTCAGATGCAGTTTAAACTCCATTATAGTTGAGACTGCGGATGTGAGAAGACAGGCCAAGCACCATGAATATGATAAAATCTCCTTTATCTCGAGCAATTTTATTAATCTTTTTTGCTTGCGATGTCTACGCTACAGAATTTGATGTTGGTAAGTTTTTCTTGTTCAATATTTAAATAGTGAAAATTGCTGCTTCCAAATAAAGTTATATTCAAACTATAAAATTGCTTGCACCTGCGTACTTGGCAACGGCAAAATGTTTACAACTATCTAACTCCGCACTTTTTCACTTTTATTGCATGTTGAAAGTTGATGAATGTAGTAAATCCTGTAATGTTTTTGCCGTGTTTGTAGCTTCATTTATGATGTTTCTATTTGCTTCCACCGCGCAAGTAGTTGTAGGATATAATCCACTTTTTTCGTGTATGAAGGTTTCCTGATTATTTGCTGAATAGCATTCACATTTTTCTAAGTTTTGTCTTTCTCACATGTAGCTACTTGCTGTTGCTACGATGTTTTAAGATTTTTATGTGCATATGTGTCAATTATGCAACGAGAAATTTCAGCAACGAAAATTTCTTGAAGCAAATTATTAAAATCTTTACACCTTTTGAACTGATAACCCGTTAAACATATTTTTGTTTGATAAGACTTTTTGTGCTCTATTTTTTGCCATTTGTGTGACAACGTAGCTCGCCAAAAAATAGCTAAGTATTTTACTTCATGTTTGTCTAACACACTTATCCAACACAGAAACGCGAGGTATGTTGAACGCTACTTGACAAAATGAACTTATATGAGCTAGAATTATCCAACTATCCATTGAGAGTGACAATCATTTTGACGGCGTTTTCCGTTCAACTATTTTCATCATCAATTTAGCGTGAAACTTTTAAACTTCTTTTATGAAAGGTGAGAACGCTTGCCTTAAAAGCCGCTTCGTTTTATTAAAAGGAAGCAGGTTTTGTCGCAATTTGAACCTAACATGTTTATTTCATTACTTTTTAGGGTGCATTTTAAGCATACCTTTAATTTTTAATCCTTTAGCTATTTTATATTTGTTCCACAATCTTTGTCGAATATTTTAAGAATCAGTTCCGTACTAAAAACATTTATAACTCACTTAGCAGTTGCGTCATTTCTCGACACGTATAATACATCGCGTGATCACGAATGTCATTCATTCTGACATAAATAAATATTTCTTCATCTAATGAGCCAAGGTTTTTGAGGTGGATCAATGAACAGCACAACCAACCTCAGGAAAAAAGTACGCTGCTAGACCATATAAATCAGCTTCTCCAATTAGTTATATTATTCAAATAAAATTCCATGGATTTGATGATTTAATGTTATTTCTACACATGTGTATTTGGCAGATGATCGATTACCTGTCTTGAAATTATATTGACGTGAAAGCCTTTATGATGACAAATGTCAACATTATACGCATCGTTTATATATTTTTTTATGGGCGTTTTATTACTTTGATGTGGAAACGCTTTTACTGCTTGGCATTCTTTGTTTTTATAATTTAGCGATTTATATATATTGTGGCGATCGAAGAAGATAAAAACAGATTGTAATGTTAAGCTGATCATAAAATTAATTCCAAAAACACAAATATTTTAACTAAGGGGCTGTTTACAGACTGAGCCCTACGGAAAGAGCCAGTCCTCTCTGTAGGGCTGTATTTAACCTCTCTTTTGCATGCAAATTCTAGCCCTACATCAAGAGCTCGGCTTGAACAGCAAGTTTCGGCGCTAAAATACAAAACAGCTGCAAACAAAACAAAACAGTTATCGCCTTTTGCTTTTGTACGCTTTCTTAGTTTGTTTGCTCCCGTTGATGACTTTTCCTGTCGCCATTTCTAAAAAGCGATACCTTATCGCATGCAAATGTGTTAAATTAACAGTCCTACAGGGAGGTCTATCCCTACGTTTACATGGGAAATTTCCAGACCTACATGGCGAGATCTCGGGTAAACCATAGCGAGATGTAGGTTGGTAGGGTTCATGTAAACGAGTCGTGATTTTTTACCGAATTTTAATAGCATGCGAGATCTTGCTTGGTAAGGGTTAGCCCTGCCTGTCGTGCTCATGTAAAGAACCCCTAACTTCCATGATTTCTGTTGTCGCCGTTAGTGTCTTGTCGTATTTTGAAATGCTTCGTACGGGCCACCGTAACTTCGTGATATGTGCAAGCGATAATTTTTCGCTTTAATGGTAATGTTTTAAAACATTTAAATAACATTGTGAAAAATGGAGTTTCTCTCAAAATTTTTGACCAACTATTTGCCTTAAATGATATAAGTAATCCAAAATGGCGATTTTGAATCCAACAAGCAAATTTTGATTTTTAAGAAAGAGTTTATAATTATATCAATCAATACAACTGTCGATTTTTCTATGAATATCGTGACCTTAAGAAATATAACTGTTGTTAGAACTTCAATGCCCCGTCATTTTGCATTTTGCATTATGAGCAAAGTAGTTTTGCTACCTGTTATTATGTACAATGACCTTGTTAAAACAGCAAAATCTGCAAAATAATTGACGCTTGGCTATAGCAGCATAGTGGTCATGCAAACATTGAAATTTCAATAATTGATCAATTTATTAATACCTCCAGTTTTGCACACTTTGCAGGTATATATTGTTTTGTGTAAATGAATTATTTGCTCCAACAACTAATAAACTATCGCACAAAAGTTTATATTAAATTGATTGCCGATATGATACTGAGCATTTCATCAACGCGTAAATAAATGATCTTCTAAAACTGTAATGGACTTTCTTTTCAACATTATTGCATGATTGCACTCTTACTTCTGGAACTATTTAGTGCAGTTTTTGTGAAATTTAAATAAATATCATTGCAGAGGATTGCAACGAAAATGAGCATGATTTTACTCATTCGGAAATGACTGACCGTATGTTTTCTAACTTACGTTTTGAAAAGTGTCATAACATTAGAATGTAGTTTAGGAAATAAGTATGCAAACTTTACAGTTGCAAAGAAAGTCCTTTGAAGTTTTAAAAAATATTTTAGTGAAGAAAAAAACTTCATGCCATAGAAATTTTGTCTTTTCTATTTAGCTAAAAACTATGAAGGATGTTTTGCACTCGCATCAACGTCGAGTTTTCAGTCATCTCCCGAAACATATGATCCTAACAAAGTCACACCTTATCAGTGTGTGAAGATGTGCTCTTCTGAGGGCAGAAATAAGTTCGCTGCTATCATGACGGGCTCAATATGTCTTTGTGGAAATGATACTGTTAAAAACCTACCATCACTATGTTGTGATCAGGCTGGTTTCAACCATTCATCAGGAAACTGTGTTGGCTTCGCGTCAGTGAAAGTTTTCAATCTCAGCTCATTACTTCGAAGCGAGCCTCAAATCAACTTTCTCTCACAGCCAATGATCTTAAGCGAATCTCTTCTTAGTGTAACTTCTTTAGAGGGTTCCAGTTATCAATACAAGTACGAACTATCTTACGAATCACCTCGACAAAATATTGCACCAGAAGAAGGCAAATCGTTTGGAAATAGCTACCCTTTCTACTTTACAACATGGGGTGACGATGTTGAAATAGTTATAATTGTTCTCGGTAGAATTACTCAAACATTTAAAAAATCAGAAAATGTTGGTAGCTCCCTGCAAGTTGGAGATATAAACTGCCCAACTTATGTACAAGCTGGTTTGTCTATAATATGCCGTGGAAGCTTGAATTTTGGTAAAGAAACGAACATGACGTGGATTCTAGATAATGTTGATGAATGGATGGTTATACCAGGTAGAAAAAACACATTTTACACACGAAGAAACGTTTGCATATTTATCATAAGATGATGAAATGAGCGTTGTCATCCCACTATATATATTTTGATATTTTAAGACATCTTGATTTCTTCGTAATTTTATGAGAAATTTATTCATAAACTTCCTAAGTTTGTGGACTTTTCAGTTTTTCTCTCTCACGGCATAGTTTTGTATCTTTGAGTTTAAAACAGCTCTTTTTAGGTCTCTTGTGTGATTGTTTGATGACTTATAGCTCTAAAACAGCTCTTTTCAAAACTTCTTCTGGCTCCTTAGTTGCTGAACCCTCAAGATTTCTACGAACGAGCTCTCTAGCATGTGTATTTATTAAAACGTGCTTGTTGACTGCATAAAAAATTATTTGGGTGGATTATAGCGCATATTATCCTTCAATGACGATTATGTTGCTGAAAATGATCAAATGTAAATAATAATTAATTTGAAAAACAATTACAGATCCAGTAAGTTTGAACATTGGAAGTCCCGTTCCACGTTGGAAGTTTAATGATACCAGCTCTTCTGATCTTAATCTTGGTCTTGTCGTTTCATTGGCAACTTTAAGCTCTCAACCTGTAACTGTCCATGCTTGGGAGATGAACGTGAAAAAGCCCGGAGAACTAAAAATTGTGGTAAGATTTTCAATTTATTGCAACATTCTTACTTGTTCAATTTTTCGGACGTGTGGATGTAATGTATCAATTTTTGTCACACACCCTCATGTATCATACACTCATGTTTAAAGTTTTTTATAACTAGTTCTAAATTCTGCTGGAGTGTTCGCTTTTAAGTTTGATTACTTGTAAAGGATAATTATCTGTAACATGAACAGATTTTCATATGTATTTTTACAAGGGGTGGTGCTAAAAATTTTAGAGGGTGAGGTTGTCAATAAATGACATAAGACAAAGTAAAGAAAGTAAGAATTTCATGTTTGGTCGAGTAGTGCGGCCACCAAAGATAGTGTAAATTTAAGACATTGCCATGAAAAACTAAGTTCAACTGTACTAATGATCTGTTTTTCTAAAAATTGGCGAGGGTCATTAAATGTGCCGTATTTTCTTTAATCCTTGCTTCCTGGAACACGAAAAACATTATCACAATTTCTTTAAATAAAAATTCGCATCTTTTGCAGGTACTGAGGCCAATCTGCCCTAGTAATAAAACCTATTGTCCATCGTCGAAAACATGTTGCCCAATCGACTACAAACTCTTGCATCAACTAAATGAAAACGATGTAGTTTGTGGAATGGCAAATTTCCGTTTAGTTCAGGAGAACTGTTCATTCAATAGTGACCCAGTGCCATTATTCGATCAATACGCACTTGTTTTTAATATTTCGTTGTTTGTCACAGTCGGCTATAACCTAAAAAAGTTATCTATTGATGAAACGTTTGAGTATCTACCTGGAGACATCATGGGTTTGTTAAATTCACCAGGGGGCGCGACTATTGCCGTGGATTCTAGTCATGGTGCGTATAGCGTGTGGGAGAATATTGTCGCATTGTCTGATAAGTTTGTGATCGATAATGCTATGAAAAAAACGACAACTGGAAATATCCTCTTATCTGGAATTGCTTTAAGAAAGTCTGAGTTTACTGCAAGTATCGCTCCTCATGCTGTTCAAGGATTAAAGAATATTGTATTCACTTATTCCACAAAAGGTGATACCGTCAAGGTATTGAAGTCAGTATCTGTTTTGTATTTAGTTGGGAATGTTTCATTTGTTACTGCGACTAACTCTTGCTTCATTTACGGACCTTTAAATGAAGAATTCATGGTTTCTTTGACCTTTCAAAACGGGACGAACGCTACAGTTTCGTGGCGTATTAACAATGTTACGACTATGTCTTCCCCCTATTTAAAAATGGGTAATCAGGAAGAAATGACTGATCATCAAAATTTTACGTTGACCAGCCTTGGCGAACATTTGCTAGTTGTTGTTGTTGCGAATAGATTAAATGGAAGGCTGTTGACTACAACAGTCATCGTTCAAGAGAAAATAAAAGGTGTAAACGCAGGCAAGCTCATTCAAAACAGTACAATTTATCAAGGATTTGATACTCAATTATCAGTAAAGGTGATGAGAGGAACAAATGTTACATACAAGTGGTATTTTGGTGATGGTAGTGATGTTGTGACATCCACTAACAACACCATCACGCATGCGTATTTGAAATCCGGGCGCATAAACACGACAGTTGAAGCTTTGAATATGGTGTCAGCAGTGAACGCTACGATTAACATCAACGTTACAAACCCAGTCGAAGTCATTACCCCAACACACATCGAGAGCAACGTTTCAACTAATATCACGTGCAGTTTAATGCCCGAGAACTCTCCACTGGTCTACGTAACAATATTGCAAATTGACGAAGAGTATTTAGCATTCTCTAACTGTAGTACGATTGAGATCACCTTGACGCCAGGCTTGCATCATATTCATTGCCATATTGAATTTGGTATCGCAATGCACGCTCGTAAAACTGTATATGTTATAGAACGTATTCAAGGATTATCAATACTCGATGTACCTCCCTTGAAAGTCAACTCGTCATACATGGTTAAAGCAAATATCAGTGCTGGTAGCAATGTTACTTACTTATGGCAAGTTTATGATGAGACGTACAGTAACTTTTTGAACAGTTCACAGTCTATTGTGTTTTCCAAGCGTGGCAACGGAAGAGTAAATCTAAAGCTTAATGCATCAAATGTATTATCAATGGTTAGTATAGAGATCGTAGTGATAGTTCAAGAAAGCATTGAAAAGTTGAGGATCAATGCATCTCAAAACCCAGCCAAAGCAAATTCGACGATTTTCTTCGAAATCAGCAAAGATTCAGGAACTGAAGTGAATTATACAATAAGCATTACAAAAGCCAAAGTTTATGTTTATGATAAAGAATTAGGGCCTAATCCTAATTTCAGTTATATATTTTCAAAAGAGGGCTGGTATGATGCATTAGTTTCATCTAAGAATTTGATCAGCACATCAAACGCTACTTACTCCATCGCTGTCCAAGAGCCGATAAAGAGTAATCCAAAAATTAAATGTCGTCATATTTTGCTTTCTGATGCAACTTGTGTTGTACCTACAAATGAACCTATATCGTTCACAGCTGAAATAACTTATGCGACAAATGTTTCGTTTGAATGGAAATGGAAGGAAAATGACGTTGACGTTGACAAATCTCCAGAGAGCAACAATGCAAGTGTCATATCAACTAAAGAAAAAACATTTCAAACTGCGAGCAAGTTTTTGATCTTTGTCACGGCCAAAAATAACATCAGCTCAAAATATAATAGTCTCGCAGTTGAATCGCTCCATAAAATTTCTGGTTTTAGTTTTTACAACAATAACATTACAACTATAAACACTGATGTCGAAATCGTCACAACTATGTCAAAAGGATCCAACGTTTCGTATGCTTATACTTTTGGCGATGGAAATTCTACAATAACCAATTCCCCTGTCACGAATCATAGTTACTCAAACGTTGGCAAATTCCTCATCGAATGCAATGCAAGCAACTTGCTGAGCTCAGAAATTTTCTCACGTTCCATAGTTGTGCAAAAAAAGATAACTGCTGTTGACATTAACCCAATCCGCCCGCAGAAAACAGGTCACAAAGTCGAAATAAGATGGAATGTTACCGATGGTATTCATCCTCTAAGTGATGTAAATTTTGATGATGGACATACTGCAACTGTAAACCATACATACTGTGATGAATACAATTTTGGGTATCGCTGTCGCATGAAATATACATGGTCGAAGTTAGGTGAATATCAGTTGTTCATTAAAAGCTATAATTTGGTTTCTAGTAAAAATTCCAGAATAACCGTTATCATACAAGATGCTATTCTTAACTTTTCCGTCGACATAGAGAATAAGACTACATACTATATGAATACGAAAATTTCAGTCAAGTATAGTACAAACAGTCGCAAAGATGTGAAGTATGAGATAAAATATTACAACAAGATTGAGAAGGAAGAAACTGACTTCATTAAATACACTAAAGAAGGCAGCTTCATTCCACAGTTTCGAGCAAAAAATCTCGTAAGCGAAACTGAATGGGTAAATGGCAGCAATGTGGAAGTTATTGTCGTTAAGAAACCCAGAGAACCTGAAAAAATTGTAAATTTGACAATGTCAGTGAAGCCGACAAAGTTTGGAGAAGTGACAAAATTCAAATTTGACTATCAGAAAGGAGCGTTATTTTCTTGCAAAATGAATTACGGTGATAAAACGACGAAGAGCAAAACAGAGTCTGAGGTAAATGAAGGAATTCTTATGAATACAAAGAAACTGGAGATTTCGTTGCAGAGATAGCATGCAGTAATAAATATAGCCATGAAAAAGCAATTGCCACAGCTTATGTCCATGCACCTATTGAAGAATTTAAAATAAATAATTCCTTTATTCGTGAAGAGTTTCAAAAAGAAATTACCGTATTTCTCGAATGGCTCAACGGATCTAATTTAAATGTAACCTACTCTACTAAACATGACTATAACGATGACGAAGGTACTTTGGATGTTAAATTAAACTACACTTCACGTACAGGAAAGATTACTTTGGGAAAGGATTATTTTCCTGAGCCTGGTTTGTACCTCCTCTCCGTAAACGCTTCTAATCGCGTGTCTTCTTTGGATGAACCGGTGACAGCAATAATTGAAATTGTAGAATCGATAAAGGGTGTTGAAATTTTGGTTAACGAGTTTGTCTCAGTAGGGTATAAATTTCGTGCGTATATTTTACGTGAGAAAGGTAGTGATATAATTGTAACGTGGGACTTTGATGATGGCACGCCCAAACTCATCTCGAATTGTACTTGGAAAGAATCTTGTTACATGGAACATGAGTACAAAGAAAGTGGGAATTATTTAATATCTGCTTTTCTTCAAAATTCCATAAGTAAATATTCGACAGAAAAAACGATTAATATATTATATCCTATTCGAGGATGGGAACTCGAACAAGTCGGAATCGGCCGTGAAAATGACCTGACGACATTAAAAATGTATCGCAATAACAGCTTTCATTTTCCTACCAATGCAACGTACTCCATACGTTTTGACGAGAAGAAAAAGTTCAGTAAGGAAAAAACATTAACAAATGGAGACCTCGTGCAAAATTCTACTTACATGTCGAGTGGATGCTTTCTTGCTGGAGTAAAGATGAGAAACAAAGTCAGTAGTGTTTTTCTTGAAGCTAAAGTAAAAGTACGTGGACAATATTCAAAAGCTAGAATAAACATTGAAAGCTTAAAACCAGACAATTTAAAGGCCTCTACCTCATCTTTACCTCTTGAATACCCTGTCAAATTCAGCTCAAATATCAACAACGCTTGCCTCAAATACATCTGGACTGTTATTGGCCCAAAAATGAAACGTTAGCTCTGTTTTACTCAGTTTTTTTTGTCCATACTTTCAACGAAGCTGGCAAATATCGTGTTAAATTCCTTGCATACGATAGCGATGACAAAAATGAAAACGTTGCTGATGAGAGTGATTTTTCTCTTGATTATTCCGTTAGCGGACTGTATTTTTCTGGTCAAGGAGTTGGCAAAGTGAATAAAACTACCCAGTTTATTTTACTTTGGGCAACCAAGGGAAAGGATACAAGTTTTAAGATTGACTATGGGGATGAGACAAAAGAAGAACTAGATGTACACCATCCGACGACCGTCTTTAAAAACTATGTTGGCCAAATTCCATTTGATCCTAAAGGTTTGAATGGTATAGTTTTTAATCATAACTTTACAAAAGATGGGAAATTTAAAGTGAAATTGACTGTGGACGATAGAAAAGACTCCCTTGTGACCTACATGATTATTTCCAAAGATCCATGTCCTCCACCTACGATAAAGATACATGGAGGACACCAGAATGCGTTAAAAGCGCCAACAATTCCTTTTGAAGTAGAGTACTTGATATCTTCTTCAATTGAAACAACGAAATGCAGTTCTGATATAAAAATTGACTTCAATTGGAGGATCTTTAAGGCTGATGAATACCTTTTGAATGCTACAGGCCTGTCTGTAATCCCCCCAAATGAAAACCTTGAGTTGAAGTGAGTAAAATAATAAAAATAACTATGTTTTTGGATAATTTCAACTTGTACTAAGTATTGTTGTGGTTTTCATAAGGTCTTTTACTATTACAGTGTGATCACGTTTACAAAAATTACAAAACTGCAACATTAGCTTGCAATGTAGGATTGTGCAATTTTGAAGTTTTCTGAAACTTTTTTCAGCTTTCTGTATACGATATCAATGAAAAATTAGTGAAAAGACTTCACTAGACTTTTTACAGCATAAGTTTTGTAGTAAGTTCAAAGTTTAACCTGACAAACAGAGCTGTTTGCTTCATTTGCATGATGTATCTATGTTAAACGATTATTTTTAGTACATCTTTATTTTTATTTTATATTTTCAGGTACTCTGAATATCCAGCTACTCGCAATCAACCTTCGTTTGTCATCGCACGTAGAAGTTTAAAACCAAGTTTGTATATCTTTCAGTTGAACATTGAAATAAATGCTTTAAATACGAGCTCTCAACACCTTGTGTATGTTAGAATTAAAAGACCTCCTCTTATCGTCTTTATTGATGGAGGAAGTGCGCGCTCTGTTCCGTGGAATCGCAAATTTATTTTGGATGCGTCAAAATCAAAAGATCCTGTGGGTGACAATCCAAAACTTACTTTCCATTGGTCTTGTAAAATCATCGGAGATTCTGGGGATGGTGGTTGCTTTGGGGGAGGTGAAAGACTTACTTATAGGAAAGGAGAGAAAATTACTGAGTTTCGTGAAAAAATCTTGCTGGAAGGAAGACCTTACTTGTTTACAGTAACTGCTACTGACAACGGTTTATCGCAAAATTATAGTCAAGAAATTCAGGCAATCAGTGGAAAACCTCCTTTGGTGAGATTGAGGTAAATGTGAAAAATAAACCATACAACGAAACCCTTCCTGCATAGCGTATTTAGTAAATCTGTGTTATTTCGTGAAAACAGCTCTAGAAAGAAGACTAATTTTGTCCATCAGTTAATTAGTTAACTCAAACTCATTTAGATATTTTAGAAAGCATTGATATTCTTTTATTTAAATGTTGAATTTTTCAAGCTGTATCTCAAATTGTGCAAGCAAAGTGAATCCCGACGCTCGGCTTTCAATCAAGTCAATTTGTGAAGAAAACTGCGAGGGCTTAAAATATAACTGGAGTTTGGTCGCGTCTGGTGAAGTGCAAAATATCTGGCCAAACGAAACTTTGACGACCCAAAATTCCGCAAATCTGGTTGTAAAAACTAACGTTTTTTCACCCAATAGAGTTTACAAGTTCAAATTAATGATTGAAAACGATCACGGTTAGTTTTCAGTGTATGTTGTTCTGATTAATATTGCTGGATCCAGCGTTAGTCAAAATGAATTCTAGCTATTTGATTTTAAATTCAAAGTACTGACAGGCAACTAAAGGAAATTTATAAATTTGCAGCAATGTGACGTCACTTTCTCTATAAATTTCGCATCACAAAACTTCAATATCACGAGAATTCAAAGTGATACGACTATAATTCTATAAACTGTTATAAAAAGTCCGCTGTTATTTTACGAGTCCTTTCAATGAAATAATAATTTTAATAGCAAATTTTTTGCTATGCTGGTCCATTAAATAATATTGGTATCGTTACATTGCTTGAGGTTTTGATAGCTTATTTGCTATTGTTGTTTAGATAAACAAGGGTTTGTGTGGTACAAAATTGAAACCAATGCAGCTCCGTATGGTGGAAATTGTACCTTTTTGCCGAAAGTTGGAATCACCATGAACACGTCTTTTTCTTTTGGTTGTGAAAATTGGAAAGATGATGTTGTGAATCCAATTTTTAGTTACAAAGTTATGTACTCGTTGTGGGGAGAAAAACAACAATTCTTACTTTATTATGGACCTCAGAAAAACGTGACTGGTCTCAAATTACCTGCTGGAAAAATTAAATTGACCATATATGTTGAAGATGCGTTCAAAGCGTTTGCTGTGACTGAACTCAAAGTCACCGTGAGTTGTAAATGATAATTTTTGTTGTTTTTTGTTGTTCTATAGCTGTATGTTTGCTTTTATATAAGTAAAATGATTTTCAAATCGAGAGATTGGTGAATTCATTTTAGTTTCGTGACATATTGCATAGAGCCGCCTTTCACACGTCTCATTCATGTTCGTTTTGTTTTGTAATTATGCATCATACAGGTCAACTCACGTCCGCTAAGTCTGAAACAATTTGAGAATTTTACCAATGAGATCGAAAAATTGATAAAGTCTGGTGACAAACAGGCGGCTAATCGTTTGGCATTAGCTCTCGTGAAAGGACTTGATTCCAAGAACTCGACAGAAAAGGGAGAAAAGAAGAGAAACCACCAGGTTAATGAAAAATGATATTAATGTTGTGTTTGCACTTAAGTACTTCCAGTTTTTACAAGACGCACAATGTTTGATGATTGAATACTTCTTTTGTCGTTTCTAGATAAACAGGATTGTAAACAATATTGCAGATAATCTTCCAGGTGATCTCAACTCAATGACGCAAAGCATTGAGACTATTGTTGTTGCTATAGACTCTCAGAAAGAGTCTCCTCAGGAAACTCAGGTTTGTATATCTTTACAGGCTTATATGTTTAATGATTTTACTTAATTGACGAGTCGACTTAAAGATATTTTTGACTTTTTTGTCCCATTTACTACGTTATTTGCGTACTGGGTCTTGGGAAAACATTTTCATGGAAATTATAGTTAAAAAATTTAAAGTAGAATATGAGAGGATTATTTTGCTGATTGACAACTTATCACTTGTTTCGAATGTTTAGGTTGATTTGAATTTCACTTGAACACTTTCTTGAAACAAATCTTGAACTTCCATTTTCATATTTTTCCTTTGCTGTGGCAATTTGTCCAATTACGAATACAAGTATTTTGTGACTTTTCCTATAGCAATGATGTTATTCTTTTCGTGGACATCATGTGTTATTCACAGAATTTAATTAAGCGCAATATATCTTTATATAAAACGCGTAACCTGGACGTTTTGTATCTTTGAACAGGGAGTTCTGTTTAGGATTACCTGTAGGAATTACAGGTCGACTCACCCACACGATAATGGAATTTTATTCCAGGTTCTTACGTCGTAAAAAAGTGGTTACTTAGACATTTCATCATGGTATTTTTGTCGACCTCAGCAAAACCATTGCTGAAATTATGTTAGCATAAAGTTTTCCTGATGATAATGTGCATACAAATGAATACAAAACACAATTTTTTCTTCAGAATCTTGTTTTGTCTGCACTCAAGAAGACAACTGAGGAATTATCAAAAGAATCAGATGAGGATATTGGCAGTAGTTTCATTGAAGGTGTTTCAAAAAATATATTGGATGGATTAGGATATATTTTTGAAGCTTCGTCATCAACTCAATCTCGAGCAATCCGTCTACAGAGCGACAACCATACTACGATATCTTTTGAGGAAATTAAGGAAACAGCTAAAAAAGTGAGCTTAATTATTTGTCATTTTGCTTAATTTAATAAACGGCATGTAATAGCTATTTAACGCTGTGATTTCATGTAGAGGGGAATCACCAGTTATCTAAGGTTTTACTGTTTTTCGCCCTTGCATGCAGTAGCACAGCATTTATTGACTGTAAAACAGTTTATTTCTAAAGAATGACTAAATATTATACCAGTTATACTACTTCAGTCCGCTTATTTGGAGAAAGCTAATGCTTAGATTTTGTATGGAACTATTTGAAACGATTAAAGATTACGTATGCCGTAAGTAATCATTAATTTTTTGTAGGCTACGGAAAATGTACAGAAATCGTTCTTAGCCTTTGAAAGTGTTGTGCAATCTATTTTTAAAAAGAAAGTAGCTGATGAAGACGTGTTGCTAATGGAAACAAAAAAGTTGGAAACTTCATTGCAACGAGCCAGCAGTGAAAAAACGGAAGGAGCTACTGTGCAATTCTCCAATAAAAGCAGAGCAAAAATTCAATTCCCCGACAACTTAACGGAGCATTTAAATGGCTCCAAGGAAGTAAATGTTATTGTGAGTATTTACTTAGTAAACATTGTAATTTATCAACACAACATAAACCATTTTGCCGACAGCAATATAAATCAAGAATTGATGTGCTATTAATGGCGTAGCCATCTCAATTATTGTTTCACTCAACAGCTATGGAATTATTTTTTCGTTCACTGGATGTGCAAACAAAAGATTTCTAAAGAAATGAGTAGTAGAAATAATTCATGTATTCATTTAGAGAATAAACCTGAATGCAGGCAATGCTAATGGTTGTTCCACTTAGTGGCTTTCAACACATTTTCATTCCTACATGAAAATTACTTATAGGGTCTCTTCCTGACTGACAATCCGCATCAATCATCAAATTCATCCAGTCAAGTTAATTCCAACACTGTGTCGTTAGAACTAAAGGGTGATAGTGGTACTATTGCGATCGATAATTTGCCTAACAATTTCCGTATCACTGTGCCAAGACCTATCTCACAGAAAATTATAAATAAGGTATTTGCTTAATAATATTGTTATGAAATTCTACAGTGTAAAATATACTCCTTTTTTGAAGCTGTGTATATAAGCATTTAATTCAGTTCTGTGGATCACTTGAAAAAAGTGGTGTAAGCAAACATGAAGATTTTGGGCGGGCATAAGGTTTGAGCATTTATAGAAAAACTGGGGATGTGCCCCAGTGAAAAATTTTCATCTAGCATTCCTTAATAGAAGTTTCCCGTGTTTCTGATGTGAGGATTTTTATAGCTAAGCAGTAGCATAGGTACTCAACTAGTAATCGTCCTCTTCTAATGTCTATCCGGATTTCATCTTTTCGCGAGAGAAGTCCCTTAGCCGTTATTTCAGCTACCGCTTGAGAAACGCGAAATATTGACATGGGCTTTTGAACCACTTGCTTACAATTTTACATATAATAATTTTATTGTAGAATAAAAAACCCACACATTTTCAAATCATATTAGACATCTTTCATGAAGTATTTCCTTGAATAAAATGATTGTAGCATTATCAGTTTTAACGAGTCTTACATGAGTAAATATTTTTTTCAGACGGCCGTCAACGTATCTTCGACAAGGATAGATGACCTTACTGTTCATGTTTTCAATTCAACTTCTCCAAATAATGCATTCTTCATTGAAATAAACATCGTAGACAACTGTTCAAAAATAAAAGAAATTGGTTTGTACTTCAGAAAAAATGGAAGACCAACTATCGGAGAATATGACTTTAACGAAACGCATTTTCTAAACTCAACCAAATCTATAGTTCGTTTTCTAAGCAATGGAACAATAGATGGTCTGGAGTACTACGTTGGGATAAAAGCTCAAGTGAATGGTGAACCAATTGTAATGAACTATACATTTACACCTCGAGAACTTGGCTGTTATTTTTACGACAATAGAAGTGAAACTTGGTCAACAGATGGCTGTACGGTAAGTTCTGTATATAGCTATATCATCACATTGCCAACTTTTATGTCTAAGTCATTTTTGTAAGTTTTGTGAAAAAGAGAAAATGATTAATATGATATTAAAAACAGTCAAATTTTTGATTGGACATCAGTATGTTGAACATGTATCGAGTTCGTTTTTTATTGGTCAATTGACTTCGGAATAAGTACAGAACACACGAGTGGACAAAATGCTCAAGATTTAAAAAATATGATTAAGGAAAAAAAGTTAGTAACTTGACGAAATGCGGAGAAAACTGACGTATGGGTGTTTTAAAGAGCAATCGTCTACATTCAGCTTTTGTTTCTTGATATATACAGCGCCGATTTTACACAGGGGCGGCAAATGACACGGGCCAGCGATTTAGGCCAGAAGTAAACGCTATACAAAAAATTCTAAATTGAACTTTGATATTTTATCGCGCATTGTAATGTGTTATTCACAATTATATTTTTGGGTACAAAGGACATGAACTTTTTACCTTTTCTAGTTAACTGAATTGTGCTTTAACCTGTGCAAATTACCGGTCTGAGAAATATCGGACTGACGTTTTTTTGTACAGACCGAGCCCGTAGGGCGTGGTTTGTACAAAAACACAGAGGTCCGATATTTCTCAGTAAAGACCGAGAAAGCAAGGTTATTAAAAGATTTATTATATGGCATTTTTTGATCTGAAACGAAGCTTGCTTTCTCTCTCGTCCTTGCTGTTTTTTACCGGTTGGCTTTCACTTTACTAGTTTTCGTCCTTAAAAAATAAATCGTTTCAAATTGTATCGTCTAAATAGTTAAACTGTTTTCCAAATGTTTTTCCTTCAAATCACATTCGTAAATGGTTTTTTGTTTCCTTTATTTTGCGTTTACCTGTTTGCATTACGAAGTTTGTTTACATTTGACTGTAAAATTACGCGTTTTGGACCGTGGTCGATTACGGGAAAATAATGGACCGGCAAAAAGTTGAATTAACTGCATTTTACGTCGCTATAAAGACAAAAATTTGGGGCCCCCAGGAAGAAAATGCCACTTGCCACGAGGTGTGTAAACGCGGCGCTGCATGGATATATATTTTGGTATTTTTTCGTTTCCACCATGTTTATTTTAAAATAAGCTCATAAACATTATTAATTACTTCATTTCTACTTGGCTATAAATGTGGGATAACCGACAACGTTGATCTAAATTTAAATGATCATGAGAAAATTTTAATGCATCTTTTTCATTTTGTATATCGATGATTGCCTCTGCTTACATGCATTTGTCTATCTTTCAGCCATCAAATGAGTCAACCGAGTTCCTTGTTCAATGTATGTGCAATCATCTTACTTTTTTTGGCTCAAACTTCTTTGTGAAACCTAATAAGTTGGATATTAGTAGTTCAATTTTGAAATTCGAACAACTTGCCAAGTATCCGGCACTTCTCGCTACAATTTGTGTCATTGGTGGATCTTATCTTATCGCGATGATTTGGGCGGTCAGAAGAGATCGGAAGCAATCCCACACAGTAAGTTGAAATTATTTTCATTTTTCGATTTGCTTCCATAAGTACTTATATAATTTTAACATTACAACTTCGGTTGCAAAACTGGTTTATAACTGAAAATTAGAAAAAATTATTGTATGCTTACGGTTTCTGCTATAAATGTAGTTTCTCTACAACCATTGTGATATGTTAACTGCGTTAAAGCGGACCATGTCGAGTTTCAACGCAAGCAAAAACATTTTTGCGAAATTTCAAATTTTATTGCTCCGATTGTTTTAAACCCTTTTTTTGAAAATTATTGACTGCTAGATTTCCATTTCAAGTAGGTCTTTAAAAAAACAGCAAATGCATGAAAAGAATGGATGATGTAGCTATAAAAGGGTAACGTTACTGGCAAACCAGGATCATATATTGTGGTTAATAAATAAAGAAGTATTGCAAAGGTAGATATGTAACTAAACCATTGACAATACGGCTGGATATGAATGGATAAAGAAGTATTGCCAAGGTGGATGTGTGACTAAAACCATTCACAGTAAGGCTGGAGATGAATGGATAAAGAAGTATTGCCAAGGTGGATGTGTGACTAAAACCATTCACAGTAAGGCTGGAGATGAATGGATAAAGAAGTATTGCCAAGGTGGATGTGTGACTAAAGCCAATCATAGCACGGCAAACCATAACACCAAACATTTGATTCACTTGTAGAACCTTTATATGAACTAAATTTCATGAAATAATCAAATTTTTTACCTGTCAAGTTTAAACGTGCGACTGCAAAGTCCTGATACTCAACTGCACTACCGGCTTTTTCTTTAATTTTTTTCGTCTACACGAATTTTTATTTGTGTATGTTTAAATAAGTTCATCGCATTCCAAATAATCATCATCATCATCATCATATATTTTCGCGCCAGGGCGATCCAAACTCGGGCTGGAAGTTTGGAAGTGTTGCGCGTGTTGTAGCAATCAGTCGAAATCAGGGACGGCACGTGAAGCCTTGCTACTTGTCCCCATTCCAAATAATCAAGCCTTTACATGAAATATTCATCCCGTTTTGTTGCATCTTAATCTTTGTACCAAAAATCTGTGTTATATGACAATCAACGTTCTGTCATTTATATATTTTAGACATCAGTTCATTGTGCTGCCGATAATGACCTATACGACAATTACAAATACGAGGTAACGCTGTTCACTGGAAGCAGACGTAACGCTGGTTCTACTGCTGAGCCTTCGATCATTATGACTGGCGATTACGGAAGCAGTGAGCCACGGTTACTTCAAAGAACATCATCTCTGTCATTTTCGAGAACAGCCCAGGATTCTTACTTAGTAACCACTCCTTATTCACTTGGTGCACTACAACATATTCGTGTATGGCACGACAACTCCGGCTCTGATCCCTCATGGTTTTTGTCTGAAGTGATAATTCGTGATGTGGAAAGTGGGGAACAGTACTTTTTCTTATGTAACAGTTGGTTGGCCTGCGATCAAGGAAATGGCTTGGTAGAAAAACTTGTTCCGGTTGCAAGCTCAGATGAATTAAAAGATTTTCAATATCTTTTCATGCAGAATTCAACTCAAGGCTTCAGCGACGGCCACTTGTGGTTTTCGGTTCTCTTACGACCTGTTCAAAGTCGGTTTACGTACGCGCAACGAGTGACATGCTGCCTTAGTATCCTCATGTGTACCATGTTAACAAATGCAATGTTCTTTAGAGTACCTGTTGCTGCTGAGAACAACGTCAAGGTGGATGCGGGACCTTTCCAGTTTACCTGGCATGATGTAATGGTTGGAATACAATCTAGTTTGATTGTGTTTCCCATCAATTTGCTTATCGTTACAATATTTCGACGTGTTGCTATGAGACCAACAAAAAGTTCAAAATACGTCAGCAATGACACCGCATCGACAAAACCTGTAACTTCATCAAAAATGTTTATAAGTTTGGGAAGCCTTGAAAAGACAAAAACTGAATCGCAAGATAAAAAAGACTCAAGTAAGAATAAGAATAAAGATGACCTGTTCTTGATTTCTTATAGATGGCAGACATTGAATGCTACTGGATGCATGAGAAATGGTTCAGTTAGGAAGAAAAACTGATTCTAGCTAATAACAAAGGTATTTTTTTCTTTTATAGATACTCCTAAACCAAAAACGCTCATGCTTCCATGGTGGTTCATTTTTGTTGGTTGGTTCTTGGTCATTATCGTCTCTCTTACCGCTGCATTCTTTACCATGCTATATGGTCTGCAATTTGAGAAAAAACAACAAGAAAAGTGGCTTCTGGCTTTGTTGATCTCTGTTTCTCAAGATGTCTTCGTCTCTCAGCCAATAAAAATATTCGCATTCGCAATGTTTATTGCATTTGTGATACGAAAGCCAAACAATGTTGATGTGAACGAAGAAAACGATATTTTGATGAAAGATGATCAATGGATACAAGAAAGCTGGCAAAAGGTAAAAAATTATCTGATGAATTGTTACATATACACGCTGTGATTAGTTCAACTTTTTCTTATTGTTGTCGAAAACATTTTTTATTAAGTGTACGAGAGTGATATTTTTTCATATACAAGTACGAAAAAGGATAGTAGTTTGTTGTTCATTGTTCTAGTTCATCTATCTAGTAATATCTATTAAAACCGTTAATTTTGTCATACACATAAATTTAACAATGCTAACGTCATGTGAGAAAGGAAAACTGCCACACAAGAAAATGAAAGAATTCAGTGAGCTATTGTTTCAATAACGAATGAAAAAATAACAGCACATTTCCTTTTCCGTCAACCGGCTGTAAACTTTGAACGCTTGCGCCTTTCCCAAAATGAAAATTTGATCGCCCTTTTCGCAGCAAACCTAGGTACATGCTCTTTTTGCGAAAATAGATTTTGATTAATTGTCTAATGCGGTTTCAGGCTAATCCAGAAGGAGTTTTGAGAAGAAGAACGGAAAGGAAGCCACCAGATGAGTTAATATTGAACAAGATGCGAATCCTCCGTCAAAAAGAAAGGAAAATGTTCCATGTTTGTCGTGAAGTTTTGCAATTTTTCTTTTTTTGGTGGATCGTGCTCATGATTGCATATGGCAAACGCGATCCTTCAGCTTTTCAACTGTCTACATCCATAAAAAAAGCCTTTCTAGATCTCGGAGATGACAGCGATCTTTTCAATTTTCCAAGAGGATCTGCAGCACACGATATTGCTTTGGTAAAAAGATCATTTAGTGTCGATTTTTTTAAATGAAAAATGTAACAACATCGTCTCAATATATTTCCAGACAAAAAACAAGAGAGATTTATTTTTCTGGATTCGCGAAGTAATAATTCCCGGACTGTTTCATCACACGTGGTATAATAACAAAACTGATAAAGATCAATTCTACATATCTGACGGTGTTGGATATCTCATTGGGAATCCCAGACTTCGATTGCTGAGGGTAAAGAATGGTATGAAAACAATCTGATATTACATAGTTTGTTTAATAAATGACGAAAACTGCAAGAGGAAGGTTATTGACATGGTTTACTACATTTATAGATACGTGTCGTCTAGCGAATGAAGTGAAAGGACTGATTAACGGTTGTGAAGCAGAATATTCGTTTTCAAATGAATATCAAAAGAAATTCAATGATATAAACTGGAAATCTTTCAACGACTCCGATCCACCTGGTGAAATGTGGCATTACAAATCTCAAAGAGAGCTGTATGAAAGGCCATATTGGGCAAAACTTGCTATATATCGTGGAGGAGGATATGTCTTGGAACTTAGCAAAAACAAACACGAAGCAATTGAACAGATCGAGAAAATTAACAAGACTTGGTGGTTAGATGGTAATACACGAGCAGTTTTTGTTGAATTTGCTATGTTTTATGCAGGAATCAATCTCCATTGTATCGCTACAATCGTATTTGAATGTCCTGCGTCTGGCGGCTGTTCGACGTACTTTCAAATACTACCAACCAGATTGGATGAGATGATTGGCAACTATCGAATATTCGTCTTGGCATGTGAAGTCGTCTTTATTGTTGCCATTGCTGTTTTCACGTACAGAGAGGTCAAGAAAATAATTAAGACTAGAGTGAAATATTTTCATCAATTTTGGAACTTGATTGAGATAAGTACAATTGCTCTTGGTTGGACCTGCTTGGCATTTTACATTCTTCGTTTTATCGCGAACAAGTGGACAAAGTCAAAATTCAACAAAGATCCAGATAATTTTGTGAGCTTTCGTTATGTCGCGACCGCTGACGAGTTGTATGGAGTGATAGTCGCCTTGTTGGCGTTTCTCACTTCTATAAAGTTCATACACTTATTCCGATTCAATCGACGCATGTCGTTACTTGGCAGTACCTTGAGATACGCTGTCTGGGATATGTTTAACTTTCTGGTTCTTTTTGCTGTCGCCTTCTTCGCTTGCGTTAGCGTTGCTTATCTTCTCTTTCATACAAACATCGACATGTTTTCAAGCATCTTAAGCACGGCTGAAACACTTTTGAACATCATTCTCGGGAAATTCAAGTACGTCAGTCTTTATGATGACACGTTTCTTGCCAGTGCAGTTATTTTGTCTGTCTACTGCGTCGTTGTTGTATTCATACTCATGAATGTATTCCTTGTTATACTGAACGAGGCTTTCAAGAATGTAAAAAATGACAATGACCTTCAAGAAAATGAGCACGAGATCGTGGATTATATGATATCACGATTGAAATCATGGCTCGGCTTCCATTCTAAGCCATCGCCCCAGGTTTCAGATTTTGAGTATGAGTACGGATTCAAGCCCACATACGTCCCTCCACTTAAAAAGAAATATGAAGTACCTTCAACCGCCATTCTGGACCAAAAACTTGAAGAGTTACTACATGTTGTTGACAAACAGGTACGTCGTGATGATATGGAGAATATACGTATTGATCAGTCAGGCGATGAATTCAACAAGAAAGCATTGGTATTGCTGTTGAGCTGATAAACGTAAAACTATCCCAATCATTATTTGTACTCTGCAGCTTTAGCAAAGCTTGTTGACTGTTTTTCTTTTGAGTGTCTTAATGCTCGCTTGCTGCGTGATTGTAGTAAATATATATTTTAGATATTTAGTCTAACGTAAAGATTGAAACTATCACTATCATATTGTTTTGAGTTATTGCATGGAGTAACATAGATTTAAAAAAAAACTCCCTTAAATGTTCACCACAGAACAAATTACGAAACATTACTTTAACTAAAATATTAGCATAGGTATAACACAATAGAAAACTACTGTAATACGAAAAAAGTCCTTCAATGATGGAGAACTTTAATTCGCATTATGTGCACTGCACTTTATTAATAAAATATCATGATGAAAGTTGTGACACATTTTAAAAAAATTTCAACCCCCAACGTACACTCAATAATCCACGTCCAAATAAATTAACATCATTCTTTTACTGAACGATTTAACGCAGTTCAATAGCTTACCCTTGTGTCAGTTCTGTATGATAATCACATCACGCTAATGTGCAAGCCTGTGATTTCTTCTTCAAGTAACTATATTTCAAATAAATACTTCGATGGCAGCTGATGATAGGTATTCCGGATCAAATTAGTCATTAAGTTCTTTGACCTAGTAAACGCTCACCACGTTTGAACTGAAATTGAATGATGTTTTGAAGTCTATTTGAGCCTGCCACAGCAATGGCAGCACCTTTAAACTTTCTCCTGGCATTAAACTCGCGTTTTGAAGAACTAGAATTTATCCTTTCCTTCGTGTAATGGTGTATCCAGGGATGAGTAAGAATTTGTGCAGCCGTATATCGTAGTTTAGGATCAATAACCAACAATTTCTTTACAAAATCTTTTGCAATATCACTTACGTCATCCCAAAATGGTGCCAGGAATTCGAAATCGCCAGCAAGAATGAGATCGAATAACTCATCCTGGTCTTTGTTTGGACTACGAAACGGAGGAAAACCACACAACATAATGTACGTAATAACACCAGCAGCCCACACGTCTACTTTCAAGCTATATCCCGTTTCCGCCAATATCTCTGGTGCAACATACGTTGGCGTCCCACAAACGGTGAATAAGGGTATCTTGACTTCAACAGCAAGACCAAAATCCGCAAGTTTTAGTCTTTTACTGCCATTGACCATAATATGGACCTACAAAAAGATTTTATTTCATTTCTGTATGAATGACCACCTAGGTTGTTAAAAATTTCGAGTATGTTACACCATATGCTGATATGCATTCTATTTACGTATTTTAACAGCAAAATTAGCAAGATGTTGAACTGGCCTCAAGAAAGCATTCAATACACATCTTATGCTAGTCTGTTGCTTCATGGTTACATATTGGCTGCCAATTGCGGGTTAAAAATATTCAAGCATGAAGCAATAAATTTGTGATAATTGCAAACAATAATTAAAGGTTGTTTGAATAAATCAGCTTTTAAGATTGTCTTTAATTACAAATCAAACTTGATCATGTAAAAATGAAGCAAAGTGGTTGAACCATTGGAGGATCAATAGTTAGGGGGCCTCATATTCATATATGCATGGTATAATCCATTGAGAACAATGAATTTCAATAGAGCTCAACACTGCATCTCATGCATTTATGAATATGAGCCCTACCTAATTATAATCTTCCTATGCTTTGATAAAACCAAAAAAAATAATGCACAAACTCCTTGCTTTTGGTAGGAAAAAATTCCAAATACGGTTGCATAAAAAGTTCTGTTTCTGAAGTGGAGTACAAGCTCAGAATTGCTTTCTACTTTCAGCAAAATTCCACGTACAAATTGGATTTAAAGTAATTATAAGGAATGAATTTTGCTGGTAAAAAATGCACAAAGTAATTGGATTCACATACCAATAAATTCTCAGGTTTCAAATCTCTATGGACAATATTTCTATGGTGAAGATAGCTAAGGGCTTGAGAAATATCGCATGAAAAAGAGCTTGCTGTTACTTCATCAAATTTTACCGCACTTGATATCTCATCAAACAAATCTCCACCGGTAACAAGCTCCATTATTAAATAAACATCACATTTTGTATCCAGTGTGTCATATAACTTGACAATATTTTCATGATTGCAGGATTTCATGATGCGAATTTCATCTGTCAGCATGCTTTCTTTCCCAATAATTTTCTTTTTGTCAATTATCTTTAATGCATGTTTCTGCTGAGTGTCACTCTTTATGCCGATTCTTACAACAGCAAAATTTCCATCACCGATTTTCTCCCCAAGCATGTAAATATCCTCAATACTTTCCACAGTTTTATTTACTTCTGATAGCATTTCTCTGCTTAAACTCCCAGGAGATATCTTTGTTTCAGTGTAAAAATCGTCCAAAACCCCATTGCAATTATTGTTATCACTGACATTTAAGGCATTGCTTTCATTATCGCTATTCCTGTGGGTTTTTCTAACTACAGCACTTAGTGTCTTTTTCTCTTCTCTTGATCCAAAGTCACTTCTAGGCGATGTAAAGTTAGTTTGATCATTACTTTTCTTTCTTAATGATGGTAGCTTTACTGATTTTATTGACTTATGTCTATTTGCTGTCATTCTATTCAACTGATCATGCTGGCTAACTTCGCTTTCTTCACCACTATTTATAGATGGAAACCTTGTGCTTTTAGGTTTTCTTAAATGAACATCATGAATGATCTCTTGTAAATCTGATGAATTTAGCTTTTCACTTCCAACAGCAATAAAACAATCATGTTCTTTGAAAAGATCAGACACATCTGTAACACGTTTTCCAGATGTATCGTACAAACGACGAACACCATTGGTTCCCCAAACCCCAATAGCATATGTCACCTCATCTAACACTTGATCTAAAGTCCGGGCTGTTCGTTTATTTAATAACACTTTGGCACTTCTCCTGGGCTTGTGTCCATAACGTATTACAGTGACTATTCGTGGTTTTATGGTATCAGTTTGTTTTCTATTTACAAATTCATCACTATGATACTTGCTAATTTTTTTTTGATGTCCAACATCAGGATTCTTACTTATATTCTTTGACGATTTCCAATATGGAAGATTTTCACCGATACCATAATTCAAATGTTTGAGCCTGGGAAAGGAAGAGCATATGTATCCTTGACCATGTTCAAATTCATGCAGTGTTTCAACTGTTTTCCCTGACTTCGTTAGTACATATCTCGCTCCAAGAGGTAAGTTCAACAGACGCGTAAGATCATTTAACAAAGTGTCCATACTTCGATATTTTATGGGACTTATAGCCAATTTATAACCTCTAAAAAACTTATCGCCATTCTTGTAAAAGGTCACAACTTTTGACGCAACATTGGCCCGAACTGCCATAGCAAAAAATGCCAAAAATCAGAAATGTCTTGACTATTTGTCATGCCGCATACACATCACGAGTTTAAACAAGTCATTTTCTATAGAGTTGTATTCTTACAACTCCTTGACTCAAACGTTTCTTCGATCAAGTCTTGTGCAACAATACGTAACCAGTTATCAGATGAATTTAGAACAAATGTTAATTGTGGGAAACGTTTGACAATATTCCCAGGATAGGACAAGTTATTGCTTCCGCTGCCAAACGAGTGATCTTTCGACTTCTTTATTTTGACAATCGGTGACAATTCACAGAAAATTTCAAATAAGTCTTCGATACGTTAATTTTACGGGATTTTTACCAGTGTAATAAAACGTTCCGATATGAAGATAAATCTTTAATCATAAAAAGCAACACGTACAATGTTGCAATTAATGCCCTTAACTGAATGTTACAGCATAAATGAATTCTAATCGCAATTATTATTCAATAGAGCATGTATAACCATGGCAACTATAATGAATAATATAAACGATCATTGTGTTGAAGTTTCAACTTTCAACTGTGGTTTCAACTAAAACTTTTGATATTCAAAATGTGGTGATCTTCACGAATCGAATTGTATCGTCGATAATGTTTTTAGTTCTCATAGCTTGCCAGCAAATATACATCGTACATGTTTCATTTTTGAAAACGCAATTTACGACAGAAAAGAGTAATTTCTATTGAACATTACTGAAAAAGGAATAATAGCAATGTTCACAAAAGCCCATTATCAAGAAAAGGTTTATTTATGGATATAACTTTTTACTAATTTATTAATTTTGAAAACAAAGTTTCACGCGTGCAACACACGAAAAAATAGTGTGACAAAATGAAGAAGATTACGCTGTTTAAACCACACTTAGTAGTCCGTAAATTAAAAGCAAAACTATTCACTTCATTATGGGACAAATTTCTTGTGTTGTGCTACAGCTAGTACTTGATTTGTAAATCATGTCCAACAAGGTGGTGGGAAGAATATAACTTTCCAGCTCGGTTGTCATGCAAAAACTATCGTTTTTATTTTCTTATATCATAGGGGTGTATCGGAGGGGTAGTATCTCTTGTTAGAAATCATTATCAAGTTGTGGGCTAGCCCCCCCTGTTTTAATTCTTCAACACCAATAAGCTTATGATTTTGTGATTTTATTATTTTTATACGAGATTTTATTACTCAAGCATACTGGGAAATCTAACACTAGCCTTTTATAGCCGACAATTTAAAGAAATATAAGAGAAAACATTTTCAACTGACATTTTTAACTTAGGTGACAAAATCAATGACATAAATTCACCACATCACTTTTCTACTTGTGATCATATTTTAAATAACACTAATCAATCAAGACTTTGTGCAGACTTCATAATATGTAAAAAATGTTATTTTTTCCTTTAGGCCATTTATGTACATTTAAAAAAGTCTCTGTAGACCTTATGTTTGAATGACAATAAGAGCATGCTATTTTCCCTTGATCTCTTAATCCATTTGTAATTATTAGCTTTCTAACTTTTTTATTGCATTCGTCGTTTCCCTGTAACAATTATTTAAGATCGTGCTTGCTTGTAAATAATCATTTAGCTTAAATAAAGTCAAAATATCGTTTTGGAAAATGTCATCGCTTGTCAATGATAACTCGAAACTTGAGTTAACAAGATGTTGCTTTTTGGAAAATGTTTTCTCTTATAAATCTAACAGTTTTAAATATTTACGATATGCTAAACAAGAAGTCGGTCTTTATATCTTTTCTTTGTTTCTTTATTCTGCAACTTTCGAAGTTGACAAAGCTCTTTTGGCTTTGATCCTATGGACAAAGAGGACAAAGGGTGTGACCTTTACTGGTCGGTCGACTAGTGAAAACTAGATCCAGAGTTTGGGTCATGTAAGAAAATTAATAAGCAGAGACTAGATATATATAGACTATATATATTTTTCATAATAAGCAGAGACTAGATAGATATAGACTAATAAGCAGAGACTAAGAGACTAGATTAATAAGCAGATATAGACTAATAAGCAGAGACTAGATAGATATAGACTAGATATATTTCTCATAGTAACTCCTCCAAACACCCTGCTTCGCCAGACGATTTTAAAATCATCTCATCCTGCTACGACACATCCGACCTCATGATCCACGAAAGCCTCCTCATCTCCAAACTAAAACCTTCACTTAACACCCAAGGCAGCTTCATCCCTCTTAAGCTTTTCTAGTTTCAACACCTCACCCTAACAATACATCACACTTACATCACACTTACATCACACATACATCATATCACACTTACACATTCACAGTAACCTGATACCTCAAACTATGTAAATAGCTCTATATATATCTATATTCTTGTTAACTTCCTAATTAGTCTGAAGATGTCTTGAGTAAAGACGAAACGTCACTCTTTAATAAATTTCATAAAACCAAATTGTTTATGACTATGTTCAAAATTATTTGTTGGGCTCTAATATTTATATTGAGAATCCGTTTCCCGCCTGGCACCTCATTGGCAACAATATTGATAAATATATAGGGTGATTTTAATCATTTTTGGATTTTCAATCGATATATAGATATATAGAAGAAGTGTCAGACTCATTTGACATTTCCTATGTTGTATATAAGTAAATGAAAGCAGTACGTGAAAGGTGAGGATAGCGGCTTTCATATTATGTTCCAGTGCCTGGAAGGAAAAGTACTCATTATGAATTTCTGCTGACATATATTAAACTGGTATGAGGATAGAAAATTTAATCGAAGTTCATAGATATAGAAGATATATAGTAAGTAAATATGAGCTGTTTTCTAAATACCCTCATTGATTATGTAGCGAACTAGAATAGTCAATTTGCTTGATAATCGTTTTACGTTAATCACGGTAAACATATAAGCGAATTACGGTAATATTATACAGTGTAGTTTGTTACCATAAGTCGATATCACATTCGTTTTGTACCGAAATTTTAGTTTATCGCAAATTATTCTCATATGTTTCAGTTTGGTTTTAGTTTTACCAATTCTTAGGATAAACTGTGTAAGCTTTAGTAGTTAATAGTTTAGTAAGTCATTTAAAGTCAAAGAGGTTCCAAAGCTGTTCAAACTTCGAAGTAAAATGTTTGAATATTCTTGAGCTGCTTTGATGTAAAACTTTCCAAATTCATATTATATATTTATGGCCAGTTTGTTTGGCTTAGCCAACTTAATCAATAATGTTTTTTTTATATGGTGCAGTACTTTCAGTAACTGTTTAAAACTGTTTTTAAGTTTAAGAATTTATTTGGGTTTTGCTAAAAGCTTAAATTTGTAAGCAATGAATACATTCAAAATATCCTTTGTGTTACACCTATGCTACATATCTGAGAAGCTCTCATAATCTCTCTCGGCATTAGTTTTTAGAGATTGCCATAGTTAACCATTTGCATCCTTCTTTATTGGCTGCATTTTCTTGTTATAGCTACATTACATACTATGCAAGTATTCAATTTGCTGACATCTCTAATGCACTTGTTCTCTTTATTATATTAATATAACTAAACTCCGAGCCATCCCAAGTCCAAGATTAAACAACATTCCCCCCTCCTAACTTATTGCTGCCGAGCATAAGCGAGGCAGCACACTACTCTTGACCATTGAATTTTTCAAGACCTGAAGGGAACACGTCAACAAAATTACTATAAATTATTAGCACGCGGCCCGTGGTCAAAAACATGGCAGATTTTGGTGGTCAAAGTCAGCGGAAAGACCCAGGCGCATGAAATAAAAATTTTGTCGCCCACCCTGATTTGATCACCACGATTGGGAGTATAGAAAATATCAAAACTATTTACTTTCCTAACATAAACACTTTTTAAAATTTTAGTTATTAAACAATTTGCAAACTTCTGTGGTTTTCGGACGCTGAAATAGCGACTGAAAAGGAAACATTTCATGACTCCGGTAAGTAGCACAGTAGTAGTTTTACTATTTTGTTTCTAACACGATACTTGAAGTGTGTTTCTACTACTAAGTTTTAATTTAAAGTTATTTTGGTTCAGTCTTAATTGTTCTTCACTTTATCGCTCGCCAGACGTGCGAAGCTGCCAATTTTTATCGAGTTTTGCTTCCATCTTGTAACATGATCAAGCAAAACTTTCCTGATTTGAATTGAGTTTACCTCCCAAAAATGGGGCAGAATTTGTTCATATTTTTTTTTAAATATGAAAGGAAAGTTTACAACAGAGTTGTGTTGAAATTGAATGCAGTGCCATGCAAAGTTAATGAGAACTATGGTATATGCCGTATAATAAAAATAACTAATAAACTGCTTGCCTGCTCAATTTGACGGACTGTATAGTGTAGACAATTATAATGGGATTGGACAGTTGGATTTATGCAAACAGTTTTAAAGTACTTCTCTAAATTTCTCTATAATCGTTGCAAGTACAGCACTGGAGCGGATAAACTTATGCTCGCTCTAGCTTGCCGTTGGCTTTACAAGCGTGTGGCACTTACATAGCAGTGCATTTTAATATTATAAGGAACAAATATTACAGTTTGCGAAAGACATGGGGTCCAATAGTCCCATTCCCTTTGTTTAATGTAATGTGTAATCAGTCCTATACAACTAATCAACTCCATGCCCAAATCACTGTGTGTATAATGTATGTAAATAGAATGCTAATGGTGAAATGATTATGACTGCAACATGGAATGTACCATTCAAGTTTGTATGTGTATAAAAGTGATTTCTTGCTGGAAACAACTGAGTAACATGAATCCAGATGAAATCAATAATATACTTACACACAAACACTGGGAGATTGAGAGCTACATATATGACACCATATAATTGTTGGTGTTAATGGATGTGTTGATCTTGTGCTGGTTGGCAACAAATTGAACAAAATACAGAAAACTTCTGTATAGCTTCAGTTAACATTATTTAGTTGGCTGAGTTCTAACTTTCATGTCAACTGAAACATATACATGCAAAGATCAAATGAAGCAATTGCTTTGCCACGGCTTGCCTTTAGCATGCAAATTTTTGTAAAATGAGCTTTGGAAAACTGCTTGTCCAATTATTCCCAATTTAATACAAGCATATTATACATACATACAGTGTTACTTCTTGCATGTTCTACTATAAATTGACTTAGTTATGCGAGAATTTGAAAATAAAAGGTGATAGTAACTCCTAGTTTGGTATGAATATTGTTGACAATTGATTAATGCTGGCTAACCATTTTTATTTGACCAATATAGGTTCTTTTTTGGAATGTATTGCCTGACATTAAGGAACAACCTTGTAATTTAGTAAAAATACAAACAATGTTATTCATTTGTCTGTTTCCATGGTATATATCGATAGAAAAGTGTTCTCATTTATTAATATTGTAAGGCAATCAGTAAATAGTGTTCTTGTATTTGTATTATTCTCAATGATACAAAAAGATTATTACATATAATTATTAATGTTTAAAACACAGCTTATGAAATTAAAATATCCAGCCTTATTTGGCTGATAATAACATAGCTAAAGATCCTTATATTCTATCATGCATTGAAGGCTACATTATTTCTATCAAATTGCTCAATGATACCTTGCTGAGTTGATTTAAATGACATTAATTTTAACTTTGATATCAAGCAGTGTCTTAACAATTACTAGGAACATGACAGTCATATGAGAGTTATGCTATGGGGCTTTTTCAACTGTCATTGTTTCATGTACTTTTTTCAGCATTCAATTTTGTCATAAATTTTGTGATGTTATACCATATAAGGGAGTCTTAAAACTTTGAAGTTTGATTTCTCATTATTATATTACAATAAATACTGTTGAAGTCATGATGGTGGTAGCGAATAAATTAGACTATTTAGGTAATATAATTCTAGTTTGATATAAGTTCACCATTCTGTTACATGTGTTCGACCCGACTGACTCGACTCAATATATAATAGCATGCAGTAAAAATTAACATAGGAATGTTCACGTGTCTATAAGGAAATATCAATTTACAATGTTTAACTTAACACCCCCACTTAAACATTAGTTTCTTTAGCTACAAATAAATGTATTACATTGGTAAACAAAGCATAATCTAAAATTATTTACAAGATCTGTTACCAAAACAGTAGACATAAAAGTTTTAATTTTTGTGCAGATATTGGTTTAGTGAACATATCTGATATATTATCACTTGACATAACATATTTTACATTTATTAGACCCTTTTGTATTTCTTGCCTAATAAAATGATAGCGAATATCAATATGTTTGGACCGTTGATGTTGCACAGGGTTTTTGGCTAGAGCTATCGCACCTTGATTGTCACAAAACAAACTAACAGGATTTGAGGATTCTATTGGAAAGTCTTTTAAAAGTTGCAAGAGAAATTTCGCCTCTTGAATAGCAGAACTTAATGACATGTATTCTGCCTCACATGTGGATAAAGCAACAGTAGGCTGTTTTTACTTTTCCATGAAATCAAGGGACCAGTTTTATTTAGTTGGAAACCATATCCCGTTATACTTCGTCTATCCTCTGAGGAACCCCAATCAGCATCACAATAACCCATTAGAGACAGAGGCTGTTGAGATTTTCTGAAGACAAGCCCTTTTCTGACGTACCTTTTAAGTAACGTAAAACATGCTTTGCAGTGTTCATGTCAGATGCTGTAGGAGCAGACAGATGCTGAGACAGCTTAGTCACACTATAGCATAAATCAGGTCTAGTTGATGTCATTACATACACTAAACTTCCTACTATTTCTCTGTAGAGCTTGTTATTTACTAGTGGTGATTCTTCAGATTTCATTTTATTAGAACTCATCTCACATGGTGAAGATCTAGGTTTACAATTTTGCATGTTAAACTTAGCTAGAATCTTCTCGATATACTTTGATTGACTCATTATTATCTCATTTTTCTCACAGGTAAATTCTATACCTAGAAACCAAGAGAGGCCCAGGTCTTTCATTTTAAAACGACTACTAAGTTTCTGCTTTACCTCTGCTAAGCACTCTGCACTACTTGATGCTATTATTATGTCATCTACCCAAATGATTAGAATTGTCACTGAAGTATCAGTTACCTTGACATATACACAATTATCAGACTCAGATCGACTAAAACCTTCACTTTTTAGGTAAGAGTCCAGTAAATTGTTCCAATTACGACCACTCTGTTTTAATCCATAGAGATTTCTTAAGTTTAAGCACAAGATTTTCTCCATTATTTCCCTTTTAACAAAACCGTCAGGTTGTTCAACATAAATATCACAATCTATGGGGGCATTAAGGAATGCAGTTGTAACGTCCATTTGGTGTACAGTTAGATTATATTGTACAGCTAATTGCATTAATATCCTTACTGATGTCATTCTGGCGTTGGTGAGAAAGTTTCATGATAATCAACATGTGGGATTTGGGAATACCCTTTGCTACGTAACGAGCTTTAAATCTTTCTTCCCCATTTGGAGCAGTTTTTATGGCATACACCCATTTTCCCCCCACAGAATTCTTATTCTCTGGCAAAATTGCTGGTTCAAATGTCTCATTTTCTTTTAAAGCTTTGATTTCCTCTTCCATGGCCTGTTGCCATTTCTTAGAGTCATTAGAAGCCATTGCTTCTTCATAAGACTTAGGAGCATCTACAGCTCTATAGCAGTAGTCAATAGTGAAATTTACATTGTTTTCCTCAATCTCACTTCCATCAACATATTGCTCTAAATATCTAGGTTTTGTATGCTCACGTCTTGGATATCTATTTACGTGTGGTTGTTCAGTGGATGTGTTTAGCTCATTTTCGTTTACTTCAACTGGAGGATTTTCATTAACTATATTGTATTCAGTTGTGCTTGCAGGCATACTCACAAGTACTGGTTCATCAATCATTACTTCAGTCTTTGGTACATCACTTTCAACATTAAATTTGTCGGAAAATCTTACATTTCGGCAACGCTTAATAGCTTGAGTGCTTGGAAAATAAATGAGATAGGCTGGACTTCCCTTATCATAGCCTACAAATACACCTTGTTCCGCTTTTGCATCTAACTTTTTCTTTTCTTGTTTGTATGCATAGCAAATAGTGCCAAAAATATGCATGTTTTGAATATTTGGCTTGTGTCCAGTAAAGGCTTCAAACGGTGTTTTCTTAATCCTATGATTGAAACAACGGTTCCTTATGTACGCTGGTCATAACAGCATAAACCCAAAATGTTTTTGTAATTTGGATTGTAAAAGCATGCATCTGGCCATGTCAAACAGTGACCTCCATTTCGTTCTACAGTCCCATTTTGATGGGGTGAATAGGGGGCTGATTTTTCATGTTTAATACTATGTTTGACCAAAAGATTCTGAAATTCTTGTGAAGTGAATTCTGTTCCGTTGTCGCTCCTAATGCGTTTTACCTTGCCATATGGAGTAATATCAGCTAAAATTTTTCAGTTGCCTTAATAGTGTCAGACTTATTCACTAGAAAATATATCATAGTTAGTCCCGAATAATCATCTACAAAAGCTAGTGCATATCGATAATCATTTCTGGCTACAGGATCTATTGGACCTGCTAAATCACAATGGACTAGTTCTAGAATTGCATTTGCACGCCTATCCGGTTTTCTACTTCTGCTCTGAGTCATTTTTCCTTCTACACAAGTTTTACAGTCAAATTCTTCCTTCTTGTCTATTTTCATGCCATCAACCACATTTTCTAAAGCAATAATATCATTTAGGTTGCAGTGCCCTAAGATGTCATGCCATTCCTTTAAAGATTTTGTTTTGCCATTTTGCTTAGCCATGCTAGATGAGATTACACTATTCAAATAATATAACTTTCCTTTTCTCTCAATTGGAAATTCTTTCCCATTTGGGCTAACTAATTTAGCACAATCTGGCGAGAAAGTAACAGTGGCACCTTTACTAACTGCAGCATGTACAGAGAATGTCTTGTTTATAGGATGGGACATACAAAGCATCCTTAAGAAGAGCCTTATGCATTACACCATCATTATCACTAATTTCAATCTCCGCATCGCCCTTCTTTGTGCAACCTTATTTGACCTTTTCCATCTGCTAACTCAATGAAATGCCTTTCAGGAATGAAATTTGTGTCGAACCTAATAAATTTGCTCATGTCATGAACTATGTGTGTAGTTGCCCCACAGTCTACAAGTACATGGTTAACATAGTCAGCGCTCGTTATATCCACGTTGACATTGAATGCATATGAATGACCTTCATGGATGTCATTGTTACTAACATAATTATCTCTTACTGATTTAGTAGCATCGTTCTTATTCCTCGTTTTCTTCTTGTTCTTGCGACATTTTTCTGTGTTGTGGGAGCTGTTCTTGCACAAATCACACCAACGATTATTTGACTGACATTCTGATATTTTATGTCCTGGTTTTCCGCATCCGTAACAAACGATTTTCCTTTGCCGTGTCTGTTGCTCGTGGGTTTACCGAGAACTTCCATCACACTGTCCTCCTTTTGGTTATTTTCATCTGAGAGCTTCAGTGTTTCTTCGAAACCTCTCAGCGCGACTTTGAATTCGCTAAACGTTTGTTCCTTGTCTTTCTGTGTCACAACCGTCGAGAACGTTTTATATTTTTCAGAAGGCAATCCTTTGATAATCATGGCAATCAGCAAGCTATCGCTTATCGTTTCACCAGCAGATTTGAGAGACGTTGATGCCGTTTCTGCTCGCAGCATATAATCCGTAACTGTTTCATCACTTGACTTCTTTAGCGAGGTTAATTCTGTATATAACGTTATCACACGTGGTTTGCCTTTCGAAGATAGTGCTCGCGTAAGATGGCCAAAGCTTTCCTTCCATCGTTAGCGGCGTCACGAATGATGAGAGATAAACTTCTATCGTCTAATAGTTGTATCAGTTCAGCATAGGCATCGGCATTTTCACAGCGTCTTCTTCTCTTTGTGTTGGTCCAGCGTCGGCAGGCAATGATGACAGGATTGTTTTACTCAGCTTCTTGAGTCTTAAATACCCAAGGAATTTTATTTCCCATAACTCATACTTTCTCTCGTCACCATCGAAAATTAGGCGGCTGTTGCTGGGCCCATAACCTGTTGAAGTCATGATGGTGGTAGCGAATAAATTAGACTATTTAGGTAATATAATTCTAGTTTGATATAAGTTCACCATTCTGTTACATGTGTTCGACCCGACTGACTCGACTCAATATATAATAGCATGCAGTAAAAATTAACATAGGAATGTTCACGTGTCTATAAGGAAATATCAATTTACAATGTTTAACTTAACAAATACAATATCACCGTCAGGTATTTGGTGGTAAATCACCACAAATTCTTATGAATATTTTTAAATGAGATGATGTTATGGTACATCATTTAAGATGTTACAGTTTTTTGCAATTTAAATATTTACCCATGCTAAAATTTTTAAGGCAATTCCGATCTTGAATAAATTATGTGAATTTGCTACCGGGGAGAATAAAGAAGGGGGCGGCGCAACTTCATATATTATGCTATGATACGCTTGAATTCTTCAAAAGCGATCGCATTCCATCTGGAGTTGACCTGCGTCTTTATCTTCTTTGAAAGAATATTTTCATACATTGCTTTCTTCGGATCAAACTAAAGAAAACAAAAATGTATCGCTTTATATTATTATTTTTTATCACGAATATGCTGTGCCACGTTACCAGCGGTTCCTCTCATGGTGATCGTGATCATGCGGCTGACGAAGACCCGTTTCACAGTATATTGGAACAACTTGGATTGAACGCAACCCTCAGCCAAACATTAAACCTTACTCATGTCAATAACCTTCTCACAAGACTTCGATTGTACAACTGCTCACATGCAGCCAAACACAAGGTAATCAACATGGTTATGGCTTTTAAATTTTATCGTAAAAATCTACCTGCGGTATAAATATTATTCCGTCGCATTAACATTCACTTTCGTATGAAAATACTGGTTTAATTCAAATGTACTATTTCTCATAGATGAATGACTATAAAGCCGTCAAATCATTGCAGTAGATGTTATATATAGGATATACTTTTTATGAGCACCATCATGAATCGCGCTGACATTTGATACGTGGCGTTGATATTGTGCGACTTTGCCGGAGTAATTTCGCATTCAATTGGTCATTTTTACTAGTTTCAAAAAGTCTGATTTGGGGTTTCAGCTTAGATATGTTGAAAGATGGTAACCGAGTATATTACATAATTCGACATCAACGCCAATACAGAAAATTCCTTTTGGCGAATAAATAGTGGACCTAGTGATCGTCAAATAGTCTCTTATTTCATACGTCATTATATTGCTGGCCATGTATTGGTACTTTTCCTGTTGCGTAAACATGTCAAAATCTTTACCAGCCGACAATTTTATGCAATACAAAATGAAGCATACTCCGAATAAAAAGTTCATGTTTAACGCAATATTTGAGAAGGGAACAAGACAATTTTTTATTTGAATAGTTATATTTCGAATTTGCTACAAATTCATTATCAGATTATAATGATGAATTTGTGTGAAATTCAAGAAAAATTGTCTTGTTTCTTTCTCAAACGTTGAGTTAAACATAAACTTTTTATTCGGTTTATGCTTCATTTTTGTATTACGTAAACATGTCAAATATGGAGAAATGTTTAATTTTAATTTTAGGCGTAACTTTAAGCAATCTCTTGTTTTAGGTGTAGTTAGGCATTTTGCCATTTAAGATTTTTTATCTTTTCTTTCCGTGGCGATCGTACTTTTTTATCTATCTTGTCCTGTTGTTTTGCTAATAACATGTCTTCTTGTTAGTCTATAATTCTCAAAATATAACACTTGATCTCAGTGTCTGTTCCATATCTTGTTCAGGCTTCGTTTCTCCTCAAATTTTGTCAAAATAAGCTAAACAGAACACACCCCTGGGACGCACTCCCTTCCTAACCTGCATATATACATTGTGCAACACTATTTTGAATTTTTTATGTTGCTCAAAAATGTGCATCTCAAGAGATAAAAGACTTATTTACATTCCGGGGGGGTCCTAATATTGTTATTATATGTTATGATTGCATAGCAACCCGACAAAAGAGACTTTTTATTCAAAGACAAATATTTTAACGCAACATTGAAAAAAACCTGTTTACCCTGAAGATTTGCACCAAAGAGTTGTATTTTTAATATTTTAGTGTCATTCGCTGCTTGCATTACGGTCCCGTTTACACTATGCCGGATTGCTATCGTAGCAGGCTAAATTTTCCATGTATTAATAGGCAGGGATAACGTTCATTGTCGGAAAACAATTAAATGGACTAAATGACTATACTCCTATATGTCGTGATGAGCAAATCCGGTATATAGTGTAAACGCAGCCTTATGTCTATCAAAATAAAAAAAGAGTTGTTGACCTACACGAAACATCAAATATCTATGTAAAATGATTACTTAGCTATGCATTCCTTTTCTTTTCTTTTTTATCACGTTCCTGACATTCCTTTTGGGATCTCTTGTGATTTCCTCTCATGTATTTCATCACGAAAGCAAGTGAGAGCATTTTGCACAATTTGCGGCTTTTTGCACACTTTGCAAGTGATGTAAACACGTAAGTTGTCTACGAAAATTCGTTAACGTTTTAAAATCGTCATGAAAGAAAAATTTTTGAATAGATATTTATGGAGATTGTAACTCTTACTAAACACCCAACACAAGAATTTACGACAAGTTGCTAAAAGCGAAACTGACTTCGGTATAATCATCAATTTGAAGCAACTTTTTTCACGGAAAGAACGAAAACTAGAAAACCATAGTGAAAGTTAGCAATCTTGATTTAATATGTTGTCGTACAAGCCGAAAGGGGAAACGAAAAAGATAAACTTTCCTTTTTTATCAACTTGAAAATGTTTTTAAACAGAAACTCTACATGTATACAGTTGAAGACTATACGTGTAGAGTTCTAAGAAAATTTATGGCGCTTACAAATCTGACGTTTGAACGTATTAACACCTAAATATAAGGAAAAGCAATCAGGACAATTGTATCATGGACATTTCAGTTACTGCTCCACACTTTATATCAAAAATAATTGTACTTTCAACCTGTAAACTTTCGTGTTTTTTTTTTATCTACTCGTCTTGCGTTCACTAAAACACTTCATTGCCTTAGATTCCTGATATTGTTTTTTGATATTCTTAAGTGTTTTTCAATTATATTTTAATAGTGCGTCACTGGAGAATCGCTGTTTAACATTTCTAAAACCGCCACAGATGAAACAGTTGGTGAAGATGATTTTAAGAAAAATTTTGCTCCAATTATTGTATACGCACTTTTACCGCATAGTGAAGAATCTCATTCACACGAACATATGCATGGTGGTAAAGAACATATGGAGAGAATGATCACAAAAAATATCAGTGTCTATGATGAGCTGCTGAAAAAATACCAAACTGATTCATTTTGTGAAAAGATAATTGATCAACTACTCAAGGATGTCAACAGCACGAAAGGAGACTCGTTGGATAGGATGACTGAAGTAAGAATTATTCCTCTTCGTTTTTCTTCCATATAGTCTTGAATATTATCTTGACAAACTTATATCGTTACATCGGTTTACCAAAATATACCATTAAAACTATGCAAAAGTATGTGCTCTTAGCTGCATGTGTGTATAACTATAATTTATATTTGAAGCTGACTGTGGTATTCCAGTTTACAATATTTGAGTACAATACTCAAGCAAACATGTGACATTATCCACTAAATTTTTCTTTCTCCAGCTTTGAAAATGGATGCCATAATCTAACACGTTGTTTCTCTCTCTTTCAGTGTTTTTCGGCTCATAATGTTTACGATCATATCAATGTTTCACACACAATGAACATGGAACGTTCTCATTTCCCTGAAGTTAGCGTCTTTATCATCGATCAATTGATGAAGAATAAATGTATTCGCATTCAATCCCAGTCTCCTTTACCGTGCTCAACATACTTTGCCAAGCATTTGTTTGAGGATTACTCAAAAAATGAAAGAGCAAGTGAAGAAAATATCAAAAAATTAATGTCAGACATGAAAATATCGCCGACAACAGGAACACAGAGCGATTCCCATGGCCACGATAACCACAATCATCGTCGCCGTAGATCAGTAGAAACTTCATATGGTGTCCAAGAATCCGATATCAACGTAAAAATACGATTACGCAGAGCAGCTGAATCTCATGATGATCATCATCACAAGAATGAGTCTAAACTGTACGAACAGGTAACATAATCGTATATTGTAGCGTTGCATATCCTTTTTCAGTTTTGTCGCTTTTTCATTATGAAGTAAAGTCACTTATTGTTAAATATGGGTATTTTCTTTACTGGCATTGCTATGCTTTGTTGATTTTTGTGTGAAAACTCTCTTTAGATTTAGATCTATTTCTTGTGCAAGCACGTAAAATGTTTAAAGAAATCATTCGTTGAAATTTTTTTGAAGTGTTATTCAGCGGACCATTTCTTTGAAATTTATCATGTCGAAAAAAGCATTGGGTTCAAATTTGAAGAATTTAAGAAACTGGCTCCAGCCTTGGTACTTCAAAAAGCAACTAACAGATGCGTCTCAGACTCCCATGGTCATAATTCAAAGAAAAAGGGACCTTCCGATTTTGAAAGTATGTTTAATTACTATTAAATTTAGCAAATCTTGATCACTTAAGAAAGTGAGCTGTCCAGAATACGCAAGTTGACTCTTTAAATTGATTGTGGCGTTTATGCACTTCAAAATATAGCGTCATGAAAGCTGATTTTTCATTTAAAGCAAGTCGATTTGCTTTGTCAAAATCACAATACAGGATCGCCAGCGGCTGATTTACGTAATCTCAAAACGATTGTTTCTAAGAGGACTTTTATGCTTGGTCTTATTTTATTTGTCGAGTTTGTGTTGCTTAAATAGAAGGATCACTACCATTCAATGCAGGCGCTTCGAGGATTTTTTTTAAAAAAATGCTATCTACTGTATGATCTTTTTGGCAATGGGTTTTAACAGACTTTTTAAAAACTTTATACGTAATAATTTAGAATTAAACGCACGATATATTTCGCGGACCTTTTCTCAAGACTATACATATATGTCCTTACTAAAATGTGTAAACGGGCCAGGATCTTTAGTTTAAAGGGTAAAAATTGTTGATTACATCTAGCAAGTTCAAAACACGGTTAAGTTGAATACAAAGCCTTTCATTTTCTGAAGTCAACAAATAAAAGAAGACCAAACAAAATGGTGATCGTTTTTAAATCATCGTTTTTAATTGAAAAAAAATAATTTATTGCGTGCACGACTGATTTTCTTTGACACAACTTTGATGTTGTTAAAAAAAGCATGAATATCTCCCCAGCCTCGCATTTTAGAATCGAAACATATACACTTTCTTTCTTTGAAAGAATTCCCTCACAGTCTGTGGAAACTTATTCTTAATATATTCTAGATATTAGCATGTATATCCCTTAAAGCTGGGCAGGTTTACTTTGTGAAGCGATTTTTTGGCCAACAATAGCAACATAGACGTACTTAGCACGTACTTAAAGAATATCTAAAGTTAAAATTTAGGTTGACTTTGCCTGAAGTACATGTGAAGTGACTTCTGACAAATGCTAAATACGCGACAATAAGCATCAATCATTTGTATGATATACTTTTTCTTGCTCAATGTACTCTCGAATCAATATGTTCTTAAAACTTTTAATTTTCATTTAGAGTGGGGCTATGGTTTATTGTCAGTGCTTGTTGTGAGTCTTTGTTCAGTTGCTGGAGTCATGATCCTTCCGGTGATGCACAGAATGTTTTACCATAAAGTTGTCGTTTTCTTCATTGCTCTGGCTGTTGGTACATTAACTGGTGATGCACTACTTCATCTTCTGCCCCACGTAAGTCTGAAAATTTTTGTTTTTTTTTGTTTTATCCAATTGGTTTCGCTTTTCTAGTTTTTCTCAACATAAGTAGGTCGCTGGGAAAAGTAGCAACGGAGTCAACATAAGTAGGTCGCTGGGGATAGGTAACAATGGATAGTTAGTAGTATTGTAAAAAATGTTGACTTTTTAGTGGTAATTTTGTAATTCCAAAATGTTAAAACAGTCACGACCTTTTACGCAATGTATGAAATTTTGGTGAATGCTAGATAAATGTCTTTTTTTCATGTTGGAAATTTATTTATCTCATTTCTGGTTTTGTGAGGAGAAAAAGATGGCAAAGAAATGTTATATTTGGTTTTAGGCATTTGGACACCATGACCATGGGCATGACGATCATGGAGGCGACGATCATAGTGAAGAGAGGGAAAATTTATGGAAATTTTCCTGTGGAGCTATTGCTATTTACGCATTCTTTGTTTTTGAAACTCTGATTCATCTGTTTGTACGCAAATCTCGTAGTTATGAGGTAAGTGAGTCTGTGAGAGCATGACTGAGAAAAAACTGCAGCGACTACATTACTTAACTTTTGTTTGTATTTTGTGGCTTTGATCAGTAATTCTTTGTCAGGAAAATTTATTACATTGCTTTCTCCCTAGTGACGAAGCTATAGGGAATATTTTAAGTTAGTTATAACATTTTGCTGTTTTGCTTAATACCTTTTCGGGTAGATCGGATTAATTTGCTTTTTGCATTTTTATTAAATTAATTGACTAAAGCCTAGAATGGACATCTTGGAATGAAGAATGTTCGATGAAACTTAACTGTTTTCAAAAAATCATTTTAGCTGGATCAAAAACCCAGTCAGTTTTGCAGCAATCTGCGCAACGTTACTGAAGTTGCAGCTGAATCCGGTATATATGAGAACGGCGTTGCGCCCCAAAGTAAGGTAAGTCAGTTTGCTCTTTGCAACTTTTTCTAAATATGCTGTGACACATAAAATGGTAAGGGATGAAAGAGTATAAATAATTGTCAAAGGGTTGATCGAGAATTCTTTCAAAATTTAAGAAAGGTCAAATTTAAACATGTTCGTTTTTTTCAATCCAAGAGCAAAAGTCCATAAATTTTGTTATATTTGCATATGATAGTTTATCGTTTGCTTCAGCTGAAATATACCATGAGAAAATGAGCAGAAAATCGATGTACTTAATACTTTTTTTTGTCCGTAAATGCCAAACTTTTTTAGAAACTATGGAGCTAACTTGGAGTATGTTATGATTTAGGGTGGAGATTTGTCTGAAAAGAAGGAAAAGAAACCGATTGCAACCGTAGCATGGAATATTATTATTGGTGATGGACTTCACAATATTGCTGATGGTATAGCTATGGGAGTTGCGTTCTCTACGAGTGCGACTGGAGGAATCAGTACTTCTATTGCTATATTTTGTCATGAACTTCCTCATGAACTGGGTAAGAAGCCTTTTATGCTTTATTATCTGTGGGAATAATTTGACTACAGTAATAACAAAAAGCATGAAGTTGAGGAGTTAAAGAATGGAAATTTTTGTGTCTCCTTCAGTATTTAAATGATTTATTAAAAAAGGGGGAGTTGCAAACATGTTGTGTTATGTTGCATGGACAAATGAACATACATTCATTTCTATTATAGTATTTTTTGACATGTTTATCATTTTTCTCAACGAGCTGCAATTTACCATCCATGACATTTTAATTCATTTCAATCGTGGGCTGTGTTATGTGTTTTAGACGGCAGGCTCGCAATGATCGATTTGTAATTAGCCATTCAAACACTTTATTACAGTTGTTGGACTGTGTTTACCTAACTTTTTAGGCCTATTGGAAAATCTTTTTATTTTATACAATGCAAATAAATTCATTAAAGTTAGATGTTTTTCTAAACTTCGCCAATTTTACTATTACCCGCACCTTGCAGAACATTCTTAATCTCAAATATGAAATCTTCGATCTTTCACTTTGTGTATGCAGGAAGTATTACAATTTCATAGGTTTTGAAAACTTATTCACAGTTATATGGCTAAAGTATATTATTTAGGAATATAAGAATAATAGCTACGAACTCATTTTTTCACATGATTTTTTCATTAGGTGATTTTACCATATTGCTGACAGCTGGATTAAGTGTAAAAATGGCGCTTTTGGCTAACTTCTTATCAGCCTGCACGTGTTTCCTTGGTTTGGTAGTTGGAATTTTAATTGGTGAAATCGACAATGCAAACCAGTGGATCTTTGCCTTCACCGCCGGTGTTTTCATTTACATTGCATTAGTTAACATGGTGAGAATACTGTGTATTTATTGAAGTAATTGAAGTGAAAAAAAACATGTTCTATATGTCATGAGCCCTAATTGTTGGTTTTAAAGGGGTCTGCATAAATACCGAGCCAAAGATTCAAAAGTGAATCAAGCTCGAATTCCATATAGCCCACTCTTGTTTCCAGTACAACAGACAACGAAATAGACATGTAAAAATTGCTAAGCAAAGTAATCAAGTAAAAATTGCTGTAACAGGCTTACGAGGAGTGTGACGATGAGTCAAAAATTAAAATATTTGACCTCCTAAAGTATTGTTTAGTCACACTTTACGGTGCCTGTTAAATTTCTAGAGTTGTGTCATAACAAATATGTTCACCCATCATTCGAGTTTTAGTTTACGGATATAATTTCATTTCATGTTATTTTGAGTGTTATTTTACGAGGCATTTTCGTATCTTAATGCTACTGAGTTTAACCTAACCAATATCAAAAAAAAACGAAGCGAAACGAAGCGATAAACACCAATACACAATTGTGGAACTGTGGGATTTATGTCAATACTTGCATCAAACATAAGAAATGGAAGATTTTATTGAGAATTTGTGCCACATATTTCAGCAGCCTTCGCAAAGAAGCCTTTTTTAATTCTCCAAGATTTAAACGAATAAATTTTTTTTCAGCACTTAACAGGCTATAATGAGAATTTACCTGTTGCTAGTCTGCACATTATAATTTACAACCAAAGTCTGATTTCAATATCTCGTTGATAAATGGAGTAATTTTCACTGAGTTGGTGAACATATAAATATCTCCTCATTTACACAATAGTAACCTATTTTTCCTTTCTACTTTTGTGACAGTTGCCCGAGTTGCTAAATAATCCTGATTACGACGAACTGCCAAGATTATCCCGATTCATACTTCAAAATCTAGGAATGTTGTGTGGTTTTACGATCCTGTTTCTTCTCTCCTGGTACGAGCATGACATAAATATTTGATGGACATTGCATTTTACTTTTTATCCACTATATTCACCTCCTAATAACTCTTATATTCCTATTTAAAGTGACTTGCTCAACATAGCTAGTTGCATATTTTCTCTTGCTAATTTGTATCTCTACATTAATCATTTTCTAAGATAAACTTCATAATGCATGCTACCATATATCGATTATTTTAATCATCACTATCGTCATATTTATTTTTTCTTACAATTTTTTTAATATCAGTTGACAAATAATAATTGTATTATGACTTTTTCAATAGTAAACTTTCTTTTGTGGGCGCCTTTGTTGCAATCATAGAATCTGTGGAATTTCCTGCGTTTTTTACAGTTTCCTTTGTTGACACGGTCTCATGAAGTATAGAAACTCGCAACGGTTTTAAAATGCATAAATCGTAATTATAATTGTGATATATCCTAAGTATAAAGAGATTATAAATAGGTTCGCTGTCATACATGTGTAAATCAGTCTGTGAAATTTGATTGACCTGTCTTGTGCCATTTCGAAATCGAAACATTCGTGATCAACCAGGCCGTGTTTTAAGTGGTTTTAACACTGCGGAAGACCAAAAACCAAAATGACGCTTTTGAAATTTTTAGGAAATCCCATCCATAAAAGTCCATCACTACCCTTTTTGGTATGATGGAGGAGATGGCACTCGAACGAATTTCCCGTTTAAGCGAAGTTACTTCAAAATATTCGCTATTTCCACCAGTAACTGGCAAATGAAAACTACTCTACTCATAACTTTGTCCTAATAGTTCTGTTGCCGTACGGTGAAACAACATTTAGACTTCTTTTTGATCAAAATAAGAATTTGGAAATTTATCACGAATGGCAAAGCAAAAAGATAATTAAATTTGAAATTAGCTGATGTGATTTGTTTTTTCAAACACTGGATCTGCTACTGGTTGGAATTCCCATTAGTTTCATCAAAACACATAGCTTATTTACAATCGGAACCTCACACACCGTTAAGTTTCCGAGGAAATTAAATATCCTCCGCATTGCGGATTTTACTCAGAATTCACTAGAATATTGAAAAATATAAATAAGAGCCGGTATGAAAGGAATGGTTCTCGATTAATATGCATTGTTCAGATCAAGTAGCGTTCAATTTTTTTATGTGAGAAAAATCTCAAGATATTTTCACAGCTGGCTATCATAGACTTCTGTTGAAGATGATTTCTACATTAAATTATTAAGCCTTGATATTGAGTTGTAAAAACAGGCACTATTGATACAGTTCATTAAACTTTTCGTATGATAAAATAAAAGCCACCTATAGTCTAATAGACTTGATTTCAGCATTCCTGTGCAGCACCGTGTCATAGTTTACACAGTACACGCAATGCAATCGCACGAACAGGCAGAATTGTCTCGAAAATTTATTTGAGCTCACTTTTAAAAACGTAGTGAAGAACATGTAGCTACTCGCTACTATTATTCTTGGAAGATAAGGAAGAAATTATTGAAACTGGATAACCTGCATTAGTGCATGTTTTGTCAGTTTTGACAATCCTGTTGTTGCTTTATGACAAGTTGTGACTATAAAGTTGCTTAGGTGATTTCCTTTGGTAAATTTTACTAAAATCCCATTCCTAAAAAAACATTTTACTAGCTATATCTTGATGCTATTTATTTTTGTTATTCTTTTTCGTTTTCTACACTTATTTGAAAGAACGATAGCAACTTACATATGGCATCTCGCGGTAATTTTTAGTACATTAAGGTTGTTCCTGGGTGCAACGGAAGAAGTCTGTTTGATATAACCGATAGGATAAATGAAGAAGACGTGTAAGTGATTATAGAAATGGTTTTTGCGTGTCTGTTTTTGTCTGTTGGATGTGCACAGTCCAAGTGAAAAGCATCTTTTACGTAAACTGTATCTTTCTACTCTTGCGATTAAATCATGACTGTTTAGATAAGAAAGGCTTGCAGGACAACTTACTGTATCTGATAAATTGAAAAAAACTGTCTCAAAAGTCGATCAATAAAAATTTCCCATCTCAAGAAAAATATAAACTTGTAATGATTGTGTTGGTCGTGAAATCTTGCCTTTAATATCAGCATAAAACATGAATGATATAAAAGTACAATCATGCAACAAAGAATTTCTCCCTTCGCTTAGCTGTCGTAATCTAATAAATCCCAGCTGCCCCGTAAAAAAGCGCCAGGTTTCATTTAATTCGTTTTACTTCGGGCAATATATACTCGGACTGACGGAAACACGATTCTATCCTAAGCCATTTACATTATCAAAAACATGCAAACTATCAGCAACTTTATCCCCTACTCTAATCAAAATCATCTATAATAGGTACAACACAGCTTGTCTGTCATAAAAGCTGACAAAAACTGACCAGATTTGCTTTTAGCCCATTTTAAATAATCATATTTTTATTCTTAAACTCTGCGTCGGTGTAATCCATTGTCTAATTTCGAATTCAGTGTTGCTTGCAAAAGAAAAAAATGTAAAATTTGATGACACAGCAAAGGAAAGAATTTTGGTCAGGTGAAGTTACGAAATATCAATGATCACCTTGGGTGTTTTAGCGGGAAAATGCCAAATATTCTCAGATACTGTACTAAATCATTAAGGACTAGAATGTGATACAAAATACCAACACCACAGGGTGTATAAAAAACTCTAACCCTTTGAAATCGCCCGGCGTATAGAGTGCAAAAGTCAGCAGCAATTGATCCCCAAGGATGCGTAAACGCAGTTTAAAGGAATTATATGTTCGTGATTTGCAATGTACTTGACTGCTTGCGATATGCTGGTGATTGCACAATTCAAAGGTTTCTCTTAATTTTCTTTCTCCTAATTCTCTTAAATACTCGTTGCTCTGTTTTCAGTTGAGCCATTCGTAATCGAACTGAATTTTACATCGTAATAAAAAAGATACTGATTATTCTAATTTCCTCAAAGTACTGGATTGCAAAGAATGTATTTTTAAATCAAAGGGAAAAGTTGCACAAACAATCTTATGCAAATCTTCAGTAGCTGTGATGAATGCAAATTATAGGGTTGCAGTTTTTTGTCACTATGTTTACAATACAAAAATTTTTTTATCATTAAAACATTATATACATTTGCCACCGAAACAAGAACTGGTCAAATTCAGAAATTGTTCAAATAGTCAAACAATGAATTCTTAACTCAATGGGGTTTATAGTTGTAAATATACAGACGATTTAAATGAAATTAACAATAATATTAACTTTTTCATTTCTCATTGCAAAATTATAAGCGTTCACATTGAAAAGGAAAGTAAATTACTTTATGTTACGGCTACTGTGTGTTAAACTTACAGCGGAAGAATCGCAGTGCTCATCTCCAGGTTATGGTGAGGCACATCAAGAAAAAAACGTCGCCTTGGGGGACGTTTTGTTTTCAAAATGTTAAATATTTTTAATAGCGAAATCAGCGTGAAGAAGGCCCCGCTTGAAAATGAAATGCGCACCTGAACGCAATTTAAAGTATTATTTATGTGTATTGGATTTCATTTTCAAAAATCTATCGCATTGAGATTAAAATCTGTTTTGTCTGGCGTGCATTCTTCATGTTTCCGTAAACTGATATTTTGCATCAAATGGTTAATGGTCTACAATCTACATTCCATGATTAGTTTTACAGATATAAAAATCAGTCCATAGTGGTTACAATAATGTTATCTTTTCCATTCATACAATATTTTGTCATTTTAGTCAATCGACAAGACGCCATCGTTTACATTAATCTTTAAGTTAATCACTGCATTTTAGTAGTCGTATAATGATCTATATTCCACATGAACGGAAATGAAAATAGATGCTTACAAAAGAGTTCTTTTCACTTCACAAAAATGTAAATATAATTGCCACTAATTATTTTATTCGGCGCGAAAAAGCCCGCTATAATTTATATCTATCATTGGTTTAGTTTACCATAACAAGATATTTTCATGCAAATTAAATATTTCACAATGACACATGGGCGGATGCGTGTCTTATCTATGCATACTTTAACATTGTTTCGTAAAACTCCTAACATTTACATAACTTCATTATTTTAACGACGACATTCGAGTTAACCGAATGGTAAAATGGATCTCTTCAGATTTGTAGTGTTTATCGTAATTGCGCTTTGCCACGTTGCCGTCAGTTCCTCTTCGGGTGATCTTGAACATGCGGGTGACCATGATGCGTTTCACAGTATACTGGAACAACTTGGATTGGAACATAACGAAAATTTAACACTTCACCACGTAAATGACATTCTCACACGACTTAGTCTAAATAACTGCTCAAATCATACCCAACATAAGGTAAAGTTTTTTAAGTTATAAGATCTCATAAGCGCTCTCAAGCTGTCTATAAAAAGTTATGTATCTATTTGTTAAATCTTTATTGAATTTTAGTCATCGCCTTGTAAGCAAGTAAACGACTGAGCGAATATATTCCTAATTTCACGTTGACCTTTCAATTCATACAATTCAACAAGGACCTCGAGTTCGCTATTATTTATTTGCGTATCGCAATATATATTTCGTGTGTTGTCTTTGTGTTTGTAACCAGACGCAGAGTTTACTTAAAATAATTTCTTAAAATTTATATTTGCGTTTTTCTATATTTCGATGGATTGGCCACCATTATAACCGTAATCACATAAATGCGTGATCAGACATTCCGAATTGCGATATTTTACATGAATTGATACAGCGATACTCGACACCTTATACCGGTATCCGTGTATGTTGCTATATGCATATTTACGCAATACCACACCGATTTTATAGCGTTTTGTTCAATTAAACTGACTCAGATCCCCGTAGCCGCGTTTACATAGTCACACAAGTGTTTAAGTTGTTAAATTTTAACGTAAAATCACCATAGAACAGGTACGGACGGTTAATAGGTTATAAAATTTACATTGTAAATTTCCGCTATGTCTCAATACGAAACTTTCACTTTAAAAGGCAAAATAGTCTTAATGCGAGCGTAACGTTGTTTCATTTTCGTTCTTGTTTGATGAAAAGGACAAACGAAGTTTTTAGTGTAGAGAAAGAATTTAGTTTCTGATTTCGTAAGGTCGGTTGTTGTCTGATACATTTAGGTGGCTGAATAGAATATTTCAGCGAAATCTGTAGTTTTTTATGCAGACTGGCGTATGTATGTATTTTCTACATGTGAATTTCAAAGATAAAATTATTGAGCTTTTTTTCATTTTGTTGTTTTACTTGTTGAAATTCGTGTTAGGCAATATATTGTATTTACTTCACGAAGTATTCCAATTATGAAAGTTAATATTATAATATAAAGATGGTCCTTTATAAAAAAAGCTCTTTTCTTTAGTCCACTCAACATCGTGAGAAATGAGCGAACTATTCAATAGCGTATTTGAAAATTATTTGCTCAGGCATTTAGTTCTTCAGACACGGAAAGAGAAATATTATTGTCTACGCATGTTGAAAATAAAGTTTTTAAGGATGTTTTAATGACAGAGTAAATCACTAATTATTCAAAATTTTAATAGTGCGTCACTGGAGAATCGCTGTTTAAGATTTTCAACATCTCAACAAATGGAAGTGTTAGTGAAGGAGATTTCAAAAAGTTTGCTCCAATTATTGTATACGCACTTTTACCTTATAATCATTCAGACGAACATAAGCATAATGATGAGGGAGACGATCATATGGATGAGCATGATGGGAGAATGATCACAAGAAATGTCAGTCTCTATGATGAGCTGAAGGAGAAGTACAAAACAAGCTCTTTGTGTGAACAGATACTTGATCAATTTCTTAAAGATATTAATACTACGTTTCATGGGAAGGTAAGAATGTTTTCTGACATTTCTTTCTCCTGTACACTGACATATATTCGTTTACATTTACGTCTATATTTGCTAGACTTTATTTGTATATTCCTTTGTCGTAGCTACGTAAGTTTGTATCCTGAATGTATAATAAAATGTTCGTGTTTCATAGATGTAATATTTTTTGTATTCTTAATTTATTTCTGTTTTGGCAACTGTTATTACATATTAATGCGTATTCATGACAACGGGAATGTTTTAGATGAGTATTATATAAGTAGGTATGGCTATGATTTTGAGGGAAATTCAATTTAGTTTTTCAGCGACGATCAAATCTGATTATATAAAAACACTAATGACTGTATGAGTGCAATTTGATAAAAAAATATTTGGATAGGTGCAATTTATCCAATCCAATTAAAGCTTTTGCAATTTACGTCATATACTCGTACAATTTTTCCTAAACTAAAAACCGTTTTAAAATATCCCAGAAACATAATTTGTCGTCAATTGTCGTATCATTTTACTTGGATACAATATAGCATATAACGACTCAGTGTTCATCATTGTTCATATAAACGGAGTTATCTAACTTATCTTTGGCTCAATAAATATATATGCATGTGAATCACTCGACGTAGTATTCGTCTTCTCGATATCATCAATCGCTTCTATGAAGGACAAGGGGTGGAGAGAAGTCAAAGAAATTTGATGAAGTAAAGAAATATTTGCTGTATAACAGCGGCTAGTGAAATTACTGCGGTTGACGTAAAACAATAGCCAATAAAATTGCTGTATTAGAGTAGTATGCATGATTCTTTTCTGTTTTCGCCTTTCAAAATATAGACGAATCAACGCGAGGCCATTTTGTTAAAGCTTAATTTTTATTTATATGTCAGATGTCACATGATCACGATCATCACGATAATCACGATCATCGTCGCCGTAGATCTATTAGTAGTCCAGATAGTCGTCAAACTAAGCAACAGCGGTACCGCAGAGATGCACATGGACATGGTCACAGCCATTCCGAGGTAATTATTTTTTTCTACTGGGTAAGATCAGCATCAAAATGAGTTACATCCTAATCACGGCGTAGTATAACAATTTAGAAAAGTCTATATGTCAGCTATATGATAAACCAAACATTTTCATTTTAAATAATAAGCCTGCGATTTGAAAACGGCAATATGTATAAGTTATTATATTTCCTTTGCATATTACATTTCAAAAGATTTTTTCACTATTTGTCACAATCATGACTTAATAAAAGGTCAAACAGACGAAACATATGAAACAAATTATTCATGGCCTCATTAAATGACACATTTTCGTGAATCGATCCATGAGATTTTTTGATGGTGTTTAATTCACTTATACGTACACTCTGGTAAATTGAATGTCTAAATGAAACGTCATATCTTACGCAAATTACGTGAATACCACTCAATTTTTTGCGGTTGAGGGTAAAAATTCATCAAAAAATTTCGAGAAAAATATCCGACGATGTTTCTTTGACAGGATAGTGATATGTCCAGTCACTGATGTCACCTTGCTTACGAATTACAACGAAATATAACGCTTGCGACGAAATCATTTTGATCACGTCAGGAGCAATCGCTCATTGCATAATTTTTATAAATGATCAGAAAATGACTGATGTTATAGTTTTTTATACATTGACTGTGACCTAAATGACAGACAGTGAGTCTGTAACCTGCTGGCGATGAACTCTTTAATAATAGATATTTATACATTACTTTATATTACATTGTTTAATAATACATAACTATACATTATTTCATACAACTACAACAGCAAAATTGTCACATATTGCAAGACAGGCCTTTTGCTTTAGCGTTTTTTGTTTGTGGTCAATTTGCACGAAATTTTTTTTCTAGTGTTTTTCTACTAAAGATATCTACCGTCAGCTTGGGAACATTTCAACAAACTTAAGCGTCAACAAATCTCATCTCCCTGAAGTCAGCGTCATCATTATAAGTCGTTTGATGAATGATTCGTGCATCCGTATTCATCACGAGACTCCTTTACCGTGCTCCTCGCACTTTGCTCAAGATTTGTTTCAAAGATATGCCGTAAATAACACAGTTATTAGTGAAGCCAAGTTCAAACAACTATTGGGACATTTAAAGATTGGTGAAAAACCTGGGCACGATGATCATAAACACGACTCTCACAGTGACGATCATGGTCACAATCATCGTCGCCGTAGATCCATTAGTGATTCATTCAATTCTCAAGAATCCCAATCCAATCCACTACGACGATATCGTAGAGACACCCATACTGATCATCACCATATGCACGAGTCTTCGCGCTACAAAAAGGTTATTCTAAATTTTTTATGTCTTTGATTGATAGCTTTAATTTCTGGCAGACATCGTATTAGTAAAATCATGAACATAGATTTTTAAAAAAGAGCGTCGAGAAAGATTTATTGATCATTGCTGCTTGCATTAGTCTTGAATTTTGAAATTCAATTGACGGACACCGTCCTTTCATCTTTTAAATTATGTTAACTACCAAATCCTTACTCTCTTTCAAATTGAGTTTACTTCTGATATTACTTGAAAAATACATTTATTCCGCAATCACGGTTTGGTTTGTGTGTAAATTATTGGCGAACAAGCAAATCTTACCGAAATGTTTTTTCTTTTTCTCGTAGTGTTATTCATCGAGTGAATTTTTCCAAATTTATCATGTCAGCAGTAAAAAGGCTTTACTTTTGAGAACTTTCAGAAGCTAACTCCAGCCTTGGTACAACAAATTGCATCAAACAGTTGTGCTGCTGACAGCCATACGGAAAAATCCGACAAAGCATCCGATAGTGAAAGTAAGTTTTAAATGTGTCACAAAACAAAATGTTTGATTGCAAGATCATCACCACACAAGACTGAATTATATACACTGAATTTTAAACAAAGCTATTTGCTCAGTTGTATCGCCATTTTGAAGTTAATTTCATGTCACTTTGTTGAAGGTTTCAGTCTTTCATTTTAAATTTTTCGACAAATTGTTATGTACAATCAATCTTTTTGTTTATTTTAAAATTTTGAAAACTTAAGAATTGAAAGGCATTTGATGTTTTAGATGTACAAAAGTGTTGTTATAGTCAATATTAATAGTTTAACAAACTAATTAGCTATATTATTGGTTTTTCATACGTTGTAGGATCATAGTAATAAATTCTATTAGATGATTATTTTAATTGGAACACTATCATGTTGGGGGTAGTTGTAGGTTTTTCATAAAAAAATGATTCAATTTTTTCATCTTTTTATTAACATCAACGACCTATTGCATTTGCAAACTGCATTTTCAGTATCAAAACTGCTGTTATTCGTTTTACAATTAAAATAGGCTTCAACAGCCGCTAATTGTCTTTTATTATGATTTGTCAAATTCATGAGCCATGCATTTACTAATTTATCATTTGAAAACAAATTGTATTTTCTTTTAGAATGGGGTTATGGCTTTTTGGCTGTGGCTATTGTAAGCTTGTGCTCAGTCTTTGGAGTCGCTATCATTCCTGTGATGGACAAAGTGTTTTATCATAAAATTGTTTTGTTTTTGATTGCTCTGGCTGTTGGTACATTAGTTGGTGATGCAATGCTCCATCTTTTCCCTCATGTAAGAGTCAAAACTGAGGAATAAAATTTGTTTTATTTTATTTCGCCAGTCTATTTAAATATTATGCAGTTGAATTTCAAACGCTTAATGAACGTTGGGAATTAGAACTTCGTTGACTGTGCAACATTTCTTCATTGGACAACCTGAAAAAATAAAATAAATAAATCTGTATTATGTAAAAGCGTCTGTAAGAAGTGTTGGAAAGTTGTTTCGGTGGAATAAATTGTAAATAAACATTCGCATGATTTTTACACTTCTTGTGAAAAAACACTTGAATTATGGCGTTAACGAAAGATTGTGCAAGAATCAGTTCACAGATGCATATATATTTGATGTTTTAAACTTTGTGATAGAAGAGTATGGATTGTCCAAGATTTTGCCATACATATGAAACGATGAAATATGTTATAACATCATAGACTTGTCTCTAAGATATACTTGCTTGCATATTTCACGCATGTTTGTATAAATTTATGCTTCATATCATTCCAGGCATTGGGATTGGACAAACATGATGATCATGGTGGTCATAGTGATCATGGTGGACATGACGATCATGGTCACGGCTCTGAATCGTCAGACGACAAAGAATATTTATGGAAGTTTCTTGTTACATGTGTGGCTATTTACGCATTTTTCGTTTTCGAAATGGTGATTCAACATTTTTTCCGCAAGGATTGTGGACACTCTGTTGGGGTATTGCGAAAATCTTTTTTTTTAAATTCTTTCTAACAATAATCTTGTGAGCATGGGACTACCGACTTAGCTACATATATGGTGGCTAGTACATTGGAAGATAAATAATCGTCTTTTTTGATGAACTTATCTTTTTAGCCCGCCCATAACCATCAACACAATGACACAGAACTTGGTTCTCCACCGAGTTATAATGATATTGGAATGAAAAATATTGTAAGTGATCAATAATTCATTCTGACGCAACGTTTCCTTCAAAATCATTAAATTGCGTTTCACGTAAATAATTTGTAGCAACATGTAGCTCTAAAAAAGCCATATATGTTACATTTTTAGGGTTACAACCACGACTCAAAAGACGGGCTTTCCAATGGAAAGGTACGTTTTACTGAAAAAAAAATTTTTAATTTAAGTTTTCAAAATATATGTTGAAATAATGTCTTATTCGTGTACTTTTCCTTTAAGACTCATCTTCCAGACAAGCCTGGCGATAAGGAAGGAAAGACGTCGATTGCAACAGTTGCATGGAATATTTTAATTGGGGATACAATTCATAACATTGCCGATGGTATAGCCATTGGAGTGGCTTTCTACCAAGGTGTCTGTTGGAATCAGTACATCTATTGCTGTATTTTGTCATGAACTACCTCATGAGCTAGGTAAGTACATTTTACTTTGCCTAATCTTGTATACTGTATTTTTAATTTTTGGGTACAGTAAAGACAACATACAGTGGCGTCCCGTAGGATTTTTTGGGGGGAGGCAAAACATCCCCAAATGCCACTTACATACTATATGCACTTTGTTGTATGACTGACATTTTTAAGTTACATACATAAAAGCCTTAGTATGGGAAATAAAGGAGGAGAGCCCTTTTTCCCTTCCCTTCAGGAAAATAAACATGTTCAGAAAGAAGTATGTTTACACAGTTTTACTAAGGATGTTGCTAAGTCATTTCAAGTATTCTTTGCGATTTAAATGTGTGGTAAAATATCCTGTCGTAAACTGTTTCAGTCATTTTTTGCGCATTCAATCTCATGACGAAAGTTTAATATTCGTTTTTAACTTATGGAACTAAATTGAGGAAGATGAGTAGCCTTTGAATCAGCTACGTATATACTAATATCTGTCGTTTATCATTTTGTTTTTAGGTGATTTTGCAGTGTTGCTCAATGCTGGTATGAGTGTAAAAATGGCACTTTTGGCAAATTTCCTCTCCGCTTGCTCTTGCTTTCTTGGTTTGGTGATCGGAGTTGCGATTTCTGATGGCGGAGATGCCAATAAGTGGATCTTTGCTGTTACTGCAGGAATCTTTATTTATGTTGCCCTGACAGATATGGTAGGTTAAGAAAGCTTGACTTGAAAGCTAGAGAAAGCAACATGCTTAAATGTATATTATTGGGATGATTTGTGTTTTAGATTTGTTGTTTATTATACTCTACGCCTTTTTTAAGCAATAAACTAATTTCATTACAAACTTTCAATTCAGGGCTTATTTTTTTGGAAGCACACTAGTGTAGGGTACAGTTTAGAAGGCGCACAGAAAATGACCACATTACTATCATTATGTCGGCCGCATAACTTGTTAAAAAGTATCTGCATTAGATTTAATGATATGTTTCTCATTTTGTGACAGGTGCCGGAATTGATCCACAATCCTAATTTCAACGCACTCCCAAAGATGATACGTATCATTCTCCAAAATCTTGGAATGTTGTTGGGTTTTGTTCTTATGATGTTACTTGCTTATTATGAAGAAGACATTAATGTTTAATAAACACTTCAAACTTGTTCATCGTTACTTTTGTAACTGTCTCTTTTTAATTTTATTGTATTGACAAACTTATACAACGACTTACTATGTAACGATTGGATACTGCAATAGTACGTGATCTATATTTGTAAGTTTTTCCATATTTAGATAATTTATAATCACTATATTTTTTATTTATCTTTTAACTTATAACTTCTAATAACTTTAGTGTTTCCTGCAATAAAATAATTTATAAATTACCTACACACTTGATGATTTCCAAACCAGTTTGCTAAACTCTGAATTTTTTTTAATTTCTTATTTGGGCTACCGAAGCTAAGCTCGAGTTTAATTGAAAATGCGTTTTGTCCTTTCGTGTGGCGAGTTGCACAAATCACGTGTGACTGACACAAAGTCCTTGAGCCTATAAAAATCTTTTCAAAGCAAAAGGAAATATCTGGCTGTGACAGGAAAAATAACTGAAAAACATTCTTCGAAGGAAACTTACAGGAAATATAACGAATTGAAAGGAAATGACAGGAAATTCTCGAAAATGTGTGAAAAGGCGGAATTATAGCCTTTTCATGAAAAATGTGTGAAAATGAGTGAATTATAGTCTTTTCATGAAAATGTGTGAAAATGAGTGAATTATAGTCTTTGCATGAAAATTTGTGAAAATGAGTGAATTATAGTCTGCGTGAAATTGTGTGAAAATGCGTGAATTATGGTCTTAGTGTGAAAATTCGTAAATTATAGTGAAAATTTTTGAAAATGTGTTACAACTCGTGAAATATAGTCTGCGTGAAATTGTGTGAAAAGCCATGCATTAGTTTTTCCTTAAAAAAAATACGAACTCTTCACGGCGTTCTAGTGCCTTTCTGCTTAAGAAGATATTGAAAAGCATGGACCAAAACGGCATTTTATGCTTTCAAATTTATCTTTTTGTTTACAAAGTTCTTCCCATAAAAGAAACTAGAACATCCAAGGATACTGCAAAGGTTCAAACAACTTCTGCCTTTTTGACTTATATTTTAAACCAACTCTAAACATGTTTATACGTTTTTTACTTGTTACCTTTTATAATGTGACTTTCTCATAACTCCTAGTGATGAACAACAGCATCCTTATACAATACAACTTTCTCATCATGAGCGAAAGCATCCATGGGCTTCGTGGAAAAAGGGATTATCTACTTTTTTATAATAGTTTTTATAAAGATTACACTAATTAATAAGCCAAGCAATTTGTATCGTCTAAATTGAACCTCACTTTCAACCCTTTTGTTATAAAACTTTCATTCATCAGTAAATTTTTTAACCTTACAATCTTTCCTGATTCAATAGAGAAAGTAACTTCTCTTCTCGAGTAATTTTGCGATTAAACAGTGCACTTTTCGGATTCAAACGAATTTTTTTAATTGCATATAGACAACCGTCCAATTTATCACGTACCTAAGCGTAAGTAAAGCATTTCCAAATAAAGTACAAAACTTTCTTCACATTACCAAATTACCGTCTAATTAAACAATGAATGTATTAGAAAGTTACCTTGACAACTGAAGCAAACCTTCCTTTTTCAAAGCATTTGCAACACCTCAAATTCATTCCAAACTCTTGAATTTCTTGCAGCATAGCTGAAAGGAATAGGCATCAAATCAGGATACTCATCTCCATCACAACAGCTATCTTGATTTCTCCCTTGATCTTTTTCAGCGTCAAGCTTATCTAAGTGATGTTATTTGTTCAAACCGTGCGACATGGGATTCGAGAGATAAAAGGATGTCCAAAAAGCTGCTGTGCTAAGCAATGGTTAAGGCTCTCCGGATGTAGACATCTATATACAAAGTATATGTCATTAAATTCTTCGTCACTTTAATGCTTGTTTTTCTTCGCGATCTTCATTTTTTCAAGTGTAAGCTTTGAGTGCAAGTTTTCAAGCATGGCTATCATGGTTATTAACAAATACATATTCCGAGATAGGTAACTTTCTTTATGACACTGCGATTCAATGAAAAGAAACTTACAAGTCCAAAACGAGCTTTTCAATGTATCCAAAGACCAAACTCTTTTTCCTTGACATTAGTTGACTTTTTAAAGAAAACACCTAAAAATGTAACAATAGAAAACCAAAACTTTCGAAACGCGTTTACTTGAACAATACCCTATTGGCAAAAATAAGTCTTTATACATAGCTATATATTGAGCGAAACGAAGTGAATGAACGTGAACTAATCCTTTTACAATCTCACAGAGAATCAGCCACATTCTCTGTTGGTCCTTGTGTCAATAGCATTAATTAGAGTACTCTTCTCACAATACTCCATCTGTATAAACAAAGTTTGCAGGGTACACTTCAATAACAATTCAATAAAGAAATCATCTGCACATGCAGTTGAGCATGCACAGTCCACTTAACTCATTGTTCGTAGTCATGGCAAGGACTAACTATATGTACTTGCACTACATCAGTGGCAATTACCTTTGTGTGATTTTACGTATATTCCATTCTCCAGTTCAAGTCTCCTCAACAAACGATGCTTGTTCTATGCCAGTGTTCATTACACAAAAATGATCTGCTTGAGTAATGGTAGTAATCAAAACATTGATCTCAGAAGGATGATTTATTTCATTTGCAGATATCTCAACATAGTCATCATCAAACATTTGAGGTCCATCATTGCCAAAAAGGTTATCAACATCAATAGGATATCTTTCTATAAGTCATTTTGGCAATCATCAAAAACTCCATAGCCTTCACAAGCATCAATATCTTTAGCAGGACATGAACAAAACACAATTCCTTTGCAATCTTTGCCCACTTTTTCCGATAATCTTTCAAGTGAAAAAAGTCTTTAGCTTTACTTGCAAAACAAAAATTTTATCACAATCTAATTTACTGAAATTTGATCAGGATGAATTAGTTTGTTTCGTGTTCTATTGAAATTCACTAATTCTTAATCAGCTTTAGTTAATAGTAACTCAAAACAGAAAATTAATATTTTATGCCCTCCCCCTCAAATACCAAATACAGGTTTGTGCAAAAAACAAAACAATTTTCACATCTTATCTTCTGTATATAATGAAGAACATGTACCTAGAATTATCCATAACATTTCAATATATTTTTGGGGTTCATGGAAAGGTTTTAAAACTTTTCTGATTTCACTTGTCCGTCACATAGTACTAAATTGATATGGACCATTAAACATAATCATTTAGGCTCACCTGGCATGAGATGAGCTTCACTGCCATCCTTCAAGAGTAGAACATATTTTTGTTTTCCATCAAAGTTTCGGTCATAAGCCTCCCACTTGGATCTTGCTGTTTGTCGCGTTTTGTCATAATTGGATGTTTGTTTTACCTATATAGGCAGTCTCTTCCCTCGAAGAGTTTTTAATTCCCCATCGACAAATTGCTTTAAGGCAATGTTGACTGTCACTTCAACATCCTCTGTTGCATTTAGTGTAGAATATTTACATTTTTTTACACGATTTTGATATATTATTTACAAGTCAATTTAATTAATCGAACAAGCTCTGTTGGCAATAAACTACTGTTCCTAAACACCAAGTATAAGGATTATATTGTACTTATAATGATTTACAGCAAAGTTACATTTTCTTATATATTTCGTCTGCGTCACTCCATCTTCGTTGATTGTTTAAATAAACTTTCAAATCATCAACAACTGTTCTTAACATCTCTTTTTTTCATTTTTATTGTTGGACTTCTATAGCTTCTTCTTTGTTCATTATTTAATTTTGTCGTCCGTTTCATTTCTTCCAAACTAAGTTGATATTTTTTGAGTTGGTTGGTCCTAATGTCTAAAATTAAATGCTTAAAATGGCAATTCACTATAACAGTCTTTATACACTAACATTAAGATATTTAGTTGTCGACTACGGAAAGTTACGGTGGCCCACAAGTGCAATACACAAAATAATAAATTCAATGCAACATCTGTTTCAGATGCAAACTTTAACATTACAAAACAAAATTAATGTTTCCAAAGCGCACTAAAGCGCATAACATTGTTAGTAGTTTGACTTAGGGCCTGTTTATATGGAGTCGAGTTACCCGGCTGAGCGAGTTACTCGCTCAACCGGGTTTGACAAAGTGATCTGTTTATATGGCACCGGGTAACTCGGCTAGTACTTCTGTTCATTTGTCTTAAATGAAGTTTGGCTATGCTAACTTCGAGTAAAGGCGCGAGATTTTAAAAAGCCTCACAGTTTCGCAGCAAAAATGGAATGGGTGAATATAAAATTGAAAATTATGATATGTGTATGTTTTTGTATAATAATGCTGCAAGTACAAGGCGTAGTACACATGCGTACCAACAGAGCCAATTTTCTCGCCTCGCCGAGTTACCCGGCAAATGCGTTTATATGGAAAAATTCATCCCGCCTAGCCGGGTAACTCGCTTACACAAACCGAGTTCCCGGCAAGGCGAGTTACTCGGATGTGTCATATAAACGATTCACCGGGAAATGCATTCATTTTATATAAGGGCCGAGTTACCCGGCTAGGCGAGTAACTCGCTCAGCCGGGTAACTCGGCTCCATATAAACAGGCCCTTAAACTTGATACTTGGTCACTATGTCACACGGTTTACAAATTTACAAGACAGTCAATGCAGAAATTAATCATTCATTATTTCAATTATCTGATAACGTAGATTACATGGCATAAAATATTGATGCATAAAAAAATTATGATAAAAGTAACGACTTTTCGTTAAGCAGATGGCTTGCGTGATAAATGAAAACATTTTTATTATGGACATGGACGTTTAATTATGCACTTTATCATGCAACCTTCAATTTTGATCTAAATATCTGCTTCACGAAAATACGCTAACATAATTGTCTACATACATATATAAACATAACTGATATTATACATATCATCTTATTTATTTTTCATTTCAGGACATGTTCTTTCTTCAGAAGTATTGATATCAATAGTCCATTGCAGATTTGTAATCCTAAAATTAACATATCTAATTATTCGAAATCCCCCTCTTTTTGCGCAGGCTCACCAGTAATAGTTTTAACCAAAATTGTACCTCCCCCCATTACCCAAACCTTATGCTCAGGGCTTAAAATTGTATCACAACCACTTTTCTACTCCTCTGTTTATAGTCCTTATGGATGTTTTTAGAATTCGCATATATACATAACTTTGTCGGGTGATTCAATATAAGAATAAAATAAAAATAATAAATAAAAATGTTACTTAAAACTAAAGTAAAAGAACAATACAAGACAAATAAACCAAGGTTAGGGCCTTAAGAATTTGTTGGTGTGTTCATAAGGAGACAATCGGAACATGATGACATCACAGATGGTTGATATGTTTCCACTTGGAGCGTTATGTGAAAAATACGGAAGTGTTCTTTTAAGGTTTGCAATGCACTCTGTAGAACTTCTTGAGAATCAACGTTCAAGTCTAGAAAGCATGAGGTAATTAAAATTATATGTAAATCATTTACTTTTTAAAAGTTCGTGAAGTAGCTATTTCAATTACAGCACGAAGATACAAGCACTTGTGAGCGTGAGGGCTGAAAGGAAGACTATCAGAGACAGGAAAATTAGCTAAGCTATATGTATAATGGTAACAATTTAACTGCATGAATTTTGACGTAAATCAAACGAACTTACAAAAACAATGCGTGGTTAGTCTATAGCTGTATTAACATTAGTCTGGGCAAACCAATCTAGATCCGACAAATCAAATCAATACATTTATTACAGAGAATTTGCAAATCAATCACGAATAGCTACATGTTAGAGAAAATATTAAAGCGTTTGTTTTAAATAAGTGTTTCCCCCATTTTTGTTGCTCTATAAAAGAGATTAAAGATGTTTTTCGTGTTTCTACAGGGTTAGGGTTTCTAGAGTTCTTCTAAATGTCTCCTCGGTTTGTAAAAGCCAGTGCAAATACAGTAAATTAATGTCACGTCATGCGTAATGCAGATTTAAAAGATCCTTCAAAAAACACTCGTCTTCCTACCGATTGCCAAATGTGCAGTCAAGCAGTGCTTGTCGACATTCAGAGACCATATCTGTAAACTGTGAACCATCATTACGCCGGGAAGATTTTTCAACAAAGATTTAACTTTTAAATAATTGATGGATTTTGGGGCACCTACAAAGAAAACAAACGTCTGACATTCTTTAATAACTTTTGCTCCTGAATACAAACGTGTTTTCCTTATTGTTGCATCAAAATGGCAAAGAATAAACGTTGCAGACATGAAGACATGAAGACCAACCTTCGCAAAGAATATGAACAGCATCACGCAAGATGGTAATGGTCGTCAGAAGAACCAAAAAAGAGAAAAAAAATGTGCAAATAGGATCAGCTAACTTCCAGTGTGGCTGAAATCATAATATAAAAAGTCTTCTTAGCAATAAAGCATAGATGGCAGAGAAAAAAAAACACATAAAGTATTTTCTTCAAAAGAATCTTTGATATGAAAAAATATATAACTATACACTAATTTACAATTTTGCATAAAATATGTTCGATAATACAAAAACAGATAAAAAAATCGTGAAAAAAATTCCATTCACTAAATGACTACATACTTTGCCACTAAATATGGAGAAGGCGGCAAGATCTAACGTGGAAAGTTATGATACAGCTATAAAAAATCATGCAATTTAGCTAGCTATGCATGCATACACACTCCAAATGTACAACAACATTACAATGACTATACATTAAAACATTTGCCAACTCAAAATAATTGCTGTTACATTAACAAAAGCGAACTTACAATCATTGTTTTGCATTATATGTAGAGTTTAAAGTTTCTGAAATCTATTGTTTTCAATGGATTAAAACATGCCGCCGATATGGATAGGACCCTCCCAACCCCACACACACACACATCATGAATCATCTACGGATACTTGGCGCAGATCATTACAAGCAGGATGAGGAACAGATTAGTATTACAGAGTGAGAGCCAACCATCATGCATTGCGCGCTTAATTTATGAAGTACGAAGTAAACAGGCAAGAGTAATAGTTGATAAATGTTTTCCTACAAGTAGGAATCATTTTATTTTTTTGTCTATTGTGAAATTATTCAAGTCATCGTAAAATACAGCGAGACTCCCATATACAAACAAGCAACCAAACACCATCTTAACAAACAAAAAACATTTATTTACCTTAAATTTAATGATGAGCGCAGCAATAAAGACACCAATACTTTGAACAATATCCCCAAGAACATGTATGAGCGCTGCTCTAACATTGATGTTATTATCATCCTGATCATGAGCATGCGAATGCGAACCATGAGAATGAGGCACATCACACCCATGTAAAACACAACCCAAACTGAAACAAAAACAGTTTTTCAGATCTTCTTTATACGACAGGGCCTGCACATGAAATCGGAATAAATATGAAACCATGAATTGGCAAAAAATGTTTTCAAAATAACAAATACCACGGTGAATGGTCAAATAATAACCAATGATTTAGATCCCGGTCTTCTAGATGTCTAACTACCGTGTCATGTCGAGGTAAGGACGCTATTTTGAAAGGTGGCAAAAATTAAAACTCAAAATGAAAAGTAAGTTAAAACAAAGTTTAAAAAACCCATCAGTTCTTAAAAGAACTGTTTAAAATGGTGAGGAAAAGTTACCGTCAGCTCCAAATACCGCATGATTCTGGAGTTTCTATTTTGCAGACGTTGACACTTGATGAGTAGTCTGCCGAAATGCATCGTGTCTTTCAGTTCCTTTAGAACTATTGAGTTAGTGTTCTGGTTTCAAACAGTTCTTTTAGAATTATTGAGCTAGTTTCTGGTTTTAAACAGTTCCTTTAGAACTATTGAGTTAGTGTTCTGGTTTTAAACAGTTCTTTTAGAATTATTGAGTTAGTGTTCTGGTTTTAAACAGTTCTTTTAGAATTATTGAGTTCGTGTTCTGGTTTTAAACAGTTCTTTTAGAATTATTGAGTTAGTGTTCTGGTTTTAAACAGTTCTTTTAGAATTATTGAGTTAGTGTTCTGGTTTTAAACAGTTCTTTTAGAATTATTGAGTTAGTGTTCTGGTTTTAAACAGTTCTTTTAGAATTATTGAGTTAGTGTTCAGGTTTTAAACAGTTCTTTTATTAAGTTATTATTTTGACCATTCACCGTGGTATTTGCTATTTTTAAAACAAGTTTTAGATTTATCACCACGACAAAGTCTCTATTTTACTATGAATTGGCATTCACACAGGCAACCAACAATAAAATATATTGCTATATGGCAATATTATATGTACAAAAAACTTCGTTTCCATATAAGACCTCGCGCTTAATATTTCTTAGTTATCTTTACTTTTTACTATATGTATCTAGTTCGTTACTTTTTGGAACAAGAAAATGTAAAATGAGCAGATACTGAGCAATTAGACCATCTTAAAATTAAAGTCAGTTTCTTATCGTTGAAATCCAACTTTTTGTTTAACATTTACCATAAAGAGAGCATTCATTGTCATCAAGATCTTTATATCGCATAGTTGAACGTGATGTTTGCATTAAGTTGTTACTGCTCAGAGTAAACCAAACTATCAAAGTATGAAATCATCAAAAATCGTTTGTATACAAGGACATTCAATTTAGAGAATTTTTCATCTTGATAAAATCACACATGTTAATTATCATTTGGAGTTTCGTATATCGAAATATTTCAACTTTACCTTGAGATATAGCGATATGTATACTTCCTTATATGGACTGATTACGTACATAAACATGTAAATGACACATTTGATCTTTTTTTTCCATATTTTAATTTATTTCAAAAATATCTTGTGCAAAAGTTGCAAGTGTTTAGTAAAAAATCCATCTTCGTAAAATTTAAGCACGAAGATTGGTAAAAACCGCTTAGAAAATCTGGCCACACAGAGTAAGTGCTTCAGGGCATTTAATGTTTGTATCTTTAGACAGTTTCGGAGAGGGATTAAATGACCGTCGATATAAACTGAAGTGCATTATTTTTTAGTTTTTATAGTCAAAATCACATTTTAATAAGATTGAACGTTAAATAAAGGATTTAGCAATTATGATTATTTGTGTGTTAACCGGATACCTTAGCGATTTAAAAATTAAAAACTCCAGTCACAAAAGGTGCTAAATTTGCACAGGAATATGAAGATGGTGTATAAAACTGATCATAGATTATTGCAATCAAATCCTCAACCGTCGCAGCTGCATGTTCATCTCATTTTCATAAACTCACACTACAATCCTAATTTTTTCTAATCTTAAGAAGATTGCTCGAGTTGTGATTTAGCGTACTTAATCGATAATAAAACAGAATAAGAGAGCTTTCAGCAATTTATGTCACTTACACGACATTGACAAACATTCCAAAAGACGCGGTAAAAAGCATAACGTCTGCATTAATGCTATATTCATTCTGCATGACTCGATGGGCTGCCATGTACACCAAAACAGCTGTCAGTAACCAAATTAAAAGAACGGATACAACAGCGCCAAGAATTTCTAAATAAATAAACATTGCTCAATCAAAATTGATGGGCCAACAAAAGTTCATAGTGCCGTGGTTTAACTGGTTGAAAACATGATAAGTTAAATACATATGTACTATCAATTACAGTTATAAAAATAAACTGTACATATTAATTAGTATTTACGTTCAAAATGTAAAAAACATAGTAATAGCTCAACATACACAGTGCTTCACGCATAATGATTTTGCAAAAATTTTACAATATTGCATTGATACACATTACAATAAATATTAAATATATGAATACATTGATATGTACAGACATGCACATACATATACTGTACATAATTATATAATTCAGGAAATATATCATAAATTTAGGCTCAACATTAATATGTATGATACATAAAGCTATTGCATAATTAAACTGAGGAAAAACTCAGGTATTAAGGTTTTGGTGAAAAATCATTGGTGTTAGTCAATTATACCATCAAAATGCACAACAGATCATATAGAGTGTTTATAAAATCCAATATTGTAAGGTTCAGTATCCTATGAACAGTCAATTCCATGTTTTGCTTTACAAATATAAAAGGTCATATAAATTAATAGAAATCCCAATAGTGTGTTTCTTACCTGCTCTGTAAAATCCAAAAGTTTTTTTATGATTGGCTTTCTTTTTGGCAACATAAAGAGCAATCATACTGATAGCAAAGGTCCCAAAGTCTGAAAACATGTGGGCTGCATCAGACATTATTGCCAGACTATCCGCATAGATTCCACCTGGTTAAAACAATTTGAAAATTCATATTAACAATTAAAAAATTTCATCACTACAAAAACTGAAAAGGCCTTATCAAAAGTTTGCTGCACATAATCAACAGTTGGGATAATTCACTGTTTTTCACTTGGACATATTTTTCTATGGATGACCAAAAACCTTCTCACAAATCTGAACTGTGATTATTTTGACAAGATTTATTTCATCGCATATGTTAAACACATCAAAAAAACTGCGATTAAATCATTTTAATCAATGGACATGAATGTTGTTTCATTGACTTAGTAGAAATCAGTCAGGTTTCAGAAGAAATTGAAATATTAGTTCCTTTTACTTATTCATTAAATTTTCCTCAAAAACCTCATGTAAAGAGTGGGATATTAATAAATTTGGTTTGACTAAAAACCCTTTTTAAGATACCATATTACAGTCAAGTTTTTGTAACTTATTTGTACATATGTTTTTAAAGATTTACACATAAGACTTAAACAATTGGCATTTCACATTATAAACAACACAATAAAACAATGATTGCTCCCAAGTTCTATACACATGGTTATTGTGTAAGCTTCAACAAATTTCCATATAGCAATTTGTATTTTTGAAAAAACTAATTTTCTGGCATATCAAGCATTTCTACAGATATTAAATCTAGAAGATTGATATCATAAACCTGAGAAACAAGTAATGGAATTTGAGCTTGTGCAAAACACTATGAATATGGGAATGTGGGAGACTTTTTCTAAATATGTAAATCTCAAAACAGAATAATTGTAACCAAGAAAATATACTAATATCTACAACCATTAAAAACACATCTTTCAGCCAAATAGAACATTTTAAAAACATATTTGTGTATGTCTCCTCATTCCAAACATTACTTTGATTTCATGAATTCACTGATCTGTGTATTTGTGAGTATTTGTGAAGGTCATATATCATCAAATTGACAGAAATCACATGCTCAGATCACTATTATAAATTATTTACACTACATCTATTTTTATTTTCATTAAAGAATTTAAAGTGTTAAAAAATGTTAGAGCTAAAATGCCGAAAACATTGCGCAAAACACGATTAAATTTTGACCTGCGACATGACATTGAAATTTTTATATCAACTGAAATACCTATTTCCAACATATTTCAAAACAGGAAGTGAAATATTGTGAAATTAGACAAATTATACCCCCAAATAGAATAAACCTTGGTTTCAATTGAACTTGTCCGTTCTTGAAAAACACAAAATTGAAATATCGTAATTATTCATGGCATCAAAGTATATCGAAAAAAATATATTATCCCAACGATTCCTAACAACATTGATCGCAGAGGCCAAGCTTAAAAAATATTTGTACGTGTTGCTTTGTGGTAGAGTGAACAGTAGACTATAACGAGCAAGCAACAAAATCATGCCCTATATTAAAAGCCATCACTCCTCTATTTAACGAGATTTACTAACATTACACAAATACCTGACATTACCTATAACTTCGCCTACAGCGAATAAAAAACACAAACTGCTCGCAATGAGTAGTTTCTTCCACGCTTTCTTGTTCGATGAGACCGGTCGTAAATCATGACAATGAATCGATGTTGAAACAACTTCAGGTATGTTTATAGACCCAACATTCACACTGTTCCCTTCAATAATTTGTATGAAAGGCACTTCTTCTTTCTTTAAGTATCGCATCTTCATCTACCTAAATTACTGCTCCATCGACAACAAAAATTAAAAACTCAAGGTGTCAAAGCATGGTCGCATGAACTTATTGTCCCGTTTTCAACTTGTAAATGAAAGGGTCAGATTGAAGACCTTAGAAGTTAGACAGACAGAAATATAATATACCTGTATAAAATGACAAGCTCACGCAGTGTTATTATTCCGATAACCTAGAGCCCAAGCTGCTAAATAACTGATAATCTCACTCCGCCAAAATTCTACAATTGTTGATTACTATGGTTACTAGGAAGTGACGCAAATTTTATTAACAGCCGTCATTTCAATTGCTATTTCAGTGTGGTTAAGGTTTAGTAGTTGTACTTTAGGTAATAATTCGCAAATTTTTTGTTTTGTTTGATGATTTTTAAAAGTTAGTGATATATGTTCAAGGTACAGAATGTACGGGGGCGTTAATGTAGGGGGGATGGGAGGGTTGTGGGAGAGTGTCACATACCCCAATAAAATAACGCATTCGGTCTCAAACTGTGGTTGAAATACCGAAACTTTAATTATCTCTGAAATGTTGTAGCCTGGTTTTCATATTGATAGTACTGGTAGGTTGTTTCCGCTCAAAATTATGCAAACACTGTTTCGTGTATAAATTATATAAAGGAACATGTCAGATTGTTTTCTCCGTTGTAGTTCCTGTACAGAGACGGCACTACGAAGCTGAACCTGGGGGGGCTACGACTTTACTACGTCTTACTATTCCTCATGTTAGGCTAATATATATATATATACAAAGTGAAATTGTAGTTTTTGTGTAATATACAAAGTGAAATTGTAGTTTTTTTTCGGGATGAAATTGTAGTTTTTGTGTATTTTCTTCTTGTCATCAATATTTACGCTCTGCTCTTAAGCATCGAGCACTGTACTTACGGAGATTCAAATGAACAAACTTCCTATATACAAAGTGTATATACAATGTGCCCTCCCGGCTATCACCATATTAAAATGGTGACTCCTGCACTTGGGACACAGGACGTACGGTTACACATTGTATGGATTATATTGTAGAGTCACCACAGTGCTCAAACCTATAAAGGTGAGCTTTGCATATATGTATACAAAGTGTATATACAATGTGCCCTCCCGGCTATCACCATAGTAAAATGGTGACTCCTGCACTTGGGACACAGGATGTACGATTATGTATATATATATATGTAAGTGATGGCGAAAACGAACTAAAAATTATTGTAATTTTCTATTGCTTTTGGAGATTAAAAATTAAAGATTAAAAAATCAATTTTGAGATAGAAAACATCTCATATTTAACAAAATAAAGTTGACGTGGCAGAGTCAACGTAAAGAAATAGAAAAATGAAGCGAACAGCAAAATTCGATCTGTTTGTAAAGTTGATAAGGCATGTGCTGAACATGTCGTTGAAAAATGGTGGTTGTTTGAAGCTTTGGAAGGCCCACGATAAATACCTCAGTAAATAAATTTGAAGTGCGAATCGTGATTTCATCATTGCTGACACAACCCCTGACGTTAGACACTAAGATAAACCAGCGGTGTTGGCTCGATAAGTTGGCCATGATTCAGTTGAAGTCCTTGTCGAATGCTTCGTGAACATCAAAGGTATCAACGATAAAACGGATGCTGGACAATCGCAAGCAATCATCGCAACAATACCAATGATGAAATATTCTTTTGTACTTGGCCACCAACATGCAAACCACCTATTGTTTTCTTGTCGTGTGATTTTACATCGTGTCTATAACAGGTGTATTAAGGGAATGTCAAGCAATATTGAAAAATCTTGTCGAACACAAAATTCCGTACTTGCCCTGCACAGAACACAAAACACTAAAGCACAGCTGCGATCGAGTGTACCAATGTGTCCACAATTTGACATATCACAGGCCGTGGCACGTTGTTGTATCTCATCCAGTAATTAGCGCTTCGACCTCAATATAGGTCCATACATGCAGGACAAATAAAAGTGCGAATCTTATCTTCAGTGTGAATGAAAAAATGTGTTACAGCGTGAAAGTGCGTATAAGATAAAAATATATTACAAGTTATGTAATACGGGTAATACTTAATGAATGATCACATGTAATACAAACAATGATTGTTTGTGACGGGATATAAAATATGTACGTAAGTGAGTGACGACAATGAAAGAAAGTTAAAATTGGAAAAATAGTAAAAGTGAATAAAGTGTATGATCTAAACTTCTACATGTGACACTTCTCGCAAACTACCGAAGTCCTCAGCCCTGGCCACTGACAAACGATTTTGTGATGACATAGTCTATAAAATAGCTAGTTTTTCTTTAATTCCTGCAACAGAGATAAAATCACCGGACATCTAGCCACAAGGATCAAAGAACACGTCACCTCTGACAAAAACTTCCATTTTTACAAACATCTAAAGCATCCGAATGCGAGTCTTAGTACAATTCATGCATCTACAAAGGGTGTTCGGAAGGGGAAGGAAGGAGAAAATTCCTTCGGTCAATTTGCCTAAGACAACAGGTGAAATGGGAGCTCAAAATGATAAACGAATAAAGAAAGGAAATTTGTAAAGTGTGTTCATGAAACATGAGAAAAGACCGGGGAATTTTTAGGCGCCCCACGCCCCTAATTTCTCTGGAAGGTCCATACTGCTTCTTAAACAAGTATTACAATTTAATATTGTTTTTCGGTATTTACTTCCTTAAGTTTTCCTGAATTTTTTACCTGGTTCTTACCAACCTACGTACATCCTATAACCTGTCACTAATCCACCTAAGTATCACCTCACTTTTTATTGTTAAAACAAGCACCGCAGCCTGCATTGCAGGTGCAATTCGTGCTAGTGAGGTCTGGGGGTATTACGTTGTATTACGAAATGTTCAATCTTTATTGGTTCCAATTATGTTACTTTGTTAAAAATAGGAAGATCAAAAACATGATACATTAATGATCATCAAATTATGGTTGAAACATCTGCTCACATATAACCGTCGGAATGTCAATGAAAGTATGAAAAATAAATAATTTATGACTTCTACACAACAAATTAATGCATAGTTTTCTCATCAAACAATTTTTGTCAATAAACACGTGCTACACGTGCACATTCGTCTTTCCTCTTCTAACCGGTAAATAGCAGAGTCACGCCTTAGCATATTCCGTAAAGGTCATTCAGCAGTAGGAACATCGCTATCTTGACAACACCACAATTGAAATATTTGTGACTAGTTGACGACTGACGAGCGCAAACGCAAACCAGCATAAACTGAAATAACCCACTGTAAAGAACGCGAAAACATCCACCTATTTATTTCGTTTCCAACCATACGTATACGGATGTTTTTGAAAACGGAGGTTTTTTCCTCCGTTTTGGCTTTCCGTCCACACGTAAACGGCGTTTTCGGTGACCATAAACGGAGGTTTTCGATTACGCTTTCCAGAGTGAAAACTTTTGAAAACGCTGGTTTTGTGTTTACGTGTGGACGGGCAAAAACGAAGGTTTTTGAAAACGATGACGTCATAATCGAGTCCAGTCTCATGATGGAGTCAATCGAGTACTTTTAAAATGGCGGATCACAAGTACGTAGCTATTTTACTTGGAATAATTTCAAATTTGATAGCATGCATTAGCTTGCATGTTGCAATGATATTTAAGAAAGAATATTTAAGAAAGCGGATGAATGTTGTGAGGTTTAAATAAGGTTTTAAAACGTGGGAACTTTGGATAAAGCCGGAACTAACTAGTGCATATGTTTATGAACAGCCCAAAAAATGCAAAAGCTTGAAGAATCTCTCAATACAAGTAAATACGCATGCTCTGTGCTGGGAAGCATTAAATTTCCTCCATTTTTGCGTAGACGTGTGAACAAGCGAAAACGATTCGAATACGCTACGTGTGACGCAAAACTTTTCAGAAACGAAGGAAAAATCTCCGTATTTTTAAAATGCTGATACGTGTGGACAAGGTCTAACTGTTTGTATTGCGAATCATGCCAAAAATCACCAAACTAGTGCTGTAGCCCAACACTTGTTTCAATGAAAAAACCCACACAGTAAATTTCTAACATAAACAATATTTGTGAGTTATGACCGACTAACACACCCAGCGCCACATCATTACACAAACACAAACTCACACACTAACAACGTACACTCGTACAGCAAGATTCTTTACTGTAACTTAACAATAATAAACTTTTACTTTTCGAAGTACCACATATCAAATTTCTTATCTGAACTCAAGTCTGGCCTTTTGAATTAAAACCGAAACAATTCATTTTAACTTGTCTTGGTTGCTACTTAAAGTGCCCCTATCAGGAAAAAATTTTATTATCGATGTAAAAACTTGGTGTAATATCTAACGTATCGGTGAAAAAAATTTTTCAATTTAGTCAAACTTTCTTCTTTCTAAGGAGGTTTAAGGTTTAAAGTTGCCTTTCAATGGACCTCGTCCGTCGTGGCATGAAGTCTGGGTCCAGTCAAATTGTGACGTCATCCAGGGTAGTTAATATATATCTCTTATATTGAAGAATCCCTTGCATGACGTCACAAAGGTAAGTCGTTCCAGACTTTTCGAACGACGGACAAGATCCATTAAAAGAAACATTTTTTCTAACTTTAAATAGCAATAAAAATGGAGCGATTTGACAAATTTAAAAATTTTTTTTACTGATACGTTGAAAATCACACCTAATTTAAAAAATTTTGCCAAAAGGGGCATTTAAAATATGTCTGTTTTGTATTATGTTTTGTTTAATAATTCCAAAATGACATTACCTGGACTTTGAGGAATGAAATGATTTTATCTGTATCATCACAAACGCGTTTTTCCAACTCAAATTCAAAATTTGAAGCCTCTTATTCATTTCTTTGTCCTTAAAAATCAAAAGCTGGGGGCATGTCTAACTGGCCCCCAGGCCCTGCTAGCACGCCACTGTTTGGCTTCCTGATTATGAAATATTTGAAACAGGTATGAAAATTGTCGTTAGTTTGAATTTCGTCGCCCACGTTTTGAGACAATCTTATAAAATATTATTTCAAAGAGATTTTGAATTTATAATAAACGCAGTTTGACGCGTTTTTGTGCTTTTTGGAAGATTCACTGAACCAGTGGATAATTTGCTCTACAGAAAATCCAACAAATAATCCAATTTAGAAACAGAACTGGCAGTATACTCCGTATTTTCTGATGTCAAACGATCCACTTTAACTGCAGGAGGATTTCTTTCATTTTATATCGAAATTGACGACGATGCGATAAAAATGCGCTTTTAAGAGAAACATTGTTGTCATAAATCTATACAGTTCTCAAAGAAACATTTTTTGACCATAAAAACATTTGGCACTGATTGCTTGACTGCCAGTTATTGTTTTTGATTTCCTCAAGTTACACAATAAACCTAATTATGATTAACTATGTGGTGAATATCTTGCTGTGTCAAAATTGCAAAATTACTGGCAAGTTCTATTTTTGTAAAAATTCTAAATAAAACAATATAAAATGTTGCATGTAGAAATAGTTACTTGTGATCGATGAGAAAATGAAGGAATCGTGGATGGTCAAACAGAAACAATAGGCCCAATATAGCTTTTGTGTGCCAACACCATCCAATACATAGTTACTTGTGATCGATGAGAAAATGAAGGAATTGTGGATGATCAAACAGAAACAATAGGCTCAATATATCTTTTGTGTGCCAACACCATCAAATACAAAGTTACTTGTGATCGATGAGAAAATGAAGGAATCGTGGATGATCAAACAGAAACAATAAGCTCAATATGCTTTTGTGTGCCAACACCATCCAATACATACAAAGGCCAAACTTGGTCGAACGTGCACGTGTAGCACGTGAAAAATTTTCTGATGAAAAAAACACTAAAATCAGCGTCCTTATTGGCTGAAATCCAGTCTTCTTTGATCTGTCATGTCATGAAAATGCGTGTATTTTAGTGCAAACCGTTTTTCGAGTAAATGGAAAAACGGAATTTAAATCAACATATTTGAATTTCTGTTGCTTTTCTTTTAGGCCGGATAACGAAATTCTGACCTTGAAGTTTCTTTTCCTTTTTGTTCAAAAAGAGGAAAACGTTTTTTGAAAGTCGACTTTCGTTTTCAACAGTGCGATCAATATCAAGAACACAATTCGGTGTTCTATTCTCGTTTTCTGTTTTCCAATTTCAGGGGAAATTGCAAATCAAAACTGAAAAAGTCGAAAGTCGAATTTTGTTTTCATAACAAAAACTTCCACTTTTTGCTATGCAATGTCGTGCACAATCTTTTTGCTGTTATCTGAAATCACTTCATTTTTCTTTCTAGTCGATTACTCACCTGTTCATAAATAAAAAAGAATTTCGCATTATATATCACGTGACTTTGCTCAGAAGTTCATACAACGTCATTCTTTCACGTAAAAGGCATGAAAGTTAAACCTTTTGAGAAATCAGATTTCCCGCGAAATTCGTTCTCATTTTGATTTGAAACATATTTTTGCTTTAAGTACTACTTTTCTTTCAAAACGATTGTCTATAGCGCCTCATTTTGCATGATTACATTCGGGCTAACGAGCCGCGTTGTTTTGTTTGAAAAGCTTTTAAAAGAATTCTGCAATTCTGTAGTTCCTACAATTCTGCATCCATTACAAAAGTTTCTAAGTTATGAACGCAAAAATCTTCAAACGTCTTATGTAATTGCAAACATTTTATCGTATTGTGTTATATGTTCATTGTAATATTGACTGATTTTGTAACCATTAACACTCGAAACAAAAGCAAATAAATTTGCTATCTGGATTTCATTGATTCAACTTACAAACAGAGTACGGAAGCCATCATGTTAACTTCTGCATGAAGAAATGGTAACAAGAAATTTCATACAATGGAACGTTTGGGCCGTGTTGTTTCCTAGTTAGCATTTCTTAACAACATTTTCATAGGACCATATTTATTTAAGACTCCCCAGTCCTCACATTCGTTTGCTTCCTGCCTTATATTTTGCTCACCAAAACTATATAATGCTATGCATATGCCGTAGCGAGACTCCGACATTTAATGGGGGGGGGGGAGTGGGTGCCGACAAAATTACAAGAAATAACAGGAAAGACAGTTCTGCAGTTAATTCGGCATTACGAATTTATCAACCAGTTATAGTGCTGTCTTCGTTGTCGGTGAAGTCTTGAAAATCCAGTCTTAAAATCAACATGACATTTAAACCACTAAAGTCTGATTCTTCATGCGTCTAAGTCATTTGAGTCGTTTGGAAATATAACTTTGTCTAGAGACGACTGACACTATTCTGATAATTACTTGAGAACCAGGCTCAACAAGAAGGCACAAAGTGAAATCAACAAGTACAATTGTTGCCATTTACCCAAATCCTAAGACAAACCGAATAAGATCCAATTTTCAGAATACTACGTAATGTAATGAACTTGGGGGAGAAGGATGCCACGCCCCTCCAACACCCTCTTCGGTGCGGTCCTGGCTGTGTATAAAGGTTCCCAAATTATTTATTTGACCAAGCGAAATATAAGTGATGTTTAGGATGGCTTTAAAAGCTAGCATCTGTGTGATAAATTTAGCAACTTAGTGCTAATGATTGCCAGAAAGCAGAGATTTAGGACTATACGTGCCAACGAAGCAATTTTTGTATTTATCAACAAGCATGGACAAATTAAATGATTCATAATTATATACAGGTAAAAATTATAAAAAAAAAGAAACATAAATCCGTTCGATTAAACTAACGACAATTCCCCTACTCACGACAGTGATCAATATTCAATCGACGGTTGACGGTTTAATGTCGACGGTTGCCAACAATGCTAACATCTTATTGGACACTTTTCATAACATAGTGGTTACCCGCTGACCGCTACATATTTAGAAGCTTTAGCATAGACAGCGCATACGAGTACGAAGTAGGTGATTTTGGCGCGAAAACATTGTTCTCAACAGAAACCATCAACTGAAACACGCAGCTGTCATCCAGCTTATCGATGTTTTGTTCAAAACTCGTTGTCAGAGAGTACGATGTCTTTTAAGGAAAAGAAATTCCGCTTCACGAAAATGCGGTGTTTTTGATGGCACTGTTTAATTATAGTCTCTCAGTCTTTAGTAGCTAATTGTAACACAAAAACTCTTCAATGACTGTACATTGTAGAACCAACAACTTAATTCCCAATACAGGTTTAAAACCACATAAGCCAGTATTTAACCACATAAGCAAGTAATACACTCATATCACCGCAGGATTTTACATCAATTTACATTCAACTCTAACTTTTTATATTTAAATCTATGCTGTTGAAACGAATTTCCTATCAACAAGCTAAACATAAACAGAAGTCAATGAGCAAACAGGTCCACACAAATTAGCTTATTATGTCATTTATTATAATTAAATTACATCTATTGAGTGAAATATCAACTGCTACACAACAATTAGGTCCAAAGAGCGACCGAGCAACCCTGGGCCCTAGTAACAAAACATTAGAATACATCTCAACTAAAATATTAACACCATCAACTAGTGCCAAGGCCGGCCCGAACCTTTGCTCTTAGCTACAAAAGCATTTTCTCATCAATACTATCATTAATTTCTTTAGAAAATTGATTTGCATTGAATGAGGAGTTCCCCTCCTCCGGTCCTCTCTAACTAACTTTCAAAATTTTCATTCTATCTTCGTTGATTTTTATGGAATTCTCCCATATTTAAGATATGACAAGACCTTCTTCAAAATATGCAATCAAAAACATGATGGTAAATCCAAATAAAATCCCTGTATTCTGCAAAAGAAAGATTCGCAGTTTGCTCATACCACCAAGTTCATCGCTGTGCATCAACTCCGGCAACTAGAAAAAAACACCACAAAAATCAAAATCAGTGAGAGAATAGTCAAAATACAATACGAAAATTTCACACAAAACATCACAATGTCGACCACTTAAACGTGAATAACATTTCATTTAACGGTAAAACAATATGAACAAGTAAACAGGGTTGTATATGGCTGCACAATCCGCTGGTTTTAATCGCATTCTTTTAAACATGTCAACCAAATTAATAAACTACATACTTCGCCATTCATGTTTGTTCTGTTTACAATGAAAGTGTGAAAATTTACGTAATGTTTATATTTATACGCAAGATATTACACCAAACAAACTTCGTATAACAACGTAAACTCTTTTTCGTAGTTATTGTTAATTGCTGACTTCTTTTTTGTGCGTTTGTTTAAGCGCAAACAATTCAGTTACTTATTTCATGCTCAAAGCCGCGTAAACTAAAGTTTTTCCACTTCAATGATAAGGTGTCGTATCATTTTCCTTTTTCTTTAAGTTATTAGTAATTTCAGTGGATGTTTGTGCGAAATGAAAAATTTACTTGAGACAATAACTTGGAATAACTCACCATGTCGACCAAAGCAATGTATAAAAACATCCCGCCCATTATAGCAAATATCCACTGATTTCCCTCACTGGTTTTCTGACCAATCAAAATACCAATGATAAGGCCAATAAAACTTGAGCAAGCGGATAAAAAGTTGGCCAATAGGGCTTGTTTTGCAGACATTCCTGATGATAACAACGCAGCAAAATCACCTGAAAATTAGAACAGAATGTCAGCGACATAAAACAGCACAAAGTTTATTTCTCTATTTGGTATTGGGAGAAATGAACACAAATTAAATAAGTTGACTAAGCCCTCCATCCTTTCTTGTTAAACTGTAGAAATAATGAATAGGAAATTCTACGCATGCAATCCCAAAAATAGCAGTAAGCACTTAACTAAATAAATCATCTTTATAGTAATCAACATCTTGACAATACCTAGTTCATGTGGTAGTTCATGACAAAACACAGCTATAGTAGTACTCAATCCTCCAGCAATATCTTGAGTGAAGGCAGCTCCAATAGCAATGCCATCTGTTATGTTATGTAATGTATCTCCAATAAGAATCATCTTTCCAAAAGACTTAATTGATTTCTTTGTAGATTCAAATGAATGTTTCAACAAAGCGGCGGAGGAGGTATTCTCTTCTTCGCGTTCATCGTCTTTTGAGCGATGTTCCTCAGCTTTTCCCTTTGCCTGTTAAAGGAATAGATTGTCAATGTGGTATTGAAAGTAATGATTCTGCAACTTCCAAAAGTGTCTTGTTTACGTAATATTTGGATAATTTGCGCGTTTTCAATAATGCAATTCATTTATTTAGCTTTTACGCAAGAATTATACAATAGGCTGCATTGGTATGGAGTCAATCAGAGACAGATACGAGTGGTTGATTGATAGACTTCATGAGCAAGCTGTGCATGAAACCGTTTTAGATGAAGCGGACACGCGAAAACGTCTCATCCGAAGCTTATTATTTCGTCACAAGCACAAAAAAATCCGTGTAAAAAATACCAAAATTAAAAATAATATTGAATTCTCAAACCAATTTCAAAGTTACTACGTTGTACTATGAAATTTAAACTTAATTGAACAATGGTATTTCAGGGATATCTGTCTTAACCATAGGGCTCAATTAGATAGAACAAATATTGGTCTAAATAGCTCTTCATGTCCAGCTCAGTACGTCCAACACATGATACTATAAAGACAAACCTGATTGAAAACAACTGTTGTTAGATCTTTATCGTGATCCGTATTACTTTGAGGATAGGGAGAGGTTGTCAGTAGCAATTCAAGACGTTTACTATCTCGACAAGTATTATTCCTTTCAAATCGACTGTGTTTTCGTGAGTGCTAAAAGTATGTAAAATATAATTTAGGACATTTCAAATAAATAGCAGTACTTCTAATTGCAGTTATGTTTCGACAAACTTATATCATTCCCATGCATTCTTTGTGAGTTAATGTTCACAGGTAAATATACATAAAGTGGTTAAATGATTAAGTGACAAGAATGTTAAATTATAATTTGTACGTACAAATTGCAATTAGTATTTAAAATATTATGCGAGGAAGTGTTTCAAAATTGCAGAAATTTATTACATTAATTAGAACAGTTTATGGGTTTTTCCGCGGTGTTTATAAAAATTACATATTTATTTAAAAACTGGCAAAAATTAACTAATGACTAGCTCTGCAAGTAGGTTTAGAGAGAAAGGGAGGGGAAGTCAAAATTTTTTTGTTTAATTTAAACTTTCAGGTACCAATTAAAAAATGATTTGTTCAGGCCTTTAGGGTTGCTTTAGTTTATTTTCTCCAAAAACGCAAAGGGTTTTTAACCTCTAAATGAGAGTGTTCTTTTCCAGTAGATTGTAAAAACAGATGAGAGCATGTCTCAAACACAAAAAAGCCATAAACACCAAACGCGACGACCAAGAATCTCCATATTATCGTCTTATCATGCTCTTCTTCTGAACCATGTTCGTCATGTTTTGATCCATGATCACCATGACCACTAGCGTGAAAACCACCTGCCTAGAAAACACAATAAGGTAAAAGTAAAAATGTTTTGTCAATTTGTCTTATCTGCAGCGCAACAAATATTATTTTGACGAATTCTTTAATCACTTAATTTACACAGAAATAGTTTGACTGTTTTTCTAATCACTTAAAAAACCCGTACTCCATTTAAGCTCTTTTGCGACAGTCAAGTCGAAATTGTATACCACTTGTATTAGTTAGTGTCAATGGACATATTCCAGATGGAGATACATGTCATTAACTCTCACAAATGAATGCAATCTGTCTAATGTCAAAAACACTATAAAAAGCAAACTTTTATTCCTTAATGATAAAGGTGGACGGTAGTTATTTACGTACAGTAATGATCATGCCAAGAGCATGATAAGAATCACGTACGATATAGTAGTAATGGATAAGTAATGGATAAGTAATAGATAAGTAATGGATAAGTAATGGATAAGTACCGAAAAAGTGCAACTCGAACTGGAGTATAATAACTTACATGTGGTATAAGATGAAATAATGCATCTCCAGTAAGGGTTCCCACAGCTAACCCTATTAAAACAATGATAATCTTCTTGTACGTCTGTCCAGCCATTGAAGGGATAACGGCAACGCCAGAAAGCGATAGCAAACTGATAACAAACACTGACAAAAATCCATAAAGCCAAACCATTTTATCTAAAGAGAGAGAGAGAGAGAAATATAGATATTATTTATATTTTATCTAAAGACGCATTATGAATTGTTAAAAATGGCAATCCAGTGCGCACTTAAGAAGGGGCAGATATCAATCCTGATCTCAGTTCAAAGAAAGTTCAAAGGAACATAGCGGGACTTTTAATACCCAAACACATGAGCAAATGAGAAGGAATAGGCATGAAAACTGTTAAATGATAGTGATAATTAACTACAGAAAAACATGGCATAAAAAAGTTACTTTCTAGCAGGTGCTAGACAAAAACATAAAACATCAACAAAAGCGATAGTGTTTTTATGATGTTTATCAATTAATTGCTTGTTCTACGTAGTATTTCAAACCGCAGAGCTTTCATCTTTAGCTAGATAGTTGTGAAATGGATTGCAAAAAGTAAAAAAAAAAACAACAAAAAAACTCGGTATAAACACTGCCAAAATTTGTCAAAATTTAATAATGACCCTTAATGCTTCTTCAAAACATATTATATACTGTACGTATTTTTCAATACCACCAGTAATAAAACAAAAATGAACCGTGCTTGGCAGAAAACACACATTTTTACAGCAAAAGCAATTTTGATAAAATTATCAACAATGAATGATTAAATTTAGTAGCTACTAACGAAATTAAAGATACAAAAACCATTCAGTTTTGATAGCAGTGAATAATATGGGTACATTAGAAATGCAAAGATAGAATTCAGAGTTTTGCAAAGTTTCAAAAAATATTTCTGCATTTTTGACTCGCAGTTTAATCCAAAGTGGAATACATTTCATATATTTTATGCCCCCAAACTTTTGCAAAAATTTTGATTTTATGCCCCCAAACTTTTGATTTTAGCTTAATTACAGCAGTATGCTTTCTCTGTTTCATAAAACATAAATAAAGTTATTGTACTTGGCACTTTATCCACACTTCCCCTTTGAAACAATCATGAAATAAATTCAATCTTTTCATAATTAAAACCTGAACTGGAGTTATCATGAGTTTATGTATATTATTGTAAGGATGAACTGTAACTTAGAATTTACACATTCAAATTGGGTAAGTGCTTGATACATCAGTACAATTGACATAAAGCTTAAAAGGAAATTTCTGCGCATAGTAAAAAAAGTTGTAGAAAAGGAGCTAAGAAAGGAAATACATAAGTAAAGAATACTAGCAGTTTGAATATGCAAGGAGATGGCACAACTGATGCTTTTTATACACTTTGAATGCTGATAGAAAAGTGGAAAGGACAGAAAAAGTTGTTCAAACACAAAGGTTTATGATAGAGTACCATGACAAACAATATGGAGAAATGTTGAGCAACTGGGATGTCAGCACAGAAGATCAGGGTGTTATTAATGCTACTGTTTTATGTTGACAAGATACGTATCGAAGCATTGACTCAAAATCTTTAGAAATAGAGAGGGATTGGAAAGGAAGGGCCTTAATATGAGTGGAAGCCAGACAAAGTGCAGTATAGTTTATATCAAAAAGGATGAACAATATGGAGTAAAAAAGCTGAAAGATTTTGTGGCAAGTTTCAAACATTTGAATTCAATGAGTGGATGGAAAAGATGATGAAGAAATAAAATGATGTATATTTAGCAAGATTGTCAAGCATGAGGAAAGTAAACATTTCCATGATGATAAGATGGAAGAAATGATAAGGAAGTAAAAAGAAACTTATTTAGCAAGATGGTTAAGCAAGAGGAAAGTAGGATTTAGCAAGTGGAATGCCCATAATAAAAAAACTATCAGCTAAGGAAAGATTTATAAGAGTGTTGTTGTATGGTAACAGCAATAAAAACAATGGCAGTGCCAGTTAAACAAGTGAAAAAGCTATAAGCTGCAATAGGAGAATAGTTAGTTGGACACTAGAAAGGACACAACCAGAAATGACTACATTTAAAGCACTGCAAAATTCATGATGATCAAAGAAAAATAGAAAAAAGAGAAAGTCATAGTGATACTTGCTGCTGTGGGGCTTTGGAAATAACTTTACACCAAACTGACCTGAATCAAGTATAAGTTGCACCATCTAGTATATTATGAGGTATGTGGTCCTCACAGCAACCATTTGCAAACAAAACAACAGTTAGTAAAACTTACCATGAGTCAAGTCATGAGTTGAATGTTTTTTTTCTCGTTCATGCTTACAGATCCCTGACTGAAGCTGCTGAATCATTGCCGGACATAACTCCATGAATTTAATTCTATCCACACCATCACTTTTATTGACTGCAAAAATTGTTGCCAAATCATCTGCTGAATAGCACTACATATGCAAAGTTTAATCAAGAAAAAGGAAGTCAAAATAACTCACATATTTATTTCATTCGTCATCGGTTGCTACCTCATAACAACTTGCGAAAATGCATGGAGTTAACAAACTATTATTTCACATACCTGCTTTGTTTTGAATGGGACATGAATGACATGATGCAAGTCATCTTGCTTTCTTCGTCTATGCATTTCACCATGATCATGGTCACTATCATGATCATGGTCATGATCACCATCATGGTCCTGGTCTCGGTCATGATCATGGTCATGGTCACTGTCACCATCATGGTCCTCGTCATGATCATGGTCTTTGTCACTGTCATGGTCACTGTCATGGTCCCGGTCATGATCATGGTCATGGTCATGATCATTTTCCTCATTGCTATGATGGTCAGTTACATTACCAACACCAATTGTCTCCAATATTTCCTTGAATCCTTCAAATGATATTTTGTTTGCTTCTCCACCAAAATGTTGGAGAATATCAGAGGTAAAATATGATTTACATGGAAGATCTTCTTCATTATTAACCTCAAGACAATGTCCATTCGATAGATATGATATAATCACAATGCTCATGTTTGAAAATTGAGTTTTGTCAATTTCACTGGTCTTAGGTGATACATTAATTTCTCTGAATATACCTTCAGCAGAAAAACATGGCTTCTGAAAGGCATAAAAGAAATCAACTATCAATAGTCATGATAATGCACCCACAATAACAATCCAAACAATGTAAATCAATGACTTTGATACTTCAAGGCATTCTAAACAATCATAAAACCATTAAAACCCATAAAACTGTTGTTCAAAATTATAGTAATTATGTCATTATTTGTTATATCTCATTTAAATCAACTTGGAATAAAGGTATTAGTTTGGTTTACAAAAAATTAACAACTTTTAGAAGGCAAATTACCAATCCTTGCTTCTTAGAAGCGTTGATTGAGTTCTCTGCGTCTCATTGTGAGACTCAGAGAACTCAATCAACGCTTCTTTTTTAAAATTTTCTCTGAAATGTTGAGCAACATGTTGAGTAATCTGCCTCTGAAGTCACTCAAGGTCTCTTACAGTTAATATATGAATCTGTGAAAACTAATGCTCGAGAAAGTGTGAAGTTTACTATCAAACAACTACTACATCAAAAGCTGAACTATAAACAAAACCTAAAAGTAGTTCATGCGCCTCTAAATTGAATGGAATGAATGTTAAACTTCGAAAATATGAATGGATTGTTGCAAGCACGTCATCAAATCAGCAGGTCAATTTCAATCTACAAAATTATGAGTTAACAATTTGTCTTCAAACTACAAAATTTTTGGCCCAGTGATCGGCGATGTAACTTTGTGACTAAACTATGTGATTGTATGTACAAAACTGAAAACGCTTCTTAACTTATTCACGAAAACATGAACAACGTGACAACCTCACAAATATTTTTATTAATTTCTAATCCTATCGACGATAGTCGAATCAATTTGCACGCAAGGCGCCGCGCAGCTGGTCACAAAGTCCAAAAATAAAGAATAGACGGGCAGGTGTAATCGAAACAACAAGGAAGACGATTGAATTTAATACGAAAACGAAACTCGCGACATACTTGTATAGCCTGGCTTTTTCTGACTCTTTCCTTGACATCTCGTAAAATTCGGTTTAAAAAGCGGACGCATATATTCCCAGTCGTTTTGTAGTATTTCAAAAGGCGGTCGTACGTTGATACGTGCGCGTCATCTCCGTTTTCAAAAATAGTCAACCCAGCATTCTTTTCAGGCAGCAAATAGTAGAGTAAGGTTGTTGACAATACACCAAATTCAGTTATAGTAAGGTTGTTGCCGAATCCATGTGTCAGGAATATATGCTCTGGAGGGCCACACTGATGACACAAATTAAAAGTGAAAAGGATCAAATATGAAAGACAACAACGAAAAGTAACGTATTAGTTCAATAGAAATATAATACAACTCAAACTTACTTTCTGTGAACATGGTTTTCCTCCATTGTGATGAGATTTGCAATGTTCGAGATTTAACTTCTCTAGAAGCAAGTCCAATGCTTTAACGTTAAATTCGGTGGCATTGTTTAAAGATTTCAGTATCTTATGATAGTGTGTGGCTTCATTGCTCCTACTTCCCAGTGAAATTTGGACAAGGCCACAAAAGATATAAGATAATAGAATGTACATTAGTATTTAATATGTAATACTGGTAAATGAATCTATCCACTCGCTAAAGACGAGACTGATATGTGAACAGGTAATCCTTCAAACCTTCGAACAATAAAAACGACAAGTTAATCCGAATTTCAGTTCTGTTAATTCTCTACTTCTTGTCACGTGTTTAGTTTGCAATTTCCGGTCGTTATTGGCATCGTTCGTTTGTGAAATCAAATAAATTAAAACTAAAATGTGTTAAATCGTATTACAAAAAGTTTTTTTGTGCAACTTGAATCTTCACTTTATTTCCTTGCTATTAATATGAGATTTTTTACGATGTTCATGTGCTATGGTGCTTTCGCACTGAGCGAGCCTTCAGCGAGCGGGCAAGGGAGCAGATTTAAGGCTACATCCGTTACTGCCATTGTTACAGCGGCCAACGAAAATACATTTGGGGACTACACTTTCACATTCAGTAGGGATGGGCGATACATGACACCAGTTTTATTAACCAAAACAATACCTCTTTGACACCAGGCTTTTGAATGATATTAATACAAAACTTCGATTCAGATGCCTGTAAATTTTAACAGCTTAATAAAATTTCTCAATATTAAACTAAAACGGTGATTTATTGTGAATTTTTTTCAAGCATATAGAGGTAATTTAACTGATTTCCTTAATACAATGACGTGTCCGCAAACAAAGTGCTTTTGCTGGTTGTTCCTAGAAGTTGGAAATTGAAATTAAAAAGATCCATATGTTTCTTTTCGTTTTATCAGAACTTCAACAGTCAGAAACTAATTTTGATTTACAAGTGTAAAGTCTACCTAATGAGTACAATGGTTTTTGATGTTAATATCAACATGTAAATATCGACTATTATCGATACTTGGAATCCAGGCATCCGTCCCATGTGGTGCGGCAGCCTATGTCTTTGACCAAACAAAGGCTAGCATGCAGCGTGCGCTCTTTGTCAAAAGCGAGTTGTGAAATTTAATATCAGTTCGTTGATACTGAATGACATTTGTGCTTTGTTCGCTTGACCTTCCTTCATGTATTTGTTACTAGCCTTGTTGTCTCAGTCTTCCTCTTGTGTTTTGGTAGCGTCTTTGAGTCTTATCTTTGCTAAAAATATAGCATAATTTTATATTTAGGTGGCAGGTTATTCTGTGATTTGCCGATAAGCCATGTTACATCCAATAATTCCAGTTAAAAACACGCTTTCAGTATTTCAGCATGGCATTAGCCCATTATTATCAACATGTGTTGTTTATTGTTCTGATTAAAAAATAGAAACAGCTCATCAAGTGTCAAGGTATATATTTTTGTCACAGATTCAGACATAATATTTATTTATAGGAACTGTTCAGCACATGATTAGTAACCATAGAAGAATGTTGTCAATTATCACTTATTAATTGAGGCCGAGGGAAACTGCGGCCTGTCGAGGGTAAACAAAACACAGAATTTCCCGAGATTTTAGTCATTAATGTTTTGTTACACACCAATTTTCAAAGAGAAAGATGAAAACGATGTGAGCAAACTGAATCTTTACTTACCCAAAATAATGTATAAATAAAATAGTCAAAAATATTTTGGAAAAATTCCCGCACTTTTTTGGTCGAGTCAGCGCTTCTGACAAAAGTCGGGCAAAGGTCGCATGTTCACGTGATGCCGAACGTGATTTATATATGGTATTATCTCAGCCTGTTTGGAGAGGAAACATTTCAATTACGTCCCTCTTGCGGGACGAACTCTCGATCAATGAAACAGTGGGAAAAATGAACTTTGAAAACTGGTACTATAACAAACTAACAATACTATTGGCAAAAACAATTGTCAGGTTTTTACTCAATTTTGGCAGTAAATAAAATTACCTTGATGAACAACAACTGAAAGTTTTCATCGATACCAATTAGTAAATCTCAATATCGGAAATATAGATATTTTCATTAGAAATATCGTCTATCAATAGTCCATAACATGATCATGTTCATTTCCTTTACGTAGCTCTGTTGAATAGCTGAAAGCCTGTGAAACCTGAAACCCGAGCGCTTTAATAAATAGTTCACGCTGTAATACGTACAACGGAGTCAGGACATAAATATCACATGAACCAAAAATGCAGTGGACGCTCAACGCTGCCACTTGTTTCAGATTACAGATTTCTTTTTTAGTTTACACTATGAATGTCTCAATAAATTTTTATGTTTTTTATTTTTCAACAAGAAAATAGGCAAGAGTGCACTTTTTTTCATCTTTACAAGACACATTGCAAAAGGTTATGTATTTAATTTACCGGCTGAGAGGACTGGAGAAAATTTTTTTCAGTGAGGATGAATCTCAACGGTAAATAACGTTTTTATTCTTTCATTTTTTAAAATAAAGAAATGTTATAAAATATGGCTGGTTGAGACTGAAATTGAATTACCTTGAATTCGCCGAGAGCGTTTATTATCTAAAAACAATCTTGTTGCGGTGTGTATTAAAGGTAAGCTTGTAAAAGAGGGAAGATTCTATTTTGGAATGAATCTCGCTGGCTTGTGAGGCTTGACATGTAAAAACATGGTGACTCTTGTTTTATAATTAAATTACTATACAATGGCATTGTGAAACAAAAACAACTTGCCGTTTCAGTACTTACAACAAAGAAGATACATGGCAATTTCTATAACGAGCAATTGAAAGACTAGAAAAGAAAAACTGTAGCACTTCACATTCCCCAGCAGCAACCTGAACTTATTGAAATGAGCAAAAAAAGTCCACAAAATCAATCAGATTATTATGTCATGTATTATGATTAAATTACATCTTTCGTTAAAAACATAATCTGCGTTTCATTAATAATATGTAAACTCAAAAAAGAACACGTTTCAACCAAACTAGTCACACCATCAAATACCCTTCTCCCTAGTCCGCTGTGAGAATTATACTATCTTCATTGATATCAATGAAAACCTTTCACATTCAAGATATGACAAGATCTTCTTCAAAATATGCAATGAAAAACATGAGGGTAAATCCACATAAAATCCCCGTATTTTGCAACATAAAGACTTGCAGCTTGCTCGTACCACCGAGTTCTTTGCTGTGCATCAACTCCGGCAACTAGAAAAACAAAAATCGCCACAAAAATCAAATTCAACGAAACAAAAGAACTGACAAAATATATTACTATAACATGAAATTTGACACAAAACAAGTAATTGGCGACCACTTAAATTACATTTTATGCACAGTAAACAAAACTATATGAAGAGATACTACACAAGTCTTTTAAAGAATTTTTTTAAAAATGAAGACCCACTTGCTACAGATGTATGATTTACCATTCATTTTCGTCATGTTGACAATGAAAATACGGACATTTACATCAATATTCACGCAAGCTAAATAAGCCAATATTAAACAAATTTCATAAAAAAACGTAAACTTATTTTTGTTGGTAATATTGCTGATTTGTGCGAGATGCAAAACGTACTTAAGACATAACCATAACTAAGAAGAACTCACCATGTCGACCAATGCAATATATAAAAACATCCCGCCCATTATAGCAAATATCCACTGATTTCCCTCACTGGTTTTCTGACCAATCAAAATACCAATGATAAGGCCAATAAAACTTGAGCAAGCGGATAAAAAGTTGGCCAATAGGGCTTGTTTTGCAGACATTCCTGATGATAACAACGCAGCAAAATCACCTGAAAATTAGGACAGAATGTCAGCGACATAAAACAGCACAAAGTTTATTTCTCTCTTTGGCATTGGGAGAAATGAACACAAATTAAATGAATAAGTTGACTAAGCCCTCCATCCTTTCTTCTTAATTTGCAGAAATAATGAATAAGAAATTCTACGCATGAAATCCCAAAAATAATAGTAAATTCCTAACTAAATAAATCATCTATATGACAGTCAACATCTTGACAATACCTAGTTCATGTGGTAGCTCATGACAAAACACAGCTATACTAGTACTCAATCCTCCAGCAATATCTTGAGTGAAGGCAGCTCCAATAGCAATGCCATCTGTTATATTATGTAATGTATCTCCAATAAGAATCATCTTTCCAAAAGACTTAATTGATTTCTTTGTAGATTCAAATGAATGTTTCACCAAAGCGGCGATATTTTCTTCCTCACGTTCATCATCTTTTGAGCGATGTTCCTCAGCTTTTCCCTTTGCCTGATGAAAGGAATAGGTTGTCAGTGTGGCAATAAAAGCAATGAGTCCGCCACGCCCACACGTCTGGGATTTTTCGAAAATTTTCGTGTGCTCAATAATGCTCAGTATGATTAATTTATTTTACTTTTAACGCAATATTTATATATACAATAGGTTGCAAGGGCATAGAGTTAATCATGGACAGAGACGAGTACTTGATTACTAAACTTCACGTACAAGCACATTTTCTCTGAGAATTGTTTTTACAAATGTTTATTTCAAACTTCCCTGAAGCTCTTTTCCTTTTACTGATCTAAAATAACTCTGTTTGCGGGCTTCGAAAGAAAATACAATCTTCGGTCCAAATAATGTGTAGCTCATGTATTTGAAGCAAAGAAATCTGCACAAGATTTATGATATTATCAAGACATACCTGATTAAAATTAACCTTTGTTTCATCTTTACTATCTGTTGGACTTAGAGGATAGGGAGAGGTTGCCAGTAGCAATTCAAGACGTTTACTATCTCGACAAGTATTATGCCTTTTAAATTGACTGTCCTTTTGTGAGTGCTAAAAGTATGTAAAATACAATTGAAACATATCAAATAAAGGGCAATGATCATGATTGTGGCATATCTCGACAAACTTATGCCATTCTCAGTGCATTGTTCGTGGGGTACGTACTGTTTAGATATTTTTGTGAAAAGAAATTTCAACTATGGGTTTGAAAAGAAAAAACAGCTGCAAATTGAAAAAAGTTTGAAATAATAAGCGAGGAAGTGTTAAAAATGTATGAATTTTTTTAGAAATGGACGTTTCTTAATTCGTTGCTTTTTAGTTTATTTTATTCAAAAACAAACTGTATTTAAAACCTCTAAATGAGAGTATTTTTGTCCAGTAGATTGTAAAAACAAACAAGACAATGTCTCGAACACGAAAAAGCCATAAACGCCAAACGCAACGACCAAGAATCTCCATATTATCGTCTTATGATGCCCTTCTTCTGAACCATGTTTGTCATGTTTCGATCCATGATCACCATGGTCACCGTCATGAAAACCAGTTGCCTGCACAATATGATAGTAAAGACAAATATTTTATGCAAATTTCGAATATTGTTCTGCAGTAGAATGAAAAAGTTATTTTGATTTGTCATTTCTGCAACGTAGCGAGTTATTAGTATGACAAATAATTTAGATCCTAATTTTGCACAGTTTTAATTTTATAGTTTTATTAATCACTTGTGCTTTATAAAATCCATAATGGTTTTTGAATATCCATACTTCCACTTTTCCATTACTGTTATTCATTATGGAAATTACAGGTAAAAAAACACACTATCATTGCCAAGAGCATCATGATAACAAAGCATGCGGGATTAAGATATGAATTTTTATCACACAATTCTCTAATAATGGCTTCTAAAAAAGTGTTAAACTATCTTTACATGAATTTTTCAAAATGATTCGAACATCTCCATAAACTTACATGTGGTATAAGATGAAGTAATGCATCTCCAGCAAGAGTTCCAATAGCTAACCCAATTAGAACAATGATAATCTTCTTGTACATCTGTCCAGCCATTGAAGGGATGACGGCAACGCCAGCAAGCGATAGCAAACTGATAACAAACACTGACAAAAAACCATACAGCCAGACCATTTCATCTAAAGAGGGATGACAGGAATGAACGTTAAAAATGGAATTACAATAATTCAAGAGGGGCATATATCAACCCAGGTCTCAGTTCTAAGAAAGTTCAAAACCGATTCATTATATTCAAAAGTCGTTAGCAATTGGGTAGGAAATAACAAATTATAAATGCAAGCTGTTATAGCAATTTGGGCGGGCTTTCATCTTGAATTAGCTGCACTCGAAAAAACTAGTCAATCTTTCTACGCACAATATACGAACGAGTAAAATGTTTTTCATTCCCACTACAATATATCCTTTTATACATTCGCAAACAATATTAATTGGTCGAATGGGAAAAATTTTTCAAAGTTGTCGGAAGCGATGTGTAAAGAGTACAAAAAAGCTCACAAAAATAAACCACTAAAATGTTAGGAATTTAACACATATTTTGAATTCATCGTGAATACCAATCGGCAATAAAAACAAAGTTCATACGTGATGTGCTATCTGACGCAAGTTCCTTAAATGTTAGAATACATATTCCTTAAATTCTTTAAATATATTTTATCAACAAATCCTACCTAGTTATGTTAATATTTAAGAAATAAAAGATGTTTATTGTGTATGCATAGGCTTATGCAAACTGAGGAGACCTTTGGGAGAACTCGAGTGCACATAAGTGCAAGCCCAAGACCGAAGGTCGAGGGGTGGAATCATTTATTTCTATAATAACTGGAGGGGCTAAGTTATTATACAACTCAATGGTTGCACATGCTTGAAAGTTCTCCCAAACGTCTCCGAGATTTGCATAAGTCAGTGCAAACACGAAAAACATCTTTTATTTCTTTTATAAAATAAGAATAATGTGAGACTGACAAATTTAAAGTAAACATTTGATTTTTTCCTCTAAAATGTATTCATGATCGATTTGAAAATTCTCATTGACTGATTGATTGATATAATTGATTTCATTGGTTGAGCTTAGATGTGTTTTGCACAGGCTAATGCAAATTGCAAATACTCCTCTAGACCAATCAGCGTACGCATTTCATTGTGTTTATTTTACAATTCATAATTATGAATTATCCTCTCGGTGCCACTTAGAAACATGCGATAACATATATTTTATGCTTGCCAGCATTGTCAGTCGTCACAAAAGTTGAACAACATGTTACTTGTTGTTTTTCAATTATAACATATTTGCAAATATTAACTACTTTATGAAAAAAGTGAAATGGAAAAATCATTGAAATGATTTCAATTCAACCGTTTGGACTGACCAAGATTGACAGGTTGATTAATTTATATTATTTTGCACTTTTGCAAGCCGATTTGAGAGGATTTGAGTAATGAATACAAGTACAGTATCATAATGAAATCTTCTAAACATTTTTCAATGTTTTTTTAGATTTCTTTATATTTGTGAAAATTTCGTTAGATTTCCTTTTTTTTGTTTCAAACCCAGATTTTTAGTCAAAACTCACTTAGAAAAAGGAAAATTTTACGAAAGTGGAAACCTTGAATTTAGGAGGAAAGGCCTATAGACAAAAGACTAAGTTACAATAAAATTTTTGGGACCTTTCACAATGAGCATTTTTAACGGTAAAAATACATGAATAATCTATGAAAAAAAAATACAAAACTACTGGAAATATTCAAATAATATAATTTATGTGGAACAAAAAAAAAGTAAAAATATAGATACTAATAAAGATCTTTTGATATATCTACATCAGTTTAACTAAATTATATACTTCAAAACTGAGCCCCATATTTCATTTTCTATGTGATTATCAAAACAATAGATTACATAACTTACCATGAGTAGAGTCACGAGCTGAACCTATTTTCTCAGCTTTAAGCTTACAGATTCCAGACTCAAGCTGTTGAATCATTGCTGGACATATCTCCATGAATTTAATTCTATCCACACCATCACTTTTATTGACTGCAAAAATTGTTGCCAAATCATCTGCTGAGTAGCACTACATATGCAAAAATCGGTAAGTTAGGTAAAGTCATTAAGAAATACTGGGATGTAAGCAAATTTTATGTGTAATTTTGAGATGCAATAAACGACAGAACGACAAAGCAACCAAAAGATTTACGTACCATACCACAAGTTGAAATCACACAACAAAACAAACTTTTTATTCACAAACCTGCCTTGCAAACCTTACTTTGTTTACCTGTTCAGTTTTTATTGGCATATGATTCAAATTATCCCGTTTTCTAAGGATGCGTGTTTCCTCATGGCTATGGCCATGGTCATGGTAGTGCTCATTTTTCTCATCATTGCTGTGATGTTCAGCTTCACTACCAAGACCAATAGTCTCCAATATTTCCTTAAATCCTTCAAATGACATCTTATTTGCTCCTCCACCAAAATGTTGGAAAATATCAGAGGTAAAATATGATTTACATGGAAGATCTTCTTCGTTATTAACCTCAAGACAATGTCCATCCGATAGATATGATATAATCACAATGCTCATGTTTGAAAATTGACTTCTGCTAATTTCATTGGTCTTAGGTGATAAACCAATTTCTCTGAAAATACTTTCAGCAGAAAAACATGGCTTCTGAAAAGTATCAAAGAAATCTACTATAAATAGTCTTAATAATGTGCACTAACAACAAAACAGTATAGATCATATATTCAAGCAATTCTAAAAAAAGAATAAAAGTATTGTTTCAAATTTAGAAATCACGTCTTCAAGTTTATACAAATGTCATATTAATTAAACTAGAATAAGGGTCTTAAAAAATGCACACAGTAAGTTTTGCTCAAAAAGTTTCATTTACAAAAAATGAATAGGATTTATAGATGGCAAAGTGCAATTCGCAGAATATTTGTCAAGCCTGCTACTAACATCAAGATTTTAGAAACTTGATGTCAAATCTTTATCTCAAAAAATTTCTTTGAAATTAAAGCAGTATTCTATTTTGCCAATCAAGTCACTCAAGGTCTTTGACAGTTAAATGTCAGAATGAATGACACACAACAGGTCTGGTTTGGTTAAAGTTCACGAGACTGTGAAATTTATCTTATGATTACAACATCATTGAAAGTTGAGCAACAAAAAACCCCTTCAGTATTTCTACAGTGTTTGTCAGGCTATAATTTAATGTAAGTTGAGCAACTACAAACAGATTAATGCGCGAGGTCATGCTGGTCGTACTGAGCACGACCAAACATTTTTCAAACTAAGGTTTTTTTAACCAATTGTTTTTAATGTTAACAGATATTAGCGAAAACAAATCTATTTCTAATGCTTCATTTGCATTTTGAAACATGTACTTCATACTACTTAAACTATATTATGTTTCTGCCCGACATCTGCCATAATCATTGCCTAAAAGCACATGGAACGGCATTCGCCGTTATTGGCATCAATGCTGATGCTGTGGCACCTAAAGGCTGCAGTGAGTCGTACGCATGCTCATTCGCCGAATAATTTCCTTTGATCGTGCCCAACTTTATTCGCACGAATATTTCAAATATTGTCGAATTATTCATCACTTTACTGTGTTATTGGATTTATTTTTGTGTGTGAACATGGAAATCAATCAAGGACGGTCAAACGTCGCGTCTGAAGCTCAAAGAGTCAGAAATATCGTTTCTGAGCTTTTACGAAGGATTGTCAGTCACGCCACGCTAAAATATTTTGTTTGTATGCCACGACCAACCCTTACGCTTACACTGAAACGAGAGATAAGGGGTTCCGACAATCTTGATGCGAAAGGAAAGATTGACTGTGCGCTAGTGCGGAGAAACAGCGGTTATTTTGTTGACTTTATTTACTGTTTCGTTCAAAGTCCACTACATTGACTCAAATTGATTATGCAACATGCACATTTACTGGGCGATTGCCAAAAAGCACGAAATATCAAAGTCGCACAATGAAGCGTACATAACTGGTGGCACAGACAACTTATGTTGCCAGCAACGGTACTAGAACTTCGTGTTTGTTCTCGCTATAGCACGACCAGTTGTTTTTATCTAGCTACGCCACTGATACACCCACTGGTGATATAATACGTATTAAAGTAACTTTATTACATAACTTCTAGATTTTTGTATCTTAACTAATTTACGAAAAAATAAAGAACTTTTCAATTATTGAAGGTAAAAGAATATTTTCACTAATTTCAAATTCTCGACACGACAGCTGTCGATTCACAAAATTAAAAAATACAGAGTAATACATTGGGCAGGCAGTTGAGCAATATGCAAACGAAACAACAAGAAAGATTACAAGTTAATATAAAAGCGAAAAACATTACATACTTGCAAAGCCTGGCTTTTGCTGAACTTTTCTTTGACATCTTGTAAAATTCGGTTTAAAAAACGGACGCATATATTCCCACTCGTCTTGTACTTTTTCAAAAGTCGATCATACGTTGATACGTGGGCGCCATCTCCGTGTCCGCGTTTACAAGTGTCCGAGTTTGACCCAGAATTCTTTTCAGGCAGCAAATAGTAGAGTAGGGTTGTTGACAATTTACCGAATTCAGTTGTAGTAAGGTTGTTGCCGAATCCATGTGTCAGGAATATATGCTCAGGAGGGCCACACTGATGAAACAAATAAAAAGTAAAACGGATTAAATATGAAAGACAACAATTAAAAGTGTCGTATTTCTTCAATAAAAATATAATACAATTGAATACTTACTTTCTCTGGACATGATTCTTCTCTAGTGGGTTCATATTTACAATGTTCAAGATTCAACTTCTCTAGAAGCACGTCCAAGGCTTTAACATTAAATTCGGTGGCATTGTTTAAAGATTTCAAAATCTTATGATAGTGTTTAGCTTCATTGCTTGTGCTTCCCAAAGAAATTTGAACAAGGCCACATAAGATACAGTATAATGGAATAAACATTGCTATTTAATATCCAAGTAAACGAATCTATCCACTCGCTGAAAACGAGTCTGATATGTGAACAGGTAATTCGAACAATAAAAGCGGTAACTAAACCTAATTCCTCGAGACTTGCAGATTTTAAAAAAGTTCCTTGTCACGTGTTAAGTTTCGCAAATTCCGGTGAGGTCGTCAATTGTATTCTTAAGATTTATGAGTGTTGTAAATGGAAAGCCCAACATTTATTAAATCGTATTTGAGAAAGTTTTTTTTTATTAGTTGCCTGCCTCTTCTCGAGCATTTTCTACATGTTTAATTATAGGACATTTTTGAGGTGTACACGTGCTATTACACCGAGCAAGCCTTCAGCGAGCGAGCAAGGCAGCTGATTACAGGTTAAACCCTTTCCCAATATTTAAGATTTGTTTTAGCTTACGAAACACATGTAGGGTGAAACTGTTGACACTCGCGTTTCAACTCCTCTGGCCCCCTTTTGTAGTTGGTACACAATATATGCTTTATCTGCTAATCTTCCTATTTAGTCATGAAACTAGAAAATCTGTGAATGTATACTTAAATATATATGATTCAAGCAAGTATTGAAAGTGAGCAATCAATCACCAACAAAACGCAGTCAATGTAAAATAAAGTTTAGCTGCCGTGTGCTTTGCTTGAGATTACATTCTTTCCCAGAGAGTGTACATGGCAAGCAAAGAAGTATGAAAGAATATGAATATAATGACTCGGCAAATATCGGCACGTTTTGAATTTGATTACTCGGGCATTTTGTACTACTTTTGCTGTGTCTTAGTTTTTCTCTCGTGCTTTTGTCGTATTTTGATCTTATCCTAGCTACAACAAAGTATAAACTTCATTCTACGATTACTCCTATAATTTTCAAATAATATAACTGCCTAATATTCGCATAGCAAATATAAACACGCTATTCAGTTTAATGATATCTGATGTTCATGATTGTAAGGATTTGTGATACGTTATAAGGGCGTTATCACTACAAAAAGCATTCATTATTCATCCCAAAGCCATCATAAGGGAATCAGCCAGCCATTTGCATCAACATGTGTTGCTATTGTTTCGAAATTCATAATTAACTCCTCTCATCAGGAAAACCATTCATTCAAAACAACAGTTGGTGTCTGATATTAGCCACTTCTGTTCAACTCGATGTGTTTAGCCCTGTCAAAACGACATTGATTTATGAGTTAGCTATAATACATATACTGCCAGCTATTGTTTCATATTTCTTCAAGTATATAGGAATGAAGGATAAGTTCCACTAAAAAGCAATGATCGTTTTACGGTGTATTGTTTTATCATGTCCACATTGCGAAAGAATGTTGCAATACTTATTTCTATTTTTACTGAGATTCACAGTAAAACGATAAAAATATTCGAATGCAGGAAACTTGTTTTAACGTGTTAGAACATACAACTTTAGACTTGCTTATGTTGGTCGCACTCGTGAATCGGTCATGAGGATTTCAAAAGTCTGTGTTCTCAATAGCAATGTACTCCTCCTAAATTACTTTTGCTTTATTTTAAGGTTGTATTATTTTCAATTTTAAAGCTTATTGGAGACCTCTAGCCCTTAAAATGAGAAAAATTTCTCGAGGAATGATCAACGAACAAAACTCGTACGAATATTTCAAACTTAAATAGTTATTGCTTGGTTGTATCATTCGGCATAAGTCTACTCATATGTCTACGCACCAGTCAGCAGATTTTGAAGACCGAAATATTGTTTCTGAACTTTGCTTGAGAAACAATACTTATAATGCCTCAGCTCTCTCGGGGATTTTTCTTATTGTGTTGGGATAATCCTGGGTCGCCAATTTCACATCAGTCCGTAAAACAATTGCTTATTGTAAATCACATGTTGTATCAAATATTACTTCTCCAAAACATGAGGTCGATAAGAAAAGAAAGGAATCATGAGTGGTTGAACAAAGATAAATAGCTATTGTGTAAACACGCATGGGCAGAAATTTGCCTAAAGTGCACGTGCACCGTGTGTTAATTGACAAAATTTTATTATTGGCGTACAACTTTCCGTAGCATTTTAGGCATAAGAATGAAAGATGTTTACTGTGTTTGCTCATGGTTTACACGGACTTATGCAAACCATGGAGACCTTTGGGAGAACTCGAGAGCAGATCAGTGCAAGATCGAGACCGAAGGTCTAGGGTTGCACCTGCTCGAGAGTTCACTGCACGCGTATTATTGTTTCTATTTTATAAAAATGGTTATAATATTCAACTAAATAGCCTATGAAATTTCACCAACTCTCTTAGGTCACCTCTAAAGACTTACATCTAAATCTAGTAATATGCTTTTGAAACACGTTTCCTAACAAGCTAAAAAATAGAGAAGATAATGAGAAAACAAGTCCACACAATAAATCAGCTTATGTCATCTATTAGGATTAAGTTACATCCATTGTAAGCTTTGTCATATCAATTAGTGCAAAACAACAAAAATTAGCATACATCCCACCAAAAACATCACCCCCCCCCTTTCCTTGCTAAATTTCAAAAAAATTGTGCGATTTTTGTAGATTTCTATGGAACCTTCAATTTTCAAAATATGGCAAGATCTTCTTCAAAATATGCAATTAAAAACATGAGAGTAAATCCACATAAAATCCCCGTATTTTGCAACAGAAAGATTCGGAGTTTGCTCATACCACCAAGTTCTTCGCTGTGCATCAACTCAGGTAACTAGAAACACGAAAATCCATATAAATCGAAATCAGCGAGAAAAGTGTCAAAATTTGACACAAAACAACACAATGGAACGACTTGAATGAAAATGTGAAGTAGTAAACAGGTTTGTATATGGCTACGATTTGTTAAACAATAAATGATTTGACCATTTTTCTTACAGTCGTTCAGTTCACAGTGAAAATATCAAAATTTACATCAATATTCACGCAAGCTAATGTAAAAAATATTTCACAAAAGAAAAGTTAACCCTTTTTTTGCAATATTCCTGATTTTTTTTGTGTTATTGTTTCATCATCAGCTATCATTTATTCACTTTTGTTTAAGCACAATTTAGTTACTTAATTCGTGCTCAAAACCATTTATGCCATGGTTTTCCACTTCAATAAAATGAAAACGTATTCTTTTTCTTGAAATCATTAGTAAGTTTGTGACCAGGGATATACCGGGCGGAAAGCAAAGTTTAAATATAAATATCAAAGCCCAGCAAAGTGCTTTTAAAAGAGCCATTTAGTGCTTAAAAAGAAATATTTATTTAAAAGTGTAACGTTTGATTTTCATATTTAAACTTCGCTTTCCGCCCGGTATATCCCTGGTCACAATTCTGAAGAAACGCTATGATAATGGAGCACTTGAAGCTTTTCGAAAATTCCAACGTCTGGAGTTGAAACTTGGCAAAGCCAAACTGGACCTTTTTGAAAGCTTGTAAGAACAGCTCAGTAATACCACGATTCCTGTGGTTCAAGGTTGCCAATCGTCGTTTACGGAACTCCAGCAGCGCCTATCGCCAATGCCAGAACAAATTATTACAAGACGAAATCAACGCCAAACACGCTAGAATACGAACCCTATCCGCACAGCTAACAACAGCACATCCCAACCTTGCTTCGCTCAGCTCCAAAATTGATTTCATTCACCTAAAGAACACTTCCGACCGCGAAAATTCAAAGAAACTAAACAATCACCAACGTATACATGACAAAAAGCTTTTCCACCTCAATGCTGACGAAAGAACTCAAACATGATAGATCCTAATTCGGTAGTCTTTAATTTCTCACACCGACTAATCACAGACAAGGAGAAAGAAATTCTTTCAAAAGGTCTAAACTTTGCCTTACCACCATCGAAACTCAATTTCTGCCATTTTCTCACGCCTTTTGAAAGGTTATACTCCCAGATTAAGCAAGAACCCATTTATGAGCCCTCTGGATTCTACCCGGAATTCATAAGGACTCGGATAAAAGACATCGCACAATCCGGTTTTCGCAGTTATAATCCACCAAACTTTTTGTATTCAAGGAAAGACATCAACACGTTGAATGATTTACGAAACGACCGCAACATCGTCATAATGAAACCCGATAAAGAAACGGCGTTGTCATCTTAAACAAAGACGACTACAACAAAAAAATGGATGAAATCTTATCCGACAACTCAAAGTTCGTGCGCTTAAATCAAGACCTCGTCAAATTGACCATACAACGTGAAAACCAAGTAAAGACTCTCCTGAAAAACTTGAAAGCATCTAAATCGATTGATCAAAGAACATATGACGAACTCTACCCAACAGGTTCACGAATAGGTATTCTCTATGGACTACCCAAAGCACATAAAACCGACATACCACTAAGGTCTATCCTGTCATGTATAAATCATTACACGTATAAGATAGCTAAATTTTTCATACCCATTTTCACCCCAATCTCGTCCAATTCTTTCATGATCAAAGATTCCTTTTCTTTCACCCAGGAAATTTTATCCCTGAACATCAACACTGATAATGTTGTAATGGCCATCTCCGTTAATGTTCTAACATCCCCGTTGATGAAACCATTGAAATAATTACCAACCGTTTGTTCGCCCACCATAATTCTTTTCAAAGCCTCAGTCGCCCCAACTTTACTAATCTCTTAAATCTCGCAGTTAAGAATTGTCATCTTTTATTCAACGGTCATCTATACCACCAAGTCGATGGCGTTGCCATGGGCAGCCCCTTAGGACCCTTGTTCGCTAACATAATCCTGTCATTCCATGAAGAAATATGGCTCAAAAATTGTCCCTCTCACTTTAAGCCCTTGCTTTATAGAAGATACGTTGATGACTGTTTTCTCCTTTTTCGTACTGCTGACCATGTGCGACCCTTTCTTACCTATTTAAACCACAAACACCCCAATATAAAGTTTACGAGTGAAATCGAACACAATGGAAAACTTCCATTTCTTGACATCACTATTCATCGCTTTAATGGAAAGTTCTTCACGTCCATATACAGAAAACCTACGTTCACTGGTCTTTTTACTAATTTCCACAGCTTCATTCCACTAACATATAAACGCAGTTTAATATTATGTTTAGTTCATCGCTTCTTTAATATTTGCTCCACTTATGAAAACTTCAATAATGAAATCGAAAAAGCACGCAGATTATTTATTTCCAATTCATTTCCCTGTCACATATTTGATCACTGTGTAAAAATGTTTCTTGACAAAGTCTTTCAACCCAAACCACCTGTTCATACCGTACGCAAGAAAATACTGTACTTCGGCCTTCCATTTACTGGTCTACACTCATCCCAATTCCGCACACAAATCAATCGCCTTTGTCGTGCCGCTTTCCCACACTGTGAAATACGATTCTTCTTTCGATCCGCCAAACGCCTCTCCAGCCTGTTTCCTTTCAAGGACAAAGTGCCCAAAACTCTGAAATCGAATGTTGTCTATTCTTTTAAGTGTCGATGCTGCTCCGCATCGTACGTGGGTCAAACCACCCGCCACCTACACACTCGAATTTTAGAGCATTTGAGCATCACCCCTTTGACTGGTAAACCTTCTAAACATCCCTGTCATTCTTCCATACTATCACACCTTAAATTCACAGGACACACCTTCGAGGATTTTAAAATACTTTCTTCATGCTCAAACTCACAAAAACTTCTTATTCACGAAAGCCTCTTAATCAACAAAATGAAACCATCTCTTAACGTCCAAGGAAACTCCATTGTCCTTCAGTTGCATTAATCTAATTTCGTCCGTCCTCATGTCTGTATACTTTATGATTGTTTGTGTTTTGTTTGTTTTTTGTTTCTTTCGTGTTTCTACTTATCCCACGTCATACCATCTTATCCAATATTTACTAACACGTTTTCATCCCACCATGTAATTTAATATTATGTAAATAGCTATTATATATATATATCCCTCTATATTTGTAATTCAATATTGTCTAATGATGTCTTGAGAGTCAAGACGAAACGTTACACTTTTAAATAAATATTTCTTTTTATGCACTAAATGGCTCTTTTAAAAGCACTTTGCTGGCTTTGATATTCGTAAATTTAGTGGATCTCGATGATCATTCGAGGAAAGATAAGGATATTTTCTGGGTTTAAGAATAAGCACGAGGTGGAAAACGTACGATAACTATACGTTAGAATAACTCACCATGTCGACCAAAGCAATGTATAAAAACATCCCACCCATTATAGCAAATATCCACTGATTTCCCTCACTGGTTTTCTGACCAATCAAAATACCAATGACAAGGCCAATAAAACTTGAGCAAGCGGATAAAAAGTTGGCAAATATTGCTTGTTTTGCAGACATTCCCGATGAAACTAACGCAGCAAAATCACCTGAAAACCAAGCAGAATGTCAACGACATAAAAACAACTCTAAGCTCATTTGTCAATCTGGTATTGGGACAAAAAAGACGAATGAAACAAGTTAGTTAGCAAATACTTATTCATTAAACACTTGCAAAATAATGCAGTTAGAATATAAGAATATTGCTCAAAAAATGTAGAAGGATGAAATAAAAAGATAAAAAGCTCAGCCCTTTTTCTAAAAAATTATAATCAAAATCTTGACAATACCTAGTTCATGTGGTAGTTCATGACAAAACACAGCTATAGTAGTACTCAATCCTCCAGCAATATCTTGAGTGAAGGCAGCTCCAATAGCAATGCCATCTGTTATATTATGTAATGTATCTCCAATAAGAATCATCTTTCCAAAAGACTTAATTGATTTCTTTGTAGATTCATTTGAATGTTTTGATAAATCAGAGACATTCTCTTCCAGACGTTCATCGTCTTTTGAGCAATGTTCCTCAGCTTGGCCATTTGCCTGATTAAAGGAATAGACTGTTAATACGGCAGTGAAAGCTCTTCACAAACCACACCCTAGTGTCTTCTTGACATTACTTTTGATAATTCACATGATTCAATAATGCTCAGTATGATTCGTTTACAACACTTCTCACGCTTCATCAACCTTTCGTCTATATTCCTCGTCAACTCTTTTGTATATAAACAAGCTTCGCGTGTAAGCAAATTTTCCCAGGGAATAGGGTGTGCACGGCAAGGGTCTTTTGCAAAAGCAAAAAAGTCTTATCAATAGCTTTTGGTTTTTCATAAGCACACACAATTCAACAACGCTATATTGAGCTATTGATTCTCAAACAAATTTAAAAAGAACTACAGTCCCATGAAATTTTAAACTGTAGATTTGCTTTATGCAATCTTTGCTTACTTTTGACATCAGTGATGCATTGTGATAGAGATGCTAAATATGGGTGAGTCATCTTTAACATGCTATTTGTTTACTGCGTTTTAAAATAATACAAAACAATTATCCGTCAGTGTTATATTTTCACCCATAGGGTTTAGATAGATACACCATATAGTTTGGTCTAAATAACTTTTCATGTCCAGCTCAATGAAAAAATGTCTTTTTAAAGCATAGGAAATCTGGGAAATTTGTTCGTGAATAACATGATATTAGCAAGACAAACCTTATTGAAAATAACCTTTGTGGTATCTTTACTAGCAGTAGGCCCTTGAGGATAAGTTGCCACTCGCAACTCATGGCGTTTACTATCTCGACAAGAACTGTTTCTTTCAAATCGACTGTGCTTTCGTGTGTGCTAAAAGTATGTAAAATATAACTTAATAAGTAAAGATGCGTACAATTTCAGTGGAATATTTTATTCAGGAGAGGTTTTTTTTATCAACAGTGTGCATACCCGCGTGCTAACGCTCTCAACATGAGCCTTCAGATGATAACACATAAAATCGTGGGATAAAATATTCCACGATGCGTAGCAAATGCGTCTATACAGCTTTACACATACAATTTAGTAAATTCGGCAACAAAAGAAATGCGGCACTAGTATTGATCATGAACAATGCGCATGTGTTGACTTAACATTGTTGAGTGTGTTCATACGCACTAAACTGTATTAAAGCAGACATCAGTGACTAACCATAAGAAAATATTAAGCGCTGCTGAGTGTAAAGTTTCAGAAAGTTCAAACCTCTCGCAATAAAGCTTAAAAACGCTAAATGCTACTCAAAACCCCTCAAAATGATGTGCAAACGCTCTGAACATTTTGAGCCTACAAAACTGAGCAAATGTTAAGTCAACATGTTGAGAGCGTTTGTACCGGGCTTAGTTACCGCGTGAAACATGTATCACCAATCGAGAAATAATTTTTTTTGGTTGCTTTAGTTTATTTTCTCCAAAACGCAAAGGGTTTTTAACCTCTAAATGAGAGTGATCTCCTCCAGTAGATTGTAAAAACAAATGAGAGCATGTCTCAAACAAAAAAAAGCCATAGACACCAAACGCAACGACCAAGAATCTCCATATTATCGTCTTATCATGCTCTTCTTCTGAACCATGTTCGTCATGTTTTGATCCATGATCACCGTGACCACTAGCATGAAAACCACCTGCCTGCAAAATTAGATAGTACAAACAAAGATGTTAAGCAAATTTTCCGCATTTTTTGTACCGTAAATGTAAAGTTATGTCCACTTTTCGTGTCATTAGCGTTCTGGTGGATCAAATAATTACAACAATAAATTTAAACAGGTAAAATTTCATAGTTTTGCTGACAACTTAAAGAAACAAACCAAATCTTTTTTCACTTTTTTGGGACAGTCACGTCAAATTTGGAGAGTTTCAGTTAAGAAATAAAAGATGTTTACTGTGTTTGAACAGTCTTATGCAAACTGAGGAGACCTTTGGGAGAACTCGAGAGCAGATCAGTGCAAGCCAGAGACCGAAGGTCGAGGGTTGCACCTGCTTCTAACTATATGTTGTTTGTTGCCCCGCATCGATACGTGTGAAAAGGTTAAAACATTCAAATTCACCACATACTTCATTCAAGTAAATGGCCTTGGTAAAAGAACAACACATTTACGTACTAATAAAATATGTTGCTGTCGTAACTAATAACTATATAACACTAAACTTAGTTAACAACTCGATTAACTTACATGTGGTATAAGATGAAGTAATGCATCTCCAGTAAGAGTTCCAATAGCTAACCCAATTAAAACAATGATGATTTTCTTGTACGTCTTTCCAGCCATCGAAGGGATGACGGCAACGCCAGCAAGCGATAGCAAACTGATAATAAACACTGACAAAAAACCATACAGCCACACTATTTGATCTAGAGGTGTAATGATACAAACGAATGTTAGAAATGGCAATACAGTAGTTCGAAAGGGGCAGATATCAATCTTGGTCCTAATTCTAAAAATTACAAAGGAACAAGCCGAAACATAGCAAAATATTCATTGTGCAAACTTATGCGCAAGTGGGTATGAAAAGGTATGAAAACTGTCCAACGAATAGTGACTACACAAACAATCAGAAAAATGAATCGCAGCCAGGTCACAGGCACAAATATATTTATATTGAAATATATTTATATTGAAATAAGCAGCAGTTATGGGTTTTGTGTTGTTTATAATTTAATTTTTCTTCGACTTAAGATTGAAATAAAGACCAAGCTTTCATCTTGAGTCAACCAGCTGTACAACACTAGGAATGTATACACAGTAATTCAAGTGTCACATATATGTAGCTAATTCAAAAATGGTTTTCAGTCAAATCAAAATTAAAAAAAATCAATCGGTGAAATTGGTGCGAAATCTTAAATTAAAATTCGTGAGAAATCTCACTTTCTACCACGTACGTTACATTGTGCAATCTAAGAGAAAGCATTCCACATATGCAGAAGGAGTTATGACCATTTACTGAGTCATTTTATTGAGTCCTAACCACAAGCATAAAGATTATAAATGAAACTAGAGGTGCCATTGATGACGAATCTATATAGAAAATTAAATAATTAAATTAGCTAATTGCAGTTGAGCGTCTTTTTGAAAATAATGGCGTATGCACCACTTCAAGGCATCCAGCATGGAGACAGAAAATTTTTCAAGCAAGTTGAAAAGTTCACGCATATTTTCGTTGTCTTTTTCAAAGCTAAGTGAGGATTCATGTAGAAAAATTCTCCTATTTTTTAGTGATATAATTATTATTGTGAATTCATGTTTGTTTTTTACGTATTATTACTTTATATAAAGATATGTGTTCGTAACTGCGATAATAGTTGCCTACCATTGGTAAATATTTATTATATATATATAATCAATTAATACAAAGTTTGCGGCGTACGGTCTGTTACGATGGAATGGGGCGAGTTATCGTTTGTTTATACAACTTAGCTAGCTAAGTGATTTACTAGGCCGCCTATGCACAAACATGTTATGCAAATACGAGTGGCTCAAACCAACCACAATTACGAAAAAAAGGAAAGCATTGTTCAACAATTAGATTGTGATCGTATTCACTATAGTAATTTAAGCATAATATGTACAAAAAAAGTCAAAAAATCATAGTCTTCCACTGTAGCTTAACATCCGGGAGTCGATTTTGCCCCGCTTATACGTGCAAATAATCGAAGCCAAATGTGCAGGGTTGCCAGATGGATTAAATTCAATTATGTTAAAATTTCAACAAAAATAAGCCAGTTTTCTGCCAACTTCTGTGACACCGGAAGTTATTAATAGTAAGAGCGAAAATTGACTTTTAAGGGACTAGTAACTAGTAAGAAATTAAAAGTGCAAGCTACTAGATTAAATCAATCTGAATGCAACACCATTTAATGGCTTAATGTTTAAAATTTAGTCGAAATTTGAAATGGAACATGAAAAATTTGTAAATATTTGTTTGAAAATTTGAAAAGTTGTAAAATTCAGTAATGATCGTGAACCGTTTGACAATAGGAGGCCTAGAAATCTGTTTAAGTTTTTTATTCAATCGATTTATGTAAATATTTAATAAGCTATTTGAGTAATTGAGTAATTTACAATGTTTGTACCGCGATCTCGCGTGCGGGGATGGCAGCCCTCAACACAAAATTACCGACCGTAAACACAAACACTTTCATAATACCGTGAATATGTAATAAGTAAATGGTAAAACACAAAAAACAACAACAAGTACATCTCATTATTAACAAACAATTTCCATATTTTTGCTCTTTTTTTAACATCGAAAGGTATTTCTAAGCATATGAAAAATGCGAATGTTTTTAGGGTTAGTGGCAAATATTTTTCAAAACCTATACTGGGGACACTTAACTAAACATTCGTCATATTTTTGAATGCTCAAACGCAAGTTATGCAATGCAGATTGGCTGAATATATGTGAAAACAATCAAAAATTGTAACCAATCTGCATTGCATTCGGCGCATGTAAAATGCGACGTATGAAACAGTCCTAAGCAGTGCGCTTACTTTTAAAGAATTATCCTTAAAAATAGGATTTTCTAAAGGTTTTAAGGATATTTTTAAGGATGTTTTTATACTTTAAATTAACATACACTTAATAATATTCAATGTTTCTTTACAAATACAACATTGACAAACTTGAAAACAGCAAAAGAGGAGGAAAAACCATGAAAAATCACTTTTTGAGCCTATGTGATCACGACTTGTAGTAATTTTTACAAATTTAAGGAATTTAATGAAAATTTTACGAATTTTTAAGCATTTTCTAAGGAACTACGAAATTTGATTGTGAGAGTACTGGGCCTAAGAAAGTTGAAGTCTTACAGAGTAACAATTTTTTAAACATTTTAGGTAAACGACAATATTTTTCAATTTTATATTTTTAATTACAAACATGTTTCAAGTTACCTGTAAGTCATCCTCAGTGTGAATAATAATGTTATTTACAATGTGTGATATATATATAATGTACAATATTATACAGTGTGTTGATACTAATGAATGAATTAACTATTTACAAGACGTTGAGTATTATTAACAGGCATTTAGCCACAAGGATCGAACAACAAACCTCCTCCGACAAAACCTTTCACGTTCATAAACATCTACAAAATTCGTAATGCAAATCTAAATACACTACATCCTGTTTCACTATCATAGACACTGCCAACTCTTCATTCACCCTCAAACTTAAAGAAGCACTATACACACACAAACATAAACCTGACCTGAATAAACAGGTCCAACATTTTAACACCATTTTCAAACTTTAGCTTCCTAATTTTTTTTATCCCCACTATAACACATCCTGCTAGTAATCCTCAATGTCTTGTAAATAATTAATCTATACAGAGTATCAACACACCGTATCATATTTCTATATATTTATATCACACATTGCAAATAACATAACTATTCACACTTAAGATGACTTACAGTTAAGTCAAAAAATATTTGTAATTAAAAACATAAAATTGAAAAATGTTGATGTTTATCTAAAATATTTATTAAGTATCGTGCTCATAACAACTTTTGTTAATTTCCAATTTTCGATTCCAAGCACAGTACATAAGTCTGAACGCATTTACAATGTGTTTAATTTATGGGTCATGTCATTAATGCAGCCAAAAAATATCCTTCTAGTTTGTTGTGCTGTTTAAATGTGCAGCAAAAAATATAGATACTAATAATGATCTTTTGATATATCATAATATCAACATCAGTTTAATGAAATTATATCCTTCAAAATTGAGCCCCATATTTCATTTGCTAATTGACTATCAAAACAATAAAACAACAGTTAGTAAAACTTACCATGAGTAAAGTCATGAGTTGAACCTATTTTCGCAGGTTTAGGCTTACAGATTCCAGACTCAAGCTGCTGAATCATTGCTGGACACATCTCCATGAATTTCATACTATCCACACCATCACTTTTATTGACTGCAAAAATTATTGCCAAATCATCTGCTGAGTAGCACTACATATGCACAAATCAGTAATTTAGGAAAAGTCATCAAGAAATACTGGGATATAAGCAAATTATGTGTTGCATTAAAAAAGGAGGCCAACATAACTCATATATTTAATTGCATAACGGGTTGCAATCAAATGACAACTTTATTGAAAACTGAGCTGAGTTTTACTTTACTTACTTGTTTGATTTGAAACGGGACACGACTTGGGAGGTCACGTTTTTCACGTCTTGGCAATTTGTCATGGCCATGGTCATGATCATGGCCATGGTCATGCTTATTTCCCTCATTGCTATGATGGTCAGTTACATTACCAACACCAATAGTTCCCAATACTTCCTTGAATCCTTCAAATGATATTTTGTTTGCTTCTCCACCAAAATGTTGGAGAATATCAGAGGTAAAATATGATTTACATGGAAGATCTTCTTCATTATTAACCTCAAGACAATGTCCATTTGATAGATATGATATAATCACCATGCTCATGTTTGAAAATTGAGTTCTGTCAATTTCACTGGTCTTAGGTGATACACCAATTTCTCTGAATATACCTTCAGCAGAAAAACATGGCTTCTGAAAAGTATCAAAGAAACAAACAATCAATGTTATCAAGTGAGTGTGTTATCAAGTGTGCATGTTATCATGACTATTGAGTAATAATATGAACATCATTTACCCAGATATTTCAAGCAGTTATAAAGAATATATAAAACTAATGTTCAAAAATTTTACAATTTTTGTCTTCAAGTTTATATTAACGTCTTTTAAATCAATCTAGAATAAAGATCTTTGAAAATAATGAAAACACAGAAAGTTTTCCTCAAAAAGTCTCATTTACAAAAAATGAATAAGTTTTAAATGGCAAAAGACCATTCACAGAAAATTTGCCAAGCCTGCAACAATTGTTATTTAACACCATGGTAAAGAAAATGGTTTGAACCAGGGAGTATAATATGTTTGTGGATGTAGATCGTCTAGGTTTGTAGAGTCCTGAGAAGGACTGTCTTTGTTGGTGTTGAATGACGTTTGTTGTCGAAATGTCATTCAACAACAACAATGACAGTCCTTCTTAGGATTCTAAAAACCTGGACAATATACATCCACAAACATGAAACACTGTGGTCTCAAGTGTCAAATTCATTCAAGGTCTCTCACAGCCAATTTCAAAATCTATGACTCACAGGCAAAGGTCCATTCACAGAAAATTTGACAAGTTTGCAAGAAACATCAAAGTCTCAGAAACTTTGCATCAAATCTTTTTCTCAAAATAATGCTTTAGAAATTGGAGAAGTACTCTGAAAATCAAGCTCTGAAAATCAAGTCATTCAAGGTCTTTCACTGCCAATCAATAAATCTCTCACTCACAAGGCAAAGGACCATTCACAGAAAATTTGACAAGTTTGCAAGAAACATCAAGGTCTCAGAAACTTTTTGTTAAACCTTTTCCTCAAAAACCATTGCAAAAATTAGAGTAGTAATTTGCAAATCAGGTCATTCACAGTCAATATTTAATTCTATGATTTACATGGAAAAGGGCCATTGACAGAAAATTTGAAAAGTTTTTTAAGAAACATCAAGGTCTCAGAGAGTGTGTCAAACCTTTCATAAAAATTTCTCTCAGAATATTCAACTTGACAAACAAATCACTCATGGTTTCTTACAGTTAATGTCTGAATCAATGACACACCATGAGATTTTACATCACAAGCCAGGTTTGTCTAAAGTTCAAGAAACTGTGTGGTTTATCACATGATTTCTACATCTAAAGTTTACTACAAACAAAACCTTAAACTTGCTAGTTAATGCGAGCCCTAAATCGAAAGGAATGAAAGATAATCTGAACAAATATGAATGGATTGTTGTTAGCATGTCATCAAAATTCGCACGTCAAATTTAATCTATAAAATTATGCGTAAACAATTTGTGTTCAAACTACAAAATTTTAAGTCCAGTGATGTGATGCAACATAACATTGTGGCGAAACTTTGTGAATTTGTGCGCAAAACGCTTTTTAACTTTTGAATTCGCGAAGAACAAAAATAAACTTACAAATTATTTGAATATTTTCTAATCCTATCGATAGATTTCGAATCAATTCCCACGCAAGACGACACAGCCGGTCACAAAAGTACAAAAACATAAAATAATATACAGGCAGGTGCAATCGAATCAACAAGGAACTAGGAAGACGAGACAATTTATCATGAAAACAAAAACGCGTCTTACTTGTATAGCCTGTTCTTCGTTGGAATCATTGAATCTTTTTTTGACATCTCGTAAGATTCGGTTTAAAAAGCGGACGCATATATTCCCAGTTGTTTTGTAGTTTTTCAAAAGGCGATCATACGTTGATACGTGGGCGCCGTCTCCGTGTTCACAAACGTTCAACCCAGCATTCTTTTCAGGCAGTAAAAAGTAGAGTAAAGTTGTTGACAACTCACCAACCTCCGCGATAGTGAGGTTGTTGCCGAAACCATGTGTTGAGAATATATGTTCAGGAGGGCCACACTGATGAAACAAATTAAAAGTAAAAAGGATCAAATATGAAAGACAACAATGAAAAGTAATGTATTTCTTCAATAAAAATATGATGATACAACTCAATACTTACTTTCTGTGGACATGGTTCTCTGTTGGGTTCAGATTTGCAATGTTTAAGATTCAACTTTTCCAAAAGCAAGTCCAATGCATCTACGTCAAATTCAGTGGCATTGTTTAAAGATTTTAGTATCTTATGATAGTGTGTGGCTTCATTGCTCGTACTTCCCAGTGAAATTTGAATAAGGCCAAAAAAGAAACAGGATAATAGAATATACATTGCTATATAATGTGTAATATCCTGGTAAATGAATCTAGTGAATCGCTAAAGACTGCGTTAAGAAATTGTAATCACACTTTTAATGTCGAAAGAAACAGTATCTGCAACCGAAACAGTTGTAAGTGGTTTCAATTTTCAAATTGGTTTGTATCACGTGTTCAATTTCGCCATTTCCGGTAATCTTATGTGTTCAGAAACAATCTTTATCCTCGGTTAAGTTTTTTTTTTGCATGAATTCGCACTACAATCGCTCTTAATGAAGTTGATTCTTTACCATACATGTGTTTTATATGAAATTTCTTACGTGTATTACTATTTTACAAAATGTGTACCTTCTACAGAAATTATATTTCTACTGTTAATCGAACGATGCTAATCATGCTATCAACCCTTAAAGGTTAAATGGCTTATATTCAGTTATTTACTTACTCCAACTATGTAAACAAATAGATAAAGCATTTTGCACATACTTCCTTAATAAAAAAAAACAAACCGCTGATTGAATCGCTATGAAAACAATCTGTTGGATCCATAGTTTTATTATAGACTCGATAGATATTGATGCTAATAGTAATGTAGTCAGTGTAAACCGTTGTTTTGACATCAAAATAAACTTGTCTTGTTAGGAAACCCATTTCAAACCTTGTTTCAAACCATGAAATGAACTATTATCTAATGTTAAAAGATTACCATTTCTGAATAATACATTCATGCAGCCTTTCTGAACACTCAGATAAAATTTCATAATCCAAAAACTACAATTAGTAAGTTTCACAGATGCGTGTTGTTCACAGAAATTTTCAAATGGAGTCTTTGGAGTCCTGAATGGTTAAGGTATGCAGCATTATGGAAGATAAGATAAGATAACAAGAGAGCTGCAGTCACTTGAGGAGGGGTGGCAGTTACTGATATTTATCGCAAAATGTGTGGTAGTAATTCATTTCAACGTACATGATATCCGCCAGTGGTGGGAGGATGATAGTTGAACATTTGATACCTAGTTGATTTTATAAATCACCAATTTGCTTTATGTCTTTCATAGGTTAGGAGAGTTACCAGTGCAGCTCAAAATGATAATCGTTATTTATTGTTCATTGAATGTAAAATCATATAGGAACAAGATGTTCATTAGAATATAAAGTAATCATCTCATTAAACATGTTACAATTGTAAATTTGTTGATATTTTATCTTAAGTGTATGATAATGCATATATATTTTGTTAATTAAACAAATTTTTTAGCAACACAATATTGCCTCATACTTAGTATCTATGATACACAAAACTTTTTATGTATTTATACCATGCAATGAATATTTAGATACTAAGTAAGTGATATTTAGATACAAGCAATTTAAACAACAAGCTACTGTAGAAACAAACCAACTTCCACCAAAGGAGATCTTTGGGAAACTTGAGAGCAGGTCAGTGAAAAACCTCTTTTATTTCTTTGATAAAATAAAAATAATGCGAAACAGACAAATATAAACAAATGTTGTAATTTTCCCGTAAAATGTATTCCATAAATGATTTGCAAAGATCTTTGATTGGTTGATTGATTTAATTGGTTGAGATCAAATTGGTTTGCACATACTTATGCAAACACAACTATAGACCGATCAGCTCATGCATTTTATTGTTTTTATTATATAATATGATAAATAAAATGTGACACAATGAAATGTGTGTGCTGATTGGTCTAGAGCTGAGTTTACATTAGCCAGTGAAAAACACATCTGAGATCAACCAATCAAATCAATCTAAACAATCAGTCAAAGAGAATTTGCAAATCGATCATAAATACATTTTAGAGGAAAAATCAAAATGTTTATCTTTTTCGCATTATTGTTATTTTATAAAAGAAATAAAAGATATTTTTCAGGCTTATGCAAACCTTGAAGATGTTTGTGAGAACTCTCGAGCATATGCAACCCTTGAGCTTCGGTCTCGGGCTTGCACTGATCAGCTCTCGAGTTCTCCCAAAGGTATCCTTGGTTTGCACAAGCCTGTGCAAACATAGTGAACATCTTTTATTTCTTAAATGAAATATGAAGCACATGATTTGTCTAAATGAAAGAATTTACAATGCTACTTGTCAAAAGCTGAAGTCAGGTTTTCACTCAGGTGCAGCAGTAAATAAAGTGATCTTGATGAACTACAAATAAAAAGTTCTATTATATAACTTTTCATTGGCTTCTACTGGCATTTATGTAACTACAAACATCTCTTTTGTTTCACTTTACCATAAAAAGCAAGTTAGTAACCTATCATTAACAGATCTATAAAAAAACAACAAAGTACCATACAACAGTAGTTACTAAGATGTGGTAAGTTACTAAGAACTTTTGTTGAATTTGCTTTCCATAAGTTATATTCATCTCAACCGTTGGCATAATTTAAACACTTAATTATTTTTACTCCCAATGCAAGTTTGAATCTTCGTGGATTCATGGACAAATATAGTGCATAGTAATTTGTTCAAAGAACAGATTTTACTTATTTGGTAGTTGGATTTCATTGCATCTCTCCCATTAGTTTTACTCACAACTGTGTGATATGATTTCTTTGTTTTGCTGTATGCGTTCAAAGCAAGAAGAACACAAATAGTTTACAAGTTTTGCATTACCACACACAGAGCATTTCTCAATATCTTCTCTTTGCTTAATAGACTTTCTCTGATGTCGCAACCATTTTGTCTTTCTTGATGTCCGTTTTTTGGGTGCAGCCATCCACAAGATACCATGCTTAAAATTATCAGCTTCTGTGATTGTGTTTTGGAACAAAAACTTTGATAAGGCAGGGACATTTGTTTGGAAATGGCCATTGAGCAAAACTTCACTTCTGCTTTTATAAAACAAAAAACTTCTCCAATAATTCAAACAGTCTACTGCCAATAATAAGTTATTTCTGTGTTGATATTTCAAATCAAAACAAAAGCGTAACACCTTCTCCATCGCCATTTTCAATGGTGTACTGTGTACATGTACGTACATATTGGGTTACTGTGGTAATTTGGTATTAGTCTCCACCGTGTCCTTCCTTTACGTCCTTTGTTGGTAATAGTACTTGTTGTTCTATGGTTGTTCTCATTGGTTGTTTCAGGGTTGCCAGATGGATTAAATTCAATTATGCTAAATTTCAACAAAAATAAGCCAGTTTTCTGCCAACTTCTGTGACACCGGAAGTTAGTAATAGTAAGAGCGAAAATCGACTTTAAATCATGCCGAAATTATGCTCATCTGGCTACCCTGGGTTGTTCTCACTGCTTCACATTTACAAAGATTAGAACTTAGTGCATGAAAGACTTGCACTGATCTGCTCTCGAGTTTTCTCAAAGGTTTCCTCGGTTTTCATAAGCATGTGCAAACACGAAAACATCTTTTATTTCTTTTCTAAAACAACAATAATGCTGACGTTTTAATTTTGCTGCTTAATGTATTCGTGATTGATTTGCAAATTCTCTTGGACCAAGACAGTTTTCCAACCATGCTACTAGATGACCAGTCATTGTTTCAAAATTTTTAGAGTTGATACAATAAATGTTATACTCTTCAACTAGAAAACACAAGTCGATCCACTGTGCAGGTCTGGAGAGCGGTGGGTTGTGCAAAACTTCTAATGTTGCGATACCACAGCTTTGCCGAGCAATTAGCAACGTTTACTGCCTATTCATGTGGTAAAATGTTTGTTACATTGATTTTATCCTTCTGCTCCCTCTACATTATTCTTGGGTTAGTATCATTCTTACCACAAAGTAGTTCCAGCAAATTCTAACCTTGTTGTAGCTGCTCATATTTACGCCCCTAGTTTGTCGTTGGGCCTTGCCCTTGTTATTTTTTCGTCCATTTAAAAGCATCCTGCACCCAACTCTCTTCGTCCCAACTCCTCTCAAGTACAACACCGAAGTTACGGCCCTGCTTACGATGCACTGTTTTTTCTTAATGTTTACATCCAAGTTGTTGAATATACTGCAACACTGTAAGTGGCTTAAATTTCACTGGAAAGTTCTATTTGTATAAAAACTTGGCCGAATTAAAACCAAATAAATTGTTGAATGCAGAAAAATTGTTTCACGTGTTAAATTACTACCATTCTTTTGTATTGCTTTGTACTCATACTGGATTCAATTGCCTCTGTATTCTCAATTGCCATGTTATCTTTCAAATAACCGTTGCATGCATGGCGCCAACGGAGAGAGGGCTGGGAGGGGGCTTGAGTTACCCTCTTTTTTTCCCAAGGATAAATTTTTTGCTAATATTTATATATTTCAGCCTAACTTAAAGCAAAGTATAACATGATAAATATAAGTTGTAGCCTGCTCCCCTCGTCTTTGCCTTGCCTTATACGTCAGTCCATAAAACAATTAAAATGCTCATTGTGCTCATTGTGAACGAAATGTTCGATCATAGATTACCTCTCTAAAGCTCATAGCTTATGGGGAAAAGAAGGAATCGTAGATCATTTAACTGAAACAATCAGTAGCTATTTTGTAAGCAGACACAAAAGCAGAACTTTGACAAAGTGCATGTGCAAAACGTGTTAAGCGACAAAATTTTTTTTAAAGAAAATTATTAAATACTTTGTGATTTTATTGTAATTGATTTAAATCGTCAATTGTGAATAATTTAGTTCTATCAAAAATGCTTCATTCTTGTTAACTCTTTTGAGTTTCTGCTGATCTTTAAGTTTGAAGGGTTGATATTTTTCAATCAAAATATTGACCGACATATTTTAACATAAGTGAAACAAAAGATTAAACTATTCCTTGTAGCACAACCACTACGACTCAGAGTCATTTATGAGTGGAATCGGGTCGCCTTTGTTGAGCCATAATGTCATGAACAACGCCTTCTTTCTTTTGTTTACAAACGTTATCTTGAACAAACTCATATCTGATGTTATAAACAGGGGCAGAAACTGGGGAGGTTGTAGGCGAAACTTTCCTTTTACTGGATAATGTCGATGGCTTTTTACCAATGATAACATTGATGATAACATAAACTACAAAAACAATGCAACAGGCAATACCATACCATCTGAAAACGACATCGGTATTGTAGATATGTATTAACAAGCCACCAAGCATTGCCCCACTTGCTCGTCCAAGTCCATGGTATAAACCTTGCAGTACACCTTGTGCTGATGTTGCATAATCTGGTGGGGCTGTTTTTCCAATGTAACTTGTGCAAGATGCCCAAACTGCAGCATGAGTAATGCCTTGAAGAATTTCTAATGGTAGTACATGCCAGGGATTTGATAGCAAGGAAATAAATATAAAACGTACAGCATTTCCTATCAAACCTAGATACAGCACTGGCACGTGACCAATTTTTTGAATTAAATATTCCACTTGAAAATAGCAAATGATTTCAGAAATATGCTCCAGCAATGACGCAATTCCAAATAATGTAGGTGGTCCACCTAGGTCCTCAAGATGCCAATATAAAAACGTTGCTATAAGTCCATAGCCACATCCCATGAAAAATGCAACAATTAAAAACGAGAGATAACGTAAAGTTAGAAGGACTTGTAAAAGCTGCAATCCGCCACCAGAACCATATTGAACTTGCTGTTCTTTTGGAATGAAGAAGAAACGGGTGGCTACAAGTAGAGCAAAGGACATAAAGACGAAGAAACAATAAAATGCTGGTGTATAGTTGCTACTGACAACTTCGCCGCAGACTTCATAACCTTTCATTTTGTCGATAATAAAGCCAAGGGTAAACATGGCCGATCCCCAACCCAAACTTCCCCACATTCTTTGTCTCCCGTACTTATCTTTCTCGTTCCCAAGTAATTGTAATGTTGCAGAGTCAGCAAGCGTTATAGCAGGAGCAGAAAAGAACTCTCCTATGACTGTGAGAAACAATAATACAAGGAACACTTGATGCACACCGTTTGGACTGAACACGAGAGAATTCTTTGCTTTTGGCTCTGGAGGCATCGATTTTTCTGCCGTCCTTGGACCAAGAAAATCTCTTAGCTCTACAGTGGCATGTTTTGAAATTTCTGACACATTCTTTGTCAACAGGAAATACTTTTTGCACGAAACAGGAGCGGGTTTTATGAATGCAAATGAGAATGTAAAAGAAATCCACGAAATGAGAGAAAATAACAATAAAGTCTTTCTTTTGTCAAGTTTATCAGCCAATGATCCCAGCGTTGGTGCACTTATAAACTCAACCATAGGTCTACAGCCGACTAATGTCCCACTTTGACTTGGGCTCATTCCAAGCTGTTTAAAATAGACTCCTAACAACGGTAGAAATGATCCCACAGCACCCCAGTAGAAGAAATAAAATATTTTTGACACCAAGAGTTTTTTATTTACATGATATGGATGTCTTGACGAGTCATTAACCTTTTTCCACGATTGACTTCCCTTGTTCTTTGACTCTTCCATTATTCTTTTGCATTCATATTCGATTCATATGGCTTGCAAGCAGTAATAAGATAGCGCACACAAAAGAAGGAACAAGTAATAAGCTGGACAATGCATATAAATTATTCATTTTGTTGCATTGTACCATTACAAAACATCAGTCACTTAAACTCACTTTGCAGCTTTCCAAGTAGTATCAAAAAACGTTTTGATATATTATGTAGACTATTAGCGACGTTCAAAAGTGCAGCGTAGACAAATTTCTTTTTTGGTGAAGGGAGAGGGGGAGGCACTGTCAAACAAATCAGAATTTGGTTAAATGATTACAAAAGAGGGCAATTCGGTTTAGCAGAAATCTGACCTTCTTGTATTTTAGAGATAAGACTCATAAAATAAAACTGAAATATCAATTCATAATGTAATTTCTTGCAAGAAGCTCCTACTGCTTACATTAAAAGTTGTGCATGTCTTTTGAAAAGTTTTACCATAAAAATCAAAACACAATAATACATGATTGTTATTACTTTTACCGGAAGCAGGTTAATAAAAATATTTACAAAACACAATCAAACTTTCAGGTTTGCCTCACCATTGAGTTATTGGCAGAGTTTGACAATCTTTTGCTGCTTGCATACACAGTTTTGAAAATTTTGAGAAAAAGTTAGAGTAAAATGTATAAAAGGACGGGAATTTTTTTGGTGAGGGGGTGGGTGGCTATGCCAACCATTAATTACATTTTGGGGCAGCAGTATCTGTGGGCCCTTTGATTCTGTTTTCCTAAATTATACTACAGCATGTCAATCACACCGCACAAGTTTGTGCAGAAGTTTCTGCAGTGTATTATTTGAACACTATTCACTCCGCGCTCTAAGGATGAGGTAGGTAATAACTCTACGTAAGCTCAGCTTGATTGGCGCACCTGCTGAGCGTTTTAAAGTTGAATGTGCTCTAGCTGGTGTATTTCATGAATCACAACATAAATAGCTTTACTCTACTATAGTAAGGAAATGTGTTCTCCGATATTCAAACTGAATATTGAATGTGAAACCCTAGCATTTGGACCTATACTGGATATAACAGAGAATATAAAAGAAAACACAACTAAAATGTTGAAACTAATAGTTGGAAACTTGTAATATCTTTATACGTGTTGTTCACCACTTTCAAAAACTTTCTAGCTACTTTGGATTTTACATTCATAACAAAAAAAAATTTTAATTTCAAATTTTTAAAAGTAAAATTATGGAGAAATTATTGCATTTTCTTTTATTTTATATCTTATTTATTTACAAAGATTTAACCTATAAAAATATATATACACACTTTGTGGACTGCTTTGGTTAAAGACGCGTTTAAGTAAAATAGTAAATTTTTTACGTACTAGCCATAATCATCCATTGCACTAATACCTTTTTAAAAAAATACTGCAAAATTTTTGAAAGAAAAACCACACCCGAGAATTTTGCCACCCGTCTACAAAGAGCTAATCACCTGTTCGTAAAAACTTCAGATAATATTAAAACAAGTTTTTGTTTTGAAATATTGATCACAACATTATAGCTAATAGCAGGTAGTCTTGCCAACGTTTTGGATGAAACATGTTTTTGAGTAATAACAAAAGAAAGGTTTGAAAAACATATCCTTAAAATATAAATAAAATATTCTTCCTTGTAGAAACAACTAGTTTGACCAATAGAAAAATTGCACGCTCGCTAATTGCCTAGAGAAATAAGGCTGTTTACATGAATCTGTAGTCAACGGTTTTATTATGGATCATTTTCTATCGAGATCATATTTAGATCAGTGTTTCATTATATATAATGTTTAGACAATACATCGTTAGAACAAATTTTTTTATAGCAATGTCTTCCTTGCATCATATGAAATAGGCCAGCCCTTTACTCCTTGAATGCGAAAACGCTTGCTTTCATTCACTGGGATAGCAGTAATATGGAAATAATGTCGTAAAAAATGAATAATAATTTTGCATTGTTTTAGCTGACTTTGCCTCTCTTCATAAAGAAAGGTAATCTTAAAATCATTTCTCTCTCTTTCTGAAGTTTAAGCTTTGATGAACAAAATGTTTCGACAATAATGCATTTCGGCTCTTATATCATTCAATTTCATTTTCATCAACTACGCATGTCTGTTTATGTCTTGCTTCTGAAATGACGTACTTGTATTCTGAATTAGCTATATTGGATTGGAACAAACTTTTATTCCAGTTGGAAATCTCAATGTGGAAAGAGAAGCAGAGCAAACTCTATTCCATATGAAACAATTGTAAAATTTACGTTCTTTATTTCAGCCGAGGCCAAATTTAGCTAAAAACAAATTCAAGCTATTTTATTTGTTTGACCAAGTCTACTGTAACATCCGCTAGCTCATATGATAATAAACTCTGCAGGTGCTTTGCTTTGCATCAGCAGTTTTCTTTACTAAACTACGCCTTCTTATCATTAATATCTTTGAACAGAAATCTTTCTTATTCTTCAGATCGGAATATTTATGGCAAAGTGCATTTTTATTCTTTTTCTATGGACTCTGTCAGGTAAAGATAAATAAGTCAGAGAACAAAATTGTATATATTAAAGCCAATGTATATTTTTTCTTTTGAATTGAGATCGCGCTCGCTTTATTATTTTTTGAAATATATGCCAATACTATTTTTAAGTTCGTGTTTATATGTAGGTAAGCCAAAACATCTTGATATTTTATTTCTTTTGCAGTGGGAAATAGTAATGGAATTCAAGAAAGTAAACAAACAAGAATTACAGTTGAACCTGAACCAAATGCTTACACCATTTCATTCTTTAAGTTACCAAATAGAGCTACCAACGAAATCTTAAAAAGTCATAGAAAAAGGGATAGCGATGGTATAGAGAAAACTTTTGCATGTTTTTTTTATGAGCTACACATGAGTATACTCTGTGATCTTGATATTCTGTAAACCACTAGAACTCCTTATGATTATGCTTAACCATCACACCACAATTGCCTTATATTTTAGAAACAGATGATTTTTTATCGGACAAAATGAAACCAGGCATAATTTGGCTACTCTTCAAGTTTTTCGAATGAAGCAACAAATGACTTTGCCTTATATCATACCAAGCATATTATTTTAACATGATATTTTTTTCAGATTTGTCTGCTCATGAGAAGATAAAAGAAGATTTCCTTAATAGTAGCACTTCTAAAGTTGTGCACCCACTCAAAGAACGTAAACAAAACATTAATTTATCGACTAATATCACCAAATCTATAAATAAAAATACGATATTGGAAAAGGAAGAAAAGAGAGAGAAAGGTCTTTCAAGGGCTGAAAATTCACAAGACGTTGACCTTGATCGAGGCAAAACGACAATTAAAACGTTGGAACCTTGGAGTCTTGGTCCACTTCATAACATGATACATTTTAGTGGACATCAACTTAGAAAAAATGAACAGTAAGTGTATGTAAATCCCATTACCGCAAGCCTTATTAAAACAATATAACTAAAATATAGCCACATATTCTATTTGTAGTAACTAATCATATGAAATATTATAATGAAGCTGCGTAACAATATTACATGCCTAGGATATTTGGTGTCAGAAATATTTTACGTTTTGCTACAGCTGTACTTGGACTGGAATTTGAAGTGCATTTTGATCATAGTTTGTTACTCGTTAAATTTAATTTTGTTAATCGAGCTTGTACAATGTAATTTTTTATCGCTTATTTGTTATACTTGTGAATTGATCCTGACTTACTCATTAAAAAAAATGACATAGACTGACATAGTCTTTTATAATCTATATACTGAATGTTAATTTGAGTATTTACTGAACTTTATCTCTCCTCAATGTAATATAATTATGAAGAGCGCATAAAGATGTTGCTTGGATCAAAAGGTTTATTCTTAATGGAGAATTTTTAGTTTTCATGCATGAAGATAAAATTTACTAGGGAGCACGCGTAGATAGATGTGCCGTAATTAAGATTTTGTCATTTTTTTTGCACAATTTCATTCAGCACAGCGGAATCTTATCAAGAGGGCAGTATTAACCATCCTTCGCACACAATGTACCCAATGTGCCATCAATGTCCCAGAAATTCGTCGTACCAAGACTGTGTCAATAAGAGAACATTGAAGAGATGCAACAATGGACTGGACAATATTTGTTATACTAAGAGCTTTCAGAGTAAAACACGAGGACTTATTTATGAAATGGGTTGTTCAAATCATAAAATGTGTCAAAAAGCAAAGGCCAAACCCTGCAAAGGTGAGATGGATGTTCGCAAAGGTTGCTTTCTTGTGACATAGTTTTCGTCAATCAACATTATTTTGTGATTTCTATTCACAGGAGAAATAAAGAAATGTTTTGTTTGCTGTCAGTTTGATGGATGCAATGCACAAAGACACAACTATTCTTATTACCAAAATCGTAAAGAAGATGACAACCTTAAATATTCAGTGTTTGGTAATGCAGCACAATCAGTAACGTGTGATTTCTTTTTAGTGCTCGGAATGACGTTGCTTATTTTCATCATGCAAAAATAATAAAGGTAAATCTTTAATCAGATTAATCAGAAGATTGGATGAATAAGACAAAATTTTGTTAAAGAAACGAGACATGCGTGTATAATCTCCAGTGAGCTAATGAAATACACATTAGCTACACATTCGAATTATAAACGATATTTATCTTCCAATAACTTAATTATCGTGAGCACCATCGATTGGCTGATTAATAGCATGTAATCAATAAGAATTTGACAATAAATATTTATTAACTGTCAAAACAAAACGCAGTTATAGAAAAGTTACAATTATCTACTTCCAGAGAAACCATATTGAGAAACCAATATGTGGGATGGCCAAAATTGATGAAATTATAAATGAATTTTGTTTCATGTTACTGAAAAATGAATAGATCAAGGATGGACATCAAATTACCAAGAAAACAAATACAACAATTAAATGAATAGACAATGTTTATCAGTCACGTGTTTTGTTAAGAATACATGCAGTCTTAGCATTCTATATACACATTTTATAATTAGCCAGCTTTATAGCTACTAGCTTGAATCTTTCGCTTCCTATTTTCATCTTCATAGTTTGGCCTGAATTTCACTTTTCAGTAATGTTCACATCAAATGTGACATGCTTTTCAATGGCCTTGTTACAGATTTTCAACATAATTTTCATGCTTTTGTCGTATGGTCAGCGGTATATCTTTCAGCTTCGTGGTTACTTGCTTACGCCTTTTTTTTAAAAGCTCATCAATCAACGACTTTTTGTATTTTCGCCATTTTCGTTCTAGCAAAAAACATTTGAAGGCTTGTCTTAGGCCAGGATATGACGACTCTAAATTTACGCGCAGTCTGCTTAACTCTCGCCCTCCGTCACGTCTTTGAAAAACAATTTGGTGAACAAGAAGACACTCAACCTGAGTAAATTAAAAGATATTCATTAGACTAACTAAAAATGTATAACGTATCGTCAATTCGTTAAGGTACAGGTTGTGTAGAACCACAACCCTGAGAGTGAAAGAACAATGGAATTTTTCTCATGTTGGTTGAAATTTTGTCATGTTGGTTGACACTTATATTGTGAATAAGGAATTTTGCAGTCCCTGAACACAAAAATATTTGCACACTGAGAGTAAGAAAGTTGCAGTAATGCGCTACTGTAGTCATAAAGGTTAGCAATGACAGAGAATCAAGCAGTGCTAAATAAATAACATGTTTCTGATATAAGGTTCTTGTTGCCGAAACAAAAATCTTTCTTTACCTCGTCATCACTAATTATAAATATTTTACTGAGATCTTCGCCCACTCCAAAATATCCACCAACATTAATTGTCATTAAAACCAAATAACGCTTTTGCAAGGTCTGATTTTTTGACAAAACTGCTGTTTTTTCAGGTGGCACTAGCGAGAGACGGCATTTTCCAAATGGTAATTTTGTTTTGACTGCAATAATCTCACGAACTATCTTGCATCTCCCCGAGTTCACAAAATATACATAATCAACTTCTTTCATTATCATCTGGAAAAAAGTTCATCACACTTAAGAGTTCTTCTTACGGTAATTATTTTTAAAACGTAAATTCATCTATAAATTTATCTTCATCTATAAATTCATCTAAGGTGCATACAATCACCAAGTTTCTTGTAATAATAATAAGCCAGTAAGCCGACTTTGACGAATATTTTTTGTCTGCTGTGCACTGGCGTAGCAGCACAAATGGGGACCCGTGGCAAAACATTCAAAGCTCCACTCCTTCGATTACCATATTAAAATGCAACAACCACCATCATACAATACCATTAGTACGAATCAATGATAATGTACTTTTAGCCTCAAAGTATGATTGGGCTGTTTAGCCTTTAAATTTAAATTTTTTACAGGTAAGTTTATGCCGTGCAAGTTTCCTGTTTTAATCCATTGTATAATAATAATCTTTTAATTTGATAGGGGTCTCTTTAGACCAAAGGGCCCGGGGGTTCGCCTACCTGAGCCCACAGTAGCTACGCCAGTGATGCTGAGATGATTGGTATAAGAGGAGATTACATCTTAATTGCAAGCTATAACATTATTTCTAAAACTCCTTTTATTTCGTCTAATAGTTATATTGATTCATTTAAAATAGTCGAGTGTCAGTTACAGCATTCTTACCGAGTTTTTGGCATACTTCACAACTTTACAGTGTGTAGAAGCAGAGCGTATTTCTTGTAAAGACCAATTTTGGAAGTAACATAACTGTTTGAAGACTTTTAGTTTCTTTTCATGGTCGAATCGTTCGCTTTTTTTCATTATCTAAATTTTACAGAAATGAACATAAAAACATTTGCATCAATGTATCTGTTGAAATAAACAGTGCATATCATATAAGCTCATACCTGGTTGAAGTCGTCTCGATCAATTTTTAAAAACTCACAAGTAGTTTTACAGACGACGGTAGCGGTACGTGTACTGCTTTGTAGTAGCGCTACCTCCCCAAACGTATCACCTTCCGACATTTCGCCTATACACTAAACAAGAATTTCTGTTCAGCCAGATAACTATTTACGCGCAAAATATCATACCCAGTGGATGAGTCAAAATTATGTCATAACAAAGCAAGAGAGTACAAGGGAGTGGGGTAAGGTAGGAAGCACGTGTATAAATTTTCTGTTTAATAAAAGGCCAAGTATGTAATCTTGCTTGACATGCATGCTCCCTTAGCAAGCAGCAAGCTCAGATAGCTAAGCATGATTCTCCCCAAAACTGAAAATCTGGAAAAAATATTGCTTTTATTTTAAAAGCATCCAACTTTTTTGATGTGCACTCTGTAATTGAACCCCCCCCCCTCCCTTAAAAACTCTGCCATCTGCAAATATGATTTCTTGCTTCTTTCAAACTATATACGTGGTTCGAACGTAAAAAGTATACCTGGACATGCTTTTCATTCGTTCTGGGATCTTTCTCTTCTCTTTGTACTACCACAGTACCAGATACGATGAAATAAAATGAGATGCCAACATGTCCTGCATGGTGAAAAAGAGCACGTTGTCCAAAAACTGTTTTTGTACAGACTAACAATGGGTCACATGCAAGTTTTACATCATTAAGTGCCACATTTGAGTAATAGCGCTAACTATATTCATTTTCTGTTAGCGAGCACTAACAAAAAATTCAATGAAACTGCATTCTACCATGTGCTACAACAAGCTGTACGTGAATTTAATTTCAGTGTGAATTTCTTGTGAAAACAAAATATTTCTAAAAAAATGAATGATAGTAAATACCCTAAAATTTAAATACCAGGAATAAACCTTGGCTAGGCTATTGATTATAATATGATTATAATATCGGACAAAAGTAGAAAATATAATCAGTATGCGTATCGGCCATCATCACAACCTAAAATCTATAAGATGGCTGCGAAATGTTTTGCTCGAGAAGTAAAAGTTTTGAAACTCATTTTTCCTGAAGTGCTGGCTAACAATTTACCTTGCTGTATTACTATTCTTCCTCTCTCAAATTTCTCATACAAGAGCGCTCTCGACAGCTCTGTTTTCATTGCAAACGAATATGGTTCAAATGCTTTGATTTTCATTACCAACTTTTTCATTAATGCCAAATCGTGTAAGTTTCTTTTCCACGGTAATTTCACCAAAGCAGACTTTTCTTCCGATGACAGTGATCGAATTGAGCGATTATGACACTTGAACGCTGAAAAGTGTCAATACATTAGTCACAGATGACATAATTAAGCCAGGACTGGATTAAGAGGTGGGCCTAAGTGACGTCTACAGAACTAATGCCAATCATCATGTAGGACAAAAAGTGTTGAAATACGATTAGTTCCTGACCTCAATGATATTGCAGTTTAGTCAATTATAATACCAGGTGAAATATACGAATAATAGCTTTTGAATAGTGCAAAGGATATTAATTCAACAATGTGGTAAAAGGCTTTTTGTCAAAACACTCAGCTCAACAACCTACAAATGATAGGGGTTATAAGACAGCCCAACGAAAATGCAAAACGTATTTAGCGAAATAACGTATTGCTAAGTTAATGAATCGATAAAAATGTCCAAGTCCTCCCCCAATTGTTGTGATTTGGCAAAACCACTGGACTGTACTAGTAATCGTTTTATACCTAAAAAAGGTTTTTTCGACCATGTTCAACAATATTGCTGTCGACAAAAGCATCAGTGTAAAGATCAGTAAATGAGAATAGTAATGTACCGTATACAACTTACCACTGACATTAAAGGTCGGTCGCCCATCGTTTGCCGTAATTTTCTTTAATTGATCATCTTGTATCTCTTCATTTGCATCTTTCATCCACTTGCAATTTTTTCCTACAATGTTTCCCACGGTTTTGAATGACTTGTGTTTTTTACTTGAAGTAGTAATGTTTCCCAAGCGCCGATTTTCTGCGTTGGTATCATTGTCCTCCTTGATTGGAGGCAATTTTATGTTTTCTTTTGAGAACATTCTCAAAAACTCATGTTGCTATTTGATTGAGAGACCATATTGTCTAATTATTTATGACGTCAAGCTAATTTACAAATTGAATTTCCGTCAACGTTACTAAAAGACCTAAGCTACAAAAGTTAATAAAATAATTTTTACTTTCAATAATTAGCTAATACTTTTCTCCACAAAGCATCGCCTTTTGCAGGATAACATTTTTTGGACAACAAAAAGCTAAATGCAATAAAGAGATGTAGTGATATGTATTACTGTTTGCTTTATAATATCATACAAGTGTGTAATCCACAATTCTTGCCTTATGAAATACTTCAAGTAAAAAAGACGAAGACAATGCTTTAAACAAATTGGTTTTTAGGTTTTCCAGAATACAATAAATAAACTCACCAAAGCCGAAATTAATTGGCAAAATTTCAAAGTAAAGATATCGTGTAACTTATTACAAACAAATTTTTACTTTTTTGTTTATGAATTTTTAATCAATAAAACTTAAGTTCTAAATTGTTTTTAAATTTAAATAAATCCAAAAATAAGCTGATGTATTGAATTTTCCTAACCTGAATCGGCTTTTATAAGTAACTAGGACAATAAAGTAATATTTTACGTAATTTAGATTTTTACTACAATTTTAAAATCACATGACAGAACTACACATCTTAAAGGCACTCCATGTAAAAAATCCTATTCAAACGGTGTATCTTATTTGTAACGGTTGTATGCCTCATTTTAGTGCATATAAAATGAATTCGAGCATTATGATTTACTTAGAAATGTATTCTAACTAATTTGCTGGATGCAAAAGCCCACATGCTATAATAGCGCATGCTTGAACATATACACAAATTTGTTAATGACATCACAATTAATGCGCACGGAAATCATTTGTATAACTGAGGCGAAAATCAAAAAAATTTTTAATCATCTAAAATGTCAGAGAAATGTCTACCATCAACAGAGGGTGAAACAAGATCTCCCTTAGAAAAATGGAGACGTGTTGCTAAGCGTGTTTGTTTTCAGAAAAAATGGACTAAACAATGTATAACCAAAACACTAAATGTTGCAGATGGGGAAGGGATGGAAGAAAAAGATGTTCAGCAAATTCCATTCGATGCAAATAGTAAGTTAATTTCAACTTTCAAACTGTCACACAGTTACGTCAGTAGTTTAAGTTACTCGATCAAAATTGAAATTCTGAAATTTAAAATGTAATTAGAAAACCGAATCGTACACAATCAGTACATGTTCTTCAATCAAGGCACTTGATTACAGTGAATCTTGGACTAGATTCGTTTTGCACTAGACCTGGTAGGCCACTAGCGAAGCCAGCCTGCCCATTCCAAATTTTTTTACAGATTTGTTATTTTTACTGTCATTGATATAAAATTCGGACAAGCTACGCCAAAGACTTGGATAAGTTCTGCCTTTAAAATATTTTTATTATAATAAAAATTTTACAATTTTTGGCAAACAAAGCTCGAGAAAGGGAAAGCAAGGGAAAATCCTCATGCTTTTCGAACATAAAAATAATTTCATCAAAAAAATCAACAAAATAAAATGCATTTAAATAAAATTTGCAGGTTATAAAGCGTGTGTTCAATCAGGACGACTCAATGAGCAAGCCAGAAAACTGCTTTTCAAACCTCCCACCGAACGCACATCGAAAGACGTAGAAGAAATATTTCAGGCTCTAGACAAGCTTAAATGTTTTTCAAAATATTCCCGTGCGGTAAAACGAGGTCTAGCAAAGTTTGTTTACTATGAGGAATATTCAAAAGATAGAGTGATTGTTCAACAAGGTACCACGTCATTAAAAAAAATAAATTTCATATTTAATTCATGCCAGGCATGTTGCCAGAACGACAATTGAGGGGAATATAGTCATATGTTCATTCTATAATGCCTAAAAAACAATGGATTACAAAAGAAACTAATACGGGATGTCATGCATATATGGTCCCCCAATTATCGTTCTGGCTATGTGCTTATTTGGTACCTTTGATAAATATATACTAGGTATAAGCACAGTGAAATATCATGGTAATAGTCAAACCACTATGTCGTAAACTAATTCATTTCCTTTAATATCAAAAGCTAGTAAAGCAATCAATACTATATTCAGAGAGCAGAAAGGAAGGGCAGGAGCATGCCCTCGCAGTGTCCATAAAAAAACAATTTGTTTGACGAAATTCATCTTTTTGAGTATATTCTTGTACTATTATTCTGCCCCTCCCACTTTTGAACAAGCCCCGAAGTCAAGTTTATTGTATTTGTTTTCTTTCACGTTATTTCAAGAATATTTATTATTTTTCAATCGAGCGTAGGCAATGATCCTCACGAAACACAACACAAAATGTGTTGAAACTTGGAACTTTGTATTTTCTTGTTTTAGGCTATCCTGCTCTTTCATTTTATTTCATTCTTCAAGGCTCAGTGAATGTGGTTATAGAGGAAGCATACATGAAGCCAGGAAAGAAAAATATGATAGTAATTATAAATATTTGGATTTCAAACAATATTAAAGTTTGGTATTCACGCCAGCATAAGAACCTGGAGGGTGTGGGTGTCTACCAGTAAACCGTGCATTATGGGGACCTACACAGGTTCCAGACCCCCTTTTACAGAGATACTTGTTACGTAAAATTTAAGGCCCCACAAAGTGCAAAGCTCTGCTTACATAGACAAAACATATTTTTTTTGGATAAAATCACATTTACTTAGCAATGAATTATGTTAAGATTATTGGCGAAATTGTCGCTGGCTATTCATTTGGTGAGTTGGCTTTGATTCACGACTCATTCAGAGGAGCTTCGGTAATTTGCAGGGAAAAATCGCAATTTTTACGTTTGGACAAGCACGATTTTGATCAGGTATAGAATGAATGTCATAGAGGAATTTAGTATTAAGAGAGAAAAGAAAGAGGATTCATAATCTTCTTCATCAATAAAAATCTTTAAGCATTGATTTCTTTAGGTTCTTCGTGAAACGTACGAAAAAGAATGGAGTTTAAGAATGAGCTACTTAAAAGGAATTCCAGCTTTTCAAACCTGGTCAAAGCTTGAGCTAAGATCCGCAAACAATGCTTCAAAAATCGCACACTACCCGGACAACACTGTAAGTAACCAAAAGTATGTTTAATACTGAAAAATCATTAACTATAAAGGCGCAAAACGCATTGACGCAATACATGAAGTACAAACTTAAATCTTCAATACTTTTAATCGAAGAAACATTTTGGCAAAATCATGCCATCCTTATTGTGAGTTAAATGTTCAAGCGTTTATAGGTATTGCAGGAGCGTAAAAGGCTGCGAATGGGGCTCGAAAACCCGCAGCTTTCTATACATCGTTCACAACTCTTTTTAGTAAAAAATTTCTTACTGCAACAATGTTTTTGCGAAAGTATGAGCCTAAAACAGCAGAATAACCTCAAATTGTACAAATCGATCCCGTAAGGCGAAACTAGAGTCACATAGCTACCTATATTCATTTTATTTATTGATCCTCCGGATTGTAATATTTCTAAAAAAATGAAATGCAACTGTCTGAATTTTTTGAAACCGTTATCAAAAACAAATGACGGCTATAAAATAATTAAATTTTTGTTACATGCATTACGACGTGATTTTTCTCATTTGTTGACTAGCGTTGTGCGCGTTTTCCTTTTTAACTTAAGCCTCGTTAAATTGCTTTTGGCATTTTACAAAACTTGAGCTGTTTTTCTTGGGCGATTGCTTTTAGCTTTTTTGCTAAAATTGCGTTAAGTGGACAGCTAGAATAGTTTCAAAGCCAATGAAAACGCACTATTCTCCCGGTGTGACGTCATAAGATAAAAAAAGAGCTACGATAAAAGAGCTTCAATTTGCTGTTAAAGTTGTTTTACAAATATTTACCTGTTACAGGTTCTGCTAGATGAAAATAATACTGATAAGTCAGAAACGGTGTATATCATAAAATCTGGAAAGTGTGTTTTGGTTAAAAAAATTGAACTTATAAAAAGGAATTTGCCGTTTGGTCGGCAAAAGTACTTTCTAGCACCAGAACAAAAAATTGAGAAGCCCAGCAGATCAAAAGTCAATGAAAAAAAATTGACTTTCTTTGTGGTCGTCAAAACACTTAATCCAGGGGACTATTTCGGCGTAGGTGAACCAATGGAAGATTTGTATGTCATTACAAAAGAAAAGGTAATGTAGATACACCATTTTTTAACATTAACTACATATGCTACATACTTCATTTCAACTGCAAGCTTTTTTCTATGACCTTCAAAGCATTTAGGCATCCACTGGTTGAATTAATGGTTCTTCAAGAGTAAAAATCATGAAATTACAATTCGGTTCACATTCAAGAACGGATTCATTTTTTCTTAAAATATACAATACGAAAGTGTATCGAAAAACAAAAAATATATGACATATTATATTAATATGAAAGCTTTTCTAGGAAATATGAAGTTGCTTTCCTAACATTCGTGTTTCGACAAATAAGCAGTTAGAGAAACAATGCTTGTCATTGCGAAATGTTGAAGAAAAGCTTCTTATATAAAATGAGATTTGTTTATGTATTACCTTAAAGGCTGAGTTAATGTTGATCCCAAGAATTATATTACAAATACACAATCGTGGAAAAGTCATAAAGGACATGAGGGCTGCTCTTGTAGTAAACAGTTGGAAACGTGAAGAAATTTTCAATTCGTTTATGTTAACGAAAAATTGGGATGTATACAAGAGAGAAGAGGCACAAAAAATTGTTCAACGAAAACCAAAATTAAGATCGACAAGAATTGAAGATATACCAACGCATATTCGTGAAAACCATCCCAATTATTTCTCATTTTAATGGGTAATAAATTGAACAGTGATTTGTATGAAGTGTTTGGTTAAAATCATCTACTAATGTTCTGACATCCTGTCAAAGCTTACTAAAATAGTGAAAGAAGTTTGGAATTACCATGAAAATGATCAATATAATAAAATTATTCCTTGGAATATATATATATGTTATTTACTGACTGGGAGGTCCGTACGGAAAAAATATTTTTTAAATACGGACTGACCAAAGCGTATAGTTCAAAATCGCCAAACTTGCGTTATTGCAAGTTAGTGCCTCAAAATTTACGTCGTTGAGTGGTAACAGAAATCGTTACTAAGTTGGGAAGCCCTCCCATGCCCACCCTTCTTACGCCATTGCTTATAACAAAATCAAAAAAGTCTTCCCTAAAACATGTTTTATCAACAGTCTCGCATGACGCGTAACTTTGCGCGTGTAATATTTGGCTTCAAAAAATTAGTAGGCTTTTTATTACAGATAGTCATCCATCTATTATAGTTCAGTGGTTTTAACCCAATGTCTTTTGTTATCTTAATTATGGCAACTTGCTCTTAAACTGAAACCCAATTATAAAGATGATCAGATATTGATAAACGATATTCAACTTAATATATATTTTAGAAAATCTATTTTAATGTAGCTATAACGAACCATGTTCCGATGTTATTAGATAAAAATCGACTTAAAATCATAAAATTTATGCATCTTACCGTACTTTCATATAGCTATCATTAGATACGTAGAATTACACATTATCGACTTAAAAAAGACGTCATTTGTGGCAATAGATAATATTTTCAGAAATCACAACAAATAAAAAATCTTCTTATGCCCGTAGCTTTTGTCTTTGGACGTGAATTAATCAATCCACTGTTTTCGGCGTCTGTGCTCACTGGGTTATCTGTTGAAATGATGATTTTGGGTTATTGTTATCATAAGCGTTTTTCAAAATGTGGAAAAAAGCTCATTATACTATATCACTATATTCTCGCGTTAAAAGCCTCCCTAATGCGAGCAGTTTTCCAATTGGGTCAATAAGACAAGTATAGTACTTCACATGAAATCAATTACGAACCCTGGTTATTTCGGTAGACACCATGTTAAACTGTAAAACCATTGTGCTGTGCAACTAGGCGCAGGTGCTGTATATTTGATTAGATTACTGGTTGCAGTTAGCCAGCTCACGTCTCCTATTGGTCAGAAAATGCAGTTGACTGGCTGCCTAATTATGAGTAATACGATATACGTCAAACAATAAATTTTAATGTTGCTCGTACAGTTTGTACCCTATACATTGGTATATACCAGATGCTAAAATATTTATACGTCAGCACAATTTTGAGAACTTTTGATAGAGAATTGTCTGTAAATTTTTTATACACCCTGTATTGCCTTATTAGCTATTTCTCGAAAATGAAATGAAATGTTTGAATTTGTTTTAAAAATGAATGACAAAGACCAGAAAATTTGCGAAACGTTTCTACATCGCACAACGAAACGTTGTAGATTGTAGATACATAATTTGGAAAGAAAATTCATTATTTAATATGTCTGCTTTTCGCATCATTCGCTAGATTTCCGCCTGGTGCACATTCGGTGCGATTTTTGACGATTATTGAATTTTGTTAGATACACAGCTTAGTTCCACAAACTTTACCAGTTAGCCAGCGGACAAATGTCAAAAAGAAATTCAGTACGAGTATGAATGCACAGTATTAATAAAATAAAGAAAAATTAACATATAAAGCAGAAAACTTGAAAGTTAGTGGGCAGAAGTCAGTTTCTTTAACTCTCTTACATGTCTTGTAACGTAGAGCGGGAGGCCTTGACCTAATAAAATCAAGGTTGGGAAGATAGAAGACTTTCCAAGTCTCCTTTGCCTTTCTCCCAATGCAGCATTGATTTAGTTGCGTCTCATTATAACGACAACCATGACATCATCCAGATCCAGTATTGGGATTCGCACACCTGCTCTTTAAATCAATTGTCCGCGTACATGTTCTCATTCGTTATTTAAAAATGTTTACTTTAATGTCTGTGAGATAAACATCATTAGCTAACTGTGTTTTCCTATACTAAATTCTACTGTTTTAGTGTAATGTTGTACGTTGGTCTATCTGATCTTACAGTATTCAATTTGAAAACAAAATTCAATCATTTTGTTTCATTTTTGTTTTGAGATAAGGCAATATAGGTTGATTTAATTGCTGAAAGTGAAATTTTACGAAAAAGGGGTGCAGCCCTTTGGGATGGGAATTGATTTTCACTTCCCAGTTCACTCATAAACTAATATTTACTTCCCCTGGTAAATCCTTTAAACTAGTCCATTGTCCAAAGTCAATAGTCTAGTACAGGTTTTAGCACATGCCCCTGGTAGGTGCAGTCGTGAAGACTGTTGGTGTTGGTGGTCGAAATGCCAGTTAACCTCAACCTTCTAAGCTCTGCACTAATCTACATGTATAAACATGTACCTGTCTAAAGCTGGCAGAGCACCATCAAGGAGTTAAGCAAGTGCTGAAGATGTTCAGGACGTTACCACATTATATGAACAGCTGGAAGTGTTTTAATTAAGACAATACATTATTATGACGTCAAACCTTAGTAATTTTAATATAAATATAACTGTAAATCAATAGAATAGTCATTCCTTGTACTGAAGATAGCATAATGTTTAAATGTTTACTTGTTTACAACAATGTTTACAGAATGCCAAAACATGTTTACTTTGAAAAATCTTGTTGTTCACTTGAAATGCCTGATATATATAGTGTTATTAAGAAATCTATGTGAAAAGCTGATTCTAAAACACAGTCAGTGTTTTACTGTTTGCAGATTATTCACTATGTAGTGTCAATGTAAGATGTTAAATTATATTCAGTGCTAATTATATTCAATGTTAAATTATATTCATTGTCCGTGAACTGGGGCTGGCTAACCATCGCATTGATATTACAATATACAGCAATTGTATATGAATAGCATGGATATAGGGAGTATATCAACAAAACTAGCAATGTCAAAGTTCAATTAAATGAAATGAAATGAAGATACGATCTTCGCAATTTGCTGGACAATTTAAGCAACTGTCTCATGAACCTGAAAAATTCAGGAAGATCGTATCTTCATTTAATTTCAAACACCGCACTGCATAAAACATTCTTTCATAAAACAATTTTAATCTCATTACCTTCTTTGTGTTCATTCGACTTCTCGCTTTGATGGCTTAAAAATAAAATATCACCAACGTTGACATAATTTAACTTTCGACCATTGCCAAGATACGTTACTTCATGTGCACACGATGCAGCAAACTTGTTGGAATAATTGATACGAAATAAGAAATGATAAATATTTGTCTTTAAAGTTATTCTCTTGCTGAATACGCCATCTTGTAAATTCAAATGATATACCATTGTAGTGTGTGTGTAATCATCGGTGAAATAATCATCCCAAAGGCTTCGAGCTGGGGCGAGAAGCAGTTCCACTGAAGCAATGTTTTGGAAACTACGTTTTGTAGTATGCCATATAAAATCCACTTCAAATTCGTCGTCCATAACGTCGTATAGTGATATAAATAATGTTACATATTGTTAAAAGGTCTATGTAAAATGCACAGCACAAATGTGCTTCGCGAGGTTCTGTCAAATGATTAAATGAAATAAAAACAACTTGTCTAAAGTCATATGATCACTTTGTAACGGATGATAACACTTACGAAACACAATTAAGTGATCTCACTTGCGCCCACATAGAGCAGACGCTTGAAGTGTTTTATGACAGTCTTAAACATATTTGATACTATTCAAAGCACACAACACTCTGGAAAGTTAAGTACCCTCCACGATATGTTGTACAGCTGGATTCAGGAATTTCGCTAGTACCTTCCCAAACGCAGCTGTAAATTATATTCACGTATTTAATTGTGCCCGACTGATTTCTTCTTGCCCAGTTGTTTCAAACCAAACTAATTTCTTATTAAAGCTACTTCTGAATCAAAAGTGAGTGAATTGCAGAGTAAATGTGATTTCCCATCCCGATCGGACGTATTTACAAAGAGTTTTCGTATTTCAAAGAGATGTATTCACAACAAACATATGCATTGCATACGCTAGATTCAGAGTTAACTTATTAATATTATGTATGTAATATGTAATTATTGTTGGTTTATAATTGTGGCTTAATTATTACAAATATTAATTGGGAGTCTCCACACACATGCGCAGTATGTGTGAAACGCAATCAAAATTTTAACTATCATGGCCGACTGGGAAAGATATTTTGATTCTGAAATTCCTCCCACGAATTTGGAAGAAACTCGTAAGACTATATTTACTTTTGCTGCTGGTCATGTTCAAAATTCCAGAAATATAGTGTACATAACGGTAAGCGTAAAGAAAATATGAAAATTCCCTTTTTGGTCTGATGTATGCACAACATTCCATGCATACAAATTTGCAAGTAGTATATAATTTTGCATGTATTTTGCTAAAAAATTTCAAATTTATTCAATATAACTTGAAATGTACAATGTTGTTGTTATTTTAACTGGTGTATTTAGGGAATTGTTTTTCTATTCACGAAATGAAATTGTATCAGACAGCGACGTTGAGTTCATTTTGAAAAAGTCCATTTGCTTATTAACCTTCAGAGCGTCTGCGAATGATATATTTTTGGGGATCTGTACTAAATATTTCGTTTGCTAGTTTTTCTTGGTATATTTATGTTGGTCATATTTTGGAAGACAAAATAAACTTACAAATGTTTCATATTTTAATTTCTAAGCATACCCAAGTACTTGGTTGTTTGGCGACTTTATTAAGGAACGTTATAGACAGAAAAAATGCGAACATTTAGCTTCTAAAACCATTTTGTTAACGCTTATTATGCATATTTCAACATTCAATTTGTCAAAACTGTAAGTGTTACTGTAATACGTAGGAAATCTAAAACATCATTCTCTTATCATTATATTCTTACAAATCGTATGAAACGATTTGCTTTCACTTAACCTTTGTTGATTCTGGCTTTCATTACCTTGAATCTAGGATATGCCATGCAGAGGTCTGCATTAAAAACATATATGTGATTTTTTTAACAGGCTAAAGTTTCAAATTTAATCATGCCTGCCAAGCAATTTTATATTTCCTACCACCATAAGAAAAATGAAACCGTTGAAGTCAAACATCAACAAAAAAATATTTTGTTCACATTATTCAATTGATCACTTTTCAGTCTGGTGGTACATCAGTTCCTTTGGAAGCAAACACCGTGAGGTTTATTGATAACTTTAGTTCTGGTTCAAGAGGTGCAGCTTCTGCTGAGTATCCTTTTTCAAAAAAATGGTGCTAATATCAGGGGCTCCAAAGCAGGTTTGCCAGGGGATATAATAACCTCCTCCCTACAATATTACCACCATTTGGAAATTTTAAAATTTGTCCCAAAATCCCCTATTAGCATCAAAAATTTGCGGTTAATAGCCCCTCCCCCCCCCCAAAAAAAATGCTCCTGGCAGATTAATCTGTAATATTGCATGTCACAAATATTAAACAAGATGTGCTTTGTTTAATTATGTACTCGTTTTGCATCATAGATTAAGTATTGTTACTCATAGAACTAACCTTTAGTACTAGCTTTGTTAACCATGCTAAATTGAAAACCATAGATACATATATACTATACTTAAAGCATTTTTTATCTTGACTAATTTTTACATAAGATATTTTTTATCACAAGGATATGCAGTTATATTTGTCTACCGTCAAAATTCTGCATTGCCATTCCAAAGGCATTTCACTTCCCACAATCCACTAGAATTTTTAACTCTTCATGATCTTCATGACCATGTCGAGAATCCTCTGCTTAAAAATATAACTGGTGAGTGTCAAAACTTACTTTTGAATTATGTTTATACATTTACATAGTCATCAACTACATCTTTTACATTGTATGTATCAATGTTTTTTTTAGTGGATGAATCAAAGATACCTATCCTCAGAGGTATTCTTACACAATATAAAGAGGTATATACATTAAGTTTTGTTGAAGTTACCTAGTGAGTTGATAAGCGCACATGAATCCTACATTGGTAAACTTTGAAGTTTTTGTATCACCAGAAAATGAAAGAAATCACTTGAAAATTGAGAAATCACCAGAAATTGAAAGAAATCACTCTAAATCTAGACAATCCATTCTTGAGGTTATTCCTGTATTTCATGATTACTGGCTGAACATCAAAATTATATTTTTAACATGTGTTTGTTGTTTCTACTACACATACACAACTCCCACAAGAGTAACTAAGAATTAAAAATGTATTTCAATGTTATTTCTCCAGCCTTGCTCATTTTTTACAGAAAATCCATATATTAAAGTATTACTTCATTCTTATTGGTTATGTGTTGTATAAATAATCAACATCAGTGATTCAATACAAACAATTATTTAAATTGTGTACTTCTTTGCCTTCACCATCAATTGAATCGGCACAACTGATAAAAAAATACCACAAACCCACAGACCATTTCAATTTTTATTAAACTTGAATGAGCTTGTAAAGAAAAAATTCACAAAACATCTTCACACAAATTTTAACGTTCCTTTCTAACGCTCCAAGAAAATTTAAAATCATGACTGGCGACTCATCAGAAATGACTTTCAATATTGCCATGTTGGTACTTTTCATTCTTAATGGATGACCTGCGCACCAAATCCCTTACACATATATGTAGAAAAAACAAACAAACATTTTAGCATATAGTTACATGCTGTTGGACTTATGCTTTTCAATCTTTTCAATGCAATAGGTGAAACGTAATGGTTGTTTGCTCCAAATTGAATTTTCAACTCTCAGCAGTTATTTATTCCTTCTGCGCATGTCAGCAGTAACATTGGCATCGTTTGGGCAGCGTGTTATGTTCTATTTAGCAGCGGCTGTTTCTGACTTCTATATACCACGTGACAATCTTGTAAGTCGTGTAAATTTTTTATGTAATAAGAAAACAATTGTGTATTGTATTTTTACTCAACAAATGCAGGACAAAAACGGTTAATCCCAATGGACGAGGCGATTGGTATTTTTCTTAATTTTTGGAAATAAACTCTCAACTCTAAAAAATCTCAGTAGATCACCTTGTTTAACCAATAGAAATGATGGAACGACTAACCACAACCAGAAATCTAATAAAATATACTTGCGCAGCAGTGCTAAGTGATCCATTTGTAAATTCCTTAGGCGTTTCAAACGTCGAACTTTACATAAGCCGAATGAATAAAGACAATAGAAAATGAGATAAAATTCCTCACCGTCTTTTTTTAATGCATTCGACGTTTGAAAAGGGCCTTATTCTACATATGCTTTCTGTGTCTCACAGGGCACCCAATTAGGTTTGTTTCTCTAATTTATGCATAAGGAGTATAAAAAAGAACTTTAGAAAATCAACCTGTTGTGAAAAGTTCCTGATGACCAATGTTAAGCCCACGTTATTGTTATGCACATTTGGCCGTTAAGGAGGCGAACTGTAAATGATTTTTTTGTTACACTTGGAAAGTTAGTTTATTTGGTAACTGATAAGGTTAAGGTAAAATCTACTGTTACAAGTTACAACATAAGAAATAATGTAATATTATGATACAACTTTTTACTTACACTCCCAATTTATTTATTATGAAAAGCGCTTTTTTATTAGAATTTATAGGGCTTAGTACCCAGCAAACTACTCTAACTTTCTTTGCTTGTTTCTACGTACAGCAATTGGCTGAAAGTCCAACCTATTCGTTTTTTTGTCTTCCATGAACAAGCGATTTTGCGTAGGGAAAATGTTACACATTTCCTGCGTATTTGATATTGCTTACCAGGTGCAACAACATTTTCTACAAAAAAAAATTAAAATCATTAAAAAACTTGTAGTATGGATCGCATCTATACATTTCACGTTCATTTCTTGCAGTCCACACACAAGCTGCAGTCTAATCAAGGTCCGCTCGTGTTAAATTTACAACAAACACCCAAGTTGCTACAGCCGCTTGTAAAGGAATGGTCTCCTCGAGCTTTTGTAGTGTCGTTCAAATTGGAAACAGATGTAAATATAATCTCTAAAAAAGCAAGGGAATCGCTCAGCAAAAACTCGCATCAGGTTAGATTGCTTTCGTATTTGAAATTCTTGGTAATTGGTAAATCACCATTAGATATATGGCTGTTCAAGCTTCCGCTATATAGTTTAATGTAATCTTATAAACTCTTCACTTCGTTAGACTAAACAAATGGTTCCGTCTAAAATTCACATGATGATCCTTTCAGGTCGTGATATCGAATATCCTTCAAACCCGGCGAAAAACCGTCGTGATTGTAACTGCAAGTGCAGAAAATGCTATATGGATGTCGGACAGCGAACTCGAGAAAGGAAAAGATATCGAAGAAAAGATTGTCGCTGATTTAGTAAAGAAACATAACGATTTTATCACTCAAAATTCTTTATCAGGTAATGCTGTGACGTATTAAACTTGCTATGCAACTATCCAGTCATAGACCTACGTATCTAAGTCATAGACCTACGTATCTAAGTCATAGACCTATGTATCTAAGTCATAGACCTGCCTATCTAAGTCAGAGACTCGGAGTATAGTTTGTTTTAATGATCTCCAGTAGCTGCCATGTATTTCTCGTTATACCATTAATGCACAAATTTTTTATTTAGCCATTATTCTGTAATGAATATTTTTTATTAATATTGCATTGTGTTCCAGCTTTACTTTATATGTTTTTTACTACCACACATCGATGACGAGCTTTCAATTTTGAGATGTTCACTTTAAAGAACGTGGCACTGCAATCCAAAATGATCTACACGCTAATATCACGTTTTTGCCGAACTCCCAATTATATGAAGAGCGACAAAAACAAGATCTTCTCTAGCTACGTTCACATAAACGTTACAACTGCATGACTGGTTTGGAAATGTTAATTTGCTAATACAACGAATTTAATTTTCTAATGTTCATTTTTATAAAATCGTTGTAACAATAGCAATAATACTTTTCTAAAGAATTATTAGGCCAACAGAATCAGTATTCACCATAACTCTTTCTTACAACTTTAAACTGAAGTAATTTTCATAAACACATACTATTTCTCAAACAAAAAACCCACAATATCCAAAATCAATCTTTACCTAAGATACAAAAAATGTGTGATTTTCAATCATTTATTCACCATGCAAGATATAAATTTCACTTGGTTACTATGACTTTTACAAATACGAGGAAACTTACAGCATTCATTTAGAGGTTAGCATCCTTTTTCCTATACATTCTTACCTAGATTTTTTGTATTGAGTTAGCTAATGGTTCAATACTGCAATTAGAAAACGAGGTCTCCTACTAAAAGACTACACTATCGTTCTAACCACTAACCATTCGAGGTTAACTCATATACTCAAAATATCCTTAAACTGTTTTTCACTGTTAGGCTAAAATGGCTCATGTAATGATCAGATTGTTGCATTTCTTCTTCATGGTATTTTGTCTTCAGGCAATGGAGATTGTGATCATCAGTGCATGTACATGAAACTTGAAACTTGCAAGTAAAAATCAAAGTAACCTTTTAACATGTGCGAACTAAGTTTCTATGCCAAATGTTCAAACTACAAGTTTATATGTTACATGTGTGAACTAAGTTACTATGCCACATGAACAAACTACAAGTTTATATGTTACATGTATGAACTAAGTTACTATGCCACATGAACAAACTACATGTTTAAATGTTACATGTGTGAACTAAGTTACTATGCCACATGAACAAACTACAAGTTTATATGTTACATGTATGAACTAAGTTACTATGCCACATGAACAAACTACATATTTAAATGTTACATGTGTGAACTAAGTTACTATGCCACATGAACAAACTACATGTTTTTATGTTACATGTGTAAACTAAGTTACTATGCCACATGAACAAACTACAAGTTTAATTGTTACATGTGTGAACTAAGTTAATATGCCACATGAACAAACTACATATTTATATGCTACATGTGTGAACTAAGTTACTATGCCACATGAACAAACTACATGTTTAAATGTTACATGTGTGAACTAAGTTACTATGCCACATGAACAAACTACAAGTTTAATTGTTATATGAACAAACTACATGTTTAAATGTTACATGTGTTAACTAAGTTACTATGCCACATGAACAAACTACAAGTTTAATTGTTACATGTGTGAACTAAGTTACTATGCCACATGAACAAACTACATGTTTAAATGTTACATGTATGAACTAAGTTACTATGCCACATGAACAAACTACATGTTTAAATGTTACATGTGTGAACGTTACTATGCCACATGAACAAACTACAAGTTTAATGTTACATGTGTGAACTAAGTTACTATGCCACATGAACAAACTACATATTTAAATGTTACATGTGTGAACTAAGTTACTATGCCACATGAACAAACTACATGTTTTATGTTACATGTAAACTAAGTTACTATGCCACATGAACAAACTACAAGTTTAATTGTTACATGTGTGAACTAAGTTAATATGCCACATGAACAAACTACATATTTATATGCTACATGTGTGAACTAAGTTACTATGCCACATGAACAAACTACAAGTTTAATTGTTACATGTGTGAACTAAGTTACTATGCCACATGAACAAACTACATGTTTAAATGTTACATGTGTGAACTAAGTTACTATGCCACATGAACAAACTACATGTTTTTATGTTACATGTGTAAACTAAGTTACTATGCCACATGAACAAACTACAAGTTTAATTGTTACATGTGTGAACTAAGTTAATATGCCACATGAACAAACTACATGTTTAAATGTTACATGTGTGAACTAAGTTACTATGCCACATGAACAAACTACAAGTTTAATTGTTACATGTGTGAACTAAGTTACTATGCCACATGAACAAACTACATGTTTAAATGTTACATGTGTGAACTAAGTTACTATGCCACATGAACAAACTACAAGTTTAATTGTTACATGTGTGAACTAAGTTACTATGCCACATGAACAAACTACATGTTTAAATGTTACATGTGTGAACTAAGTTACTATGCCACATGAACAAACTACATGTTTAAATGTTACATGTGTGAACTAAGTTACATTATTTTAATGGCAGAAATGAACGTGATGGGATACTTTAATTGTATAGTTGTGTGATATTTTCAGAGTTCAATTCGGGTACTGATATTGTCTTGGATAAGAACTTTCCAGTTTCAAGCACAAGTGGACAGGTAAAATTGAACGATAAGTTTGGATACTGCATGCCGAAGATTTTCCTTTCTTTCTCTCTCAATTCCAACTTGTTTTTGTCGTTATAACAACTTTCTACAATAATTTTTTTCATCTTCAGGTTATTTATTTATCAGAAGGTACACATTATCAACTTCAGAATAGAGTTGGGGAAAACTCAATTGGAACCAGTACGGTGCTGCTAAGTCAAAACGATACACATCAATTTACTGTGCCGAGTTCATTTACCTACAAAAGGCCAGGTGGCGTTCTGACGTCAACAGCCTCGTTGCACCCAGACAACAGCGACGTCATCAACTACACATCAAAATTTAAATTTTCCAATGACAACACAGCGTTGTCCGAGGAGATGAAAGAATTTATCGAGATGTTTAAGAACAAGCGAATGACTCTTGGTTATACGCAAGAAGATGTCGGTCTAGAATTATCTGGAAGTAGTGGTCCATGTTATAGTCAATCATTTATATCGCGCTTTGAATCGAAGCAACTTGCGGCAAAAGCATCAGAGAAGATGAAACCATTACTGCAAGCTTGGTTGGATGCTAAAGATGCTGATCAGGTTACAGGAGTAAGACTTTGCAAGAAACGTCGTAGAAGAACATCATTCACGAGTGATTCTTTGGCTATATTAATTGATCATTACAAAAGGAATCCCAAACCGAATCCAAGCGAAATATCCGCTATAGCTTCGCAACTGAACATTGAACCTGTAACTGTTAAAGTTTGGTTTTGTAATCGAAAGCAAAGCGAAAGACGTCGATCTCTAGGCAAGTCTAGCGGTGGTGAAACTTTGAAAGCAGAATTGGAAGCAAACATAACTAATAAAGGCAAAATCGATCCAAGTACTGAACAAGCTAATTCTTATTCATTGGGGCGTTTGCAGCCTCTTATTTCCGAACAAACACCAGTTACTGTCCTCGATGCGACTGTTGTACAGTTTCAACCAGGTGCAACAATAGCAACACACGAAGATACCTCAACGTCAAGATCTTATTGTGCTACTCCTGTTACTGTCATTAACACTGACCCTCATATAATGCAATATTCAGCAACAGCCGAAGGCGACAGTACAACCAACACTCATTCATTTACGACTCCTATTGCTGTCATGGAAACAGAGGTGCCTACGTCAGACAGGGCTTCGTCAACGACTGCAGTTCAGTAGCATCATGTTTGTAAGTTTGCGTAAAAACATTATGGTTGTTATATGAACGATCTTTAACAATGACCTATTTGCACCATGATTTTGAGGAAAATTGCTAGAAATGTTTTATTTTTGACTATTGGTGTGTAGGACAACATTGTTTAAGCTTGTTCAACAACCTATCAATATTTGCGCAGGTAGCCAATCGCAAAGATAATTATCTAAAATTTACTATTATTTCAGAAACGATCAACGTAAATGACTTTACATATCACGTTTTCGCGTTTTTTCAATAGTTTCCGGAAGTAAAGTATTTAAAGGCTGGTACTCTCCGCTGATTAATAGGTGAATTATTTCAGCACGATGGATACGAAAAATACGTTTTGCATTATAGTTTTTTTACTATGCGTTGGCAGCGTTGATTTAGAAAGTGATTTTTTCATACTTAGCAAGGAATCTTTTAGGAAAAACGTGATAATACGTACAAACTATCATGAAATGAGGACCCCGTACAATTCATTTCATAATATTACATAAAAGTGTCAAGCGGAGGGTATTTGGTCTTGTATAAAAAAAATTTTCTGTCATCGCCTGTAGGAATCGCCATGGACATCACTTCACGACAGTTAAATAATGGTCTCCAATAAGATATGTGTTGAGTTATTTTTTAGTGCAGCATTTTATTGATATTTTAAGCAGCTAAAAGGCTTTCAAAGACAAGGTTTTTTTACCAGAAACAAACTGTTGTTCAAAAATATTGAACACTAAAATATAAACGGTGCATGATCCGTAGTTGATATTTAGTTCACTAACAATATCAACGCAATGTTGATTAAATTGTAGAAAATGTAACAGGTTAATATATAGACACGCTTCTATAACTTGTTGAATAAAGTGAAATATTCACACTTCATGTGGAAGCACATTATTTCGCTGGTAAATGATTGACACATGTTCACCTATTTCTTATAGCTACAGTTCTATTAGCTATGGAGAAACTCTAAACTGCAAAAAAGAAACTGTATAGTGAACAAATTATGTACCTTATGAACATCATTGATTATCAATCAAGCTTTTTTTGCTCTCCAATCAAACATATCATCTATGTCGTCACTATCAGTATCGCTTTCATTATCAACTTTCATTTCTTCATGTATCTTATCGTCGTTTTTCTTATTGCTATTTTTTAACGCAACTTGTTTGTCCCGAAGAACATCAGCTCTAATATAATACAGTCTATAAAAAGAGAAATGTCGAGTTGAAAAGATTTTCCTTGGAAGAAGCAGCGGAGGGAGGGGGAGGAGGGGGTGTTGAAGATGATAAAGGTCCTTAGTATTGCCATAACCGATAATACAGAAACATCTTTTGAAACAAAACAAGCAATTCTGACATATTTTCTTCATATCTAGTCTTATTCGCTTCTCTTGTGACAGAGATGTCCACAACATACCTTTGTTCGCTTATTTCATCAAGAGCCCTATCAACTCTTGACTCTTCATCTTCTTCTAAAATAATTGCTTCAGAGACCTGTAATATATCAAATTTTACTACTTCGACTATGTTTATAAGTACATGTTTGTTGTACGTAGCTATATGCAAAAAACATTCACGACGTATTTCTTTGAAAAGTTATGTTATATCCATTCATTACAACAAAATCTTTTGTTTCCATGTTTATTTCACCATAAACAAATAAAAAAAGATGAATACCTGATTCTCGGTGCTTAAAGCTTTCTGAAATTTTTCCCACTCTTCATCTGCGGGATCCTTATATTCAACCTTTCGAGCCTAAAAAAATTGCGTTTAATGATGTACAATATAAAAGAGATACCAACATTTAAGAAAGATTCATTACTTTGGCGTCAAGTTTTGGGTCGTCAAAAAATCCTTCGGGAATAGCCTCTGGTTTTTGAGTTTCGTTCCTAAATGGAAACAAACCAGATTATAAATTATTACACTAGACCTGAATTGCCGACATAAAACATTTATGAATCGATGAACTATGGAAAATTGCTGATTCGTAAAAGCTACGTAACAACAAATACAACTTTATTGTCATGCATACCAACCATGCCCAAGTCATAGTGAACAATGGCATACTTCATTTAATGAGTTAACAATCTCATAAGTTAAACTTACAGATTTTCTTGTTTCGCCTTATCTATAATTTCTTCTGATTTAGGTTGTGAACTGTCAAAGAAATCTGTGGCAATATATGCATAAAACAAGGAATGAAAACATGCGCGATTTTTATTGAATGTTTTGATGAATAAGAGGGCTGTTATAGAAAGGCAGTAAGTATTTTAGGAAAAAATGACGACGACATGAGAGATGTTACTTACAGCTAAAGTGCATAAACCCAAATTTATTGGGTTTATAATGAACTATAGCGTAAAAAGTCATAAAATATTTTTTCTCAATTTGAAAGCTAGCTACACTTAAGTAAACGTCAACTGCGACTTTGAAAAGATATTGCCATGACTTTGTGAAAATTTTCATATTACTTTAATGACACACCTGAAGGTAAGCCAGCCATGTTGGAAGTGTTATCATTAGGACTTTCATAATCATCCACTATCATATCATCATTCTCAACTGACGACGTTTCTTCGAAGGAATTAGAAAGATTTCTACAAAAAGCGAGAGAGGTAGTCAACGATTAGATACATGTACATTGTTCACAAAGCTTTAGGGAACAAAGCATCGATACAGAACCATAAGACAGGTAGTATGAATTCAGTGAAAATTGAATACATAGAAACTTAGAACTCAAAAACTGAAAAACAAGTAATGAATCTTTAACTATACCTGATGCTGTCCAAGGCACTCGAAACTACAATACATAATATAAAGAGATTCGTACAATTTTTTTACAATATGTTAGGGAAGGGTTAAATAAACGTTTCTGTCAAAAAGACGTCAATATGACGTCTCTCACAAACCCACCATACCCAAGACGACAGGCTTATATCAGCTGTCAAAATTCTTGATACATATTGTTTATGAGCGTATATTTCGAGAAAAAAAGACGTCGTGTCTGTAAACCCTCTCCCTCCCAAACGTCATATTGAAATCTTTTTGGCAGTAACGTATATTTGACCCTTCCCTTAAGAAAATGTGTAGCAGTGAACTTACTTTTAGCTTTTTTGACAACAGGCTTTCTTTGTGACGTTTCAACGAACTAAATGTTTAAAGGCTTTTATGAAATAGAATGTTTGAATTATTTACAATAAGCTATCCATGCATCAAGGAATGTTACAACAGGAGAAAGAGCTATTTTCTATAACATCATAAAAATAACATGTTGCAAATCGACACGAATGACTCAATTAACATGTAGCTAATTATTTTAACTACACTACAAAGAAACACAAATAAAAAAAGTTACTGTACATTGTTGTCTTCTGCCCGTCTTTTATTTGATGATGAAGGAACTGTGTTGTTCTAAAAGATACCAGCAAGATTTTTTGTAGGTATGTTCACAAAATAATAAACATTAGTTGCGACACGAAACTCAAGATGGCAAGAGTACCACTACATGGACTAATATATATTACAAATACAATTTTCATCAGGTTTTGCATATTTCGCTTTCATACATTTCTGAATAACTAACAATATATGTCTCTCCTCAATAACAACTGCCCGCATTTACAATGTCTTCAATATCGGTATAAATTTCACTTATATACAACTAAAAAACTTCTAAAACCTTTTTTAACAATAACGTGTATTTTCTGACAGTTTTCCAAAGATTGGAACATCAACGAAAATCGAAGCCATTTCAAAACTTCTCAGACTAAAAATCATTTACGTCAGTTTATAAAAACTCGTTATGTATTGAAATGACGAGGTGTGGTACAACCACTCTTGGGAGTGAAAGAAGAATGGAACTTTCGCTATGTTGGATGACATTTGATCGTAAATAAGGAAAAACCATATTCAAAATCAAAAACACACCAATCAAGAGCATAAACAAAAAAGCCGAAACCTGGTAGCAAATGGTAAGAGAGCGTGGGCACAAAAATGTTTTAAAACAAACATTATGAGGCGCCAAGCCGGACAAATTTGTCTTTGAGAAAATATAAGTGCTGAACTTCAAATTTGCATTTTCTGAATCGAATTAATCGGTTCTCAACTCAAAATATATCTGATAAACTTAAAAATATATGCCGAAATTAAAAAATATAATTAAAACATATTTTTTTCGGAGAGCATAAATTTTTAGCATAAATTTTTCCAGTTTAGCATATGATGCTTTGCGGTCTTGTTTTTACCACGTGGGCGGTGAGCGTGCGTGGCCGCCATTTGCAATTGAAATAGATTCTCGAATCTCGATTGTTGAAGATGCTAAATCAAAATGAACTTCAGTTTCACTTGAATAACGCGTTACAAAGAATAAGTCAGTTGGAAAGTTCAAATACTACTCCTAATAACCTCATGAAAACAGCGAGAAAATTAAACGGTAATAATTCCGTGCTCTAGTAAAACGCGAAATATATTCCTAATTCCATCTTTAACCGATATGTCGGCAAACCAACAAACAGTAAAACTAATCAACGATTACCAATATGTAAGTTTCAAAGGGCTGTTTACATGATCCCGGGATAGCCGGGATTCAGCCGAGCGTTAAATGATTTTGGAAAATGGAAAAGATTTAATACTTATCATCAGATAAATGTTCTTCAGCACTTTCACAATGTTCTGATTTAACAACTATACGCATAACATTCAAAATCAAACAATAAATTTGGCCGAATTTGAGAATAACAACAGGAATTACTTGCGGCGCTTAACAAACAGTTGTAATTTTTTCGCTTGAAGTTTTGCCTCTTTTCAATGCGTCGAAATGATTTAACGCCTCACTGAATCCCGGTTAGCCGGGATCATGTAAACAGCTCCAATATATGCGCACCATGTAAGTTAAGCCACATGACAAACTTTTTAAGCAATGTGAAAATTGACATAGAAAGAGATTAAAAGTATTTAATTACTAATATACCTTTGTTACACTGCTAGATGCAGATGGATGTGATAAATTTCTGCCAGTCGTCTTTTCAGATCTTTCTTTACTGGATTTCAATGACACTAATTTCTATGGTTGAAAAAATATAGACGGAAAATTATGTAGCTATACTGTAATTACGACGATACAAAACATCCAAGGAGAAGTCGAAAAACCTTGCTACAGTCTACACTTTAATACCAATAGAACGTTCTCCGATGCTAACCATTCATTATGGCTGAGAGAGTATTCATCCTCATTTAGCAACGCATCGCTTTAACATATAATTGAGTTATTAAGAACAATTTGACCACTCGGATTACGTCGCCTTCCTCCTGCTCATCTTAAGACGAGTCAAGAACGGTCATCAATGGTTAAAGTCCGACGTTAACCGTGCGAACTTTAACCCGCTTCCCGCTCAGAAGACGACGTTAAATCTCGTCATCGTGGCTGTGAGTGTTGTCTAAGTTGAAAAACAAAGACGGGACGCATACTATAGAAATGATCCTATAAAGTACGGTCTTAATCATTGTAGGATTTTCCAGGTATTTTAATAAAGTATGGGAGACGAAATAATTGTGGTGTTAAACTATTAATGCGCATGCGCACAACAGAGTGAATGAAATCCGCCTGTGATAACTAATAAAAACATCGACACACATATGAAAAGTATCGTAACATGATCTTCATTCAGTTTCAAAAATGCAAGATGAAACAATTATTGTAATAATTGGATTTAATAAGACATAGAGGAGCATCAACCATTTAAGCTTTAGTTCGACACATAATTGTGACATGCTCAGCCTCCCAAAATAATAGTTATATCAGTCACACAATACAACAACCCTGGAAATTAAGTTTTGTGAAAACTAAATGTTTAATAATATAGTTACACTTGTAAAGATTTGATTTCATTACTAGTTCCTACCTCCTTGTGTTTCGCTCCACGTACGTGCGCATCCCACAAAAGATCGCTTTTTATTACCGCATTGCATAAAATGCAAAACAACTGTCCTGCATTATTGTACCTTAAAAATACAGAACAGAAATTGACATGTGAGGTACAGTAATCTATTATTTTTATTTTCAATGCATGTTTGATGTTAATGATTATGAATGGAAAAAATATTTATTTACATCTATACGACTTTATAGCCTAATACTAAATTTGTACACGTATCAATGACGTATGCGAACAACGTCAGCTAGAAGCGGCACACTTCCCATATTAAATAAAAATAATACTGAAAAACTTTGATATCTCAGCAAAATGCAAAAGGTTACTTATTTGAAATAACTGAAATTTGAGAAGAGTTTGAAAGAGGAGCGCAAATCCTAGATGCTTCATTGTGAAATTATCCAAGCAGATTTAAAGTACTTGGAAAATGCAGCTACCAAGTCAGCATAAAAAGTACATGTTGTGTTTAATGTAGATGCTCGCAATGTTGGTGGAGGGCAATATCTTTTAAACAATGTTGATACTTGCAATATTGAGAATTTAGAGACATGTATCGATACTCTTTGGTATTATGGGTAAGAAAGTGTGTTTTTACCTACTGACTAGCTGATTATTAAAAATAACATTTGTGGATGTATATAGCAATGGCCTCAATAATGGCAAAATAAGAATTTAAGATTTACAAAAAACCATCAAATATTATAAAAGAACATATTTCGCTAAAAACCAATAAAAAGCCAAAATTTTGAAAATATACTCAAAATAAAAGGTCCATGTTGAACTCTTTATTTGAGAAAACAAACAAGACAATTCTCATGTCAAAGTATTACTGTACAAAATTTGTCTTGTTTGTTTTCTCAAAGTTGGAGTTCAACATCAACCTTTTCTTTAAAATAGTTCACTGGTTTACAACTATAATATTACTATAGTAGGACAAGATCTTCAACATAACAAGTGCAGTTTAGGCAATTTGTGGTAACTACAAATGCTTTACAATATTAAAATTACACAAAATGAAACATTATTTATGTAGAATAATAAATTATTTTTATACATTGAGCTACTCAGTAATTATTTTCAAAACTTAACTTGATTGAATTTTACATAAAATTAGCTAAATGAAAAAAATCAGACAAATGGATAAATATCCTTTTGCTTTTTATTCAAAACAAAAGGTTCATTTGTAACTTAAATGTGATTTTATAAATGATAAAGACAGAAAATTAAACAACTGCCCTGGTTAACTGGTACAGAGGTTTAACTAGAACGTAATTTGTAGGGGGAATATTCATATATTCAGTTGTGCCTGACTGATTTCATTTGAAAGGCAATTCACTTACATCCGAGAATGTAGTGACAGCTTTTCTGAGGGGTGCAAGTGGTGCACTCCAAATTCTCTAGCACCCCATGAGAACAATTTTAAAATGGGATCATGTCTGTAGACAATTAATTAATATGGCAGTACTAGAGGCTATGAAAGACTAAAAGATGAAAGAAAGGTAGACCTTCTCATTTCAAAGGCAACTACATATTTTATACTATCACAATTTTCAATTGAGTATTACTATGCAACTTTTATAACACTTTCCTAATGCAAGGTTCACTCATCTGTAAGCCTAAAAATCCACAATAGCACAGGGCCCTTACAACTTTAGATAGGATAACAATGCACCCCCCCTTCTTCTATGAAAATATGCACCACTCCTGTCCAATGATCATTGATCTTCCTTTGTGAGGTATTGATGTTAAATTTTCAGCACTTCCCCACAACCTGTCATCATTGTATTTTTGATCTTTCAAAGAGACCAAGTATTGTACATGATTATAAGGCATGCAAGATTATCAAGATACAATACAAAGTACAAATTCAATGGCTGGTTTAAGATGAAAAGCATAGTAATGACGATAGATTGAACGATATATGCTCTAGTTCAATAAAACTATATCTACTAAAACGCAAATAAAATAATACAACGATATATACACATACAAGTACTGGCTCATACGGAAAAAATTTTAAGAGCGGTATTTTCTCCAACAGATTATTGAAGGAAAGTCATTCATTTAAATATTTGAATGAAATATCATAGAAGAGCCTTCGCTTTAAATGCTAATAAATATTATTTTTAAGTTTTTGGCCGAAACTCTTTAGGTATGTCATTTTGACAGAGACATTAGTAGACATAAAGTCAGAAAATAATTCTGAACAATACACTGAAAACAACAGAGTTTTATTAAACGCAATTACGCTTTTAAATACTAGAAGCTACAACACCTTGCGAGTGGAGAGTCGATTTTTTTCTTAGATTTACTTCTTTGTTCTTTTATTAAACTTCGAAGATCTTTTGACTTTGTTTTTGCTGCCATCTTGTTTTATATCAGCTGATCACAAAAATCGCGGGCAACGCTCCACAACCCACATCTCAAAATCTAGATACGGAGACATTCAACATCATGTTTGTAAATGATGATCGTCCAGGTTGGTATAGTCCTGAGAAGGACTGTTTTTGTTGTTGTTGACTGACGTTTCGACAACCTTAGCGGTAGTCATCTTCAGAGTCAAATGAGGAGTAAACGTCAGGTTAGCCGTATTTGTAATCTGGTTCTTACGTCATTGTATCATGTGTACAGGAAATGTGTAACCTGGACGATCTACATTTACAAACATGTAACGATACTCCCGGGTTCAAACCATTTACATTCAACATCGATAATCGAGAATCGATACTGATCGATACTAATTAGTAATTGTGACAAATGAGATGAAGAATAACATGTAGTCTTAATTACAAGTCTGGAGTCGGTTGCACGAAGCTCGGATAGCGTTATCCACTGGATAGCAAATTTTTCAGAAAGTTCATAAAATCCCTTATAGGAGAAAAGTAAACGATTTGAACTGTGCAATCACTGAAATAAAATATTGTTTTGAAGAGTACAAAATTTCTTTGTCATAAGAAAAATATAAACACCTTTTTACAAGTTTGAAAATTTTTGTTATCCAATGGATAACGTTATCCAGGCTTCGTGCAACCGGCCCCAGTTCTCCCGAATTAATCATCAAAAGCAGCGCTGGCATCATTGATTTCTATTAATTATAATACATGTCAGTGGCTGGCATCAATATATACATAACAAGTAAATGGAAATACCCGACAACTACAATTTTTCAAACAAGAACTTACACAAGAACTGTTGTTTTTTTTGTAGTCAGTGGCATTGCAAAACGAAACTCTGTGAGAAAACAAACTTGGGCTATCCAGGATTAATTTAATCATGATTATAGAATCATTCAATAAAAGGATGCTAAAAATATGGGATATTATGGCTAAAGCCGCTAAATTTGGCGGCTTTATCATAAGAAGTTTCAGTAATATTTTGACCGAGTTTTTCTAATTCACAAAACTCATCACGATTGATGAAATTTGACATAGTTGCCAACAGAAAGTCTTGGTATCGCTTTGTCTTGAGTCACAATCCGCTGAAGATGGATCCCAAAAGGCACCTAAGAAAAAATAAACAATCACCACAGAAATGTCGGTGAGAACACTGAAAAGCTTTACAGACTTTCAATGTTAATGAAAAAATTACTTGTATGAATTATCTTACATACTTTTGATCCTCTTATTTGAGCTAAAGTTCGCATGGGTTCTTTTGTAAGTTCACCGCTATCCGGGTTAACTGATATCATTCGGCAGCGAAAACATAAGCCAACACACTGTAAAAACATAAAAGTACATTGCTAATTTCATATTTTATTCATGCAGTCACGGCTCTTGGGTAAAAGCAAAAAGCGCAATCTCAACTTTGCACTTTAGTTTACGTTGAATCTTGAACTGCCAAAACTGTTCGTGAAAAGGTGGAGTGCAAAAATGTATATTCATTGAAATTTTTCTCAAATTTTGAAAAAAAGTTTTATGAAAATTTCATTTTCAACGGGAGTAGATAATCAGATAAATTTGAGAAGCAAAACAGTTATTATCCTCATTATATTTGAAGGGTAATCCTCATGTGGCATCGTGTAGCTGTAGCAATTTAGTTTCAGTTCTAAAAGAACGTAGACGTAGACATAAAATAGTTACCTCAAATTTAACGTCAGAAATAGTTAAACTGCCCCAAGTCTCTTCGACGTAGGCTCCAATACCAGAAATGATTATGTTCGGTCGAAATCGATAAACAAGGGATTCCACCGACATTTCACAAGTCTAAAAGGATAACAGAAATAAATGCTCGATTAATCATCTTCTATAAAATAACGTTTGAGTAAATAGAAAACAGATGCATACAGTGATAGCAGTAAATAAAACTAAAAGAACGAGCTATAGTTTTTCAGAGGCCTGAAGACCGCTGTTGGACCTTTACAATAAGTTGATAATGGCAGAGTAGAGAATTTTCAATCGACTACATTTCTTGGAGTTTTATAGTGGAAAGATGTTACATACGGAGTATTTTCATCAATAGCAAGTACACGAACCTTTTTTGTTTGATAAATAATTTCGTAAGTCATTTTTTATGTCACTACACAGAATTTTACGTACAAAAATTTTGGCCAGAAACTTGTCTTGTGCATGAACGTATAAGGAAGGTTTGACAAAAACAAACACAGAGTAAAGTTTTAAAATATTCACAACACTGCAAAAATACACATGTTTAAAACGACAGACTAAAACAGTACATTTCTGATATACCTTATCTTGAGCGGTAGTGGAACTGTTGATATTATTAAGAAGATCTACGCAACTCGATTCATTGATCATCACTAGTTGAGAATTGTTGGCCAGCGAGAGAGCCTGGCTACAAAATCTATCTAAACACGTAATATCATAAGATGTAGAGTGAAGTGGAGGGTCTGACTAGCTCCAGGGAAAATACCTGCATTCAATCTTCTAAAAACATTTGGATTCTGTCTTATCAAACGGCACTTTTGTCCAAGGAAGGTCGTCAGCCATTTGGCAACGTCATCTCCACAGTCAATACCTGAAACTCTAAATCCATAACATCGCGCATGGCAGGTTAGATTCAGAACAATGAGTTAAAATAATACATTTAATGTCTATGTGGGACACGGTACATACTTAGATCCACATATTCTTGGTTGAACGACATTACCATCTGTCTGGTCTGGCGACATGTGAATTGGAAGAACAAATTCGGACAAACCTAACGTAGAAACGACAATAGAAATAAAGCAAGAAAGAGCATGATATATCAGCAGATGGTATAGTCTAGCAAAATTTAATACTATAAGGCTATCAAAGCAAGCAAGAATATTCATTACTTGGAACACAGAATATCACGAGATTCATTTGACCTTACCGCAATATGTAACTAGGGATGGGGCAAAGTTTCAAAAACACTGCCTTTTGAATAATAATTTGAATCAACCAAAACGTGTTTCATCCTTCATTAACATTTGATTTTGATTTATGTAACACGAGGTAAAAATCCACTAACTTATGGCAAATAAAATCATTTTTAATATAAATAAAGCACAAGCTATGATTTAAATAACTAGCTGTCCCCTTGTTGTCCACGGTTTACATGTTTAAATACGATTTTCGTTTTTATCACGCAGTAATGTAAATGTCATCGTCAAGGGGAGGACGACATATGCATGTTATAATCCGCAGAAAACAATTGATTTCAAAATAGCTCAATATGGCAGAACATGAATATATGAATATTCCACCTTCCCCTTCATATCGAGCTGACTATGCCATTGCAAGGTAACTAAAGTCAGGTAAATAACAAGGAGTCTAAAAATGCGTTTGTTGAAACAAATTGAAGATGAGAGGCAACATAAGCACTCCACTCGACTAACTAGTTGATATCATACCAATAAAGTGGTGTCTTTGCACTAATCGCTCGCATGGAAATTCTGCACTAAAAACATATTAAACGTTAACTAGAGAGAGAGATATGAATTTACCTGGAGCTTGTAGACGCATAACTTCTTCATCCATGTCAATGACAGGTGTGATGTAACACAGACGAGGTACTCTTTTTTGACTAATAAATGATCCTGATTCATTAACAATCAACCATTCTCTATCATAACTTAACCCTTTCTCACATAAATCCCATTCTTTGACCTAAATATGTGACGAAAAACTTTTGATCAAATTTAACAACTTTTGAGTTTATTGTTCGAAGTGCGGAAAAATACTTTGGATCATATTTAACGACTTCCAAGTTTGTAGTGTTTCAGTCTTCTATCTTGCACATTAGTGCTTGATTTTACGAAAAAAAATACATATGACCTTTTCCAGCACAGAGTTGTTGAAGTGGGAGCAATGGGGGCATCTGTGTAAGAGCGACAAATATTTAAAGTATTCTGTAAAATCTCCACTCATACCATCGAATAATTAAAGTTGGAGAAATACATGTAAGTGGATTTTTATGGAGTTTGAGCCTGAGCAAAAAAATGCCACGGCTAACTTTTGCTGGGTACAACTGTGTTGTTTTACATGACAGATAAAGTATTTGCTGGTACAACTGTGTTGTTTTACATGACAGATAGAGTATTTGCTGGTACAACTGTGTTGTTTACATGACAGATAGAGTATTTGCTGGTACAACTGTGTTGTTTTACATGGCAGATAGAGTATTTGCTGGTACAACTGTGTAGTTTTACATGATAGATAGAGTATTTGCTGGTACAACTGTGTAGTTTTACATGACAGATAGAGTATTTGCTGGTACAACTAAATGTTTCATCAATAAAAAAAACTTGTGGTTTATACTCACTTCGAAAGCTGCACAAGATTTTATTGGATAAATAAATATGCGTTTTAGAAAAGCCTCGTCGGTATCATTCTTGTAACGTTGTGTTGCTATAGGTGATGTTGTCTCAACAAAACACTCCTTGATGAATTGAAGAAAATTATTTGCATCAGACAAATCAGACATGTAACCGAACGATATCCTAATTGAGCCTGTTGGCTGGCCATCAATGAGATCCAGGCTGTCTCCACAAACGTGACCAGCTTCAAAATGCTTGCAAAGTTGAGCTGAAGTTAAGTTCAGAAAATGCTGACAGGCTCCAACGTTGCAAAAGCACCCTGTCCTTAAATGTATGCGATAAGTAGCTGCGAGTTTAGATACCTGAAAAAGAGTATCGAATTAAAATTCAACGTGCACAACTTGTACGTGATCATAAATAAGATTGTTTTGGTTCGTGAAATATTACCAAGTTATAAAATATAATATGCCATGATATTATAATACCTCAGCATAGCCAACATAGCTTCCACTTGATTTCATTACATTGAAGTTGACAATCGGACCTTGTAGTGAGCTGGATTTAAAAGCTGTGTCACAATAACAATGGCAAACGTCATGATCATTGAAATGTTTCAATTCCTTTAACTCTTTGTACACATATTGAGCGAGAAAGAAGGTATGTTTGGCTATGTTTTCCATTGATCCTGTCAAATTTGCCAATGCATCAAAACCATATTTCACAGCCAATATTTCCAGAAATGGTACTGTACCGTCCTCATGTCTGAAAAATACAGTATACGTCAGAAAATTTTCAATGTAACGTCCAGTTAAAGCTAAACATCAAGAGACTCCGCCAAGAACAGGGAAAGCGAAAGATTGATAATTGGAGGAGAGGGGGGAGGGCAATATTCATATATACATGTTATAGCACGTTCAGACTGAGTGCGCACTACATAGTTCACACTACATAGTACCCACTAGCTTTGACTATTTATAATTTCATGTTTTTCATTGTAAACAAGTTTTGAAACCATGTGCTGAATACGTCCCTCTCTGTACACGTTACTCAGGTATCGTCGATCACATTGGTGCCCGTGCCCGAGCACCGTACTTGGGTACTACCTCTTTTCGTGGAGCCCAGACCCGGGCATTTTGACTTGGGAATCGTCAAAATGTTGTGTTCACATTGGTACCCATGCCTGAGTACCGTGCCAAGGCACTCAGTCTGAACGCGCTATTATAATCCGTAGAAAACAATGGAATTCAAAGGAATTTAATGCAGCATATCATGAATAAATGAGTATCAGCTACCCCAGTTATCAATCTTCCGCAAATAAGAAAAATTCTTTTTCTGTTTTATAAAAGAACCATTACCGAGAAATTTTATACTAGAACGTTTGGGTGAATATTAAAATGATGAAAATGATAAGTTACCGTCAATAAATGCTTGGTCACAAAGTACTTAAAAATATTTGCTTTAAAACAGCATTGAATTTTAACCATCCTAACACAGTCCATGTAAAATGCGACGTTTGAATCGGGCCTTCAAAAACCTATTGCTCCTTTCATGATAAATTAAATCAGTTGCCGTGTAACTTGAGTTAAAAAGAGCCAATCATGATTGTCACTCAGGTCTAGAAAACTTGCTGTATCACTAGCATTCAATATTATTCTTACATACTATTTTCACAAAAAGGCAGACACTGTCGTGCAGAATCTGTATAAATAGACGAAGGTAATAGGAACGCTTTTCCATGAAGACGCGAAGATATTTTCCATGGTCATATCTGTACTACAAGCATCTGGACCAGTCTAAAACTGTGAAGGTGTACTTAACATATTGTTTGAAGACCATCGCTGTGTGTTTAAGATGATTATTCTGTTGGAAAAACAAAGTTTTGGCCCTGTTGTAGACACAGGCTCTAATAAGCTTCTGTCTGAAGATCGACGAACTTGTGTAGAAACTGCAGTATCTATTATACTGTAACTCCAGACATTTACGTACAGATCCTCCCTCCACCATGGTTTGTGCTAACATAAGGCAATATCTTTAATACGTCTGCATGTATCTTTAATACGTTTGCATGTATCTTTAATACGTCTTCCCTTCTAGGACGTAGTTACAAATAGTCACAAGCTCAGCTGTCAATAAACAGTTAAAGTTTTTCTCTTGAAAATTACATTTGACACTTGCTCTAACATCCATCCAGTTGCGTAAAAATATAGATTTTCAACCAGCATTTAGCTTGACCTTTGCGTGTTTGTCAACCAAGTCAATTCGGAAAATTACTTTCTTTATTCTCAAGGAGTGTTTCTCAAACTCTTCCAGAGGAGCCAAACGTACCGAATATCGAACCTCATGACACAAAATTTTTATGTGTGCAATCTCTCTTTCTATTCTTTCTTTCTTTCTTGTAGATCATCCACATCAGAGACTATATAGCACTGGCACTAGGTAAGTACCGGTATTTAATATATTTATGAAATAAATCTGAATCCCCTGATTGCAGTTCTTTTTGATGCAAAAATCTCGCAATTTATCTTAGGCATATAACAATAGAATTGTGTGTTTATTGCATTGATTTTATTGGAAAAAGTCACCATTTTTCAACATTTTTTATGGTTTCAATGTCAAAGTAAACAAGTTGAAAAAATAATTTAAAAAATGCTAAATTTGCAAATGTTGCTCCATATAAGGAATGTTTAAGTTTGCATGTAAACTAATTTTGAGCCTCAATAATAAAAAAAGGAAATGCCATCGCTGAAAAACAAATAAAAATCACCCTGAAAGATCAACTAACATACCTGTCACTTAATAAGGATTTAAATCGATGAAAACTGCAATCACTTGAATATGCTGACACACTTCCTCCACCAAAATAGGTTTTATCTAAGGTCTCTGCTGCCCTCACATTCACCAAGAGAGCACCCAAACCAGTAGGAAAGCCAAAAAGTTTGTAAAATGACACTGGTATAAAATCAGGTGAATATATGCTAAGATCTAGGAATGATGTACTCACAAAAGATGCAGCATCCAAAAGAACAAACCACTTTCCACAATGTGCTTCCAAGAATGAACTTTTGTTTTGTACAGTGGAAATCCAATCCAAAGGATACTTACGTCCAGAAAAATTACTCATAGCCGGATAAGCAAATAAATTATTGGGTTCATCTCGAAAATGGTCATTAATTACTTTCCAATGGCCATTTTTTGAAAAATTATTTGAATTTAATTCTCTGTCAAGTGAAATGGAAAGTAGATCTTGAGCAGACTCTTCATAGTCTATCATTTTAACATTGACCATTTTTTTCAAAGCAACACCACGCATACCAACAATTGAAGTATGATTATCTTGAAGATAAAGAAACCAGCTTTCTGATGATGTTAATCGTTTTTCATCATGAAATTTGAAATTGTCTGCTATCAATTTAATAGCATGAGTGGTATTCTGTGTAAATATGATGTGGTACTTATCTTGGGTGGTATTGAAAAATGATAAAATTCTTACTTTAACATCCTCAATAATTGACAAAGTCTTTTCACTGCTCATACAGCTACTATGAGGATTTCCATAGAGATTCTTCATCAAGTCTTCGTGGTAGTTAGTGAGTTGTGACTTGGAATACAAGGTAGCACCAGTGTGGTCCAAGTAGACAGAATCTTAATGCAATGTAATATGTAACAACAATTATTGTGTAACTAAAGATACATTTCTTTTGAGCTGTAAAGTCTTGTTGTACTAATTGTATGCAGTTGCATAGCCTACCAGCAAATGTGGTCCTATGCTAACTCAACGTAAAATTGAAATGAATAATAATAAGGCCACGAAATTTAAATGTACCAGGACTAAAACTAGCTGGCTGGCAACGCTATTTTGGCAATAAACATCAACAAGTGTACGTTAGAAAATATCAAATACCAGCCAACAGCTCTAATGTCAAAACAACAAGCTCAACAGGATGAGAAGCAAAACACATAAAGTGGGGAAAAATAAAAGCAATAGAAGATGCATGACATATTTTTGTTTCTTTTTCTTACCAGTTAAGTTTGGGAATTCCTTTTTTCTCATAGATGTGATGTCGGTCGCATGGTTACTATATTTAATATGCTTTCTAAAACATAAATTTGGGTTATCCATGACCATTTGGGTATGTTTATGACAACATCAAGACATAGATTACTGTCTTATTTTATGGTTATTTTCCAATTTTTATGGGGACTGAGGCGAGTAGATTTCTTTGATTTGCTTTGACCTTGTTCGGATGAAGATAACTATGAAATGTAAATTTGATATTAATTCCCTAGTAAAAATATGCTTTTCATGTTCTTTTAAGTAATAAACTTTTTCGTGGAAAAGATAAAACTAAATTTCTTCTTTTTTTTAGCAGTAGTCTTCAAAACACATTTTGTTAGGCCCAGACGGGGTTCGAACCCGCGATCTTCGGTTTACGAGACCGACGCCTTACCACTTGGCCACTGAGCCATACTAAAATCCGCTTGAAAAAGTTGTTTATAAACAATAACTAGACAAGCACAAAGATGGTCTTTTTCAAAGACTATCAAAATTGATGAAGTCCGAAGGACGAGTGATTTTTTTCGTGATTTTTTTCAACATCACTACATATATATACATATGTGATGGAAGGAAGTTTATATGTGATTTACATTTTTATTACAGACATGTTTCGGCAAACTTATGCCATCATCAGTGCAAATAAATGTGTTACAGAATGTGATACTTAAATATATAAATAGAGATAAAAGACTTAACGTTAACTGAAATGAGGACAGCATTACAAATATTTATAATTCATTAACATATGGAAGTTAGACGATACATTAAACGGAAGAAAAAGTTGACATAATATTATTTACAAACTAAAAATGATATTAAAGTGGTGAACTTGCTTATTGAGATCGGGTTTAATTTTGTAAGGTGTAAGCTTCTTTAATTCTGAGTGTGAAAGAATAATTGTCAGTGTCGATAATTATAAAGCAGTTGTTGGTGTATTGTGATTTGCAGTTATGTGAGGAGAGAAGGTGTTTGAAGATGTGTGAGTTTTTATCACTGGAAATGATAAAAATGACGTATTGTTTCGCCAATATAGCGACAATTACATGCCGCACAAGTAAATTGATGTACTACCCCGGATTTAAGATTAAAGGGAATGGAATCTTTAAAACTGAAAAGATTTTTAATTATGTAGGGCATAAAAATTAATTTGATTTCAAAAGGTACGCAGTATCGTTTGATCAATATAGTTAATCGCTTTTGAGTGATTTTAGAGAAATATCCTATATACGGAAGTTTAAAATATCGTATGGTCAGGGGCGGATCTAGGATTTTTCAAACATCAGTCATAAAACATCGTCCGCATGGGGTGAGGCATTCTAGAAATTTTGAATTTCAGAGCCTTAAAATGCCATTTTCAGCGTTTCAGAGCATTACAAAATGTATTTTGTGGGCATCGTTTTATAAATACAACACATTGTTTTTCAAAAAAGAAGTGAACAATACTTGAATGTTTTGCCAAATATTTAGGCTCATTATTATGCCAAATATATGGCTCATTAGCATGTCTAGGAACGTAAAATTTATTTTACAATAATGCTATATTCAAAACAGATATACTTTTAAAATTTCTACCAAGTTGTCAGGCATAGACCCCCTAGAGACCCCATTCAAACCTCTATGTAATGAGTAGAAATTTGGTACTACAAGTGACAGTTCATAGATATAGAAGCTCAGACTTCAAACCATGTTTATTGTAACTTTACCCATCTCCACATCAGTATTAGCATGAGGAAAAACTCAAAATTTTTTCTGCCAAAGCTTAAAAAAATTATCAGAGTGAAAATTTGCAGATTTGCCATAAATGTTTATTAGGCATTTCAACTATTATCTTCTTCAAGGATAGCAATCACTAGTAACATTGTATTATCAATTACAAACAGAATGTAACCAACATGTCTTTAATTATATAATTACATGAATGTTAAAATTGGTTCATGTGTGCTTACTGGTTATGATAAATATCATTTCATATGATCAAAGCTCGTTTAAATGTAAATCTGAAATAATTTAGTTTAGAAATTATAATGATCATCAGAAAAATTACCTAGTGATCATGAAAATACTTTGCTGTTTTGCCAAATTTCAAGGTTTATCTGCATACATAGGAAGACATTTACTTTATAGAAAATGCTTTTCATACATCAATAGCCCTTTGGAATTTATGGCAAACAATCTGGTATGAGCTTAACTTTACATCTCTACATGAGGTGTTCAGTTAGAAAAGGGGACAATATGTGACATGGGACAACATTTCATGTATGTGAAATACTCAGGTTTAATACCATTCCAGTCAAATTGTCAAAATAAAAAGCTTCATAGATCATAAGACTCAAAATCACAGGTTATAGTAAACAGCTTCTCATGTAATCAATGTTAGTTTTCTCAAATCTTAAACAATATGTAGTATAACTGTCTAATGATTGAATGATCAATGATCATAAACTGAAAAGCCCCAAACATTTGTTTATGATAAAGTAAATAATAGTATGGCACCTTATGGCTACAGATTTTTTGTCCATTGAAATATATTTGCAGAAATGTAGGATTTCGCTGCCATATAACGGCCACGATTCACCAAGCATTAAAGAAATCATAGCTAAAAGTAAACAATTTTAGAAGCATCATCTGCTTACCATACGCCATATTAACATAAATCGCATCACACACTCGCATAAATTGACTTTGATATATTACATTCATGCATACATTTCAGTTGTCCTTTACTTACGATTTTGGATGTAAATTTCTGATGATAAAACTCAAAACAATGTTGGCTTGCTTTTGAACATCAATGACTGAAATGTCGCTCGAGATCGTCTTTGCCAAGCATTTACAATTCATCCATAAATTTTTCGCCCTCTTGAAAAATTCCCAGTTTGGAAAGCAGCATTCATGTCAACATATGAATTTGTAAAGATTTCCATAAATTCCATCTGATTGTAGTTTAGTTTCTATCATGCTTTAGAAAATTATTATGAAACGATCAAACATTCAATTCAGACAGTGAGCTTGACTATGTTAGTTCAGTTGGCTATCAGTCGAAATAGGTCAAACCAATCACAGTAAGACAAAATTCAAATGAACCAATTGTAAGATAGCAATTGGACTCCCTTATAGGTCCGGCCACGGTCGAGATTATTCCAGACTGTCCACTGATCTGGCCATTGACCAATAAAATAGCGTTTCTGGCGTTCTTAGACTCGTCGAACCAGTTTATCAGTCGGTTATTCCAGGTCAATTAAAATTCAACTGATCTGGTTACCAAGGAGATATTCATTGGATTAGTCATTAGTTTTCAATAATAAATAAAGCTGGATTTTTATCACGAAGTAAATGCGATAATAAAGTAAGAATCTAATATGAATAGGTAATTTTTGAGTTTCAAACATCAGTCGCGCGACGGATTTGACATACTCTAGATCCGCCCCTGCGTATGGTGTTAGTATCATTAGTTGAGATAGACCGCCAAAGACTGCTCAAAGACTGCCAAAGACTGCCAATCGTTTGGAGTATTTCCCAAGTTTCTATGCTTTCCATTACCTGGAGTTTCAAACCAAGACACATACGCTATACGTAAACGACTTCTGAGGTCTTCCATCATTAAACGCTTACGAGAAGTGCGCAAGTTAAACTATGACCGTACGAAGAAATCTAACGAATTAAAAAACATTATGAACTATCTGGATTGGACGATACTTAACAAATCTTTGAAAAGAAACGTAGACAAACAAGTTGACAAACAATTGCTGACCCACCGGAAAAAGCTGAAGAACTGACAATAAACGTTGTTCTGCCGTTTACTCACAAGGAAACCGTCACAAACTTATCCTCTCACCAACTCAAAGAGCATGAGTTAGAATTATTAAAGAATGGTCTAGGTTTTTCCATCAAACCTCCTAAAGTGAATCAAACTGACATACTTGCCACCTTTGAATGCATCCAAATGTGGATGACATTTTTGCATGTTTCACACAAAACAGGGATGCCGTCTTATTTTTCAACTTTTTAAACCTCAACACCCTAATATCAAATTTACTTCTGAATACGAATCTAACAACCAAATTTCATTTCTTGACATTTTGATCACCGAATTCCCAAACAAATGTCGGCTTGTAATAGTCGCTATATTGGCGAAACAATGCGTCATATTTCTACCAGGATGAAGGAGCACATTTCCAGTGATAAAAACTCACACATCTTCAAACACTTTCTTTCCTCACATGACTGCAAATCACAATACACCAACAACTGCTTTACAATTATCGACACTGACAATTATTCTTCCACCCTCAGAATTAAAGAAGCCTTACACATTAACAAACTTAAACCCGATCTCAATAAGCAAGTTCCCCACGTAAATACCATTTTTAGTTTGTAAATACTTTTTTTCCTCATTTGTGTGTGTTGGTTGTGTCTTGTATTGACTTTCGAACACTTGATGCTGCATGAGAACCAGATGCACATCAGGAGGGAGTGAATGATAAAAATAATTTTTCAAAAACATCTGACGGAATTGAAAAATACGAGCCAGTCGGTATCAATAATTTGCCAAAGAAAATGTCCATACGTTGAAGTTAAAAATCAACAGAGTTGAGACATGTTTCCATGACTACTACTAATAAGTATGAGTAATAGCATAGTTTCTCGGAAGTCATGGACTCGTAAGTTTTTCAAAGACTTCAAATCTTGAAAAACTCATTCGTAAATGTTTTTTTCCTAATTGCACTCAAAACCATGCTGTTGCCTTTTGTACATTTGGCAAATATCATAATCTACTAAAAGTACATTAGTGAAAGAGTTAAAAGTGAAAAAATAAATGTCCTCCCACTAAGTCAGTGAACAAGAAATTTATTGAGTAAAATTCAACGTCCCACATGAAAAGTTCATTCTCGTATTATTCCCCCCCTCCCCCACTTTTAAAGTAGCTCCGCGATCACTGGTATGTGGTGAAGTCAAACTATAGAGTCAGACGAAAATGTAGTTGAGCCTTATTTGGGGTCGGACATGCCGTTTGACTAAACGAAACTCACCGTTTCCCTCGGGAGCATGCATTAAGTGTATATTCAGCTATGTTGTTAAGAAAAATTTTCAATGAATAACATAGAAAGAGTGAAATATATTTTATGTGCACAAAAATATTGCTAAACTATCTATTACTAAGTCTACACTGCCCTTAGTTCAAATAAAGTTTGCGTTTAAGCATACACGTAATTAAAATTAAGCAATAATTTATAAACAAATGCTTGGACTGACTAATGCCGGCCCAAGTTCAAACTGTCCAAACTTTGACATGTCATTAATCTTTACTAGCTTCGTATTCTTCGCATGTACTAAACATCTCATGAGCAGAATCACCACATTTCCTGCACAAACGAAAATTACAAGCAGGACATAAAAACACACTTGGACTTTCGCTTACTTCGTAGATCCACGAGCAATCAATGGTAGGGCATGATTTGAAGTTAGGATTGTCGATCAAGAAACATTCCAGAGATACCTTGCATAACTTTCCAATATCTTCTGTTTTTAATATGGCAATGTAATCGTCTTTGACCACGCTGGAAGTGCAATTCTCTTTGAGACACTGAAGAGGGAATTTGTTTTTCGTTCTCCCAGAACGTAACACGTCATAAATATAATATGTTATACAAATTAAACAATAGCTATGTTTGCAGTGTGTGAGGGTAAAGCTGGTTTCAACGTTTGCCAAACATATAGGACAACAAGTTTCAGGAATTGAAAATTTTTTGGAATTATTTGACATAGAGTCAAAATACTTTGCCAGTTTTCTCTGCACGTTGAGAATGGAAAGTTTGCTACCGCTAAATACAAGTTTACGTCGTTGTATGTCTAGCGATGCCACACAATTCTCGTCTTCAACAAGTTTGAAAAAATCATTTCCAAACTGCTTTAATATTTTTCTGATGGTACCCACAGGTCGCTCGGAAATGCTTAAGTCAACTTCGACCACATCTGTTTCACGATTGCTGTCAAATTCTTCGATTAATTTCATAATCATTTCAGTGCAAGTGCGAAGTGGGAAAACCAGTAATCTGAACTCGTCGACCATAATCACAGCTGTAAATGCTGACTTTGTTTTTCTTCTCAATAAACGCGAGTCTTTTGCGACCAAGACCGGAGAAAAAATAACGGGCTGTGACCGGATCATCGATTATTATAACCTCTGGTTTCATCAACTCAAAGGTATTTCGCTTGGCAGCTGGAGCAATCTACAAAAAAAAAACAAGAATTTTGACTAAAGCTTAATAGTAGGAAACTGATCATATGCTCTAATTAGTAATCATTGTAAGGCTAACTTGTACTTCATAAAAACTGTTGCATTTTGTACTAAGCATTGCGACTGGGGATCCAATGATAGTGCAAGTCACAAAAAACTACTATACTTATGACTTGCAGTTTGAATCAACCATAAAATGTTTCATACATTTATTTCATTTCATTTTCCCTAGCCCATTTAATTTTGATTCGTGTATCGCGAGGTAAATATTCATTGACTTCATGACCAATCAATACATTTCTATAGTAAAACCTATCTACATAACTGTTGTCTTGTTTCCACGGTTAAGTGATTTCTTTGGATGTATAAATAAACAAACAACTTACATAATTTACTTTTAGAAATGTACGGGAAACTGACATGGTAACGATATTTCTAATGCTATGACTGAAGGAATGCATTAACCCACATCTATTTTACTGAAAGTAGTCAAGACCAGATGACTCAACTTACCCTTCATAAGAAGGTTTCTTTTTTCGACAGTTAATTCAGTATCTCATACCTCATAGAGTCTGGCCAAAAAATCCGACGTTCTGTTTACTTCAGACACAAACGTTTGCGCACTGTCCATGTTCACAAATACAACAAAAGCTTCGACTTTTTTGTTGTTTATAGTCCGGATACTTTGCAACTTTGCGGATGAATAATTCATTAGCAACTTCGTCAGTTTCGTTTTCTCCTTTTCGACGTTGAAATGACACAATGGCTTTGGTGGGATTCTGATTTTAGTCACTCCCTCCAAAAGTGTAGGGCCACAACATTTCTTTAAAATTTCTCTCACCGTTCTCTTGTTGGCGTTTTCAATAATAGGAAGACATATATCACCAACGTCCGTCCTTTTCGATGCTCCCGAAGACCCTGAAAGCGGTGGTCTCATATTTTGCACTAAGCTCTTTAATATTTTCTGCAGAATGTCTTCATTTTCACATTTGACGAATGCAAACCTTTGGGCAGGAAGCGGAAACCAGCTCACAATAACAGTTGAACGCACAGAGGACGCAGAATAGCTGTGGGAGGGGAAGCACTCAGCATGAGTAGGTTCTAAGCAAAGACCTTTAACGTTTTGACCAGCAAAATCTTCAGAACCTATGTAATCTTTCAGTGGCTGGATGAACACACTAGCCTTCTTGGCTTCCTTACTGCTACAATATGTAACAGTTCCCCAGTGATAAAAAGTATTATCATTGGACGGTCTGTGATAGCAACATGTGTTAAGAACTTTACCATAGTTTTTGAGAGTTGCAATTAATTTCTGGGCATCCACCTACATAAAATGTAAGAGTTGGTAAAACTTTGGAAAATAGTAAAAATAAATTAGCTTAAACCTCAAATTTGGCGTCAAAAAGACAAAGTATTTTTAATCCCCTAAACACCTTCACATATTTATATGAATGGTATCAACTTCAAAAAATGATAAAAACAAACCCCTGCATTAAGATCAACTTTTCTCAAAAACACATCAAACTTGCAGCAGGCTTCTGGTTGAAGAATGGATTCCGTTCGTAAGGCATTGGACAGAAGCAATTTTATTCCTCCTACGTTGAAAACGGAGACTTCAAAATGATCCAGATACTGATTACGCTTCACGTAATTAACATCATTTCCACTGACACCATAAACATGACCAGGATAAGCGTTTCTAATTTCAGCATGCGTAGTGTCCACTCTTTTTCCGTTCGAGACTGGTTCCTTAACGCTTTTAGCACGCGATTTTTTGCATCCAATAGTATCGTTAGCATGTTTGGTACGCTGTCGATTAACGGGAGATTTTGAGGCAAACGGCATATCAACATAACCAGAAACTTCTGAAAGCCAGTCAAATTCAATCGGAGTGACGTTTTCCATGAACACTGTCTTACTATTTTTGTGTAGTTTTTGGTACATCACATATTTGGGCTCATCACCAAGCAAAGATAACACAGATGAAGGGTGAATCTTTACGTTAACTTTTGACACATATGTAATATAGTCACCATCTTTATTATCACACAGCATTGCTATGTTCTCGGGATATCCTGCCAGTAAACTTTTACACAGCGATTTACGTACATCATCAGTGGTGACTTCAAACTGAAGATTAGGTCGTTTGACCAATAGAGCGTTCTTAATTTCTTTAAAACATTCACTGACAGAGCGAAGTAGCTTTGTATCTAAAGCATTCTGTTTGCAGAACAAAATCTTCTTTTTTCGTGTCAAAGCCATCCACTTCTTAAAAATATTCACTGCACTCACAAGGTCACCACTGCTAAAACAAAATTGTTTTTGAAAAGCACAGTCCTCATTCCCATGAACCGTACCTCTGCAAAACACATTATGACCACGATAAAATAAAGCAGCCGCAATGACAGCGTCATCTCCACATCCTCGTTCCAGTCCCTCAAGCAATGCCTTCGACAATCTTGGTTCAGTAGGTAGTTGAAGTATTTCATTGCCAATATCAGTCAAAGTTCCATAACCGTCAATAGTACCTAATGATTTTAGGTTTTTCAAAGCCATCTCAAGTGATTCTGGAGGAGGACTTTCAACAAAGTCGAAACTTTCAACATTTTTCACGCCAAAACTTAGCAATTGAAGCACAGGAAACTCAAGATTCACATTCGAAATTCCTGGTGTTGAGCTTTTTTCCATTTTGTTGTAATCATATTTTGTGAAGAGGCAGTAGCATTTACCTGGACCAGTCAGACCTAAAAAGGGGAACCTCAATCAAATTTCTTTTGAAAGAGTAATTCATGAATGAGGTAATTCTACTGATTATCTTCGACAGCTTTTCTCAATACATGCTAATGAAATGTATGAATTACGAAATAACAATCGCGTTCTCAAGTTGCCTAAACGAAAAATAAATGCCTTAAAACGTAGCTTTGCATATAGCAGAAACTTGGAATAGTCAATTGAAGACAAAAGAAAATATCAATTGCATGCATAAACTTTATAGATTTAATATTTTATTTTTAAGTAGCTTATAGTTTTTTCATTATACATAGACATAGTATCCTTTTTAATTTTTTTTTATCACACGGCTATCTGAAAATCAACCTTTTTATTTTTTATATGTAGTTGTATTTTAGGATCCAGCGTGTTTAAAAAAGTGTAAATAATACTAAAAATAATAATAATAATGCTCCAATCTGGATAGAAAAAAACATAAACATTCCTTCATTCTACAAGATAGGTGACAAAGAATTACATGAGTTTGTAGAACTTTGCTCCTATATAAGGCTTGGGATGTATGTCCATTTCAATGTGAAGTGAAAATTCATATCAGAAAACAAATATGCAGTTCTAAACCATTAGTCTCTAGGAAACACTTTACACATTATTTGGAATATGTTCATTAAAGTTAATTAGAAAGCAAAGTCATATTCATGTTGTTGATTTCGATTTCAAGAATGCATTTTCTAACCGTTAACAATGTGAACAAAATGTCACATATTCATAACTATCCATCCAAGACTTTTTGGATGACAAGAACTTGTGGTGACAAGAACTAATCGGGCCGGGGGAAACAAACTATTGAATAACCAAAAATTAAGACACATTAAAAGCCAATATATCGCATTTGAATGGCATCTTGTCTAAATAAATTTTGCTCTATTTTGGGGAACTGTTCCACTTTCAAAATTGGTCATTAGAGTGAGGAGTATCGCTTCAGTTAGGTGAAGTAACAACGACAGCTTTCAACAACCCAAGGGTATCCAAATACTTATTAAAAAGAACGACCCTAGATCTCCTTTAAATTAAAAGAGTTTCAACTATTTTGTCAAAGAGTTGGTAATAGCTTTAAATTACATTATAATTTATAGACAAACCATGTACCTGCCCTGCTAGCTCGTTGTTTGGCTGAATTCTGGTTTACAAGTTGTGCTTCTAATGTTGTCATGTTATTTAATGGATAAAAAGAGGCCTCCATCTTCATTCCTGAATCAATGACAATTTTTATACCAGGAACCACCATCCATGATTCTGCAATGTTTGTTGCAACAACAATCTTTCTTTTTCCCTCCGGCGTTGTCTCAAATACCTTGAAGAAAATTTACTGGTAAGGGACTGCATAAATGCAAAGAAGTGGAAATGGTTAAAGAGTGAGAGAGTGTCAAGAAAGTATGTAGCATATGAAAAAGCAGCTAACAACAGAATAATTTAGTCACAAGGGTGTTGCTAGTAATTTAGAAGTGAATGGTAAATAGTAAACAATTGGGGATTAATCAATAAGTAAGCAGATTATTTGGGAACTTTGCTTAAGTAATAATTTGGTAAAGTGTAGTTGTACAAGTGCAATTTCAAATGGCTATGCAGTTTATGAAAATTCTGCTGCTCTTTACCACACAGAATCGGGTAAAAAAAGCAAGTGGCAAAAATTGCACTCAGCGTTAAAAACAACTAATGTTATTATAAAACTTCAATGAATTTAAAATAAAGTTTAACCAGAACTTAAGTACATAATTTTGTAATTTTTAATCAAAAGATACTTTGCTTGCATCTCTGATTAAAATGGTCCCAAATCCTTCGAAAAATTTTGTGTTTTGCATGCATAAATACATGAAGATCAAGAAAAAACACACAAAATCATTGCTCATATCATAGAGAACTCTGAGGTCATAGACCTTAAATTTCTTTGTAGTTCCAAATTGAAATCAGGTAATGCATTAATGAATTAAAAAGTACTTGCAAGACTTTGCCGTGTCAACTGGTATTGAATTCGCATGCTTAGAGAAAGTTGCCATTATTTATAGACTACCATAATTACATAGAGCAAACTGCAAGGAGATGAAATTATCAAAAAACAAAATCAAGGCATTAGCGAATTTCAATAACACTGAATGTTTTCTGATCAGTTTCTTTTAGTCTTTATTAAATCATTTGCATGAAAGTGAATGGAGCATAGACACATACATAACATATACATATGCATTTTACCTTGGACTTTTGATCTAATTCAAGCTTGCCATAAAGAGGAAGAATAATATATTTGGCATCATCCAATGTCTCCTTCAATTTTTCACAGGTCTTTTCAATCTCATGAGGTTGAGCTAAAAACACCAAGATATCACCTCCTTCTCTAGATTGACAAACTTCAACAACTTTATCACAAACTGCATCAACATATCTAGGGAGCCTTTTTTCTGCATAAACAGTCTTGACAGGATATACTTTCCCTGGTACTGTTATTTTAGTGGAACCAGGAAAATAATCTTGGAAAACACAACTATTCTGCTGGGTTGATACAATAATAAGTTTTAGATGAGAAAAACACTGCAATGACTGCTTTAGCACTGCAAGAAGCATATCAACATCAACAGACCTTTCCTGAGCTTGGTCAATAATAATAACTGAGCATTGCTGAATAATTTCATCACCCTTGATTACCTCATTCAATAAATCTTTATGGGTGGCAAATTTTATTTTTGTTTTATCATTGACGCTAGAATTCACACAAATTTCATCACCAAGCTTACAAAGAAATTCATTTGAAACTTGCTTGGCTAAACCCAGAGCGGTAGATTTGTCAGGTTCGGTAACAAAAATTATCCCTTCTTTTGAATCCTCCTCAGCCAAATACTGAGCAAGCTGTGTACTTTTCTCTGATCCAGTTTCTCCGACAAGAACAACAACTTGAGTCGAGTGAACGGCTTCTAAAATCGTCGACCTCTTTGAATAGATCGGCAAACTAGCTTCAAATTTTCTAAATTCTCTTTCAACAACGATTTGATGAGACGTCACCAACTTTGAAATTTCATTACAAAAACCTTCAAATACGTTTTTATATTTTTTTTCAAATTCCTTGCGTTGCTCTATTAACTCTTGCTTTTTCTCCTGGGTTGCGTCGAAACGTTGTAAATCTTCGAATTTAGATTTCTTCTTTCGAGAATTTCTAGAAGATAACTGCTCAAGATCCTTTAATCTGTTCAAATTTCTTAAAAGTAACTGATCAGAGCGCCGTTGTAACGCTTCTACATGGTCCTGCAACTCTTTTTCGACAATTTCCCATTGTTTGTCAACTATATTTTCCGACCGCACAGAAATAACACTCATTGTCTATTAAGGATTAATGATATTTACTGCCATTAATTTTAAAAAATACAGATGTTTAACCAACAAATTATCAGAAAACGAAAAGCATGCTCCGAGAATAAATGTGGTCACGGCATGGCAAGGTCATGTGAGGTGTAATATCCGCCAATACTAATTTATTCACATTTGAAGTTAAAAGTTTTCGTTATTAAGTGCTGTCATTTCACTATATTCTTTTAACTGCAATTTTGCAATGAAAACTCTCTTTTGTTGAGCATTTCATTTAGAGTAATTTCATTCGGCATGGATGTTATTTCATTCGGAATGGCACTCAGAAACCAATATTATTTGTGAACGGAAATGTAACACGGACACGTTCATTCACAACCAAATAAGGCAATATCATGGCCGTATCACCCGCATGGCTGTAAATAAAATATTTATGTTAAAAATTTTAGCCTTGTCAATTAAACATATTGCTTAAAAACAATTTATAAATGCAACTAACTACCATCGTGTTTCTTCAACTTGCATAAATGATGGTCTTGCATTTACATTTCTTAACATAACAGTAGTGGGAAAATATATTTCCATTTTAAAATGCTTTTAAGCAAATCCTATTGGTAGTATTTTGTTGTTTAAGCAATTTGTAGAAATTTCCAACAACAGCTGTTGGTTACAAATGGTATATGTGAAGCATATGGGAAGCTAACCAAAACATTTGAGTTAGAATTAAAAGCTACTAATATATTTAAATTTTCTGATTTCATCATTTTGCTTATGATTAGACTACAAGAAGTTAATGAAAAAAAGATTAACTTGGATCATAAGGCATGTGTTTTGAAGAAAATATAGCATACCTTGCTGTCATTGTTTATAAATGTGTTTATAAAACCTGTTTGCTTTACAGGAAGAACCGTTAAACATTGTGCACACTGTAAAGTGCGAAGATTGCAATGAGACCATGACAGTGGCTCAAACTAATGAACATGCACGTATTGTTATAGCAAGACAGCTGACGTTTGTGAAAATGATAAAGGAAGGTAGATTTTGGTGTAACCAGTGGCAGAGACTAAGAAGATGGCAGCTGTCCTCTCCCCCTTTAATTTTTTTTTAAAAATTTTAACCAACTTTAAAAAACGCAAGAACGTTTTCATTTCAGAGGTTTTCATATTAAATACAGTAATAAGCATGTAATTTAGCTAAGGGGGTGTTTACATGAATCCGGAATGAGTTTCGATCCGGAATGAACTCATTCCACTTTAAAAGAAATCCTATTGCATGTTTACATGAATCCGGAATGAGTCACAACTCGATCCGGATCAAGTTCATTCCTAGTTTCATTCCGGATCGAAATTTACTTTTTATCTCATGTAAACGCGAATTGAGTTTCATTCTGGAATGATATTGTGATTAATGACGAAGCACGCATGTGCCATGGTTATTGTCTTCTGGCAAATTGTAGCTCGTAAGTAAATAAAGAGGCTAAATGGGTTAAAATGAGTGCGAAGAAAAACAACAATTAGTTTCATGTAAACACGGATTGACATCACGTTTCGATGGGGATTGAAAGTCATTCATTCAAAACACCCTGCAACTCAGAGTTTAGGTTTACCCTGCAATGAAGTACATTGTCCAGATATATGGTGTGTATTCGGAACGTTCTGAAAATGTCAAGGTTTTATTAGTAATATTTTCTTGTGTGGTAGCATCAAGTTACTCAAAAAAATGACATATTTCATCACTAATTAAAACCCTAACTTTAATATACTTCATCTTTTAAGCTAAACAAGCAAATAAAACTAGTGAAGACAAGTGTTTTTTGCCAAAAATATTTATTGCAGAAAACGTCTTTTGTTAGAGGCGTAGATGTTATGTTAGAATTAATTGTTATGTTTTACCAAACATGGAACTGTTATTGTATCATTTATCAGTGTATATTTTTTATTTGCATATTTTCTAGAAGCTGGTAATTTACCATTTATTAAGATTTCTTAGTATTTAGTCATTAAAACTTGACTTTTATAATGAATAAGAATTTGAACCACATTTTTCAGGAATATTTCAGATTATTACTGGATTCGTTTTTGCCTGTCGCTTCCCACATTTCGTCAAGTGTCCGCCACTGGGTATAACCTTGTGCTGCAGCAATTATCCTGATATAAATATACCTTTAACTCTCATAATTTCTAACATAAATCATGTTGCCTACTCTTATGCTGCATTCTTGTGCTATTGCTCAAATGTTAGAAAGTTTTTAAATGTGATTTTTCCATCATTTTTTCGTTAGGAAAAGTTGCAGAGATGAGTAATCTACCTATTTCTGGAATAGGTTATGATAATTAGCTATGATTTTGAAATTTTATCAAGTCAGTGATACTGTCTGAAATTTTTAAGCGTCCATGAATACGTCAATTTATTTACTTATGTTAGCTGTGGATGCGATAAAAACTATCTTTCCCTGGCATACTTTAAATACATTAAGATACTTCAGTTTTTTTGCAATTAATTTAAATTTTATTTGCAATAAAACGGAAATATTACAGTTTTTAATTGTCGTATAAATTTAATTTTAATGTTCTTTTTCGTATTATGTTTTATTTTGTATTTAATGAAATTGTCGCCTGGTCAAGTATTGCCTCTAACCTTTTTCCTAACCATAGAGTATGCGTTATATTCTATTGCTTCGTTATCAAAACACGAAAGATTAAAATCTGATTTCGAAAAAGAAAATATTTGTTTGATTCATTCGTGGAATGTCCATAGTTGCATCTTTTGTTATCTTAATTCTCCTTTATTTTTTCACAGCGTCCTTCTTTGTCGCGTTCTTCAATTGTACGCTAATTGGTTATTTAATAAATAACCATTTTTATTTCGGCGCCGATTTGGTTATATCAAATAACCAATTGTACGCTAATTGGTTATTTAATAAATAACCATTTTTATTTCGGCGCCGATTTGGTTATATCAAATAACCAATTGACAAAATTTCGTTATTTAATAAACAACCATTTTTATTTCGGCGCCGATTTGGTTATATCAAATAACCAAATAATTTTGTTACACTTGGCACACTTGAGATGACGTAACGTTCGTGTTCTACTTACCCTCTCCCGCTGTGGAAAGTTATGAAACATGGCTTCCGGTTTAATATTATACACTGATTTAAGCAGAAAGCGCGCAAAACAAGGCATGGCGGATAATACAAATAATATTTCGATAAGGCTGACAGAAGCGATAGGAAGGGTAATCACGCAAACTTTGGGTACAAGAGAGGTAAATGAGCGAGTTATTTCGCATTTAGTTTATATCAATCCAACAGTAGTCTGTCTTTGTTTATTTGAAACAAATTTAACAGATAAGCGTTGAGCACGAGACAAATGATCCACTGGTCATTCAAACCTGTGGCTTGCTACATAAAATTAAAGATATTTCGTTGATTCAGATTTAAGTATTTTTCTCAATCAGCCGGCATCAACGGCTGATGACATCCCCAGCCAAAACAGTTCTAATTCTAGTTCTATTACAGTCCAGCCTGTCCAGGTACGTTGACTTTTTACAGCTGACCCCTAGGTTACTAACTTACTATGTGCCTGGTCACTAGAGATGCTTTCCAGAGACACTCTTTTGTTAACATTTTTTTATTTCTCAAAGTTTTAATTTACATGATTAAAAGGAGCAAAACATAATTGTGATATACACAATGTTTTCTCTGTAGCAAAGAATTCCAGCTCAAGGTATATATTTATAATTTTTTTGGCCATCAAGGTTAGGGTTGATGCTATGCTTGTCAATGTTTCATTTGATTGTTTAGATAGTAATGACTGAAAATATACAAGATTTACATGAAAGGTATCATTGTATTCCTCTAAATCATGTTTTCTTTGAGATATACTTTTTTCTTTATGCACATAAATTTGTGCATTTTAATGTTGGATATCTCAGCATATGAGTTAGTATCCTCAATAGTCAGTTTATTGATAATTATCTTGGTATAGAAAGGACGTATAAAATGCAAGTTGTGCTTCTTTTCTTTCAGAGGTGAAAATGATATTAACAGAAGGGCTGGCCGACCTAGGAAGAGAGTTAGCAAAGAACATTTGTTGAACCTTCTTCAACTGAAAGTTCCTATATGTGGTATTGCAAGACATCTTTCAGTGTCAAGAATTACCATTTATATATATATGGAGGAATACTGACTAAGTGAAACTGTTGAAGTAAAAGATGGAGAAGATGTGTTTACAGCTATGGCTGATTTAACACTTGTTGCTGACAAGGGATGTGTATGATTTAAAACAGTTTCACTAACAGCATCACTCTTTTCATCTTTAGGTTGGTTACCAATTCCTTTTACACTCTTTCAGTAAAATAAATAATACAGTCATTAAAAAGTTTTGAGAACAGTTATGACCATTTATCTCATATATAATTTTTGATTTCTACTACAAGATAATGCCTAATACCTCAATGAGATCATCACAGTCATCATCATCTGAGATGAAAACAGTCGATACAGGATTGATTTTAGCCACTATGTATAGACATCCTTGGGATGAATTTGAGATGACATCTGGCCCATTCCACACAAAAGATCTTGATATTTGTGGGGAAGTCAACTGTTTTGTCCCCTTTGTTATATTAAAACACATCTTTAATAAGTACATGTTTTCATTGTTTTGTTTTCGTTACATATAACTTAAATTAATAGCAAAATTACAACAATGAGCAATGCAAACACCTTATATTCATGAATGACATACCCCAAATAATCATGACAGAACTTCTCCTGGCTGAAGGTTAAATGCCCTAGAGAATACACTAGAAATTTCTTTTGCAACTTCTACAGCCCCCCAAGCAGAGTTAATGGAAACTTTCCCTATCAAGCACATTTCTGCAAGATGTGCTCTTTTATTACCTCGTGGAATAGGAATGTTGAAGGTTTGATCTGTTGGTGGTAAACAAACAACATCCTTAGTGTAAACTTTTCCTCTTTTAGGAAGGCATCCAGAAGATTGTTTTCTTTTCTTTTTGCCAGTTACTCCACCAAAAAGTGAAGGCAGTTGCCTTGTCTAAGAAGTAATTTAAACTTTTAATAGATTGCTTAATCATGTTTGACTTTTAATCCCAAACCATAATATACAAAGTAAATAAGACATTGCTTATGCCTACTGGCATTGACAACAATTCAACTTTGGAAACTCATATTTTGGCACTGCAAATTACTCATTTGACGACAACATAATATAAACTCCTGATAGCATACATGTGATAAATGTAATGTGGTTATTAACATTGTCAATGTTCATCAATGAATATCTGATTCACATTGATAATTTATTATAAAAAAGCTTACCACACTGAGGTGACAACTTGAATTTGATGCCTCCAAATATGTTTGAGCTGGAATTCTTTGCTACAGAGAACACATTGTGTATATCACAATTATGTTTTGCTCTTTTTAATCATGTGAATTAAAACTTTGAGAAATAAAAAAATGTTAACAAAAGAGTGTCTCTGGAAAGCATCTCTAGTGACCAGGCACATAGTAAGTTAGTAACCTAGGGGTCAGCTGTAAAAAGTCAACGTACCTGGACAGGCTGGACTGTAATAGAACTAGAATTAGAACTGTTTTGGCTGGGGATGTCATCAGCCGTTGATGCCTGCTGATTGAGTAAAAATACTTAAAATCTGAATCAACGAAATATCTTTAATTTTATGTAGCGAGCCACAGGTTTGAATGACCAGTGGATCATTTGTCTCGTGCTCAACGCTTATCTGTTAAATTTGTTTCAAATAAACAAAGACAGACTACTGTTGGATTGATATAAACTAAATGCGAAATAACTCGCTCATTTACCTCTCTTGTACCCAAAGTTTGCGTGATTACCCTTCCTATCGCTTCTGTCAGCCTTCTCGAAATATCATTTTTATTATCCGCCATGCCTTGTTTAGCGCGCTTTCTGCTTAAATCAGTGTATGATATTGAACCGGAAGCCATGTTTCATAACTTTCCACAGGGTAAGTAGAACACGAACGTTACGTCATCTCAAGTGTGCCAAGTGTAACAAAATTATTTGGTTATTTGATATAACCAAATCGGCGCCGAAATAAAAATGGTTATTTATTAAATAACCAATTTTTGTGAATTGGTTATTTGATATAACCAAATCGGCGCCGAAATAAAAATGGTTATTTATTAAATAACCAATTAGCGTACAATTGGTTATTTGATACAACCAAATCGGCGCCGAAATAAAAATGGTTATTTATTAAATAACCAAATTTTGTCAATTGGTTATTTGATATAACCAAATCGGCGCCGAAATAAAAATGGTTATTTATTAAATAACCAATTAGCGTACAATTGGTTATTTGATATTACCAAATCGGCGCCGAAATAAAAATGGTTATTTATTAAATAACCAAATTTTGTCAATTGATTATTGATATAACCAAACTTATGCTAGTCCAAAAAATGGTTATTTGAAATAACCAACCTATTACGTTTGGTTATTTAATAAATAATGAAATTAAACATTAAAAATTCCGTAAATAATAAAGAAACACTTCGCGCCCCATATTTATTGTTCAACGTTTATTTTACATTGGTTAAATTACCTCTACATTTACAAGGTTTACTGACGTATAATGTAGTATTTGTTTCTTTACCAAATATGGTTACTTAATACTAATGGTATGACAGGAAAATGTTAGAAAACTATAAAAATATTGTCGTGATTACTCATAATAAAATATCTCTCAATAATATAGTTATTTAATAGCACTTGACTTAAGTGTTTAATGATGGGGAGAATATAAAAGCATATGTTAACATGAGGAGCTATTTATGAAACAAAGTGAAATGAGAAATACAGAGATTAAATCGGTAAAGTTAAGTTAAAAAAGTTCAATATCCTTAGACTGAAGACTTTCACAACATGATCCCTTCCCCGCCCCCCTTCCTCGATGATATGCGGCCAATTTAAAAGATGCTATCGCAAAAGGACTTAAAAGATTTAACGCAAAATTAAAGACTTACCGCAAAAATTTATTGCATTCATGATATGTAAATGGTGATTTTTCTACATAATTTACAACAAAATAAAATTAAATTCATGAAGATGGTTTGAACATTGAACTGGCAGAAAACCGAGTTCTATTTGTGAAAATCGAAATTCGTAAATTTAAATGCCTACTGACCCGGTGTAAATGATGGCAACTAAATTTTTTATTTACACAAAAAAAGATTAGCTAATTGTTTGAAAAAACAACAGTTAGTTGCTATGGTGGTCATACAAAGAAAATACACAGTGCATAAATTGCTTTTCATCAATATTTGTTTGGTAAAAGAAGTTTTTATGTTAAGATGTTATTGGACTGATTAATGTACTAACAGCATTTACAAGCAGAAGATTGGAGTTATGTTGCAATATGATATGCAAATTAATTGTTAATGAAAAATTGCAGTCATTTTAAAAGACAATTTATATATTTGATTGTCATCAATAAGTAAGTGAACGAATAAACAACAATTGGCAACAACAATATATCAAGAAAGCTCACAGCCTTACAAGAGGGGATCTCCTGGACTCCTGGCACAGTTCAGGTTCGATATCTTAGTTCATTAAAAATGCTGTACATAAGGGCGTTAGTTTAGTTTGTATCTTCAAACTGACATTGAAGATGTTCTAGCAGGATCTCTCTTTAATACGTACTTTGACATGTTTTTATCAGTTTCAGTAGCTATTTGTCCTATTTTACCATCATAACGAATTTAATATCCTTTTTAAATAGAGCGCTTTAATGAAACGTTAAAATTTCGTCATTAAATACAGATTTAATTAGATGTACTTATAGTAGCATATTTTTACAGAAAAATGGCAAAAAACTTCAAAACTATTCCAAATTTGAAACTAAACAACGATTATAAAATCTTAATATGAATTAAATAATTTCAAGAGCTACTTTAAGTCGCACTTTATTCTTTTGTACGCCCATTTGTTGGGGATAGAACTGATTTTGATAATCATTATGGTTTATTAATGTCCGTCATGCAAAATTGGTTTAGTGTGAAATGTGAACGCATCCTAAAAATATATTATTCAAATCTGCTAGTTAATTTTTGTAACTGGTTCAATTATCGTTATTATTCTGCAGTTACTAATATTACTGAGTTGTATGATCATTTTGCAATTTTACAGAGTTATTTGCTCACCATGGATAAGAAAGATGACATCAATATGGAAAGTAAAATTGATAAAAACAGGTTTGCCACCATAATGTTTGAATATTTTCTATCATTGCCAGTAAATTGGAGTACATCTTTAGCATATTAAATCGTGATAATTTTTCATAAAAAAAGCGACGTATAATGGTGCTTTTATTAATACTGCATATTATTTATTGGTGCTTACTTATAATAGGCTAATACACATAAACACCTGCTTTGATAGAATACATATGAGTAAAACCCTGACAGCTCGAGCTGCTCGCTAACTCGAAGTAAATTTAATTTTCCATGGATTTGATAGCACGGTTTTATATAGTAATTTACTGTGGTAAACTTGAAGTCAATGAATTCCTCATTAACTCGAACAAAATTCAATTTTCCTTGGTCAAATTTCCAAAAAGCTAACGAGTAAACCTTTTGGGTTAAAATTTTACAAGTCGCGAGCATTAATTCGATTTAAACAACAAGACATAAATAAACTCTACAAAAACTCATTATGAACAATCTTCTTCAAAAGCGTTTCAACTTTCATGGCACTGATCTAGGTATCTAGCTTATTTATTTCGTTTTTATATAAAGTATGGATATTTCAATGTGTTTTAATCGCACTTGAAATATGTGTCTATTTTTAGTTTTAGCCCACATTTGTAAATGAATGAGTAACACTTTAAATTCGAGATTTACCATAACACCCTCGCAAACTTAAATATGCACTAACTATAGAACAGTTCATTTCTTTTTGCATTCTCAAGACATTGACGTTTTGTAATGACCAATTTATATAGACGTTCCATTGCATAGTAAGAATTTGAATTATTAAGAATATTTGCTTGTATGTTACATCAACCGGAACTTCCTATTGCTGTGAAGTGCTAATTGCATGAAATTCTGCATAGGTATTTCATCCAAAAGCTGTCACTCAGGATACGTTTACACTATACTGGATTCGCTCATCACGCCATCTTCATTTGCTTTAAAGGGTTAACTGTTCGGAGTAAAAGCTTTTTAAGCTGATGGATTTAGTCTATTTGATTGTGCTTCTGACGTTGAACAATTTCACTGCCTTTTAATACAAAGAATATTTAAATTGCTACGATAGCAAACCGGTATAGTGTAAACGGTGACTCAGGCAACTAAAGTATATTTATAAATTTGCAGCAACTCATTACACAATATG